CCGCGGCGCGCGAGGCGGAGCAGGCGAAGNCCGCGGCGGAGGACGCGGCGGCGAGAACCGCCGCCGCCNCCGCCGCCGTCGCCGCCGCGGAGACGCGAGCGGCGAACGACGCGACGATCGCCGCGGAGAGCGCGCGCATGCGCGCGGAGCTCGAGCGCGCGAGGGACGGCGGCGCGATCGCGACGCTCATGGGGCAGAGGATGCGGCTCCCGGCGTGGGCGAAGACGGACGAGCTCCTCGCGGCGGTGGCGAGCCACCAGGTGACCATCGTCGCCGGCGAGACAGGATGCGGGAAAACGACGCAGCTCCCGCAGTTCATCTTAGACGACGCGATCGCGCGCGGGGACGGCGCGAGGTGCAACTTGATATGCACGCAGCCGAGGCGGATCTCCGCGACGTCGGTCGCGGCGCGCGTCGCCGCGGAGCGCGGCGAGAGCGTCGGGAAGACGGTGGGGTACAAAATCCGCCTGGAATCCGTCGCGTCGTCGTCGACGCGGATACTGTTCGTCACCACCGGCGTCCTCCTCAGACGGCTCGCGGAGGACCCGCTCCTCGCGGGGGTGTCCCACGTCGTCGTGGACGAGGTCCACGAGCGGTCGCTGGATTCGGATTTCTTGTTGGTGCTCCTGAGGGACGTGCTCCCGCATCGACCGACGTTGCGGGTCGTCCTGATGAGCGCGACGCTCAACGCGGGGGCTTTCAGCGCCTACTTCAAAGGCGCCGCCGTCGCGCAGATCCCGGGGTTTACCTACCCCGTTCAGGAGCACTATCTGGAGGACATCGTTCAGGTCACCGGGTATTCGCCGAACCCCGGGTCGGACGTGTGCAAGCGCGGCGGCAAGGGCTCGGGCGGCGGCGGCGGCGTCGATCAGAGCCTGTGGAACGCGGAGAACGACTTCACGGAGAAGCTCGCGTCGCGCGGGTACTTGGACGCGACGATCCGCTCGCTGAAGATGCTCGACCAGTCGGTCATAAACTACGACCTCGGCTTGAAACTTCTGGAGCACATCTGCGCGAACGAAGCCGCGGGGGCGATCTTGGTTTTCATGCCCGGCCTGGCGGAGATCTCCAAGCTGCACGACGCGTGCGTTTCGTCGCCGGTGGTCTCGAAAGCGTGCGGGCACGGGAAGTATTTAATCGCGCTTCACAGCACTCTGTCCACCGCGGAACAGAAAGTCGTGTTCGAGCACCCGCCGGGGGACTACCGCAAGATCGTCATCGCGACGAACATCGCGGAGACGTCGATCACGATCGACGACGTCGTGTACGTCCTGGACTTTGGCAAGTGCAAAGAAAACGGGTACGATCCGAACACGCGGATGCAGATGTTGTTAGAGCAGTGGGTCTCCCGCGCGTCCGCGAAGCAGCGCCGCGGGCGCGCCGGGCGCGTCAGAGCCGGGCGATGCTTCCGGATGTACACGCGCTTCGTGCACGAGCGCGTGTTCGCGGAGCACACGATGCCGGAGATTAAGCGCGTGCCGTTGGAGGGGCTGTGTCTGCAGATTCAGTTGCAGCGCATGTCCGGCGGCATCGCGGGGTTCCTCGGGAAGGCGTTGGAGCCTCCGAAGGAGGACTCGATCGCGTCCGCGATAAAGACCCTGCGTCAGATCGGCGCGCTGGACGACAAGGAGAATCTCACGCCGCTCGGGCAGCACCTCGCGGCGCTCCCCGTGGACGTGCGCGTCGGGAAGATGTTACTCTACGGCGCCGTCCTCGGGTGCCTGTCGCCGGTGTTGACCATCGCCGCCGTGCTCGGCGGTCGGAGCCCGTTCGTCGCGCCGTTGGAGAAACGCGACGAGGCGGACGCGGCGAAGCGGGCGTTCGCGGAGGATCAGAGCGATCACCTCGCGACGTTGAACGCGTACAACGCGTGGGTGGACGCGAAGAGCTTAGGGAAAGCCGCGGAGATGGCGTTCACGCGGGATAACTTTTTGTCGTTTCGAACGCTCGAGGGCGTCGCGGACCTGCGGAATCAGTTCTCGCAGCTCCTGCACGAGGCGGGGTTCTTAGGCGGCGGCGGGGGGGGAGGGAGTGGGCGCAGAGGCGGCGGGAAGGGAAGTCGCGGCGGGCCGAAAGGCGGCGTACCGGCGCCGCGGCAGCTGGCCGCGGGCGCCGCTCCGTTCGCGCCGGGCGCGGCGGCGGCGGCGCCGCCGCCGCCCCCCCGTCGCGGCGGCGGCGGCGGCGGCGGCCGGTCCTGGGGCCGCCGCGGCCCTCCGCCGGACGACCCGGTCTGGATCAACGCGAACCGAAACGCGTCCAACACGCGCCTCGTCAAGGCTGTCCTCGTCGCGGGTCTGTACCCGAACCTCATACGCGTCGACCCGTCGTCGAAGCCGTCGGCGCCGCCGCGGCTGTTTTATCTCAGCGAGCTCGGCAAGGACGAGACGCTTCAGGTGCACCCTTCGAGCGTCAACCACGGCGCGAAGAAGTTCTCCGCGCGGTGGATGGTGTACCACGAGCGCGTGCAGACGACGAGCGTGTTCGTCCGCGACTGCAGCACGGTGACGCCGTATCAGCTGTTGTTATTCGGAGGGAAGGTGGAAGTGCAGCACGCACAAGGGACGCTGTCGCTCGATCGGTGGGCGACGTTTAAGGCGCCGCCGAGGGTGGGGGTGCTTTTGAAGGAAATTCGAGCGCGGTTGGATAAGGTCCTGAGGGATAAGATCGAGAACTCGCACGAGGACGTCCAGGCCACGGGCGGGCCGCTCGTGGAGGCGATCTTGCAGCTGCTGAACACGGAGCCCATGACGGCGGCGCCGTCGTGAGTCGCACGAGTAGAGCGGAGAGTGAGAATATCCCGCGTGATTTTACGTATCTGACACTCTGCACACGCGTATCCTAGTCAGATACATTCGCGATCGGCTCTCGCGCTCATACTCACGCGCGCTCGCCGACGCCCACGCTCGCACCCTTCTTCGTACGCTCCACTTTTGCCGATCATGGCCGCCGCGATCCCCTTCGTCGTCCCTCTTCTGCCGCTCGCGGTCCCGAGACTCGGGCGCGGGTTCAAGCGCATCGCCACCAAATACGCGCCATCGAAAGTAGCTCCCGTCAAGCCGGTGACGAACACGGAGCCGTTCAAGGGGAAGTTCCCGGAGCGCGACGTCACCGGCGCGTCCGTCATTCAGGTGCGCCCGCCGCGAGTATCCGACGACGTCTGTCTCGCGTCGCGAAAGTCATCGCCCCCGTCGCCGCGGCCGAGGAGGCGTCCGATCCGGATTGTCGGCGAAAATATCTTTTCTGCAGCACCCCTGTAACTAACACTTCTGTCACATTTTCCCCTGCTCTCCGACGCAGCACTGCATGGCCGCGTTATTCGTCGCGAACCAGCTCCTCATGGCCGCGGTGAAGATCTGGGAATCCGACCCGGACTCCCCGTACGTCCTCGGGTTGACCCTGAACGCGCTCGCGTTCATCGCGGACGCGGTCGGTCATGCGCATGTCGCCGGCGGCGACCCAACCGCGATCGACGGCAATGTCCTCCAAAAAGGACACGCGATGACACAAGCGCTGTTCTTACTCCTCGGCGTCGCGGGGAACCTCGGCGTCATCGGCGAGAAGAAGTACGCCGGTCTCGCGCTGGAGAAAGTTCCGGACCTCGGGAAGCGAACGCTCGGCGCGCGGATCGCGACCAACCCCAAGGTCATCATTCCGCTCAACCTGTGGCAGACCGCGCACGCCGCAGGGGTGTTCGGGCTCGCGTGAAGGAGGAGGAAAGAAAAACGCTTCGACGGCGTACATTATGAATTATAAAATGAATTATTAAGGTCTCTACCATTCGTCAATACGGCGTGTCGTCGTCCGCGCCCGGTCGGCGCTTCTTCTTACCCCCCGCCTTTTTCCCCGCGACGATCGCCGCCTGTCTCTTCACCTCGTGCTTCAACAGCGCGCTTCTGCACACCGCGACGCGCACTTCGAACACCTTGATCTCCTCCCGCATCTTCTCCATGTTTTCCTTCATCGTGTTCAGCGGCGTCGCGTCCGCGTTATTCTCCCCGCGGTCCTCGATGACGCCCTTCACCTTTTCGAGCTCCTCCGTGAGGCGCGCGAGCTCGTTCGTCATCGAGCTCGTCGCCTCCGAAGCCGCGTCGTACGCGCGCTGCGTCTCGTCCAGCTTCTCTCGACGCGTCCGGTACTCGTCCGCCAACGGCGCGAGCTGCGCGTTGACGTACGCCTCCCTCGTCTCGATCTTCTCCAACGCCCCCGCGACGTCCTTCACGACGCCGTCGAGCATGACGCGCACGTCCGGGAACGTCCCCGCGATGCTCCGCCGGTGTTCGCGCGCCGACTCGAGGTGCGCGCGCCAGTCTTTGGCGTCGGCGGCGGCGACGACGCGCAACTGCGGCGCGACGCGCTCGAGCTCGAGCTTCCACGCCGCGGCGTCCACGTGCGACTCGATCGCTCGCGCGTCTTCGATCTCCTCGAGGGTTTTCGCGTGCGAGGCGGCGTCCGCGCCGAAGCTCCCCGGGGATTTCGGCGCGGCGCCCGCGACGATGTACGCCTCCTCGGACGCGTCCGAGTCGCTCGCGTCGTCGTCGTCGTTTTCCGCGTCGTCGTCGGCGAACGCCCCCCTCCCCAAACGCGCGCCCTCGCCGCCGCTCTCGAACGCGCCCTCGTGCGCCTCGTACGTCGCCATCTCCGGGGGATCCTCCTTCGCGTGCTTCGGCCGTCGAAGCCGCGGCATCGCGCGCTCGAGCGCGAGATCGCACAGGCCGTTCAGGACGCCCACGGCTTCTTTCCCGGACGCGCGCGTCAGCGCGCTCGGGGAAAACTCCGGCGGGTCGAACCCGAGCTTGGCGCACTCGTGGAGGATCGCCGCCGCGCTCGTCTTCTGGTCGTCGCTCTCTCCCGGCGCGAGGTGGCCCCGTCGCCCGCAGAGCTGGACGAGGAACGCGGCGAGGGCGGCGTAGTGATGAAACCGCGCGTCGCGGTCGCTCGACGAACTCTCCGCGATCGCGAACGTCGCGCGCGTCAGGCGCGGCCACGGCGGCTTGCGCTTCGCGCAGAACTCGGTCTCGTAGTTCAGGAGCTTGAGCTTCTCGAGGATGAGCTCCATGCCGACGTCGGCGTCGACGTCCCCGAGCTCGAGGCTCGGAGCGTCGTCCCCCATGGTCGCGGCGTTGACTCTGACGTCGGGATGGTTCGAAAAACGGCACCTCCTCAACGACTCTTCTATAATACTCGCGGCGACTGGTTTTCATCACTACACGTACACGCGCCTACGACGCGACGACGCCATCCGCGCGTCACTCCACCCACCCGCGTCGCTTCAAGTGCACGTCCGCGAGCGCGGCCATGTAATCCCCCGACCCCCGCCCGTACGCGCTGTTCGCGGCGGCCGCGATGTCGACCCTCGCGCCCTCCGCGTCCCCTCTGCTCTCCTTATACAGCCCGAGATATAACTTCGCGTAAAACTCATCCGCCGCGCTCCTCTTCGCGATCTCCCTCATCCTCTCCTCGCTGCCGTCGCCCGCGAACAGCGCGTACGCCTCGCGCATGTATCCGCGCGGGTCCGGGCCGACGGTCAGCATGTTTTTCTTCGCGCCCTCGAAGGACCCTCGCGGCGACCGCGCCTCAGGGTCGTTCCATACGAGCGAAAGTCGGGGTGGAGTTGAAAGGCGTCAGTTGGAGTTGAAAGGCGTCGATAACGGGGATTGAAAGCGAGGGCTGGGCGAAGAGATACGACGGCAAAAGTCCTTAAGGATCGGCGTTCACCACGCCAACGTGGTCGTATGGGAACCAGTGTATAGAACGCACCTCGCACAAAAACGCCCAGATGGCCTCCTCCGTGTCGTTCGGGTTCACAGCGACGTCTCTCCTAAACTGCGCCGCGCCCGCGTCGAAGTCGTCCAAGTAGTACAGCGAGAGACCGCGCTGCCACATGTACGGCGCTCTGCGGCCGTCCAACGCGATGACCTGGTCGAAGTCCGCGACGCTGCCCTCGACGTCGTCACGCGCGAACTTGGCCATGCCGCGCCTGGTGAGCGTCGAGATCGGGTCCATCGTCCCCGCGGCGGACGCGGCGGACGGGGTGGACGCGAGGGCGACGGACGCGGCGGTGGCGGCGGCGGCGAGCGCGTCGCGGCGTGGGATGCGATGCCGACGAGGACGACGTGAAGGGCGCGTGGACGTCCAGTTCGACGACGAGGCTGCTGCGCGAAGGGCGACGTCGATGTCGTCGTCGTCGTCGTCGTCGTCGTCGTCGTCGTCGTTCGAGGCGCGAGGTCGCGAGGTCGCCGCGTCGCGCGTCCCAGAGGCGCGCGCATCGCGCGTCCGGTCGTCGACGCGCGCGCGTCGCCGCGCCACGGGCACGGCGCGGGGGGTCAGGAGCGCGGATATCGACGACATCGACCGCGCGTGCCCGTCCAGAGAACTAATGACGACGCGAATCCGCGAGCGGCTGCAGTGACGCGTCGCGACGTTTCTCCCTTCCGAGACGAACTTTCGTTATCCGCGCCGCCGTCGAGAGGGGGGGCATTCGTCGACGCGCGCACGCACGCGCTCCCGATTCCAACGACGCGCGCCGCGATGAGCGCCGCCACGATCTCCTCGCGGACGCTGACGACGCCGGCGTCGCTGACGCGCGCGCGCGGGGCGTCCTCGCGCGCCGCCCGCGCCGCGTCGCGCGCCGTCGGCCCCGTCGTCGTCCGAGCCGCGAAGGGCGACGTCCTCCTCGAGGTGAAAGACCTCACCGCGAAGGTCGCGGAGACGGGCGAGACGATCCTCAACGGCGTGACGCTGACGATCAAAGAAGGCGAGACGCACGCGATCATGGGGAAGAACGGCTCGGGGAAGAGCACGTTCACGAAGGTGCTCGTCGGGCATCCGTCGTACGAGGTCACCGGCGGCACCGCGGTGTTCAAGGGAAAGGATCTGCTCGCGATGGACCCGGAGGACCGAGCGAGGGAAGGCCTGTTCCTATCGTTCCAGTCCCCGATCGAGGTCCCGGGCGTTAGCAACACGGACTTCCTTCGGATGATGTGCAACGAGCGGAGGAAAGCGCGAGGGGAGGAGGAGCTCGACCCGCTCGAGTTTTACGGCTTCCTCACGCCCAAGCTCGACCAGCTGAACATGGACCCGTCGTTCCTCGCGCGAAACGTCAACGAGGGCTTCTCCGGCGGCGAGAAGAAACGGAACGAGATCTTACAGCTCGCGGTGATGGAGTCCGAGATGAGCATCTTAGACGAGATCGACTCCGGGTTGGACGTGGACGCGCTGCGCGACGTCGCCGCGGCGGTGAACGTTCTCAAGGAGGGCGACAAGGGGTTGCTTCTCATCACGCACTACCAGCGGCTGCTGGACGCGATTCATCCGGATTTCGTACACGTCATGGAGAAGGGGAAGATCACGCAGACGGGGGACAAGTCCATCGCGTCGAAGCTCGAGGAGGGCGGCTTCGCGAGCCTCGCGTGATGAGTGATTTTGTACGATGTGAGCATCAGGTAGAGGTCGTCGGAGCGGGGGGGGCGCGAAGAGTACGGTAGTGAAATTGGAACAGCATGATGTTGCTCTTGTGAGAGAAAACCACGCTCTTGCGCTTTCGTCCATCAGAAATCGACGCGCCGTCCGCCTCGTCCGCGACCGCGACCATAATGCGAACGCCGACGCGCGCGCTCGCGCTCGTCGTCGCCCTCCTCGCGACGTCGTGCGCGTTCGCCACCGCGCAGATGGAGTTCGATCTCGTCACCAGGCGCGTCCGCCCCCCGTCCATCGCGCGGGCGGATCCCGCTCCCGTCCAGATCGGCGGGCCCCTCCCTTCGCGGTCCTTCCGTCTTCTTCTTCGTTCGATCTGTTCCGTCCTCTTCTCGCCCTGACCCTAAGCCCACCCCACATCCATCGCATCGCATCGCGCTTATCATATCGTCCCATCCCATCGTCCGTCCATCTTCGCAGCGGCTCGGAGAAGGAGCGCGCGCGGTGCGTCGACGAGGAGCTCGGTGCGAACGTCCTCGTGTTGATGTCCTACGAATCCGCCGACGGCGCCGCCGTCGACGTCCGCGTCACGGATCCGGACGGTCGCGACGTCTACGTCGCGAAGAACAAGGCGCGAGGCAAGGCTGGGTTCACGACGAAGATCGCGGGAGACCACAGCGCGTGCTTCACGAGGTCGCGGCCGCCGGGCGGCGGCGACGACTTTTCGTCGAACGACGGCGACGGCGTCGCGCACAGGGTGAAGCTCGACTGGAAGAAGGGCGTGGCGGTGAACGATTGGAACAAGATCGCGAAGAGAGGCGATGTCGCGGACGTCGCGACGGACTTGCGACGCGTGGAGGCGGACCTTCGAGGGGTGCACCAGGAGATGATGTGGCTGCGGCGGCGGGAGGAAGAGATGCGGACGATCAACGAGAAGACCAACGCCAGGGTGGCGTGGCTGTGCGCGATGTCGCTGTGCGCGTGCGTCGCGAGCGGGGCGACGCAGTACGCGTACCTGAAGTATCATTTCAGGGCGAAGAAGATGATTTAACGGAAGGAATTCATCGCGAGCGCGCGTAGTAGTAGACGACGCGAGCGCGATGCCCCGCGGTGGACGTTTCGACGCCGGCCTCGGCAGACTCGGAAAGTTCATTTTATCAATGCATCATCGTCATTGTTTGTTTCCCCGAGACGCGTGACAGGATGACGAGATCTGCGTAGCGAGTCACTCCTCGGACGCGCCGCATACCTCGCGGCGCGCGCGATACTCGATCTCCGTCCTGCGCGCGCTTCGCGCTCGCGTCGCGCGCATCGCGTCCGATGCCGCCGAGGTGAGGAGAGAGAGGCGCGAGGAGGACTCGAAGGACCTCTCCTCGGACGGACGTTACCGCCGAGGGGAGACCGAGATTGTTAGCGCCCGAACCGCGTCGTCGGCCGCGCCGTCGTCGTCATGTTCGAAGGGCAGCTCACCGCGGTGCTGAACCGCACCTTGGGAGCGTACGTCCACGGGATCTCGTCCAAAGACCTCTCCGTCGCGGTCCTCAGCGGAAACATCGTGCTGAAGAACCTGCGAATGAAAGCGGACGCGCTCAACGCGCTCGGCATGCCCTTCGACGTCCGCGCGGGCGTCGTCGGAAAACTCACGCTTCAGGTCCCGTGGCGCGCGCTCGGACGCCAGCCCGTGATCGCGACGTTGGACGAAGTCTACGTCGTCGCCGGGTTCGCGTCGCAAGACGCGTCGCTGAGCGTGGAGGAGAAGACGAAGCGATGGAACGCCGCGCAGGCGGAGCTCAAGCGCAAGATCGTGGACGAGGGCGAGCTCGCGTGGCTCGCCGCGAACGCCGCGACGGGCGGCGGCGCGACGAAGAACGCCGCCGCGCAGCCGCCGGCGAACGACGGCGACGAAGGCGGCGGCGGGTGGCTCGCGGGCATGCTCGACACGATCCTCGGCAACCTCGAAGTGCGCGTCACGCGGATACACCTCAGATTAGAGGACGACCTCGGCGGCGCGGATGGCGCGGACGGCGCCGGCTGCGCGTCCGAAGCTTCTTCCGCTTCGAACCCGTTCGCCGCCGGCGTCACGCTCGAGTCCTTATCAGTGAGCACGGTAGACGCCGACGGCGCGGAGTCGTTCTCCGTGAAAGGGCTCGCGGAGAGGATGCGAAAGTCCGCGACGCTGTCGCGCCTGGCGATATACTTCGACGTCGGCGCGAAGACGTTGAGGCCGCTGGGGACCGCGGCGTGGAAAGACGTCGCGTCGTCGACGCTCGCGGCGGTGATGGAACCCGGGACGACGTCGAGAGCGTTCGAGGCCGCGACGGCTGGCTCGAACGTCCCGACGGAGAAGGCGTCGAAGGCGTCGAAGGCGTCGGCGTCGGAGGAGGACGTGAAGGCTTCCGCGCTCGCCGCGACGGAGCAAGCGTCGCGGCGGTCGTTCCTCCTCGCGCCCGCGTCCGCGCGGGCGCGGTACGAACGCCGAGGTAAAATCGAAGCCGCGTCGGAGACGCTGGCGTCGCAACGCGTGTACCTGCGCGTCGATTCGCTCGCGGCGACGCTCAAGTCGTCGCACCTGCGCGTGTTGTTTTACGCCGTCGAGAGGTTAGAGCGCGACGCGAGGCGCGCGCCGCACGCGCACTTGCGGCCGTCGGTGTCGGTGAGGGAATCGCCGAGGGCGTGGTGGACGTTCGCGACGGCGGCGGCGAAGCTGAGACGATCCGTCGACGCCGCCGAGCGCGGCGGGGAGCTCAGCGTGCACCGCGCGATGGAGCTCATGCGCGCGCGGCGTGCCTACGTCGACGCGTACGCCGCGCGCGCGCTGTCAAAGCCGAGGCCGAAGAAGGTGAGGTCTGGCGAGCGGTGGCCGAGGGCGTTGGCCGTCGGCGAGGCGCCGGAGATCGACGCGATCGAGGCGTCGCACCCGGCGCACAGCTGCGTGTTGTTCCGCGCGCTCGCGCACCAGCGGTTGAAGCAGACGACCGGGGACGACGTCCAGGACGGCGTCGCGAAGGCTTCCGGCGGCGGGTGGTTTTCGAGCTGGACGTGGGGGTCGTCCGGGAAGAAGGACGACGGCGGCGGCGCGGAGAACGCGGACGGCGGCGGCGACGGCGAGATGAGCGCGAAGGACTGGGACGCGCTCCAGAAAATCTTCGACGTGGAAGGCCACGCCGCGGCGGCCGCGGCGGCCGCGTCCGCGGTGTCCGACGACGCGCTCCAGGCTGAGTACTCCGTGCGCGTGGGTTCGATGTCTCTAGAGCTCGTGGACGACGAGAGCGGCGGCGGCGGCGGCGCGTCGCGACAGAACGTCGTCGTGTTGCACTCCGCCGCGAGCGGCTTCGTCGCCGGCTCGCGAGCGTTCGGCGCGGCGAGGGCGGACCACAGGCTCATCGTGTCCGGGATGGAGCTCACCGCGAGCGGCTCGACGCTCGCGCGCGTGCGCGGCGGGCGCGCGTCGCGGGCGTTGGACGACCGCGCGGACGCGGACGACACCGCGCGGATTCTGTGGGGCTCGGGCGCGGACGGCGATTCCGATTCCGACGACGACGACGACGCTTTCGCGGACGCGTCCGCGGACGTGGAAGACCTCGGCTTGGCGTCTGGGACGGACGACGACGCGCGCGCCGCCGCGCCGCCGCCGCCGCACGCGCTGTCCGTGAAGTTCGAGAACAAGCCGAAGCCGCGATCTCCGCGCGAGGAAGACGAAACGTCAACCGACGCGCCGCCGCCGCCGCCGGATATCGTCGTCGCGGCGACCGTCGCGCCCGCGTATCTGACCGTCCTCCGCGCGCCCGTCGACCGCGTCGTCGCCGTCCTCACGCGGCACAAGTCCGAGGCGCTCGCGGCGCAAGAGGAGACGTTCAAGCGCGCGGTCGCCGCGAGCGCGAGCGCGACCGCGGCGGCCGCGCAAGAGCGCGTCCTCGCGGCGTTGAGCGAACGCCCGGTGATTGACGCGTCGGTCGTGATTCACACGCCGCACGTCGCGGTGCCGTCGCGGCCGGGGCTGGACGCGGCGACGCTGCTGCTCGACTTAGGGCGGCTACGTCTCAGGAGCCGCGACGCCGTCGAGCTCGGCGTGGACGTCGCGCAGAGGCGGATGTTCAGCGGATTCGCGATTGAAGTGTCGGAGATTTCCGCGTCCATCGCGCGCGGGGTGTCGGACGCGAACGACTGTGGCGTCGGCGGCGCGAATCCGACTTTGGCGTTCGAGGACGCGTCGCCGCTGCTGCCGTCGTTCGGCGCGCGCGCGACGGTGCTTCAGGCGCTCGCGCCCGTGCCCGGGAGGGCGTCGCTCGACGTGACGTTCACCGCGAACGCGCTGCGCGCGGCGGTGTCGCCGCGGCGGATCGACCAGCTCGTCGCGATCGCGGAGCATCTCTCGTCGTCGTCGGAGCGAATCTCGACGGGCGGATACCACGGCGGCGGCGACGACGACGACGACGTCGCGAGCCTCGCGGGGTCGGACTTCACGATCGGCTCGGACGTGAGCGCGGTCCCGGGAGACGGAGTCAAGGGCTGGATTTTGCAAGTCTCGTTCGGGCGTCTGCAGTGGACGCCGTGTCTCGTGAAGGTGAACGACCTCGGGAAGGTTGAGATTTTCGCCGCCGGCGTCGCCGGGGGACTCGGCGCCGTCGCGGGAAAACCGCTCGCGGCGCCCACGTTCGTGACCACCGGGGGCGCGCTGAAACTCCGCGCGAGCGACGCCGCGGGGAAGAAACACGCGATGATCGTGTCTCCGGACGCGGCGTCGACGACGAGCGCGATGGAGAGAATTCGCGCGGCGGCGGGCACCGGGGCGACGAGTCATTTCCCGGATCTCGTCAAGTCGAACCGCGTCGTTCGGTTCAAGTCCTCGAGGGCGATGACGAGGGTGAAGGAGGCGATCAACGCGGGCGCGAGGAACGCGCGCGCCAGCGCGGGCATCGCCGTCGCAGAGGGAGACGAACCGGCGCCGACGGAAGCGGAACCGACGCGCGACGGCGCCGCCGGCTCCGCGAAGGAAAAAGACGTCGTCGACTCGATTCGATTCACAGCGACGCTGTCGGAGCTCTCCATCGTCGTCGCCGCGCCCTTGGACGCGCCGCTGTCAACCCCGGCGGAGAGAGCGTCGTCGGCGTCGACGTTGACGCGCGTAGACACGATGAGCAGCGAGCACGCGGACGAGTTTTACGACGCGAACGACGATGTCGAGTGGTGGCGACGCCGCGGCGGCGGCGGCGGCGGCGGCGCCGACGACGACGTCGAACGCGCGCTCGCGCGAATCGTCCTCTCCGACGTCGGCGCGACGTATTCGCAGCGCGATGACGACGTGAACGTCGCGCTCAGCCTCGCCGCGTTTACGGTGCACGACGCGTACGCCTCGGACGTAACGAACCGGCGATGCACGCTGCTCACGACCGGCGCGGCGAGTCGCGTCGGCGGTAAGGGCGGCGGCGAAAACGAAAACGTTTTCCACGTGACCTACGCTTCCATCGCGCCGGGGTCGAGCGCGTACGCCGGCGTCGACGCCGAGATCGCCGCCGTGCTCGGCCCGCTGTCGATGTCGATTCGAAGACCGACGCTCGCCGCGCTCGCGGCGTTTCCGTCGCTCCTCGGCGGCGCGCGCGCGAGCGGTTCGGAGACGACGACGACGACGACGCCGACGGCGGCGGCGGCGGCGAACGCGGATGTGGTCGCCGCGGAGACGGGAAAATCCCGCGTGGCGATGGCCGTCACCGCGCGCGTCGACGCGCTCCGACTCGCGCTGCTTCTCGAAGACGCCGAGGACGACGACACCTCGCGATTGAATCCCGGGTGCGTGCTGGAGGCGAAAATAACGGACATGGACGCGGCGTTGACGCTGTATCCGTCGACGACGAAAGTCGAAGCGTCGATGGGGACGCTGCGCGTCACGGATCCGCGTCTGCCGCCGGCGCATCCGTACCGGTACATCGTGAATCCTTCGCGGGGAGGGATCGACTCGGACGCGTCGGCGGGGTCCTCGCTCGTGACCGCGTCGTACGAGAGCTTCGACGAGGGCGAGCAGGCGGACGGCGCGCTGTCGAGCGTCGCCGCGAACGTCGCGTCGTTGCGCGTCGTCTTCTTGTACCGCCTCGTGACGGAAATTTCCGACTTTTTCGACGGCCTCTCCGTCGCGATCGCCGCTCCCGCCGCGTCGTCGTCGTCGTCCAAGGCGACGACCGCGTCGTCGTCCTCCACGTCATCATCCACGTCACCATCTGCGGCGATGCGATTGGACATCGCGATGGACGCCCCCGTGATCGTCGTCCCGCGGCTCACGTCCGACGTGTCGCTCGCGTTGGAGCTCGACATGGGCGCGCTCGGGGCGAAAAACGCGCTCACGCAGACGCGCTCGACGCGACCCGACGCGGCGACGCGAACCGCCGCGAAATCCAAATCGTCCCCGGGGCTCGACAGCCTCGCGTGCAGCGACGACGAAGACGACGATGCCGACGCAGACGAAGAATACGACGCGGGGGCGTCCGCGGCGACGATCGTCGATCGCACCGCCGTGCGGCTGTCAGGCGTCAACGTCGTCGTCGTCGGCGGCGACGCCGCCGGCGCGGGTCCGCGACGCGTCCCACTCATGCGCTCGCCCGCGGCCGCGGAGGCGGTGATCTGGCGTCGTCTCGGCGGCACGCGCGACGCGGACGACGACACGCCGGAGACGGTGGTGCGCGCGGACGTCGAGCCGCTCATCATGGACATCTCCGCGGAGGACTTCCGGTTGCTGTCCACGTGCGTGTTGTCGAACATGGCGGAAAAACCGTCGAGGATGGAGACGCCGGCGAATCCGCTTCGGTTCCCGCGCGGCGTCGCGACGACGGACGCCGAGGACGCGTTTCGCGCCACCGCCGCCGCTTCCGGACCTCTCGGGACGTTAGAAGAGGGCGAGACCGAAACCGGCGACGAGGACGACGCCGTCGTGAACGCCGCCGCGCCGCCGCCGCACTCGCGCTTCTCGCTCGCGCGAGACGAACCCGCCGTCGTCCTCGAAGGCCCGACCGTCGTCACGACGCGCCTTTCCGTCCGCGTCGCGCTCATGGAGCTCGCGCTGTACCGCGGCGGCGGCCGAGGCGAACCGCTCGCGACGCTGTCCGTGCACGAGCTGTCCTCCGAGGTGTGCGTCTTGGACCCGGACACGTACACCGCGCGCGCGTCCGTCGCCGCGGTGGAGCTCGAGGATCTTCGATATCTTCGATCGAGACTCGACGGCGGCGGCGGCGGCGGCGGCGGAAGCGAAAGGCTCGTCGCGTTCGGCGGGTGCCCGTCCGCGGAGCGCGCGACGATCTCGCGCGAGCGCGGCGGGCTGCTCCCGTTGCTTCAGCTCGAGTCCACGACCGGCCCCGCGGTGGGAGGCACGCGCGCGGGGGCGACGCTGCAGCGGTTCACGCTCGAGGTTGAGCCGACGTTTCTTCTCGACGTCGGCAGGGTGTTTTACCCCACGCTCGCGGGCGGCGGCGGCGAAGCCCCGGAGGAGGTTCTCCCGCGCGACATCGCGCTCGCGCCCGGGGTCGTGCACGCGCTCGACGCGGACGTGGTGTTATCGAAAGGCGTTCGAATCGTCGCGGATGGCGGCGCGGGCGGCGAGTACGTGCTCGACGGCGGCGGACGCGCTTTGCGCGTGCGCGAAGCCGACGTCTTCTCCGGTCCCGTCATTTTCGTCGGACCGAAGTGCGTGTTGACGCTAAAAAACGTCCTCGTGGAGATCGAGGCCGCGTGCGGCGCGAAAGCGGCGTGGCCGTTCGTCGTCAAGCTCGCCGCGGGCGCGCGGTGCGTCGCGGCGCCGGAGGATAAAGTATCCTTCGCGTCGTCCTCGGCGTCCGTCGCGGATTGCGATCGCGAGCTCCCGGCGTCGGCGCTCTCAGCCTCGGAGACGGCCGCCGCGGCCGGCGCTACGACCGCGGCGGCGACCGCGACCGCGGCGGCAACGCGGACGACGTTTTCGTTCCGTGCGACGTGCTTAGAGCTGCGCGTCGTCGGCGACGGGCGCGGGAACGGCGACGCGGGCGATAACGCCGGGGAAGACGACGCCGTGGATTTTACGCTCGGCGTGAACGCCGAGTACGTCTCGGAGACGCGCTGCGCCGCGGACGGCGGCGACACGGACACGGACGTTCAGCTGCAGCTCGCGCGCGTCGGCGTGCGCCAGTCCAGCGGGAGCGACGGAAACGACGCGAGCGACGGCGACGGAGATATCCTCGCGCCCGTGGACGTCACGATGCGTTACGCCGTGCGCGCGGATAAAAACGGCGTTCAAGACGACGAAGCGCGAATCACTCTCGGCGCGTCGCCGCTGTCGTTCTCGCTCTCAAACGAGCGCGTCGAACTGCTCTCGCGCCTGTCCGCGCGCCTCGCGTCCGCGTTCGCGTCCGCGCCGGTCGCGCCGTGCCGCGTCTTCAACAAAGTCTGGTCCAGCGACGAACTCGGCGCGAGCGCCGACGACGCCGCCGGCGGCTTCGACGAAGGCGTCGGCGGCTCGACGAGAGGCGCCGCCGGGTGGTCCATCTGGCGTCCGCGTCCGCCGTCCGGGTACGCCCCGCTCGGCGACGTCGTCGCCCTCGGCGTCGCCAAACCCCCCGCCGACCCGGTGACGGTCATACGCGCGTCGCCCGCGTTCACGTCGCCGCCGTTGGCGTTCGAGCACGCGGGGACGAGGACGCCGCCGTCCATCGCCGCCGCGGGGCTCGTCGCGTGGACGCCGACGCCGCCGCCCGGGTTCGTCGCCCTGGGCGTCGTCTGCGCGCCGGAAGGTTCGGGGCCGCCGCCGCTGGACGCGATGCGGTGCGTTCGAAGAGAGCTCGTCGTTGCCGCGGAGGGCGTCGTCGGGAGAGCGTGCGCGGGCGTCGGCGAAGCGCCGTTGTGGGTCGTGAACAACGCGGCGCGGACGTGCGTCGCCGGCGGCGCGCGCGCGGCGCGCGCGTTGGACCTTCGCGTGCCGACCGGGCTCCCCGGGGAGAAACGCGGCGCGAGCGGTGGCTCGAGCGCTTCTGCGGCGTCTTCGTCGACGACGACCGCCGCCGTGGATGTCGACGGATTCGGTAGTAACGTTCCGTTAACCGGCGTTACCGCCGCGCCGGTGACGATGACCGTCGTCGATTTCGAACGCGTGTGGTGGGATTTCAAATCCGGCGCGAAGACGCGCGTGTCCGTGTGGCGTCCGAAAGTCCCGCGCGGATGGGGCTCGTTCGGCGACGTCGCGGTGAACCGCCTCGAACCGCCGGTGTCCACGGTCGTCGTTCGCGTGATCCCCGATCGCGTCGAACGCGGCGCATCCGGTCGCCCGCGGTCGCCGCCGACGACCCCGCCGATCGGCTACCACCTCGTGTGGAAAGACTCCGGTTTCCGCGCTGGGCGCAGCCGTCACAAGCAAGGCACGATCTCGTTCTGGCGCCCGGTCCCGCAGGACGGGTACGTCGCCATCGGCGACGTCGCGTCGCCGTCGCACGCGTCCCCGCCGAAGGACGCGGTCGTGTGCTTGAGAGCGGACCTCGCGCGAGCGTTGCCTCAGTTTGCGTTCAGCGAAGGCGCGGCGTGGACCTCCGCGGGCGCGCACTTCAAACTCGGCAAGAGACCTGTGGCGCTGTTTCACCCGAACGCGTTCTCGGAGGACTGGACGTCGTTGGGGACCTTCCTCGCGGCGCACGCGGAGGAGGGGAAGTCGTTGAGACCGCCGGAGATGGCTTACGCGCCCGAGTACGCGCGATGGAAGTCCCCGACGGACCAGGACGGCGGAGGCGGCGGGTACGTCTTTTCCACGCGGCTCGACGTCCTCGACGCGACAGTCTTCGCGGACGCGGCGGCGCGACGCGCGCCGCTCGCGCGTCTGTCCTTACGCCGCGTCTCCGTGGACGCGAAACTCACCGCGGATAACGACACAACCGCGGAGGTGTCGTGCACGACGGAGCTGTCGCACTTCAACGCGAGGACGGCGGCGTGGGAGCCGGTCGTCGAGCCGTGGTCGCTCGTCGCTCGGTACGCGGACGTCGTCGACGCGTTGGACGCGCCATCGAAACGCCGAGCGCTGGACTTCACGCCGCCGGGGTATACCCTCCGCGTGGACGGCGCGGGGCCGTTGCGAACGGTCATCACGCATGCGTTTCTGGATGATCTGATCGGCGCGTACGCGGCGTCGATGCGCGCGGGCGGCGAGAAGAAGACGACGCACGCCGCCGCCGCCGCGAAGAAGAAGAAGATGAACGAAAACGACGGCGACGGCGTCGTCAACGCGACGGGTCGCAGGGTCTGGACGCGCGCGAAAAACGGCGTCGTCACGGAGACGAAACCCGGCGGGATCTTACCGGGCGTCGGCGTCGAGAGAGCGCCGCCGGCGTCGCTTCTCGCGAACGGCGCGGAGGACGGGGTCGTCTCTCCGCGGTCGAGACCGACGTCGTCGGAGCCGTGTTACGCGCTGATCGAAGTGCTCGCGTGTCGCGCCGTCGGCGTCGTCGAATCGCTCGACGCCGCGTCAGACGACGACTCCGTCCCGCCGCCGCCGCTTCGCACGCTGCGGTTTTCTTTGGACGGCGTCCGGGGAGACGGCGGCGTCGATCACGATCACGCCGCGTGCACGATCGCGCTGGAAGACGAAACGTCAACCGGCGCGGCGCTCGTGGACGTCGTCCCGTGGCGGCTCGCGAACGCGAACGCGAACGCGAACGACGCGGGCGACGCGTTCGGCGTTTTGCGTTTGCGCGCGGAGGTGACGCACACGTCGCACGGCGCGATTCAAGCCGCGCTGGGGGAGTCGCGTCTCGATGCGCGCGTGGCGTCTTCCGCGATCGACGTGCCGTCGGCGGTGCTGCTGCGCGCCGCGAGCGCGGAGACGTGGTTTCCGAGCGATGACGGCGAGTGGTACGAGCTGGAGCCGTCCGCGGCGAGCGGATCGAACCGCCGCCCGCGCGTGCGACTTCGCGTTCGGCTCGTCGAGGGCCTCCAACTCCGATCGCCGCGCGCGAGAACGCCGCTCGGCGCCGCCGCGATGATCTCGAGCGCGATGTCGTCCGTCTCCGGGGACTTCGACGGCCTCGCGATCGCGGACGCGGGCGTCGGCGGCGGCGACGGCGGCGGCGGCGGCGGCGACGGCGGCGCGGGACGTTTAGAACGTCTGAAACTCTACCGCGCGCATCAGCTCGAGCTCGTGTGGTGGTCGCGAAACTCCGGGTCGATACTGGACGTCTCCGGGTGGCACCCGGTGTGCCCGCCGGGGACGGCGCTCCTCGGGACGTCCATCGTCGCCGGGTTCAACGCCCCGAACGAGGCGTTGATCGCGCGCGCGCCGTGGCTCGACCCGGCTGCGTCGGTTTCTTCGGTTTCAAAACCGTCCGTCGGCCCGTCCGCGACGGCGCCCCCCGTCGGGTTCGCGCGCGTCTACGCGGACTCCGGGAAGCGATGGATGAACGACCCGAACGGCACGGTCGCGATCTGGCACCCGGAGGCGCCGCCGGGGTACGTCGCCGTGGGATGCGTCGTCACCCCGGATCACCAGCCCCCGGATCCGACGAAATTCGCGTGCGTCCGCGCCGATCTCGCGGCGCCGTCCGCCGCGGCGCCGGCGCCGCTGTGGTCCAATCACGGCGCGCACAGCAAGCTTGGGAACGAACAGCTCGCGCTGTATCGCACCGGCGTCGCGGGCGGCGCGGGGTGGACCGCGGTGTCGTCGCATTCGCGCGAGGACGTCGAGCACGCGGAGTTTCCGCCGTTTGAGGTGCGTTCTATACACTGGTCCCCGTACGACCGCGTCGGCGTGGTGAACGCCGATCCTTAAGGACTTTTCCCGGCGCGTCTCTCCGCCCAGGGTCCCTCGCTTTCAATCCCCGCCCTCGACGCCTTTCAACTCCATCTGACGCCTTTCGACTCCACCCCGACATTCGCTCGTATGGAACGACCCTGAGATTCGGTGGGACGTCGCCGCGGGCGCGAGCGTCGAGGAGGCGTCCGCGATCGCCGCCGCCGCCGCCGACGACGCCGACGCCGACGACGACGCCGCCGTCGCGACGATAGGCGGGCCGAACATCGCGCTCGCGCCGAACGGCCCGTGGGCGCCGGTGGGGTCGCGTCGGCTCGGCGCCGCGACCGCGGCAGCGGTGGCGCTGGGCCCCGCGCGCGCCACCGCCGTCGTCCTCGATCGGAGGCTCGGGACCCTTCGCGCGCCGGCGACGGCGACGTCGCATCTGCCGTTCGAGATGGAGGCGCGTCTCGTGACGTTGAACGTCGTCCCGGACGCGGTCGCGGGCGGCGCGAAGAAGAAGAAGATAAGGCGCGGTGGCGGCGGCGGCGGCGACGCGATTTCCGACGTCGCGGACGTGTACGAGTCCGAGCGGTTCTACCCGTTCGTCGGTTGGACCGAGCCGAAGGGCAACCTGGACGAATACTTCACCGGTCGCTTCGGCGAGCTCGGCGGCGCGAACAGCACGTCACACTTCCCCGACGTTCCTCTCCCGGAAGGCTGGCGATGGGACGGCCCCTGGGAGCTCGACCGGGGCGTCAGCGTGGACGCGAACGGGTGGGCGTACGGCGCCAACTGGGTCACGAAGTGGGGGCACGGTTCCGGCAGCCGCGGGATACACGTCACGCGGCGGCGGCGGTGGACGCGCAGACGCGCGCCGATCGACGCGGACGACGCGGACGACGTGGACGCGGACGACGACGACAGAGGGAAGCTCGCCGCGGATCCGTCGTCCTGGAGCGGGGTGTTACGCGCGCAGGAACCGGGGCGGCCGCCGGCGGATCCGCTGCCGTTGCCGCTCGGCTGCGGCGGCGCCGCCGCCGGCGGGTCCACCTCGTTGGGCCTCGACGTGCGGATCCCCGGGAGGACGGAGTGGGCGCGGCGCGACCCCGCGGCGTTCGGGAGCGCGTGGCCGATTCCGATCGGGCGGCTCGCGCCGCGCCCGCGCGCGCGCGACGGCGACCCGATCGTCAACGGACACGGGCCCTGGTTAGCCGAGTGCGTCGACGCCGCCGCAAACGCCGCGTCGTCGTCGTCGTCGTCGTCGTCGAATCCCACGACGTTCGTCGTCTTCACCGCGGAGCCCGACCTCGAGGTGAGCTCCATCGCCGGCGTGGACGCGCTTCGGGGCGGCCGCGCGTGGCGGCTCGCCGCGCACGCGCCAGTGACGATCCAGACCGCGCTGCCGTGCGCCTGCGCGTTCGTCCTCCGCGCGCCCGACGCGTCCGCCGTCGCGACGGGCGTCGCGCGTCCGGGCGCGCCGTGTAAGATAACCTCCGCGGATCCGCGCGTGCCGCTCGCGCTAGAGCTCACGCCGCTGATGCCCGACGGATCGCCCGCGGGGACGTGCGCTAGCGCCGTTCCGCTGCGCGGCGGCGGGCCCGTCGCGGAGTTGTGCGTCGGCGGCGGCGGCGGCGGCGACGACGGCGGAACGTTGCGTCTCGCCGTCGCCGTCGACTTCGCGTGCGCGCCGTCCCCGGGCGCGGCGGCGCCGCCGCTCCTCGTGGACGTCCGCGCGCCGTTGATGCTGGCGAACGGGTGTCCATTCAGCGTCCGCGCGGGCGCGCTCGAGGCGGTGAAGAACCGTCCGATCGCGACGACGCGCGTCGACGCCGGCGCGCAGAGGATGCTGCCGACGCCGCAGATGAAAAAGTTTGCGAAAAAATCCGACGGCGGACATCATCGCGACGACGACGACGCGTCGCTGACCGCGCGGCGGACGATCTACATCGCCGCCGCCGCGCACGACGGCTCGGCGTTCGGAAACCCCGCGCGCGTGGAGATCGAGCCCGGGGCGGAGCCGACGCGGGCGCTGATGCACACGCCGTCCGGGCCGGTGCTCGCGCGCGTATCGTCGCAGCCGTGGGCGCCGAAGGGCGCATCCGCCGCGGCGCCGCGGCCGTGCTTGCGCGTCTCGATCGCGCCGTCGCTCTCGATCGTGAACCTGTCGTCGGTCGCGGTCGCGGTGAGCGCGACGGGCGCGACGACGCAGACGTTCGCGCCGGGGCAGGGGCCCTGGCCGGTGCTCCACGCGCCGGAGAGACCCCGCGGGCGCGGCGGCGGCGGCGGCGGCGGCGGCGGCGACGACGACGACGACGTCGAGATCGCGTTCGCGATCGACAACGCGCCGTCGTCGGCGCCGCTGTCCGTCGCGGAGGTCGCCGCGAGCGCGACGGGGATGTGGATATCCCCGCCCGCGCGCGGCGGCGCGGCAGTAACCGCCACGGTCGCGGCGTTACACGTCGCGGCGGAGACGACCGCGGAGGGGTGCCGACTTCTCGTCTTGCGCGGCGGGAGCGCGCCGGAGGAGTGCTCCGCCGCGTCGTTGCGCGTCGCGAACCGAACCTGGCGCGACGTGTCCGTGCGGCAAGTCAGGCGAAAGAACGGCGCGGACGGCGCGGAGGCGTGGGACGCGATCGGACCGTGGCTTCGCGTCAGCGCGGGGTCGTGCACGCCGTGGGCTCTGAGCGATCCGTCCGCGGCGGCGGCGGCGGCGGCGGCGGGCGCGTCCATCTCGACCGCGCCGTCGCGGCGGCGCCGCGAGCGCGAGATCGTCCCCGCCGAGGACGACGTGGAGACGGGCGGGGAGGGCGGAGAAAACGACGAAGACGACGACGACGACGACGACGACGACGGCTACTTTCTCGCCGGGTACGACGGCGACGCCGCCGACGACGCGTCCTCGAGACCAAACTTTGTCGAAGTCTGCGTCGGCGACGTCGACGACGTCCAAAGCGCGCGCGCGCGCGTCTCTCTCCCGTCCGCGAGCGCGTCCGACGCGATGCCGACGGACCCGCTGGATCGCCCCGCGGCGATCGTCCGCGACACGAGCGGCGGCGCGTCCGCGCACGACACGTGGCACAACGTCTACGCCGTCCGCCGCGTCTTCGACGCGGACGCCGGCGCCGGCGCCGGCGTCGCGTCCATCGTCGTCGCGCGTCACGCGGCGTCCGGCGTCGACGCCGGAGAAGCAGAGCGCGCGCTTCTCCCCGCGCCGAAGCGACGGCAGCTCGTGCGCGAGTCTCACGTCGAGATATCGCTCCCCGTCGCGTCGTTATCCGTCGTCGACGGCGCGGACGAGCTGCTGTTGGCGTCGTTGGACGGGTTCGAGCTCGCGTCGCGGTCGGGGCTCGGCCCCGGCGGCGGGTCCGCGGCGATCGAGGTTGCGGTGCGGGGCGTGCAGGTGGACGACCAGTGCCCGAGGGCGGCGTTCCCGGTGATCGCGTACCATAACCCGGCGCACGGCCCGCTGTTGAGGGCGTTCGCGACGACCGCGCCGATCGAAGCCGGCGGCGACGGCGAAGGCGCGGGGAGCGGCGGCGGCAAAGACGCGCGGCACCCGGCGATTTCGGTCAACGTGACGCGGGGCGGCGTACACCTGCGCGTGCACGAACCGTTCCTGTGGCGTCTGTCCGACTTCGCCGCGCGGCTGCGCTCGGAGCGGATGACCGTCGCGAGCGGCGGGAAGAGCGGCGGCGCGGGCGCGGGCGCGGGCGCGGCGGCGGCGGCGACGGCGGCGGCGGCGGACCCCGTCGTCGTCGTCGGCGCGATGCGCATCTCCCCGATTCACGCGAAGATCACGTTCAAACCGTCGCCGGACTCGCGACCGAACGGCGTCGGACCCGCGGTGTCGTCTGTGCTCGCCTTCTTAAACCTCGACCGGCTCCCGATTCACATCGGCGAGTTTCGACGCGCGAGGGAACGCGCGCGGTCGTCTGCGTTATCGAAGCAAGTGTACGGGCACGTCAAGGCTGAGGTGTTGAAGCAGACGCTGCAAGTCCTCGCGAGCGTGAACCACCTCGGAAACGTCGCGGGGACGCTCGATCAGTTCGGGGATAAGATTCGGGACCTGGGCGGCCTCATCGGCGACGACGTCATCGGCGGCGAGTCGCGGCGAGGCCGCGGCGACGACGGCGGCGGCGGCGGCGGCGGCGACACCGATCTCTTCGACGACCTCACCGGCGGCAGAGTCAACGTCGTCACCGGCGCCGCGCGAGGCACGGGCGAGCTCGCGAAGGGCGTCCTCGGCGGCGTCGCGGGCATATTCACGAAAGCCGGGAAGGGGTTCAAGAAGAGCGGCGTGCAAGGCTTCGCGAGAGGCGCGGCGCAGGGCGTCGTCGGACTCGGCACGAACACCGCCGCGGGTGCCGTAAATTTCGTCGCGCGCGTCGTCGAAGGCGTCGACGCGACGATCGGCACGGCGCAGGACACGGTGAAAGGCGGCCAGGACGCGGCCGCGGCGACGCGTCGAAGGCTCCCGCTCGCGGTCAGAGGCGACGGCGTCGTCCGACCGTGGACGCAGCACGACGCGAACGGGCTGCGTTTACTTCGCGTCGCGCGCGCCAAGACGGACGCCATCGGAGGCAAGACGCGGCCGTTCGCGAGCGATCGGTTCGAAGCGTCGCTCGCGATCGCGGACGGCCGCGTGCTCTTGCTCTCGAACGCGCGCGTCGGCGTCGTCGCGGCGGCCGAGGAGAGAGTCGAGTGGGTGTTGACGTGGGCGCAGGTCGCGAGCGTGCGCGTCGGCGAGGGCGGCGATGACGACGGCGGCGCCGTCGTCGCGATTCGAGCGCGCGGCGACGGCGCTCGGGCGATGAGACTCGCGCGGTGCGAGAATAACGCGAGGGCGAGGGAGGTCGTCGCGCGAGTCGGGGACGTGTGGGCCGCCGCGAGGGCGGCGAGCGTCGGCGGCGGGGGGGGAGGAGGAGCGGGTGGGGGGTTCTGACAGAACAGAGGGGTGGCGGGGGACGACGACGACGAAACGTCCAGAGATGAACGAACGAAGTGGTCCACCTTGACAACTTACGAATAGTCACATGTTATTACTCGCGCGCTCGCCACACTCTCCCCCGCCCCGCGTCTCTCGTCGGGTGCGCGATCGCTCGTCACACGGACGCGTACTTGTACCCCCCGTCCGGCCCGACGACGACGGTCTCGTCCTTCGGCTGCTGCTTCGCGTTGACGGTTTCGAAAACCTCGTGAAATTCCACGTGCGATCGCGTGTTTCGGTCTTTGTCCATCGCGTAGCACAGAAACACCGCGTCGACGACGTTCAAAACGACCATGACGAAGAACGACAGCACGACCACGGACACGACGAAGCACACGCCGCCAATCACTTTCGCGTACATCGCGCCGTTCGTCGTCCCGGCGGCGGTGTACGACGCCAACGACAGCAGCCATCCGGCGATTCCAAACGCGCCCGCGACGACAAACGTCGTGAACTGCAAGATCCGCGCCGGGAAGAAATACGTCGCGTACGCGCTGAGAAAGTTGCGCTTCAAGAGATCGGTGACCGACGTCGCGGCGTCGCAGAACGCCTGGCCGGTCATCGCCGCCTGCAACGTCGCGAACTTCGAGAGGTACTCCACGAAGGCGTATATGCACTCGAGGCAAGTGAAGAGTAAGCACGCGAGTATGTTTTGGTTCTCGCGCTTCCGGCGGTTGTTCTCGTTCGCTTGCTTTAAGATCTCGATCATCGTCAACACGAACGAGCCGAACGCGATGGTTCCGAACGACGGTCCCGCGGCGTTCGCGAGGACTTCGCCCACGGCGCCGGCGTTCTTCGTCCCCGCGGGGGCGAAATACCACTGACAAATCACGCCGCCGACGAGGTACACCCTCGTCTCGAGCGCCATGCAGATGACCCAGATCGCGGTGATGGACGCGAGCGAGATGAACGCGATCGCCCAAGCGTCCGTGTTGAAGTCGCAGCAGTCCACCGCGCCGCCGCCGTAGTCCACGCACTTCGAGCCGCTTCGGCTCACGGCGACGGAGGAGACGCCGACGACGCCGTTTTGCTGCGCCGCCGCCATAAAATACGCAGCCGGCAAGAGGTAAAACAACGTCCCGAGCTGCAGCGATATCGTCGCGGTGACGATGTGCGGGTTATCGTTCAAACCTTGCGTCGAGACGGACAGCATCGACGCCACGAGGTTGAGCTCGTCCCTCCAGAGGTAGTAACAAAACGCCGTCAGCGCCGTCAGCGCGGCCAAAAAGAGCGAAAATACCAACGCGCCGGACATTCCGATCGCGACCGCGACGGCGCCGAGAATCGCCACCTTGGCGTACACGACCCCCCACACCATCGCGTGCGCGTGGACGCGGAACGCCCACAGGAGCGCGATGCCGAGCGCGAAGGAGCCGACGAACGCGGCGACGAGCCACGGCCACGCGGTCTCCGCGAATTCGTTCTTGTCAAAGTACTCCGAGTCCGGGCTGTCTGATGAGCTGGCGTCCGCGCCGAGGGACGCGGCGGCGGCGCCGCCGCCGCCGCCCGACGCCGCGGCGGCGTCGCGCGCCGCGTTCGCCGCGAGCGTCGCCGCGAAGTCGTACTGCGGGCCGTCGCACGCCGCCCCGGACGTCATCGCGGTCTCGTCCGGGGCGTCGGTCTGGCCGTGGAACGCCATCGCGCCGCCGACGAAAACCGCGAGGACGGTCAGGCCGAAGATCCAGGACCACAGGCGGTCTTGCTTTTGTCTGCGGCGAGAGGTCGAGGGCGGGGGGCGGGGGGATGGTGAGGAGGGCGGCGAGGGAGAGAGGCGAGGGCGTCGTCCGCGTCGGATTTCCGGAAAAAAAAGAACGCGCCCCGTGGCGAGATCTGGTGAGAAGGACGTACCGCGGGCCGGCGTTGTAGACGCCGTCCGGGAGGGCCGCCGCCTCGATGGGCGCGTAGCCAATCTCGCTGACGCCCATGACGAAAAGACCTGCGGCGAGGTGGACGGCGCGGGCGAACAGTGAGGACCGACGGTGGGTGCCAAAATAATGGTGTGTTTGTTTTTCTCTCGGGTGCCAAATTGCCGTGGGTTCAATTTCACCGCTCCCGTGGGTGGAAATGTCGTCTCTTTTCCTTTTAACGTGTTCGATCAACCCGCGCGTTTGACGCGCATCGCGGGTCGCGGATGACGACGCGCGATCGCGCGAGGACTCGATGTTTTTCTAGCTAGGGTTCGCTCTCCCACGCCCTACCCGTCACAGCCTCGAGCGCGCTCGAGCTCTCCCCACGCACGATGGCGCATACGATGTGCTCGGCGCCGTGCGCGATCGCGCGCGCGCTGCGCCGCCCCGCCGCGAACCGCGCGACGTCCTCGCGACGCGCCGCCGCGACGCGCGCCGCGTCCGCGTCCGACCTGAGGCAAGACGGCGAAGTCTCGAGCGACGCGTCGCGCTTCGCGATGTCCTCCGTCGCGCCCGAGAAGGCGGAGGAGGCGTCGTCGCCCAAGATGAAACCCAGAGCGGAGAAGCTCGGGGACCCGCCCGTGAACGTCGCGGTGCGAACGTCCGGCGGCGAGATGATCGACTGCTTCACCGCCTTGGAGCGCAACCGCGTCATCTTCATCGGCGATCGCATCGACGAAGACGTCGCGACGTCGGTGTGCGCGAAATTGCTCGCGCTGCAGTACGACGCCCCGGACAAGGACATCACGATCTTCCTGAACTGCACCGCGGGGACGCAGTACTGCGTGACGACGATCCTGGACATGATGGACTACGTCTCGAACGACATCAGCGTCGTCGCGATGGGGTGCGTCGCGGGTCCGCCCGCGATGCTGCTGGCGGGGGCGACTAAAGGGAAGCGCTTGGCGCTGCCGTCGGCGCGCATAATCCTGTCGCAGCCCCTCGGCGGCCTCTCGGGGACGTCGTACGAGGTGAAAATTCAGGCGAAGGAGCTCTCGAGGAACGCGCGGTCGCAGGTGGCGTTCTTCGCGAAGTTCACCGGGAAGAGTTTCGAAGACATGGGCGAGTACTTGGTGCGAGACACGTACATGTCGCCGAAGGAGGCGATGGAGATTAATCTCATCGACGGCGAGATCGGCGTCGACGCGAAGATCGGCGGGATCGCCGCGGGCGCGTGATCGACGACGTGCGACGCACGTTTGCCGTGATTCGATTATTTTCCACGGGGCGGCGTGGACGGGGGCGAGCGAGCGACGAACGGAGGAGTGAGTTAACCTTGGAAGCGCTTCGCCATTGTAAGAAAATACTACGCGTGATGACTCGACTCGACGCGACTCGACTCGAGAAACCTTAATAAGAAACCTTCAAAACGCGAGAGGCGGCGGGCGTCACGCGTTGAGGTCGAGAGCGGGAGGTCTGTCCATGATCCTGACCGCGAGCGGCGCGGGGAGCGACTCCCCGCGGACGTTCGCGCGCGCGATCGTCTCCGCCGCGGCTCTGCGCGCCGCCTCGACGAGCGCCAAATCCGTCTCCACTCTCGCGAGACACAGCGTGTCCTTGTGGCCGCTCTGCCGCGTCCCCGTCAAGTCCCCGGGGCCGCGGTTCCGTAAATCGCTCTCCGCGACTTTAAACCCGTTGTTGCTCTGCTCCAAAACTTTCATGCGCTGCTGCGCCGGGTACCCGGCCTCGTCGCCGAGGAGAAGGAAGCACGACGACGCGGTCTTCCCGCGGCCGACTCTGCCTCTCATCTGATGCAACTGAGCGACGCCGAAACGGTCCGCGTCTTCGATGATGATCAGAGACGCGTTCGGGACGTCCACGCCGACTTCGATGACGGTCGTCGCGACTAAGACTTGCGTCTTACCGTCCTTGAAGTCCTTCAACGCCGTGGCTTTCTCGTCGCTGCTTTGCTTCCCGTGAAGAATCCCAAACGTCACCTCGGGGTATTTTTCCACGAGCCTCTTGTGCTCCTCCTCCGCGGACTTGAACCGCTCCATCCTCTCCGCCTTGCTCTCCTCCACGAGCGGCAAGATGATGTAACACTGCGAGCCCGACTTCACGGCGTCGACCATGTACTTATCGTACGCGATGTGGTGGTCTTTGCTCATGAGGATCTTCGTGAATATCGGCAGACGACCCGCGGGCTTCTCGTCGATGCAAGAGATGGCCATCTCTCCGTGTTCGCACATCGCGAGCGTCCGCGGAATCGGCGTCGCGGTCATCGTGAGCATGTGCGGCATCTGCCGCCACTCCACAATCCCGTCCTTCGACCGCTCGGGTTCCGGTGCCGCCGCGGCGGCGGCGGATTTTTTGCCCGTCTTCTTCTTCTTCTCCTTCTCTTCGCCTGAGAGCCGTTCCATACAAAAAAAGTTCACCGGTCAGTTGAAATGGGACGCGATCAAGTGTTGAAACCGGGCGATGGGTGAAAGCGTTTGTATAGAACGCACCTGAGTCGTCGACGCCGCCGACTTCTTCCCACAGCGACCGATCCTCCGCGTCGGCGTCCATTGGCTTCGCGGGCTTCGCGGGCTTCGCGGGCTTCGCGTCCTCGAACAGATGCCCGACGACGGGCCCTTTCTGCAGGAGCATCGCTCTCTGATCCACGCCAAACTTGTGCTGTTCGTCCACCACGGCGAGCCCCAAGGACTTGAACTTCACGGCGTCGTGAACGAGCGCGTGCGTGCCGATGACGATGTCCGCGGCGCCGCTCTCGATGTCCGCGAGCGCGGCGTCCCTCGCCCTCTTCGGCGTGCTGCCGGTCAACAAGACGATCTTCGGGGGCTTCGCGAGCCGAGAGAAGATCTCCGCGAACGTCCGCTCGTGCTGCGTCGCGAGAACCTCCGTCGGCGCCATGAACGCGCCCTGGTGCCCGTTGCCGACGGCGGCGAGAATCGCGAGCGCGGCGACGACGGTTTTCCCGCACCCGACGTCGCCTTGCAACATCCGCAGCATCGGGCTCGTGCCCGCCATGTCGTGTAAGATCTCCTCCATCGCTTGCTCTTGACCGCCGGTCAGAGAGAAGTCCAGGACGCTTCGGAGCTCGTCGCAGAGCCGCGTGGACACGATGGATAACCCCTCGCCGCCGCTCTTTTGCGCTTCGACCCGCTTGAGCAACAGCTCCGTCTGTAGCTCCAACAGCTCCTCGAACGCGATCCTCTCGCGCGCCGCCGCGACCATCTCCACCGACTCGCCCCTGTGTATGTGCGTCATCGCCTCGAGGTGCGACACGAGCTTCAGCTCGGGAAGCACCGTGGACTCGACCCCGAGCGCGACGGTCAAGGGATCCGCGGGGAGATTCGCTCTCAGCGCGGCGACGGCGGCTTTTTGAATCTCCCTCCACTTCAGCGGCTCCAAGTCGTGCTTCTTCGGGTACTTCGAGTACACCTCCACGGTCGCGTGCGGGGGCACGTCCATCGCGAGGGATGGGCTGTCGAGCGTGAGGTACTGCTTCGCGTTCTTTCCGCTGAAGACGCCGCGGACGCACGCGTACGCGCCGGGGACGAGCATTCGTTCTGATTCCTGCGGGACGTACGCCCAGAGCGGCGCTTCAAACGTCGCGACGCCGCCGACGCCGTCCTCGGTTTCGATCGCGAGCGTCGCGGGCTGTTTGTATCCCCCCCACCGACCCCCCGCGTTCCCTTTCAGGTAGCTCACGACCGTGCCTTGCACTAAGACGGACGTCCCCAGCTCCATGTCGCCGCGCCAGCGGGCGTACTCTTGGTACTTTCGTGGGTAACACCTCAGGACTTGTTGCACGGTGGTCACGCCTGCTTTCTTCAACACGTTGACCATCTGCGTCGACGCGCCGTGATTCTTCAGCTCGTCGATCGGGATACCCTCCCACGCCGCGTGATCCTGACGCAGCCTCGCGTGGTGCGCCGCGAGCTCGCGGTCGATCGCGGCGCCGTCGTCGGAGACGGACGAGACGCCATCCGTCCTCGGCGCGTTCGACGCCGCCTCGCCCGCTTCCACCATTCTCGCGAACTCCATCGTCTCCGGGACGAATCCGGTGATCGGGTCCGCGGCGAGCCAGAACGGCTTCCTCGCCGGTCGCGCGCGCGCGGCGTCGTCCTTCGCCGCCGCCATGGCGGGTGGTTTCTTGCTCTCGAACGCGTCGTCGTCGTCGCCGCCGTCGACGTGCGCCTCGAGCTCGTCCAGCTCCTGCGCGACCGCGGACGCGCGCGCCACGTCCGACCCGTCCGCGGTCGCGATCGGCGACGTCCCGACCATGTTGTTCGTCGACGGCCACGCGACGTGCGCCTTCGCCGCGGCAGCCGCAGCCGCCGCCGCAGCCTCGGAGGATTTCCGCCGCAAGTTGTTTTTTCCCGTGTCGCCCAACGAAAACGAGTGCGACGCCAGCATTCGCGCGGCGGCGCCGAGCTCGCCACCGCCGTCGACGCCGCTCACGCTCGTCCCCGCGGTGGCGTCGAAGCTCACGCCGAGCATCGCCTCGACGATCTCGCCGAGGACGCGCGCGTCCGCGCCAGCCCTGTGCGCGGTCTCGCCGTCGACGGGTTTCACGTCGTATCGCGTCGCGAGCGCCTCCATCTTGTGCGAGCCAAACACCTCCGTTTTCGGCACCAGCTTCCGCGCGATCGGGAGCGTGTCCACGAACCGCCAGTCGTCCGGAAACTCCCGCTGAATTCTGTCGTACTCCGCCTTGAGGAACCCGGCGTCGAACTGACGCGCGTTGTGCGCGGCGAGGATGACGCTCGCGCCGCCGCCTATGTCGGGGTGGAGTTCAAAGGCGTCAGGTGGCGTTGAAAGGCGTCGAGGGCGGGGATTGAAAGCGGGGGGTGGGCGGAGAGATGCGCCGGCAAAAGTCCTTAAGGATCGGCGTTCACCACGCCGACGCGGTCGTATGGGGACCAGTGTATAGAACGCACCTCGTCGACGCGCCTCGTCGACAAACTCTTCCAGAAGCTCCGCCGCGCGGACGAATGACGGCACCCCGGGGTTCGAGACCATCGCGTTCGTGATCCCGGTCAGCCGCGTGATTTGCCCCGTCAGGTACGTCCTTCCCGGGTTCACGAGCGTCGACATCGGCGCGTGCGTCTTGTCGTTGAGGTCGTACGCCGCGATCTCGATTATGCGGTCCTTAAGCTTGGCCAAGCCAGTCGTCTCGAGGTCGAACACGATGACGATCGGGACTTCCATCGTCGCGGCCGCGACGGGAGGCGGCGGCGAGAGCGGCGAGAGCGGCGCGGCGCGCTTCGCGCGCGCTTCCTCGAGCCTCGACGTGAGCGGGGAGACCGCCGCGTTCGCGTCCGCGTTCTTCGCGTCCGATTCCGCCTCCGCGGAGGAGGAGGACGCGCCCCACTTCGATTTGTAGACGCCGCTCGTGGGCTGCTCCCGCGCGCGGCGCTGCGCCGCGCTGTCCGCGCGCTGAGTCCTCGCGACGTCCGCCGCGGGCGGCGGCGTGGACGCTCTGGGGGGGCGCCACGGCGCCGGCGCCGGCGTCGCCGTCGCCGTCGCCGTCGGCGGCGGAACGATCGTCGTCGTTGTTGACAGCTCGCCCGCGCGCTCCGCGTGGACCAACGCGGACCCGAGCCTTCTGAGCAGCGCGTCGCGCGCGCGCCCGTCCATGCGGCCGTACGTCGCCGCCTCCGCGTGGATCGCGCTCAGCGCGCCGCAGAGCTGCGGCGACAGCGCGTCGCTCTGCTGCGCGAGCCGCGCGAGGTGCTCGCACAGGAAGTGCTCGAAGTCGACGAACGCGCGCCCCGGGGAGTTGGGGCATCCTTTGGCGATCTCGTAGTCCAGCCCCGATCGAAGCTTGCTCGTGACCGCGCTCGCGTCCGAGGTGGTCGCGCGCGCCGCCGCGGCGTTCGCGGCGAGCCCGCGCGGGGACGGTGCCCCGGCGGGCGGCGGTCCCGCGACCGCGCCCGTCGCGCGCGACGACGCGCGACGTCCGAGCGATCGGTCGCTCGCGCCGCGACGACGGTGAAGCGACGGGCCGTCCGCGACGCGCGCGCCGCGTTTGAGCGCGTCGAGGCCGAGCCGCGAGCCGCGGCGCGCGAGGTGATGCATCGTGCTCGGCGATGGGGTCGTGTGGCTGGACATCTACGCCTCCATGCCTCGCCGCGCGCTGCGCGTGTGCCGTCGTTCGCCGCGATATTTTGAAGTAGTTTTGAGGTGTTTTGGCACTGTTTTGACCTGTTTTGGCGCGCTGGAGGACTGTCGGAGAGTACGAGTACGGCAGTTCGCGTACTCTCTGACTCCATTCGCATACGAAATCGTAGTCTGTGGCTCCAGTCGCGATCTGCACCGTGTTTTGGCTAAGATGCGGCGTCGCGACACCCGCACACGGCATACCCGCACCGCCCTCGCCGCACGCACACCACCCAAGCGCGTTCTACAACCATGGCGACGATGACTTCCGCGGCGCTCGCGCCGGTCACGCGCAAGTCCGCCCCTCGCCGCGTCGGGTGCGTGCGTCTCCTCCCTCTCCGTCGCGCCGCGCCGGGTTCGCGTCCGTCCGAGATAAATCAATCAAATCAATCCGTGATCGATCCGCCACCGCTCGCTCGCGCCGTCGCTCACCGCGCCGCGCACCGCATCGCACCTCTCCCTCTGGGTCCCATCCGCAGGCCGAGTAAGTCCCGCGCGATGCCGCGCGTCGCCGTCGTCGCCGCGGCGACGAAGACCGCAGACCTGAAGCCGAAGAACGCGTTCTTCTTCCCCGGTCAGGGCGCGCAGTCCGTCGGCATGGCGAAGGAGCTCTGCGAGGAGTGCCCCGCGGCGAAGAAGCTCTTCGACGACGCGTCCGCGATCCTCGGATACGACCTCCTCGACGTCTGCGTCAACGGACCCGCGGATAAGCTCAACTCCACGGAGGTGTCCCAGCCCGCCATCTACGTCGCGTCGCTCGCGGCGCTGGAGAAGATGAAGTCCACCGAGGAGGGCGCCGCGCTCATCGACGCCGTCGACGTCTGCGCCGGTTTGTCGCTCGGCGAATACACCGCGCTCACGTTCGCGGGCGCGATGTCGTTCGAGGACGGCGTGAAGCTCGTGAAGCTGCGCGGGGAGTCGATGCAGGCTGCCGCGGACGCGACGCCGTCCGGGATGGCGTCCGTGATTGGACTCAGCGCGGATAAAGTGAAGGAGGTGTGCGCGGCCGCGTCGGAGCAAACCGGCGGCGAGCCCGTCGAGGTGGCCAACTTTTTGTGCAACGGCAACTACGCCGTCTCCGGCTCGATCCCCGCGATCGATAAGGTGGCGGAGATCGCGAAGCCGGAGTTCAAGGCGAGGATGGTCGTCAAGCTCGCGGTCGCGGGCGCGTTCCATACCGACTTCATGGCGCCCGCCGCGGAGGCGCTCGCGAAGGGGCTCGAGGCGTGCGATTTCGTCGAGCCGCGCATTCCCGTGGTCTCCAACGTGGACGTCGAGCCGCACGGGGACGCGGCGTCGATACGCGCGACGCTCGCGAAGCAGCTCACGTCGCCCGTGCAGTGGGAGAAGACGATGACGACGCTGCTCGGCGCGGGGATGGAGGCGTCCACGGAGGTTGGCCCGGGGAAGGTCATCTCGGGGATCATGAAGCGCGTGGACAAGACCGCGAAGTGCGACAACTTCACGGTGTGATGAGCGCGAGACGCGAGATGCTGTGTACCCCGAGTAACGTAACGGCTGGTAATTTGGCGTTACATTAATATCGAATATATTTTTTCACACGTCGTCGTACACCACGGGCGCGGAGGCGTCGCCCATGGCCGCCTCCGCCGGCGCGGCGGCCGCTTCGCCGCCGCCGCCCGCCGCCGCCGCCGCCGCCGCCGCCCTCGACGCCGCGAGCTTCTTCCTCAAGTCCGTCTCCGGGAGCTCTTCGAGGCTCGGCGGCGGTTTCGGGTCCGCCATCGCGGCCAAGAACGGGTTCGACGGGTCCGGCATCACGCGCGTCGCCGCCGCGGCTTTCGTCGCGGCCGCGAACATCCCGACGGCGGCTTTTCCCTCCGTCGCCGCCGCGCCGCCGCCGTCCATCGTCATCGCGTCGCCGCCCCCCGCGTTCTCCCCACCCCCGTTCGCGGCTCCGTCCATCGCCGCGTCGTCGTCGCCGCCGCCGCCGCCCTCGGCGTCTTTCTTCGCCTTGATGCGCGCGCGGAGGTCGCTCACGCCGCCGTCGTCGTCGTCGTCGTCGAACCCTCGCATCCCGCCGCGGCGGGAGCTCCCGCGGCCGCGTCGGCGTTTCCCGCCGCTGTCGCCGCCGCCTCCGCCGCCGTACGGATGATGCCGCTCGCGATCGCCGCCGCCGCCGCCGCGTCGTCGCTTCCCGCCGCTCCTCCTTCGCTCGCCGTCCTTCATCCACAGCTGCCGCGACTTGATCCGCCCGTCCGGCTTGACGTCCGCCTCCGTCGCCAGCCGAAACGACAGCGCCAACGTCTTCCCGTCCTTGTGAAACTCCGGCCCGGAGTGCCACAGCATCTCCGCGATCGTCCCCTCCGGCAGCGCCCCGCGCTCGTCCGGGTTCGCGCCCGCGCCCATGGCGACCCCCTTCATTCGAATCGCCCGCCGCGCGGTGTGCTCGTCGTCGAAGCACACGTTACACGACGAGTCGTTGATCCACTCCACGAACACCGGTCCGTACTCGCCGAAGTAGTTCATGCACTCCTGCGTCGTCATGTGATCGACGCCGTACAGGTGCACCGCGTCCGCGCGCCACTGCGCGTCGAGGTCGGGGTCCACGCGCGTCTCGAACACGTCCTGCGGGTCGCCGCCGCTGACGTTGAGAGAGAGATCGCCCGCGGCGGCGACTGCGGCGTAGGCGGCCGATCGCTTCGCGCGCTCAACGCGCTCCTCCGCCTCGCGCTGACGGATCGCCACCTGCTCGGGGGTCAGCCCGAGCTGATCGCCGAACTTGGCCGCGCGCGCGGCGCGCTTCGCCTCCTCCGCCGGGTCGAACATGTCGAACCCGGTCACGAGCGCGCCGCCTCCTCGCCGATGCTGCGACTTCTTGATCGCCTCCGCCTTGCGCATCGCGAGCACCTCCTTCCGGCTCATTCCGAGCCCGCGCGCGAGGGCCTCGCCCTTGGGCTCCACGTACTCGCTCCCGAAGCGCTCCGCGCGCTTCCTCGCCTTGTCCGCCTCGATCTCGAGCACGGTCGCGTTGCGTCCCGACGCCTCGTGCGCTTCCTCCACCTCTTCGCCCCAATTCGCGGAGCCTCCGCCGAACGGCGGGGCGAGCGGCGCGTCCGCGGGCGCGGGCGCGGCGTCGCCCATCTCCATGTCCACGTCTCCCATGACGGCGGTCGCGGGAGGGATTTCTCGTCTCGTCGTCGAGGTTCGTGCGGCGGCGCGCGAGGGTGTGCGATCGGCGGCGGCGGCCGATCGATCGTCGTCGCTTGGTGGACGCGCGGCGCGGCGGGAAAACGACGACGCCGACCGCGCCGCGCGACCGCCGCGCCGCGATCGCCAAAAGTCTGGCCTCGTCCGTCGGCGACGCCCGCGCCGCGTCGCCCGTCGTCGCTCAGAGCGGACTCGCGCGCGAACGGCGTCGCGTCGCGTCGCGTCGTCGTCGCGATGGCGGCGCTCTTCACGCTTCGCGTGACGCTCCCCGACGGCGTCGAGCGCGCGGCGTCGACGCTCGCGCCGCGCGACGACGAGATCCCCGGCGAGAAGAAGACGGACGACGACGACGAGACGACGATGGCGTTCACCGCGGGGAATCCGCGCGCGGAGCGCATCTCCGGTCGCATGCGCCTCTTCCGCGACACCTCATCCGCCTCATCCTCCTCCTCCTCCTCCTCCGCGTCCTCCTCCGCGCTGCCGGAGGGAAGGAACGAGATGGCGTGCGTCCTCGCCGTCCCCGCGACGCTGTCGATATCGGACTTTTGTCAATTCATCGCCGCGCTCGTGAACGAGGTGGTCGAGATGCGCGTGGTCGTCGCCGCGGACGCGCGTCAAGACGGAACGTCGACCGACGCCCGCGAGGAAGGAGAGGAGGCGAACGCGCAGACGAAGGCGTCGAGGGAGTCGTCGTCGAGCGCGCCGTCCGCGGCGGCGGCGGCGGCGGCGTCGTACGCGGTCGTCCTGCGCTTCGCGAGCCAAGACGCCGCGGACGCCTTCTACGTCAACTACGACAACCGAAAGTTTTCGTCGCTCGTCGACGGCACGTGCCGCGTGCTCTTCGTGAAGACGATCGAATTGGTGCAGACGAACGCCAAGGCGCGCGCACCGAGCGACTCGACGGAGCTGCCGTCGTGCCCGGTCTGCCTCGACAGGCTCGACCAGGACGTCAGCGGCGTCGTCACCACGGTGTGCTCTCACGCGTTCCACGCGACGTGTCTGTCGCACTGGCGAGACGCGTCGTGTCCGGTGTGTCGCTACACCGCGAACCCCGCGGAGGCGCCGACGTGTCAGCACCCGGGTTGCGGGAGCACGGAGAATCTCTGGGCGTGCCTCGTGTGCGGGTACGTCGGGTGCGGGAGGTACGGGAACGCGCACGCGGTGGATCACTGGAAGAAGACGGAGCACTGTTACTCGTTGGAGCTCGGCACGCAACGCGTGTGGGATTACGTCAGGGACGGGTTCGTGCATCGGTTGATACAGAGCAAGACCGGGCTCGTGGAGTTATCGCCGGGCGGGCGCGGCGGGGGGAGAGCGCGAGGAGCGCGAGGGTCGGTCGTCGCGGGCGGCGGCGCGGGGGTCGCACCGGGGGGAGAGGGAGAGATCGTGCCCGGGAGTCCCGCGCGGCGCCGGGGGGATTTTTCGCGCGACGACGACGACGACGGCGACGATTTCGACGCGTCGGCGTCGGCGTCGTGCCGCCCGCATCGCCCGCGCCCGTCGTCCCTCCTCGACGACGGCCTCGACGAATACGACGCGGACTACCCCCTCGACGAAGGCTTAGAGGAAGCGCTCGTGTCGTCCAAGCTCGACGCGATTCACTCGGAGTACAACCAACTCCTGACGTCGCAGTTGGACGGCCAACGGCGGTACTTCGAAGACATCATCGCCGCGGAGAAGGCGGAGAAGGACGGTCTCCACGACGCCGCGGCGAAGGCGACGGCGCAGGCGAGTATCATCGCCGGCGCGGTGAAGGACGCGCGCGACGCGCGAGAGAAGACCAAGGAGCTGAACCAAAAGATCGACGCGCACCTGGGGACGATCTCGGCGTTGAGAAAAGAATGCGGCGTCCTGCAATCGCTCAACGAGACGCTGCTCGCGAACCACGGCGAGCTCAAGACGCGGCTGACCGACGCGGAGGACGCGGCGAAGGCGCGCGAGCGCGTCGACGCGGAGAAGATTCGCGACCTCGAGGAGCAAGTGCGCGACCTGATGGTGTTCTTGGACGCGCGAGGGAAGATCTCGGCGAACGAGATCACGGCGACGGGCGGCGCGGGCGCGGGGGGCGACACGATCGAGGGCGGGTCCGTGCTGGGCGTCGGCGACGCGCCGCCGCCGCCGAGCCGCGACGCCGCGCACGCGCGGCTGCAGAGTAAGCTCGCGAGTCGACGGAAGCGATGAACGCACGCGAGCGCGGTGGGATGGATTAGTACAGGTACAGTAGGTTGATGTGGTGATACAAACGGCGGCGCCCGACCGGGCGGGCGGAAAACTAAACTACTAAAACGTTGCGAACGGAAAGCGACGCGGATGCCTCCGCGCCGGGTACTCGTACATCGCGCGGCGGGCGCGGCTTCTCTTCTCCTCTCCTCTCTTCTCAGCACGCGGAGATGCTCAGCACGGGCTGGCACCTCGCGACGTGCGCGGTCGTCATCGCGGCGAGGCACACCTTCGGCCACGCGGGGGCGACCTCGAGATCCAGATCGAGATCCGCCGCCGCCGCCGTCGCCGCGCCGCGCGCGTCGAACGCGTCGCCCTCCGCGAGGTCCTCGCCGTCGCGTGCGCCCGCGGCGACGCCGACGCGCACGGCGATCTCGACCGCGTGCTGCGCGCACGCGCCGAAAGCGACGCCGCACAGCGCCTGCCACGCGAACATCACGCTGAAGTCGTCGAACGCGCCGGAGCCGCCGTAGCTTCCGCCGCCCCAATCGCCGCCGCCGCCGCCGCCGCCGCCGCCGTTTTTAAATCCCCCGTCGCCGCCGTCGCCGTCGCCGGGCCGCCAGTCGTCGCCGCCGTCGCCTCCCGCGCCGTCGCCGGCGTCGTACCTCCCGCCGCCGCCGCCGACGTCGCCGTCGTCTGGAGTCTCGTCCCCCCCTCCCCCGCCGCCGCCCTTCCGCCGTCGGCACTTCCCGCGCTTCGTCGGCGCCGCCGCGAGCTCCGTCGCCGTGAAGTCCCAGACGCGCGAGAGCGTCGGCGGCTTGACCGTCGTCGTCGGCGGCGGCGCCGCGGACGCGCGCGCGGGCGACGGCGAGGCGCACGCCGCGACCGCGGCCGCGGCCGCGCACGTCAGGACCGTCGTCGCGCCGAGCTTCTTCGTCGTCGTCGCGCGTTTTCCCGCGCGCTTGAGCGCCTGCGAGAGGGATCGGAGGGTGGGCAGAGGGGAAAAGGTCAGCGATGACGTCGTTTCCCGCGGAATTATAATATCCAGGTGGCGGGGGCGCGGGGGATGGGGGGGGGGCGACCGCGCGCGCGTCGAGATGTCGCACCTTGCCGCCGCCGCGAACGATGTCGGTGACGCCGATGCTCAACCCCGTCGCGAGCGCGTTCACGCCGAGCTGCGACGGCATCGCGGACCGCGCGTGTCCGTCCTTTCGCCGCGCGCGAAGATCTGGCAAAAGTCAAACGACGCTCCGCGGTGTCGTTTGAATACCGACGCGCCGCGACGACGCTTCCGCTCGCGTCCGCGCGCTCGCGCGTCTGCCCCCGAGTCCGATCGCGCGTCGAGTCTGAACGCGACGTGCCTCCGCGCGCGCGTGCGAGCCGTGCGCCTTCCCCGGGCGCGCGCGAGCGACTGCGCGTCGGTCGATGCTCTTTTTTGCAAAGGAGCGTGATGACGGGTCGCCACTGCGTTCGCGTGATTGGTCCGCACGGCCACTTGGTCGCGCGGCAACGGATCTCTTCCACCGATATTTTCGCGTTTTCCTGACCGCGGCGCATACGAGTGTATCGCTGCGTTCGACCGCGCATTTCGCGCCATAAATCGCAATTCCAAAAAATTACGAAGGTAATTGTCACAAGGTAAAAGGCCGCGTTCGAAGACGACTAGCTAGTAGCGCGCCGCCGGCTCTCTCGCTCGCTTCACACCATGCTGTCCCCTCCGCCGCGCCCCCCACCCCCGATCAACCCCTCCATCTCCGACTTATTCATCGCCCACCGCGCCTGCGTCTTCTCCTCGTCGTTCCGCTGCGCGCAGAACCCCGCGAGGTTCTTGAGCTTGCTCCCGCGGTCGAACGGGTTGCGAAACTTCCCGTGCTCGTCCCGCAAATACGCGTACCGGTGCGCGTTCGCGAGCTCGTTCGTCGTGATGTTCTCCATCGCCTGATGCGTCTGCGCCGCGGCGAGGCCGAGCACGGGGAGTAAGACGCACGCGTCCCAGATGAGGAAGATGACGATCCACGCGTGCGTCCACCACGCCATCGGAGGACCGACAGCGTTGAGTCGGCCGAGCGCGACGCAAAACGAGATGGCCATAGCCGCGTTCTCGAGGCACAGGAAGATCAGAAAGTCTCTGTGATTCTTCTTCCCGATGACGTTCCCCATCCACGGACAGTAGTGATCGAACCGGTACACGCACCGGTTCGTCGTCGAGCAGTGCTTCACGCCCCACGGCTTGACGATCTTACACGTCGTGCACAGCGCGCTCCAGTTGCCCGCTTTCAGCTCCGGGTGATGCAACCGCCGCGTCTCCGGGGTCAGCTCCGCTCTCGAGCCGTCCTCGCGCCAGCCCCCGCTCGCGTCGAGCTCGCGCATCATCCCCGCGGGTACGTGCCCGATCTTCACGAACCCCGGGTCGCAGTACGACACCTTGTACATGACGTATAAACCGTACGACGCGAGCGCGATCACGCAGAGCGACCAAAAATACGGCGCGCCCGTCAGCGGCGGCAACCCCGGGGCTAACATCACCCGCGTCGCGAACGTCAGCACCAACCCCACGATGAGCGCGAAGCACGCGACAGCCATGCCCTTCTCGCGCCAGAACTTCCCCTTCTTGTTCGTCAGCCTGCTCCGCGTCTTCGCGAGGAACCCGCCGAGCCCCGCGTGCCCTTTATCCGTCGCCAGCTGCGGCGGCGTGTTGCCGTCGGCGTCCGTCGCGCTCAGCACCGCGACGCCGCCCGCCTGCGCGAGCGTGTGCGCCGCCTCCGCCTTGCCGCGGATCGCCGCCCAGTGCAGCGGCGTGCACCCCTCCGAGTCTTGCTTCATGACGTCCGCCTCGCAGAAGAGCAGGAGCTTCACCGCGTCGGGGAAGCCTTTAGGGTCGAGGGTGCATACAAAGCGAGACATGTCGGGGTGGAGTTCAAAGGCGTCAGTTGGCGTTCAAAGGCGTCGAGGTGTGTCGGGATTGAAAGCGAGGGACCCTGGGCGGAGAGAGAGGACGGCGAAAGTCCTTAAGGATCGGCGTTCACCACGGCGACGGGGACGTATGGGGACCAGTGTGAAGGAGAACGCGCCTTTATACGCGGCCCAGTGCAGCGGCGTCCGCCCGTCTCCGTCCGCCGCATCCACGTCCGCGTCCCACCGCGTCTTGAAGTGGTAGATCATGCCGGTGTGGCCGTACTGCGCGGCGACGTGCGTGGGCGTGTACCCGCGGCTGTCGAGGATATCGAGGCGCGCGCCGTTGCGAAGGAGGCACTCCGCCGTGGGGAGAGAGCCTCGGACGCACGCCCAGTGCATCGCCGTCTGCGACTCGCCGTCCGTCGCGTTCACCGCGGCGCCCTTCTCGATGAGAAACGCCGCCGCGGCGACGCGGTTGTTCAGCGCCGCCCATTGCAGCGGGACGAACCTGAGGAGAGAGAGGGATGGGGGGAGGGGCGCGTCAGATCGCGAGGAGGGAGAAGACGGAGTGTTTCAGATCGATTAGCGGAGAGAGAGGACGGCGAAAGTCCTTAAGGATCGGCGTTCACCACGGCGACGGGGTCGTATGGGGACCAGTGTATGAAGGCGCGGTTTCGCGATCGGTCGATCGGTCGGTCGATCGCCGCGCGGAGGGGAGCGCGCGCGGGGGCGCACCCGGTCTTGTCCGGAGCGTTGACGAGCGTCGGATCCTCCGCGACGTACTGCCGCAGCTTCGCCATGTCCCCGTACGCGCACGCTTTCCACACGTCGTCCACGACCGTGCCGTCCGGGAGGGCCGCCATCGTGACGATCTAATCTAGCCAGAAAAAGCCGCGGCGCGACGACGACGACCGGGCGCGATTCGCGAAACGTCGGACGCGCGAGATCGACGCGCGATCGCGGGCTCTCGACGGCGGATCGCGCGTTCGAGCGCGCGAACGTCGCGCGCGAGAGGAGTGGAAGGCGCGGGCGCGAAGCGCGACGACCGCGACGCGGGAACGGGACGCGCCGGCGCGTGTGTTCGCGTCACCAGAGGCGTGTGCCCTTCATCAGGCCGCGCGCCGAAGCGCGGTCGGTCGGTCGCGGCTCGGGGTTTCGCGAGACAGGAAGAGAGGGCATCGGTGGGTGAGGCGCGCCGTCTCATCACACCCGCGGCCGCAGCCGACAGGCTCGCTCCACGACCGCGAGAACGATGCCGTCGCACGCCGTCGCCGTCGCCGCCGCGCGCGCGCTTCACCGCGCCGCACCGCCGAGCGCGTCGACCGCGCGGCGCGTCGCCGCGCCGTCCGGCGGGGCGACCCCGCGCCGCTCTCGAACCCTCCCTCCCGTCGCGCCGCCGCGCGCGTCGTCGTCGTCCTCCTCCTCCTCCACCGCCGCCGCGGTGGACGCGGAGACCGTGCACGCGATACGCTCCGGCCCGCCGGACGACGGCACCGCGATCGTCCCTCTCCGCGCGTGGCTCGAAGCGCGCGACGGCGACCCCGCGGTCGCGAGCGTGTACGCAATCTACGGCGCCGACGACGTCATGCGATACGTCGGATACGCCAAGGACGCGTCGCGCGCGGTGCGCTCGCACCTGGAGCGTCAGGGCGACGACGCCGCGAGCAAGGTGCGCGTCGCCGCGTTCGCGAACAAGGCGACGGCGACGCGCGCGAACCTGCGCGCGGAGCAAGATCGGTGGATCGGCGAGTGGGTCGTCTCGCGCGGCGGCGCGGAGACGGAGATACCCGTCGGGAACCAAGCCGCGGGCGCCGCGAGGTGGACGCTGACGCCCGCGGAGAGCTGGGAGAACGAGGAGAAGCCGGCGCCGGCGGAAGCGAAGGCCAACGAGGCCGGGACGCCGTCCGTGGGCGCGGACGGCGAGGTCATCAGCCCGTACGCGGCGGAGGCGGCGGGCGCCGACGCGGAGGAGGAGGAGGCGCTCGATCCGAACCGTGAGCTTCTGCCGCTCACCGTGGAGAACGTGGACAAAGCGCTGGACGAAGTCCGGCCGTACCTCATCGCGGACGGCGGGAACGTGGCCGTCGTCGGGATCGAGGACGGCGTCGTCGCCGTGCGAATGTCCGGCGCGTGCGGATCGTGCTCGTCGTCGACGGCGACGCTGAAGGGGGGCATCGAGAAGACGCTTCGACGAGTCTTCGGCGGAGAGAACGTGAAGGAGGTGGTGAACTTGGACAGCGACGAGCCCGGGAGCGCGCTGACGCTGTCGAAGGAGGCGGTGGAGGCGCACCTGGAGAAGCTCGCGGGGGCGATTCACAACTACGGCGGGAGCGTGAAGCTGTTGGAGGTGATCGAGTCAGAGAGAGCGTTGGTGTTGGAGTTTTCGGGGCCGGTGGCGTTGGCGCAGTCCATCGCGTCGTCCATCAAGGGGAAGTTCCCCCTCGTCGCGGAGTGCAAGATCAAGCAGGTGTGACGACGGTCGGACGGTCGGTCGGTCGTCGTTGCACTGCAACACTAGCTAGTGTCTAGCTTAAGTACGAAGGTAATTTAAGACCCCGACGGAGTCGAATATATGCTCTACATACTGCTAACTGCGCTCGGAAAAGTCGTTCCGACCTCCTCTCATCCGTTCACCTCCCGGAGTCGCCCCCAGTCGTCCCCGACGCTGACGCGCACGGGCAGCGGCACCTTCATGTCGTGCACCTCGCGCGCGCGCTCCATCACGCCTCTGATGGCGCGCACCGCGACGTCAACCTTGCGCTCGTCCACCTCAAACAGAAGCTCGTCGTGCACCTGTAACACCATCTCGCACGCGTCCACTTCTCGCAACGGCGCCCACTCGTCGTCGTCGTCGGCGCCGCCGCCGCTCGTGAGCTTCGCGTGCAGCTCGATCATGACCCGCTTCACGATGTCCGCCGCGGAGCCTTGGCACGCGGTGTTTATCGCCTTGCGCTCGTCCGCGGCTCGGATTTCCCCGCCCGCGCCCGTCGCGTTCAGCGACGGCAAAAAACGACATCGCCCGGCGATCGTCCGAACGTGCGGCGGCGTCCGCTCGCGCGCGTCCTTCACGAGCGCGGACTTCCAGCGCTCGACCCCGGGGAGCGAGCGCTTGAAGTCCTCGATCGCGGCGCGCGCCTCGAGCTCGGTCACCCCCATCGCTTGCTGGTATCTCCCGACGCCGGCGCCGTAGCAAATCCCGTAACACAGCTCCTTCGCCTTGGCTCGGTCCTCGTCCGACACGTTCTTCGGCGTCGTCCCGTCGCCTTTCCATCGCGCGGCGATCACCTTGAACGGATCCACGCTTCGCACGCACAGCGCGGCGATCAACCCGCGGTCGCAAGAAAGGTGCGCGATGACCCTGAGCTCGATCTGCTTGTAATCGAACGCGATGAGCTTCTTCCCGCGAGGCGCTCGAAACGCGTTTCGAATCGCGAGCGTCTCCTCCGCTCCGGCGTCCGTCCCGGGGCTCACGCGCCCGCTCGCGCTGAGACGCTCGGGGTACGCGCGAGACAGCGCGAACTCCCTCGGCCGCGGGACGCACTGTAAGTTTGGGTCCTCCATCGCGAGGCGCCCGGTCCCGGTGTTCGTCTGATGGATGACGCCGCGGAGACGAATCGTGACGGATTCGTCCGCCGCCGCCGCCGCGTCGCCGCCGAGCTCGCTCTTCGCGAGCCGTCCAAACTCGTTCGCCTCGTCGAGAAGCTTGCGCAGGGACCGATGCTCGAGCACGAGCTTCGGGAACGCCGCGATGGGTCCCCCCTGCTCGCGAACGAGCGCGAGTAAATCGTCCTGGCGCGTGCTCCGCCGTCCGCGCGCCGCCGTCGGCTTGGCGCCGCGCGGCGGCTCGGCGCCCAGGCCCGCCGGCGGCGCGTCGAACAGCACGCGCGCGACGTCGTCCGAGCTCGCGAGGTTAAACTCCGGCGGCGCCATCCCGGGGTGGCGGCACGCGAAGTGCGTCGCGACGACGGCGACCGCCTCGGTCTCGATCTCGCGCACGCGTTTCGTCGCGCGACGCAGCTGCCGCGAGAGCGTCGCCGGCGCGAACGCGACGCCCGCGCGCTCCATCGACGCCAACACCGGGACGAGCGGCATCTCGATCGCGCGTAACGCGTCCTCGAGCCCGCTCGGCGCGCGCGGGTCCGCGAGCTTCGCGCGCACGAGCGCGTCGAGCGAGAGCGCGGACGCGACGGCGAACGCCGCGTTCGCGCCGCCGGCGTTGACGCCGTCCGCGGTCGCCCTCGGCCCCCGCCACTTGGACGCCGCGCGAATCGCATCCGCGTCGACGTCGCCGGCGAACCGTTCCAACATCCCCGCGCACGGCCCGCGCGCGCGATCGGGGTCGACCGCGTTCAGGGCATCCCACCCGGTCTGAGAAGAATACTTAAGGAGCTCCTCGTCGGGATGTAACACCCACGCGGCGATCTTCACGTCCACGACCGGCGCCGCGATCGTCGCGCCCGCGCCCATCGCGCGAAGCTGCGGCTTTAAATCCACGGTGACTTTCCCGACGCCCGAGCGCGAGAGGACGTCGCGCACGCGCGTCCACGGCAGCCCGCGCGTGGCGCCGCCGCCGCCGGCGCCGTGCACGATCGGCGCGTAGAACACCGCGAGCGGGTTGAAAGGAAACGACAGCGCGATCCCGACCGGCGGGGCATCGCGCTTCGCGCTCGGCTGAAGCACGAACGCGTAAAACTCCGAGGAAGACCAGCGCGCGTGCAACGCGTCGACGGCGACGGCGTCGCGCACGACGACGCATCCGCGCGCGCGTTCGAGATCAAACGACGACGCGGACCGAAGGAGGTCCGCGACGTCAACCTCTCGCATCGCCTCCTCCGCCTCCGCGTCGTCGTCGTCGTCCACGGCCGCGTCGGCGTCGGCGTCGGCGTCGATCGCAGGCAACGCCTCGAGCTCCTTTAGCTTCGCCTCGGACTCTTCCCTCGCGAGTCGACGAGCCTCCGCGCACAACGCCCGCGCGCCTCGTAAGATGATCGCCGCGGCCTTCATCTCCCCGCCGCGCGCGCCGCGGCACTGTTTCAGCACGCCGGCGAGCTTCTTCTGGTCCAGACGGAGGATCGCCTCGGGGGAGCGGTAGCCGGCGTTGTACAGCGCGCGCGCTCTCCCGGCGCTTATCATCGGAATTTGGGTGAGGCTCACGATTTCCTCGCGCGCGCCGGCGGCGATTCGATCTTGAAGGCGGGCGAGTAAAACCTCCACGTCGCCCCAGCCCATGGGCCCGCACAGCGCCGCGACCTGCCCGGCGTACCGCACGGCCTGCTCTTGCAGCTGCGCGAGGTACGAAGCGAAGCCGTTCACGTTCGCGTCTTTGCCATTTTCCGAAAACGCGCGCGCGATGTCCGCGACGTCGCGTTCGGCGACGAGGTCTCTCAGCTGCAACGCTTTCATGAAGCGGTGACAGACGCGGCGCGACGCTCGGTCTTCGGGCGTCTTATCGCGCTTGCTCATCTTCAGTTGCCTCGCGTAGGAGTCCAGCACGCCGCATCTCGTCGCGACGTCGTGCTCGTGCTCCGTGAGGTTATCGTACACGGAGACGAACGCCGTGGGGTTCAGCCGACACGTCGTGTCCGTCTTCGGAGGCGCCACGGGCTTATTCCTCGCCGCGACGATCGACGCGGGAGACAGCGGATCGTCCTTCGCCGCTCTCGCGCCGCCGCCGCCGCCGTCCGCGTCGACGTCCATCGGCGCGGGCGGGTCCGGCGGAACGCACAGAAACAGCAAGTGCAAGTCGCTCTCGAGGTTTAACCCCCGACGCGCGCGTTTGACGACGTCCACGACCGCGGCGGCCTCGTCCGGCTCGAACCGGCCCGCGGCCGCGGCGCGCCCGAGCGGAGACGGCGTGTACTCCGCCGTCTTCTCGTTCCAGGACATGAACCCTCTCTGCGCGAGCCACGCGAGCGCGTCCTTCGCGCCGCGCGCGGTGACTTCTTGGAAATCGTTCAACGCGTTTAAAAGCGTGCACTGAATGTAGCACTGCACGTCGCGCGCGGATTTCACGAGCCCTCCCGCGAGCGCTTCGAGCATGACGCGTCGCATGCGCTCGCCCGCGATCGTGGACGACAGCGCGTCGCCTTCGGAGAGGAGTCGCCGCGCGAGCTCGCGCGCGAGCGCGGCTTTGGACTTTGCTTTCGATTTCCCGCCGCCGCCGCCGCCGCCGCCGCCGGCGGCAAAGTCGCAATCGATCTCGCTCGGCTCTGGCACGACAACGAACGCCTCGCCGCGGTCCGCGAGTCCGGCTCTCCCCGCGCGCCCCGCGGCTTGCTTCAAGTCGCGCGAGGACAACAGCGCGTGCCGCGCGGGCTTCTGGCGGTAAATGTACGGGTGCGCGATGATCACGCGCGACGCCGGGAGGTTCACCCCGGCGGCCATCGTGGACGTGCAGCAAATCACTCTGATCGCGCCCGATCGGAACCCGTCCTCGACCAGCCGCTTCTCCTCCGCGTGTAGCGCGGCGTGGTGCCACGCGACGCCGTTTGCGACCGTCGTCGCGAGCGCCGGACGGTTCGCGGTGTCTGTCGCGTTGGGGTTGACGTTTCGCAACGACGCGGAAATTCGATCGAGCCCGTCGGAAGCGCGCGCGTCCGCGTCGACCCGCAGCTTCTTCGAGAGCATCCGCGCCATGACCTCGCACTGAAACTTCGCGCTGCAGAACACGATGACGCCACCGCCGACGGCGCCGCGGTCCATCGTCTCCTGCGCGAGCTGCGCGACGTGCGACGCGTCGTCGCCGTCCTTCAGCGATACTTTCCTTCGCTCGCTCAAGACGTCGTCGTCTTCGCCGTCCTCCACCTCCTCCTCGCGACTCGGTAAAGGATACACGTCGCTTCCGAGCTTGATCGACAACCGCAGCGCGACGGGCCTGTAGTCCGTGACGTACAGCGCGGCGTCGTCGAGCCACTTCGCGAGGCCGTCGACGTTCGGCAGCGTCGCGCTCATGCCGATGATCTGCGGCGTTCGCTTCGCCGCCGCCGCCGCCGCCGCCGCGGATTTACTCCCGCGGCTGCTCGCGCTCAGCGGCTCTCTCGATCCCGCGCCCTTCCCGCCGTCGCCGCCGTCCGAGCTCGGGCTCACGTTCTCCGCCGCGATCGCCGCCGCCGCGGCTTTCGACGACGCGAACAGGAGCTTCGTGAGCATCAGTTCCAGCGTGCTGCCGCGGGATTCGTCTTGGACCATGTGCAGCTCGTCCACGACGACGGCGGCGAGGTCGCGCACGCGGTCGTCCTCGATGAGTTTCGAGACGACGTCGTTCGCCTTCTCCGGGGTGCACACGAGGAGGACGCGCTCTTTCGAGTCTCGCGGCGGCAGCGCGCCGCCTCTGCCGCCGTAGAACCGCTTCACGTCGACGTGTATCAACTTCAGGAGTTTCGCGAGCTCGTTCGCGCGTTCGTCGCACAGGGAGATAAACGGGAGGACGATGATCGCGAGGTTGCCGCCGCGGTCGGCGGCGACGGCGTTCTTCTCGCGACGCTTCCCGCCGAAACCGTCAGCGACGAGGCGTTTCATGAGAAGTATATCCGCGACGATCGACTTCCCTCCGCTCGTGGGCGCGCAGTACACCAGGTTCTTGCCGCCGTCGGACACGCCCGGCGTCGAGAGGCACTCCGCCTGCCACGCGTGCAACCTCGTGATGTTCTTCTCGTCGCGGTAATACTCCACGACCGGCTCGGGGAGCCCCTGCGACGTCATCGACGTCTCCGCATCGGGAGGGGGATGGGGAGGAGGACGATGACGCGGCGGCGGAGGCGCCGGCGGCGCGGTCGTCCTCGCCGACGGCGCGAGCGACGACGCCTCTCGAGGCGACGGCGTCGACCCCGCGCCGCCCGCGCTCGCGCTCTCTCGCCCCGCGCCGTAGGACAAATACCGCGGCGCGAGGACGCTCTCGCGCGCGCCGCGCGGGGCCGCCGCCGCCGCCGCCACGGCGGCGGCGACGAAGCCGCGCGCTCGCCCTCCTCCCGGCGCCGTCCCCGTCCCCCGCGTCGGTCGAAGCGGCGCGGCTTTGCATCCGATCGGCGACATCGCCTCGTCGATGTCGAAGTCGCCGTTCAGGAGCTCCGCGACGGCGGCGTGGTGCGGCCCCGCGACGACGACAGTTGTTTTCTTATCGTCCATCGCCGTCGCCGCCGCCGACGTCGGGGCGACGACCGTCGCCGTCGCCGTCGCCGTCGCCGTCGCGCCTACGCTCGCGGCTCGTCTCGCCGCCTCCGCCTCCGCCCACTCCTTGCTCCCTATGTTTTCCCACGTCTCCACGGCTTCGACGTACTGCTCACCCGCGAGATACGCGTCGATGAGCGCCGCTTTCTCGTCCGAGGACGGCGTCTCCGAGAAGCTGCGCCGCGGTCCCCGAAGCGGCGGCGGCGCGGGGACGTCGCCGCTGCCCTGGCTCTCGTTCGCGACCGACCGCGGGCGTTTACTCAGCGAATCGCTCGTCTCCGCGACGGCGACGCCGGTGACGATGTCGTAGCACGTTCCCGTCGGGCTCGGGCCGCGGTTCGCGGTCGACAGTGGTTTTCTCCTGCGCGCGCGGAAGGGCGGGGAGGCGAGCGGAGCGGCGTGATGAGCGACGAAAAGTGAACGCGTCGACGCGACGGACGAAAGCATTGGGCACCTCCGGGACGACGACGCGACGGGACGGCGGGGACGCGCGCGCGGCGCGCGCGACGCACTTCTTCCCGCTCATCCCCTCGATCCAATCGATCGCGCCGTCGTCCGCGACGGCGATCTCGTGTCCCTGCGGCTTCGGCTTCGTCGCTCGAAACGGAAGACGCGTCTGAGGCTGCGCGATGGAGGGGGGAAGGACGCGTCAGACGTGCGAAAGAAATGCCAAACGCCGCGAAGCGCGCGACGCGGGCGTAGCGGCGCCGATGACGTGCCTGCTCGCCGTTCGCCGCGTTCGCGCTGACGACGGGGGAGTAGTTCGGCGGCACCTCCGACGTGAACGCGTTCATCGGCGACCAGAGCTCGCCGCTCATCGTTCGAGCGGTCGAGCTCGCGCGTCGCACTCAGCTCGGAACGACGAACGAACGGGAGGGTTGCCAAATCGTCCCCGCGCTCGCGGAGCGCTCCGCGAAGGCGCCGAGAGCGCTCGCGCCTCAGCGCGACCGACGGCTCCGACGACGACGACGGGCACGGGAATCGAACTTCCCGCGTCGCGTCGCGTCTCTCGCCGCGGTGTCGCGCGCAATGCCGCGCCCGCGGCGCCGATCTCGCGTTTTTGGCTCTTCCGAGGTTTGCGACAGCTCGCGAGACGAGATTCGAACCGCGGCGCGGTGTCGTTTTCGCACTGTCACGCGCGCCGCCGCCGCCGCCCCGCCGTCATGCGACAGCCTCTGCTCGCGTCCGCGCCGCGCCCGCCGCAAGGGCCGGTGCGAAGACACGAGTCCGTGTACTGGTAAGGCTCGCGCCGTCGTCCCTCCTCCGCGCGCGCTCCGCGCGTCGCCGCGTCGTCGAATCTCACAAACGCCTTCCCCGATCTCGCGCCGCGACATTCGCCGCGCTCACTGACGCCGAGATCCGCGGACCCTACGCCCCGCGGCGACGTCGAAGCGTACGCGCGCTCGCGTCGGAAGCACAACTGGAGCGAAAAGTTACAGCGTCTCGAATCCCTGGACTACGAAGTCATCGACAACGAACGGTGCGCGCGCGCGGTCCCGTCCCCCGCGAGGCGTGGCATTCGTGAAGTCGTCCGCGTTTGCGTTTTCGTCGCGCGAGATCGCGGATCGAGACTCTTTTTTTCGCTCTCGTTCCGTTCGCCGTGGCGCCTGGTCTCAGGTGTCCGACGACGACGCCTCTCTCCCTTCCTCCCTCCCACCCACCCACCCTCACTCCGCCTCGCACCGCTCGCAGGTTCCGCCAGACCGGGCGGCACACCGCGCGCGTCGCCAAGTTTACCATCACCGTCGTCATCGGCGTCGTCGTCGGCGCCGTCGCGTTTTCGATCGAAACCGCCGTCGACGCCATCACCACCTGGCGCCTCCGCGGGCTGTCGCTCGCGCTCGCCGACGCGGAAGCCGCCGGCGTCGACTTCGCCGGCACGCTCATCCCCGCGTGGCTCTCCATCGCGCTGAGCGGCGCGTCGCTCGCGTTCCTCGCGTCCGCGCTCGTCGTCGTCGTCGCCCCCGCGGCGACGGGCGCGGGCGTCGCGCTCGTGATGGCGACGCTCAACGGCGTGGACGTCCCCAAGGCGCGTTCTGTTCGTTCTCCTCGCGCCGGTCCCCGTGCGACCCCGTTGGCGCGGTGCACGCCGTTCCTCGAGGCGTTCTTTCGCGCGCTATCCGCCTCACGCTTCGACACGTGAGGACGCCATCAACCAATCGCGCGTCCGCTTGACTGACACGTGTCTTCCCTCGGCCAATCAAAAACGACCTTCAGCTTCTGAGCGCGCGCGCCGTGCTCGTGAAGATTATCGGCACGGCGCTGAGCGTGTCGAGCGGCCTTCCCGTCGGCCCCGAGGGCCCGCTCGTGCACATCGGCGCCGGCGTCGCGTCGTTCTGCACGCGTCAGCAGCGCATGCGATGCGGCGAGCGCGTCGTCCTCAGCACGCACGGCGTGCGCGGCTTCGACACGTTCCACAACGACCTCGATCGGCGGGATTTTCTCAGGCGCGTTCTGCGAACGTTTTTCACCCGCCGCTCGGCGCGTTCTATCTCACACTGGTCCCCATACGACCCCGTCGGCGTGGTGAACGCCGATCCTTAAGGACTGCACGATCGCATCGACGTTCAACTGACCGATAAACAAACTACCTTCGCATGGAACCCTCTCTCCTCAGCGGCGGCGTCGCCGCGGGTCTCGCCGCCGCGTTCGGCGCCCCGATCGGCGGCGTGCTCTTCTCTCTCGAGGAAGCGAGCACGCACTGGAGCCACGACACGACGTGGCGGTCGCTGCTGTGCTCGACGCTGGCGATCCTGACGCTGTCGCTCTGCCGCGCGGTCGGCGCCGGCGCCGGCGCCGGGCCCGGTCCCGGACGCGCCGGGTTCCTCTCGCTCACCGCGCCCGGTCTCATCTCGTTCGGGTCGTCCGACGGCGCGCCGCCCGCGCGCTTTTACGCGTGGGAGCTCCTCGCGTTCGCCGCGCTCGCCGCGTGCGCCGGGTTCGTCGCCGCGTTTCTGACGCGCGCGGCGAAGGCGTTGTCGCCGCGACGACCGAAGACGGGCGCGTGGCGCGTCGCGGAGGCGACCGCGACCGCGTTCGTCGTCGTCACCGTCGCGTTCTTCGCGGCGACGTTTCTCGGCGTTTGCCGCGAGATTCCGGGGGGAGACGCAGACGCGAACGACGCGTCGTCCGCCGCCGGCGGGGGCGCCGGCTCCGAGATTTGGACCCCCGCGGTCGCGGTGGCGCTTCGGTGCCCTCCCGGCGCGTTCAACGACCTCGGCGCGCTTCTCCTCGGCCTTCGCGACGACGTCATCGCCGCGTTGTTGTCCGAGACGGAGGAACACTCCGTCTTCACCCCGAGGTCCGTCGCCGTCGCGCTCGTGATCACCGTCGTCGCGATGGCGTTCGCGTGCGACGTCTCGCTCCCCGCCGGGATGTTCATGCCGACGATCCTGTGGGGCGCGCTGCTCGGACTTCTCTTCGGGCACGGTGCCAGGGCGTTCGCATCGCACGTCTTCGCGGCGTCGAGCGGCGGCGCGAGCCTGAACCTGACGGCGGCTCCCGGCGCGTACGCGTTCGTCGGCGCCGTCGCCGCGCTCGCCGGGGTCTTCCGCGCGTCCATCTCGTTGGTCGTCATCATGCTCGAGGGGACCGGGCGGGTCGGGTACCTCGTCCCTCTCCTGCTCGGCGTCGCCGTCGCGAACCTCGCCGGGCGCGTCGTGAACGGGCCGTCGCACTACGAGGAGCAGCTGAACGCGAAAGGCGTGCCGGTGTTGCGGCATCACGACGCGGCGGCGCCGTCGGATGTGAGACTGCTTCCCATACGACCCCGTTCGCGTGGTGCACGCCGTTCCTTAAGGATTTTTCCCGTCGTCACTCTTCACCCGCGCTTCCCTTTCACCGTTTGACCGGTAAGACGTTCGACTGACCGATCGCTTCACCCACGCAGTCGCCGCACGCGTCGGACGTCGCGGAGAGGAGGATGGCTGCGGACGTCGAATGTTTCTCCGCGATCGAGCGCGCGGAGCGTATCGAGAAGACGCTCAGGGAGACGACGCATAACGGGTTCCCGATCACGACGAGCGATGGGCGTCTCGTGGGGCTCGTGCTTCGGTCGCAGCTGATGGTGCTGCTCGCGCGGCGCGCGTTCGTCGAACGCGTCACGCCGCCGCCGCCGCCGCCGCCGGGGTGGGGCGCGTCGTCTTATCTGGACGCGTCCTTCTCGAACTCGAACTCGACCTCTCTCGACGAGGACGCCGCGTCGTGGGGGTTGCTGCCGGACGACGTCGAGATCGCGCCGGCGGAAGGCGAACCGCCGGCGGAAGGCGAACCGACGGAGCAGCGAGCGGCCGCCGCCGCCGCCGCCGCCGCGTACTACGCGGCGATCGACACGGACATGCGGACGTTTCACCACCGCCACGCCTTCCACGACCGCCACGTCTCCACCTCCCGCGAAGCGATCGACCGCCTCGGCCTCACGAACGTCGAGCGCGCGATGCGATGCGACCTCGGCGCGTTCATGAAGATCGCGCCGTTGTCCGTGACGCGGCGGTGTGCGAGCTGGAGGGCGCTCGGATACTTTCGCGCGTGCGCGTTGAGGCACCTCGTCGTCGTGGACGACCGCAACGTCGTCGTCGGGATGCTGACGCGGAAGGATCTCATCGGCGCGCCGCGCGGTACCGGCGGCGCCGGCACCGGCGGTGGAGGGGGACGCGGGCGCGTGGGGGAGATTTTGAACGCCGCCGTGGACGTCGCGGCGCGCGAGGCGCTCGACCTCGACGCGAGCGGCGGCGACGAGATTTTCGTCGGCGCCGGGAACCTGTGAGCGGCGGCGTCGACGCGGGGCGGGGGGGGGCGGACGACGACGGGGGACGGGCGGGGGGGTGTATACGTTTATGCGACGCGGACGAGAATGGAATGCGTGCACGCGCGATACGACGCGGCATCGGAACCGGGAGTGAACGAATGTAACGACGAGCGACACGACGCGTCCGCGAAGGTACACGTAGTCTACGAAGGTACACCGCGGCTCTGACGAAAATCGTCCAGTCGCGCTTTGATTCGCTCGCTCGCGCCTCAAATGGAACGGTCGGGGCCCGCGACCCTTCATACCAGCACCTCCCGAGACGCGCACGATGTCGAGGGTCGCGGCGCAGAAGACGTGGCAACAGATCTGGATTCGCCCTGAGGTGCGTCCGCGCGCGAACCCGACGCGTTCGGATCCCGCGCGCGTCCGCGCGCGACGGCGCGGGCGCGCCCGGCGAGGAAATGGAACCCTAGCTCGGAGCGCGACCCCCCCAGACGAGTCACCCCCGCCCCCCCCACCGCGACCTTCGCTGACGTCCCCGCTCCCCTCGATCGCAGGTGTTTCCCATCGTCGCGGCGATCGGCAGCGCGGGCACGCTCTGCGTGTTCTTCTGCGGCCGTCAGATCTCCAGCTCTCCCGGCTTCCGGTGCGCCCCGCCCCTCCGACGAGCGAATCTTTCACGCGCGACCGCGGCATCGATTTCCATCCCCCTCGCGCGCGTCCGTCGCCCCGCCGCGGCGCGCTGCCGGACCGCGCCGCGCCGCGGAGTCGCGCGCCGCCGCCGCCTTCGACGACGACGACGACGCGCGCGGCGTTCGCTCGAACCTCGAAACCCGCGCCGCGCGCGAGGGACCCCGCGATCGACGTCGCGCTGACCGATCGATCCGTCCATCTCCTCGCTCCCCCCCCTCTCTCTCGAACGCCATCAGAACTTTCAAAGACGCGCGGAAGAACGAGTGCATTCCCGAGGACGCGAAGCGCGTGAAGGAGGGCATCAGCTGGAGGGAGAATCTCGTCCGACGCACGGTGAGGGGCATGAACCCGCAGATCTTCCCGGGGTTGAACGACTGGATGAGCAAGTAGGCGACGTCGAGCGGCCCCGGCAGCGGCGGCGGCGACTGCGAGCCGAATACATCATTGTAAATCTATCACTGAGAGTTATCTCGTCGTCGCGTCGTCACTCTCCCTCGCCCCACCGGGCGATCGTCGGGTCGATCCCGCAGCCTTCGCCCGCGGCGACGCCCGCGCGTCATGCGCGCGCTCGCGCCCGCGCGCGCGGCGCCGCCCGCGCGCCGCGAACGCGCGTCGTCGTCGTCGCGTCCGATGCGAACGAAGACGACGACGTCGTCGTCGCGAGGTGCCGTCGCGTCCGCGTCCGCGTCCGCGTCCGCGTCCGCGGCGTCGACGCACGACGCGCTCGCGGCGTGGGTCACGCGCCACGGCGGCGACGTCGCCGCCGTCGTCGTCCGCGACGGCTACCGCGGCCGAGGCTTGTTCGCGGCGAGAGACGTCGCCGCGGGCGACGTCGTCATGTCCGTCCCTCTCGCCGCGGCGCTCAACGACGGCGTCGCCGCGCCGCCGTACGACGGCGCGCCGTGGAGCGTCACGCTCGCGGCCGCGATCCTCGCGGAGAGGAGGATCGGCGACGCGTCGCGATGGGCGCCGTACGTGCGCTCGCTGCCGACGGACGTCGTCGGGTTCGCGAACGACGAGGGACTCTTCGACGACGCATCGTGCGGCGCCTCATCATCATCATCATCGTCATCATCACAGCTGGCGGCGGAGGCTCGCGCGCTCGCGTCGCACGACGCCGCCGCCGCGGACGAGCTCGACCGCTACCGTTCGCTCTTGACGCGCTCGCACGCCGCGCTGACGTCTGCGGGTCGCGCGCCCGCGCCGCCGACGTTCGCGGAGTGGCGGTGGGCGATGTCCATGGTGCACTCGCGGACGTTTCGACTCGAAGAGCCCGCCGCGGGCGTCGCCGGTTTCGAGACGAGAAGGGTCATGGTCCCGTACGTCGACCTGTTGAACCACGACTCGCGCGCGGACGTGTGGCAGTGCGAGTGGGACTGCGAGTGGGACCTCGGCGGCGGCGGCGGGACGTTCGTCGTCACCGCGACGCGCGATGTGCGCGCGGGAGAGGAGGTGCTGGTGAGCTACGGGGAACGGTGCGACCGGCATTTTTTTTTGTTTTTCGGGTTTCTGCCGGCGCCGAACCCGCACAACACGGTCGCGCTGTTCGCGAACGCGCGCGAGGCCGCGGCGTGGTACGAAGCCTTGTGCGACGACGGCGAGGAGGTCAGGGACGCGTGGGCGCGGCTGAGGGCGGACGCGGTGCGGACGGTGCGGAAGGAAGAGAAGTCGCGCGCGGCGGCGGCGGCGGCGGCGGCGGCGGCGAAGAGAAACGGCGACGACGCGTCCGACGACGCTGACGTGGAAGCTGACGCGTCGGACACGTCAGAAGAAGAAGAAGAAGAAGAAGAAGAAGAAGACGACGACGACGACGATGAGACGCCTCGCGGCGCGTGGACCTCGAAGGACGCGGAGGCGGAGGAGGCCGCGGCGCTGTGCGTCGGCGAGGACGCGGTCGTGGACGAGCGCCTGACGCGACTGTTCGAGCTCCTCTCCGGCTGCGACGACGTCGCCGTCGCCGCCGTTCGCGTCCGCGCGCGGGAGATGTTGACAGCCTTCGGGGGCGACGAGGAGGAAGAGGAGGAGGAAGAGAAGGAGGAGGAGGACAGCGCGGAGGTGTCCGAGGCCGTGGCGCTCGCGCGGGGGTACCGCGCGCGACGGAAAGCCCTTCTCTCGGACGTCGCGTGACGACGACGCGCGCGGCGTTCGTAGATACAGTACTACGTGTAGTCTACAGGTTAACAGGGTCCCTAGCTAGATTATCTTACTCGTATAGACAGAGGAAAGCTCGCGTCGTCGGTCGTCACGACGCCGCCGCGGGACGCGGAGACGTCGGCAACATCCCCGACGCGTGCGTCCGCCGCGTCATCGAGCACTCCACGCCGTTCTTCGGCCGCGCCTCGATGAGAAACCTCCTCAGTTTGCTCACCAGCGTCGTGAGCGTTCGCGCGTCCACGGCGGGCAGCTCCGCGGCGGCGGCTTCGCCGACGCTCCGTCTGCGGCGGCGGCGAATGGCGATCTTCCTCGCCGTCCTCGCGCGCGGGTCCGGATTATTCGGAATCAGATTCGGACTCGACGACGACGCCGTCGTCTCGTCGTCCTCCGCGTCGGAGGACGTCGTCGACGTCGTCGACGTCGCGTCGGAGCTCCGCCTCCTCGCGGCGACGCCGTCGTCGGCGTCATCCGCCGCCGCGGAGGCGCGACTCCTGCGGCGGAACTCCTTCGCGCACGCGGCGCAGCGAAACACCTCGAAGTCGCCGAGCACGACGCTCTGCGCGGTCCACGACCCGCACCCGAAACACCGCTGGTACCACCCGTCGCGCGGCATCTTCGTTCCGTCGATGTACGCGATGCCGTCGCGTCCTCGGAGTAGCGCGTCCTCCGCGGATCCCAGCCCGCGCGCGCTGAGCGGGCCGGACGCGCATCGCGCGTGCGCGGCGCGTTTCGGCGACAGGACGTCCGCCGCCGCCGCCGCCGTCGTCGCGGCGAGAGAAGCGACGCCGTCCATCGTGAAGTTCGCGTCGAGGCTGCGCCGCCGCGCGTGCCTCGCCGCCGTCGTCGTCGTCGTGGTCGAACGCGAGGGATCATCGCGCTTTTCGACGTCGTCCGCGACGACGTCGTCGAGGACGTCGCACCCGCGGCCGCATTTCGGGACGTGCGTCGCCGCGGACGGGGACTGCAGCGTGAGCGCGCGCGTGCGCTTGATCCCCGGGTGTTTCGCCGTCGCGGCGAGCGCGAGGCGGCCTCCGAGCGGCGACATGGCGGTGTGCGCGGACGGCTTCGCAAGCGGGGACGTATCGAAAACACCAAAAAAACGCCACCTGGACGATTTCGTTAGACCGTCGTTCTCGAGTTAAACGCTCCATACATTCGATCGGCATTCGAGCCGGGCGTTTCGAAGTGCGGAAGCGGGCGATGCGATTCCGAAAAGACGGCACCGGGGCGGAAGAGATCTCGCGCGCGCGAGCACGGCGGGGGCGACACGACGCGCGCGATGGGGGGCGACATCGACCTCGTGACGGGGAAACCGGTGAAGAACAAAGAGCGCGAGCTCCTCGTCGCGCTCACGCCGGAGGAGAAGAGGGCGCAGAAGGAAGCGCGCGCGGCGGAGATGGCGGCGAAGCGCGCGGCGAAGAAAAAGGCAAAGGGCGGCGGCGGCTNCNACNCCNCCNCCTCCTCCTCTTATTCCGACGCCGACGCCGCGGACGCGGAGTCCGCCGCGGACGCGATCGCTCGCCTCACGACGACGGAGTCCGCGGGCGCGTCCGCGGTGTTGTCCTCGCAGCTGCTTCTCGCGAAGCAGCGATCCGTCACCGGCGTGCTCGCGTCCGACGCGAAGAGCGCGACGAACGTGCGCGTCGAAAAGTTTTCGCTCGCCGTCGCCGGCGCGACGCTCCTGGACGACGCCACGCTCGACCTCAACGTCGGGACGCGGTTGGGGTTCATCGGCCAGAACGGCTCGGGGAAGACGAACGTCCTGAACGCGATCGCGCTGAGAGAGCTCCCGATCCCGGACCACTTCGACCTGTACCACCTCCATCAGGTGCGTTCTATACAAAAGTTGTTCACCCACCGCTCGGTTTCAACATTTGATCGCTCCCCGTTTCAACTGACCGGTGAACTGTTGTTGTATGGAATGGCCCTCAGGAGGCGGAGCCCACCGAGCGCACCGCCGTGCAGGCGGTGGTGGATCACGTCACCGAGGAGATCGCGCGTTTGGAGCGCGCGCAGGACTTGATCCTGGAGACCTCCGGCGCGGACGACGAGCGCTTGGAGGCGATCGGCGAGCGGCTGAGCGAGCTCGACCCGGACACGTTCGAGTTCGAGGCGAGGAAAATTCTCAGCGGCCTCGGGTTTTCGAGCGCCACGGTGCCGATGGAACGCGCGACGAAGGACATGTCCGGCGGGTGGCGCATGCGCGTCTCGCTCGCGAAGGCGCTGTTCGCCGCGCCGACGCTGCTGCTTCTGGACGAGCCGACGAACCATCTCGACCTCGAGGCGTGCGTGTGGCTCGAAGAACATCTGTCGCGGTATAAAAAATGCCTCCTCGTCGTGTCTCACAGTCAGGACTTTCTGAACACCGTGTGCAACAAGATCGTGTGGCTGCACAACAAAGACCTGCGGTATTACTCCGGGAACTACGCGACGTTCTGCACGCAGGTCGAGGCGGAGGAGAAGATACAGTCGAAACTGTACGAGAAGCAGCAGGCGGACATGCAGAAACTGGCGGATTACGTCGAGGCGAACCACGCCAACGGCAAGGCAAAGTCCGCGGCGTCCAAGGACAAAGTCCTGTCGAAGATTAAATCCGAAGCCGTGGAGAAGCCGTCGCTGCGGACGAACACGTTCGTGTTCGAGTTCCCCGAGTGCGATAAACTCCCGTCGCCGGTGCTGCCGTTCGACAACGTGTCGTTCTCGTACAGCGGAAAGAAGGAGGAGTACCTGTACCACGAGCTGGACATCGGCGTGGACTGCGACTCGCGCATCGCGCTCGTCGGTCCCAACGGCTGCGGGAAGTCCACGCTTCTGAAGCTCATGGCCGGGGAGCTGACCGCGACGGAGGGGGACGTGAAGCCGCACACGGCGCTCTTGATCGGGCGGTATAACCAGCACAGCGCGGAGCAGCTCGAGCCAGAGAAGACCGTCTTCGCCTTCTTCAAGTCGACGTACCCGAACTCGCCGACGTTTAAGCGCACGGACGAGTACTGGCGCGGGTGGCTCGACCGGTTCGGCTTAGACACGAAGATGCAGAACACGAAGATCGGGTGCTTATCCGACGGCCAGAAGTCCAGGATCGTGTTCGCGATGATCAACATGCGAAACCCGAACTTGCTGCTGCTCGACGAGCCGACGAACCATCTCGACGTGGACGCCATCGACGGCCTCGCCAACGCGATCAAAAAGTTCAACGGCGGCGTCGTCCTCGTGTCGCACGATTTCCGTCTGATCGATCAGGTCGCGGACCAGATTTGGGTGTGCGAGAACAAGAAGGTGACGGTGTGGAAGGGGAGCATCCGGGAGTACAAGGCGAAACTGGCGAAGGCGATGGGCGTCAAGTTTATCTAGCTAGACGAAGCAAGCCGGCGAATTCTGTTATTCCCTCCTGCGCTCGTCGTCGGGTGTATCATAGCGAGTTGAAACTAACTAACGCGGTCGAGCGACCGACTGACCTTACCCTGACGACGCGTTCACAGCGCGAGGTGCCTCCGCAGCGCGTCTTTCGCGCCGCGCGGGATGAACGACCCGTGACACGGCAGCGCGGCGTCGAAGTCCCAGCTCAACACTTTTTCTCTCGCGCGCGCGAACTTCTCCCGGTCGCGGACCATCGCCGCGCGGTAAAAGGGCAAGTACACTCGATCCATCCCGAACTTCCACAGCCTCGTCCCGGGCGGAACGTCATCCCCGCCCGGGTAGTTCCAGAACACGTCCGTGACGAACGCGACCCCGCTGGCGGCGTGACAGAACACGACCTCGTTGAAGAACGGCGTCGACGTGAACGGATTAACCTCGCAGTCGAAAAGCGCGACGTCGAACTCCCCTCCCCACGCCTCCGGAGCGCCGTCCTCGCCCACCTCCGCGTCCCACGGAATCCCCGGCTTCTTCGCTCTCATCCCCGGGCACCCGTAGAGCGTCGCGTCTGGGTACGCCTCCTTCCACTGCGCCGCCCACTTCACGTGCTCGTAGTTTGGCGACACGACGTGTTTCACCGACCCGAGCGCGTCGATCGCGGCCCGCGTCGCGTCGTCGAGGTCGATCGGCGAGTGCACCCACAGCGCGCCGTCTCGCAGCCTCACGACCGCCATCTTCCCGCCGACGTCGATCGCGTTCCACGTGAACGGCCGCTCCGCGGCCCAGACGACGCCGGGGACTACGTCGGTGAGGACGTTCCCGGTCGGATTGCTCCACGTCTTTTCGTAGCGCGCGCTCGGCGGTCGCGCGCTCGACGACGGGTCGGACGCGGACGCGCGAGGACGCGCGCGGTGGGCGCGCGTCCTCGCGCGTCGATGGACGACGCCGCGCGTCGCGGGCGTCGGCGCCGACGCGAGCGCGCGCATGCCGAGAGAGCGTCGCGCGCGAGGAAGTGTCGTTGTCGCTACTCCCGTTGTTGTTTTTTCCAGTTCGTCCGTGCTATCTATTCGTCGTCGTCGTCGTCGTCGTCGCGACGCGCTATCACATGCTACTAATACTCGAACCCGCGCCGTCGTCGCCGACGCGTCCGATCGTCCCTCGTCGTTCATTGCCCGCGCGTCCAACGCCGTCGTAATACCTAACGCCTCGTTCCCAGACGTTTCTTCAATACGGCTCGCTCCTGCCGAACAGCGACGTCAACACGCGTTTGCTCACCACCGGCCCCACGCTCCTCGCCTCGGACGTCTTGATCCCCGACAGCAGCCCCGCGGCCGCGGCGTGCGTGTCGCACGCGTCGTACGCGTCCCTGAGCGAGCTCGGCGTGGGGTACTGCTCGATTATTTCCCCAGCCATCTCCGGCCCCAACCCGGGGACCTGCATCAACATCGTGCCCCACGTCGTCTTCAACGTCGTCTGCGACCGCTTCTGCGCGACGAGCGCGCGCTTGAACGCCTCGAGCGTCGGCGGGACCGCGTCTTCCGCGACGACTCCGGCGTCCTCGTCGACGTCGCGCTCCGCCGCGGCCGCGGCGGAGTCCGCGTACGTCAGCTTCGCATACCGTTCCGACAACGCCGTGGTCATGCGGCCGTACAAATTGAACGTCTCCCTCAGGGAGAGCGTCTTGATGACCTGGAACCCGTCGTAAATCTCCGTCTGCACCGCCGCGGTCTTGATCGCCTTGATCTTCGTCTCGCTTATCCCGCCGTTCGGGGCGTACCGCGTCGCCTCGAGCTCTCGAACGTCGCCTTCGATGAGGTAACACACCTGCCGCAAGCCGCAGCGTTTCAGGTAATACTTTTGCTGCCGGTATCGATCGTCGTGGATCGACATCGAGAGGTCGTCCAGACGCTTCCTCTCCACGATTATGTCGAGGACGTGCTCCTCACCCGGCGCCGCTCTGCCGTCCTTACGCCGCGCGACCCACAGCGCGTCGCCGCACTCGAAGTGCCCCATCTCCGCGCGGACGCGGTGGCACCGCCCGAGGTCGGCGATCTCGTCCGCGACGACTTGCGAGCGGTTCCCGCCGCCGCCGCGTCCGCCGCCGCCGCGTCCGCCGAACTGCTCTCGGTTGTCCACGAGCAGGATCACATCGTAGACGTCCTCGAACGCGAGCGAGCCGTCGACCGGGAGCGGCGGCAGCCGCGGCGGGACGTCGTCGCCGTCGGCGAGCCCGGAGAGGCGCCACGCGCGGTTCCCGTCTCGAGCGGTGAAGTTGTCCGAGTGTTGCGAGTCGAGCAGACGCGTCGCCGCCGCGGTCGCGGCCGCGGAGACGGAGACCGAGGTTTGCGAGTCGAGCGGCGGCGGCGCGCTCGGCGCGGCGGCGGCGGCGGTGGCGGCGGCGGGGGCGTCGTCGGGGGCGTCGTCGTCGTCCGAGTCGTCGATGGCGATGACGTCGGGGACGCTCCCGCGACGCGGCGCGACCGGCGCGACCGCCGGCTCGCGTCGGGCGACGCCGACGGCGTCCCTCACCACGTCCCTGAGATCGTCCTTATCGATGATACCCGCGTACGACGTCCCGTGGCGGTCGAGAAGCGCCTTCAGGTCGCGGACGGACAGAGCGAGCACGTCCTCTTCCGTTCGAGGCTCTCGCGGCGGCGGAGCGGCGGCGGCGGCGGCGGCGGCGGCGTCCGGGACGCCCGCGGCTCTTCGCTCCGCCGCCGCCGCGGCTTTCGCCCTCGCCAACGCCGCCGCGACGAATCTGTTCACGGGCGGTCCCTCGGGCTCCGCCGGACGCGGCGGCGGCGACGGCGCGCGCGTCGACCGCGACGACGCTTTCGGTTTCGCGCGAGGCGCTGCCGCGGGCGCCGCCGCGCCGCCGCCGCCTCCGGCGGCGCCCCCCCCGTCATCCGTCCAAAATCCAGCCAGCGGCGCGGCGAGCGCGGCGTCGATGTCCTCCCTGGACATCAGCCCGCAGTGGCAGTCACCCTTCTCCTCGGCCATCGCGTGACACCGCGCGGTGAGCGCGACGCCCTCGTCCAGCATGCGAACCTTTTTCGGATTGCCAAACTGCGTGCACAGCGGCGCGGCGTGCCCGCGAGGTATCTTAGGGTCGTTCCATGCGAGGGAATGTCGGGGTGGAGTTGAGAGGCGTCAGAAGTGGAGTTGAAAGGCGTCGCGGTGTGTCGGGATTGAAAGCGAGGGACCCTGGGCGGAGAGACACGCCGTTAAAAAAATCCTCGAGGATCGGCGTTCACCACGCCGACGCGGTCGTACGGGAACCGGTGTGAGATAGAACGCGCCTTGATGAACGACCCCTCGAAGCAGCTCCACCCGCAGTACTGCGGCGTGTACCCGCCGCGTCCGCCGCCGCGTCCGCCGCCGCCCCGGTACGGGTTCCCGCCCCCCGGGATGTTGTTCGCCCCGGCGCCGCCCGCGGGGTGTATGCCCTTCGCGGAGAGCCCCGACGCCTCGGCTTCGTCCTTCAGACGCGAGATGAGCACGTCCGTCTCGCCTTGGAGGCGCAGCTTGTGGAGCGTCACCGCGATGGCGAACGCCGCCGTCTTGTACCCGGGCTCCCAAGGCTTCTTCGGGCCGGCGTTGTTGGCGCGCGCGCGCTTAGGGGGAGGCGGTCGACGCGTCCCGGGCGACGCGGCGGCGGCGGCGGCGGCGCCGGAAGCTCGCCGCGGCGTCCCCGTCCCCCTCGGCGCTTCGTCGTCGTCGTCGTCGTCGAGCATCACGACGTCGTCGTCGTCGCCGTGAGGATCGTAGCTCTTCCGCTTCGCGTTCGCGCGCGCGGGCGCGGTTCCCGTGGCCGCATCGGCGGCGGCGGCGGCGTCACCGGCGGCGGCGCGCGCGCGCATCGCCGCCGCCTCCTCGCTCGCTCTCCTCGCCGCCTTCGCGGCGTCTCTCTCTTGCTTCTTCCGCTGCTTCTCCAGCTCTCGCGCGCGTCGCTCGATGTCCGCGCGCGCGGCTTCGCCTTCCAGCTCCTCCGGCGTGGGCGCGTCCGGCGGATACTCCTCCATGTACTCCTTGAAGAGTTTCAGAGTTTTCTCGCCGACGCCGTGCAGCGCGTGCGCGTGCTCGAGGCTGCGCACGCGGTGCGGGGCCTGCGTCAGCGACCTGACCACTTTCCCCAAACTCATCGGCCACTGCGCGCTTCGGTCGGGGTCGTCGAGCGCTCGGAGCTCCGCGCGCTCCATCATCTTGTAGAAGTAGAGCGCGTACTCCACGTTCCCGGGGTGAACGCACGCGATGGTCGCGTTCGAGTGGCGCTCCCTCCGCGCGGCGGCGGCGTCCTCCGCGTTCGCGGCCGCCTGCGCGTTCGCGCGGGGGGGCATCTTAATTAGTTTATTCGATCTGTTTTCCTCCCCCGAGAGAGCGACGACGAGATCCGTTCCCCCCCTCGAACGCCGCCGCGGCGCGCGGACGGCCCCTTCCTCGTCGCGCCGCGGCGGCGCGTCGCGCGCGCGCGCGTCCGGCGAAGCGAAGCGCGCGCGCGAGCGAGGCGACCTCGTTCGAAGCCCGCGCGGTCGGCGGCCGCGGGGCGCCGCGACTTTTGAACGACGACGACGCAGCGACAGCGACAGCTTCTTCGAACGCGCTGCAGCTGCATCGCGCGATCGACGAAACCGCGTTGTTAGAGTTTTCCGCCGCAGACGTCGAAGGCTGGGCGCACGGCGGGCGCGATGCCGGCGACCCCGCCCGGGTTCGTGAACGTCGGGCACCACCTCGTGTACGCGGTCCTCGAGCCGCCGCGCGCCTCCTCGAACGGCGAGCGCGGCGCCGCGTCGACGACGACGTCGACGACGACGACGACGACGACGACGACGACGTCGCGGAAGAATCTCGACGACGCGATCCCCGACCTCCCGTCCGACGCCGATGCCCTCGCGTCTCGGCTCCCTCTCCCCGTGCGCGTCGTCGACCTCGGCGGCAGCGGGAAGTGGCGCCGCGGCGGCGAGCTCGCCGTGTACTTCTTCGGCGACGGCGACGGAAGAGAGGAAGAGCGCGAGCAGAGGGCGTACGCGCGGCGGACGATCGACGGCGCGCAGTCCGCGCTCATGGCGATCGCGTCGCTGTGCGTCCCCGATCAGATCCCGCTGCTCGGCGTCGCGCTCGCGGCGACCGCGACGGACGTCCCGGGCGAGATCTCCGTCGTCCTGAAGCTCGACGCGCTGCTGCCGGAGAAGGCGTGGACGGCGCCGCCGCCCGCGAACCGGCTGTGGGCGGCGGAGGAGCCGCCGAGGAACCCCAAGGCGTGCGCGGCGTGGGCGTGGGTTTTCGCGCGGCTGCGCGGCGAAGGGCACGCGCCCGGGATCGCGGAGGACCTCCCTCGCGGCGACGGCGGCGAAGGCGGCGCAGGCGGTGAGCGCGCGCCGGACGGGCCGGTGGGGCCGATCGGATGGAACGTCAGCGTCCTCGAGCAGCGAGAGAAGGCGAACAGGCTCATCGCGCAGGAGGCCGCGGCGGCGGCGGCGGCGGCGCGAGAGAACGGCGGCGGCGGTGAGGACGCCGCCGCCGCCGTCGTCGGCGACGACGACGACGAGGCGTTTTCGCTCGCCGCCGCGTTCGCGTCCGTGCCGTCGCCGACGGCGACGCGGCGCGCCATCCCGCCGAGCGTCGCCGCCGAGCGCGTCGCCGCCGCCGGTGCCTTCTTCGGCGAGCTCCCGGAGGAGGTCAGGCTCAGAATCTTAGGGATGCTCACGGGCGACGGCGGCGGCGGCGGCGGCGCGGACGGCGCGTGCGCCGACCTCGCGCGCGTCGCCGCCACCTGCCGGCTCCTGCGCGACGCCGCGAGGGAGACCGCGCCGGGTCTGCTGTGCACGCTGTTCCCGCATCAACGCGACGCGCTCCGCGCGCTCGTCGCGCGCGAGGCGGGCGGGTGCGGGAAGCTGGTGCCGCACCCGGGGCTGCGACGCGTCGTCGCGCAGCGGCGAGGCGACGACGCGAATTCGAAAACCAAAGCCGCCGAGGGACCGCCGTACGAAGCGTGGGTGCTCACTGTGGACATGAAGGACGGCGCGTACTTCCCCGGCGCGTTCCACGCCGGCCCGCGGCCGCCGTCGATGTACGCGGACGTCCGCGGCGGCGTCTTCGCGGACGACCCGGGGCTCGGAAAGTCCGTCACCGCGCTGGCGTTGGTGTTGCGGAGTCGCGGGACGCTGCCGTCGCCGCCGCCGGGCGCGGGGGAGATGACGTCCGGGACGCCGCCGTCGTACGCGGTGAGCGCGCCCGTGGACGACCCGCGCGCGCTGGAGCGGTGGTACGCGCGGCAGCCGTCCGCGGCGACGGACGAGGCCGAGGCGGTGGAGATTGAGAACGAGACGAGGGCGCGACGCGACGCCGCGACGCGGTGGGAAGAGGAAAAACGCGCCGCCGCGGCGGCGGCGGCGGCGGCGGCGGCGGCGGGAAAACCGAAAACGGAGGAGGAAGACGCGAAGAGGCGTCCGCTCGTCGTCACGATGCGATCGCCCGTGATGACTCGCGGCCACGCCTCGGGCGCGACGGTCGACGCGCGCGAGGACACGCCGAGAAGGACGACGTCGTTTTGGATCAAGTGCGACGAGGACGACTGCGAGAAGTGGCGTCGGCTTCCGCCCGGCTCCGCCGCGCCGAGCGGCGAAGGTCGGTGGTACTGCCAGATGAACCCGGATCCGAGATATAACTCGTGTCAGGCGCCGCAAGAGCCGGACGACCCGGAGGAGGTGATCTCGCTCGAGGTGGGGTGTTACGAGAAAGGCAAGGAGGAGCCCGGGCAGGAGCGTAACGTCCGACACTTTTACGAGATTCTCCGACAAACGTACAAAGAGGCGATCAACGCGGTGAAACCGGGGGACATGCGCGGCCTGTCGATGATCACCAGCGATCGAAAGTACGTCCGCACCGGCGCGGTCGCGCTGTGTAAGTGGCTGAGGAAGCACCGGGACTCCGCGAAGCTCGCGCCGGGCGGGGAGGGGATGCTCGCGCCCGCGGACATGGGCGCGTGCGCGAAGCGGATTTTGAGCAACGTGTACGTTCGAATCGACGCCGCCGCCGCCGCCGCCGCGGAGGCGGACTGCTCGGACGAAGAGACGCTCGCGGATATCATGCGAGAGAACGCGAGGGAGGCGAGGAACGCGAAGCGTCGCAAGACCGCCGGCGGCGGCAAGAACGGGAAAAACGGCAAGACGGCGACGGTTTCGAACGCGCCGCCGCCGAAGCGGAGGGTGTGCAAAGACACCGGCGTCGAGATCGGTCCGTGGGGACTCCCGGAGTCCTTCTCCCCGACGCTCGCGCTCGACATCGAAGCGCTAGAGATCGCGACCGAGCGGTACGACGAAGCGCAGGTGAAAGAGAATCGCGCGCGGACGGTGATCGGACAGAAGGACGTGAGAGAGCGCGAGAGCCAGTTTGGCCGCGGCGTGCGTCAGCGGCACCGCGAGGGCGTGACGAGTTCGCACGCGCTCGCGGCGGGCGACCCGCCGGAGACGCCGGGTTCGAACGGGGTGTCGAAAAACACGCGAGGCGCGCGGCTCGGCGGCGTCGGAAGCCCGGGGGCGTACACGCGCGCGGTGCGGATATTTCTCTCCCCCGCGACGCTCGTGATCGTCCCGGACGCGGCGCTGATCGAGCATTGGATCGGACAGGTGGGGACGCACGTCAACGCGCCGAATCGTCGCGGCGAATTCGGCCCGGGGATCTGGGGTGGCCCAGGGTTGGATAAACCCTTGCGCGTGCTCGCCGTCGGCGGCATGAGCCGGAAAGAAGCGGACGAGCTGTCGTCGACGACGCCGCGCGCGGGGGATCCTCCCGGGGTGACGCGCGCGGCGACGTTCCCGCCCGCGGAGACGCTCGCGAGGGACTACGACGTGGTCCTGAGCACGTTCGAGCGCATGTCCAATAAAACGCGCGACGCCGGAGAGGACATCCTGCGCGTGCACTTCCTCCGTCTGATCGTGGACGAGGGACATCTCTTAGGCTCGATCGGCGCGGAGACGACGCGCGTGCAGCGCGTGCGAGCGGTGCGCGCGGAGCGGCGGTGGATGATGACGGGCACGCCCGCGCCGGCGGTGCAGCACGGCGGCGGCGGCGGGGAAGCTTCGTACGGCCAAACAGTCTGCCCGCGCGACGCCGCCGCGGCGCCGCACCGCGCGGCGGCGGCTTTGCATCCGCTCCTGGACCTCATACGCGCCGCGCCGTTCGGGAGCTCGCGCGCGCTGTGGGCGGACGCGGTGCTGAAGCCGCTGCAGTTTAAGAAGGTGGAGGGCGCGTGGATTTTGAGACGCGCGCTCTCCAGGCTCGTCGTCCGCGCGTCGAAAGCCGAGCTCGGTTTACTCCCGCCGCTGACCAGACGCGCGGTGCGCGTGCCGTTCACGCCGTCGCACGCGGCGTCGTTTAACCAGCTCGCGAACTTGGTTCGGAGGAACTTGCTCATGGCGGACTGGAACGACCCGGATCATCAGGAGAGTTTGCTTCACGTCCGCCGGTCGCAATACGCGCGCGAGTTGTACTTGAACGTCCGGAAAGCGTGTTGCGTCGCCGGCGCGGTGCGTCTCGCGCCGCAGGAAGAGGACCTGTGCGAGATGCTCGTGTTGATATGCCAACGGCGAGGGCTTCCGACGCCGGAGGCGTGGGATTTCGACCTGCGCGAGGAGGGCGACGGACGCGGCTCGAGCGGCGGCGGCGGCGGCGGCGGCGGCGGCGGCGGCGCCGTCGTCGTCGGCGACCTTCCCGGCCTCCCGAAAAACGTCGTGACGTTTCAGGACCCCGCGCCGCGCGCCCACGCGACCGCGCCGTCCGTGCGCGGCGGCGAGGAGCGCGCGAGGAAGACCGAAGGCGCGCGCGGGCGCCTCCTCGGCGCGCACCTTCCCGGCGGGATCACCCCCGGGTCGTCCCCGCCGTGGCTGCCGCCGTCGCATCCGCTGTCGCGTCTCGAAGACGTCGTCCGCAACGGCGGCGACTGCGCGTCGTGCGCGACGCGCGTGAACGTGTCGCTGACGCCGCCGTGCGGGTGCGGCGTTCTGTGCCCGTCGTGCGCGGAGCGCTCGCCGAGGACGTGCGCGAAGTGTAACACCCCGTACGAGATGCAACCGGTCGAGGACCCGTCGCGTAAGGCGCACAACGACAACCCGAAGTGGGCGGTCCCGAGAGAGCTCATCGAGTGGCAGCCCGCGTACGCGGGCGTCGGCGCGGAAGGCCACCGCGGCGGCACGTGGACGGACGACTGGCGGAGCACGGACTCGTCGAAGGTCACGTGGCTGCTCGAGCGGCTGAGAAGCGCGGGCGCGGCGCCGCCGGAGGACGCGAGCGACGCCGCGCGCGAGGACGCAGAAGCGGCGGCGACGCGCGTTTTCACGGCGGAGGGAATGGAATGGATCGGCGAAGCCGGCGGATTTAACCGCTGGGAACCGCCCGTTTCTCTCGACGCCGACGACGCCGATGCGCGCGACCATCATCGCGACGACCTCTTCGAGAAACCGATGAAACCGCCGCCGATCGGATGGCGCGCGTCGCGTAAAGCCGTCGTGTACTCCGCGTTTTGGGAACACGTCGCGTTGATTCGCGCGCGGCTGCGCGCCGAAGGCGTGCCGCACGCGACGATGCTTCGACACGAGCGCGCGTCGATCAAAGCGTCCGAGCTCGAGCGGTTCCGGCACGACCCGACGTGCGGCGTTCTCGTCATGGACACGTCCGGGGTCGTCGGCCTGGACCTGTCCTTCGCGTCGCTCGTGATCGCCATGGAGCCGGTGCCCGACGGCTCCGTCCTCGCGCAGCTCGAAGCGCGCGCGCACCGGATGGGTCAGGCGCGTCCCATACACTGGTCCCCATACGACCGCGTTCGCGTGGTGAACGCCGATCCTTAAGGACTTTTCCCGCCGCATCTCTCCGCCCAGGGTCCCTCGCTTTCAATCCCCGCCCTCGGCGCCTTTCAAATCCACTTCTGACGCCTTTGAACTCCACCCCGACGTTCGCTTTGTATGGAACGGCCCTCCCTCAGACACGCGCGGTCGAGGTCGAAGTCCTCGCGATGAGAGGCTGCGCCGCGGAGGAGGCGATGCTCGCCACCGTGGACGCGAAGCTCGCGGCGGAGCTCGCGGCGTCCGCCGCGTCCGCCGCGGCGACGCCGACGCACGCGTCGATCGAACGCGCGTGGGCGCACATCGCGACGACGGCGAGGACCGACGGCGACGGCGATCGCGCGGGGGGCGACGACGGCGACGGCGACGACGACGACGACGAGCTCGCGCGGTCGTGGAGCGGGATGGAGGAGAACGTCGACGCGGAGAGGGCGCGGCATAAGCAGTGCCTCGCACTCGTCAGGGCGGTGCCGTTGGTGGGGTAGAGACGGGGGACGTGGTAGTCTACGAGTGCGGCGTGGCGCGCGGTTGTCTCGTCGCGCGCGCACGCGAAAGTGGCCCGCGCGCGTCTCCCGACGTCGTATCACACGAACTATTCGAACTATTCGTCTTCGTCGTCGTCTTCTTCTCCTCCTTTCTCCTTCTTCTTCTTCGGAACGTCCTCGTCGTCGTCGTCTCAGCTGCCCGCCGCGAAGTCCATGCCGCCGCCGCCTCCCGTGTCCGCGTCGAAGAACCCTCCTCCGCCGCCGCCGCCGCCGCCGCCGCCGCCGCGACCGCCGCCGCCGCCGAACATGTTCCCGAGCATGTACCCGCCCAGAAGGCCGGCGCCGCCTGCGGGTGAACGACGGGGCGGGCGGGGCGGGAAGCGGCGGTCGGTCACTAGCGAGTCTTGCCGTACTCGTACTCGGGCGGCGGTGGGTTTACGACGCGTTCGGCGGCGGGCTTATCGGCGGCGCGGTCGGTTCCGGACGCGGCGGCGACGCCGTCGTCGTCGCCGTCTGAAACGGCGGCGGCGTCGGCGCGCGCTGAAACGCCGGTCCCCGCGCGCCCCCGGTCGAGTCGTCCACCGGAACGCCGAGCACGGTCCCGCGCGGCAGTTGCGCGACTGCCGTCGCCGTCGGATCCCGCTGGAGCTCGGCGCTCGGTCGATACACGGGCGCGGTGGTCAACCCGGGCGTCGCGGGAGTCGTTTGCGTCATCGTACCAGCGCTGGCGAGGTTACTGAGGGTCGTTCCGTACGAAGCGACGTCGGGGCGGAGTTCAGAGGCGCGTCAGTTGAAGTTGAAAGGCGGCGGACGCGATCGGGAATCGAAAGCGAGGCGCGATCGGCGGGCGCGAAAGACCAGTGTGAGATAGAACGCGCCTCATCCCGTATCCGCGATTCGAACGCGGCGGCGCCGCGGCGAACATCGGCTGCCCGCGGGCGTCGTGCGCGATGGGCTGCTGCCCCGGGTACTGCGGGAACGCCGCGTACGAGTACGTCGCCCCTCTCGCGGGCTGCTCCGACGGCTTCTTCAGGCACATGTAGCAGCACGTGCCGATGCACGCGATGGGAATGATAAGAGACAGCAACGCGTACCACGGGCTCACGTTTCGGAGCTCCGAGGCGGCTGAGGAGGAGGAGGAGGTGCTTCGGCAGCGGTACGCGCCGTCCGCGGCGACGCACGACGCCCCGGACGCGGGGCAGCAGTACGGCTGCGCGACGATCACGCCGCAGCACTGGCCTCTGGAGGAGGAGCGGAGAGGGCGGGCGGCGACGATGAGCGGCGAGGCGAGAGAGAGAGAGAGAGAAAGATAAAGACGCGGACGCACGGTTGCCCTCGGAAGGCCGCGGAGCAGTCGCCGCCGCGGCAGCACTCGTCGCACGCGGACACCGCGGGCGCGTCGTTCGCCGGCGGCGCGGGAGAGGGCGACGCCTGCGCGAGTCGCGCGGTCGCGTTCGCGTCGTCGTCGTCGGCGGCGGCGGCGGCGGCGGCGGCGGCGGCGCGCGCGGCGTACGCGCGAACCTCTCTCACTGCCTCTTCCGCCTCTCGTCTCTGCTGCGTGACGAACTCGCGTGCGTCTTTCCGCGTCGGCCACCGTTCGCGGTCGTGGTCCGCGAGCGCGGACGTCGGGAGGAGGACGAGCGCGAGCGCGAGGACGAGGACGCGCGGGGCGAGGCGCGAGCGGAGGCGCATCGCGTTCGAGCGCGCGCGGGGAGGAAGTGACGCGCGCGGTATCGCGCGCGCGGAGACGTTGCGATACGCCTCGGGGATCTCTCCTCGGACGGCGCGAAAAGAGAACAAAGAAGGGGCGCTTCTTCGTTTGTCCATGTCTACCTAATAAGTGCTACGTCGCCGCGCGTCTCCTCCTCCCCGCCGCCGCCTCCGTCCGTCCGTCGCTCCTCCGTCGCTTCTCATCAGTACAGCAGCAAGACCACGGTGACGATCACGCCGAACCCGAGAATCTTCAGCGCGCGCCACATTCGCGGGTCGGCGAACAGCTCCTCCACCGTGGGCTCCTCGCTCCACGCCTTGCCGTCGGCGCTGTCGCGCGAGCGATTGCGTCGGTGCAGCGACGCGTTGTACACCCCCGAGGAAGAGAGCGGCGTGTAGTTTGGGTTCAACTTCGACCCGCCGTTCGTCGTCGGCGTCGGGAACGTGAAATCACCGTCGGTGCCCGCCATGTTCGCGCGAGGGTCGCGTGCTGCGCGCGGCGCGGACTGCGACCACGGCGACGTCATCGAAGTTTCCCGAGCAGCAAACGGGCGAACGCGTTCTGTTTTCGCTGACGCTGCGCGCGGAGTTTAAACGCCCCGCGTTTCGAGAGATCGCGCGGCGTCACTCACTCCCGGCGTCGCTGGCGCGCGCACATGTCCTTCGCGTCCTTCGCGAACTCCAGGGTATCCTCCCCGCCGCACGCCCCGATGCTCGCCGCCGCGGCGACGCGCGCGACGCGCCGCAGCGCGCGCGCGACGCTCCGCTGGATCGCGCACCCGACGCGGTCGTCGCCGTTCGCACACGGCGGGAGCGCGCGCTCCGCGACGACGCACGCCGCGGCGGCGCCCGCGCCGCAGGGCGGCGCGAAGGACGCGTCGTCGCGGCAGCAGCCCGCGGGCGCGCCGCCGCCGTCGACGCGAGCGCAGCAGCAGGCGCAGGACCGAGCGAGGCAGGCGCAGTGGCAGCGGCAGCAGCAGCAGCAGCAGCCGCAGCCGCGGCCGTCGCATCAACAACAGCAGCAACAGCCGCAGCGCGCGCCTCAACAACAACGGCAGGGCGGCGGCGGCGGCGGCGCGTACGGCGGCGCGGCGCAAACGCCCGCGCGCAACGGCGGCGGCTACCGCGGCATGCTCCCCGAGGAGATCGACGCGTTGTACCACCAGATGCAGCACCTCGGGTCGCAGTGGGCGGATCTCCACGCGGAGGCGGAGCTCCTGGAGGAGTCGAAAAAATGCGTCCTCGCGTCAATCACGCTCCACTACATGAACGACGGCGACAGCAAATCGCAGGGCGAGGCGAGGGCGTTCGCGGCGCCGGAGTACAAGGAGCACATCAACAAGATGGTCGAAGCGCGGAGGCGCGCGAACCAGGCCAAGGTGGAGTTCGAGGGGATCAAGACGCACATGAACCTGACGAGGACGTACGAGGCGTCGAGGCGGGAAGAGATGAAGATGTTGTGATTTTTGATCGCGTCGCGATCGCGGCGAGCGAGAGCGGGCGTCGGGACGCGGGACGGAGCCGCGTTTTGTAATTGATAAGCTGCATCTTAACGGACGCGTTGTTTCGGTTACATTTTTTTTCATTTCGCCCCCGCGTCGCGTCGCGTCGCGTCGCTCGCCGCGGCGCCCCTCCTCTCGATCAAATCAACGCAGAATCCCCGCCTTGGCGCACTCCACCACCTTGCACAACTTGGCGCACAGCCCGGCCATCTGCAGCAACGAGTTCACGCCGTCACCGACGCGCATGTGCATGAACCCGATCTCGCGAATAAACTCCAGCTTCACAAACTCCGGCATCGCCTCGCTGTTGAAATTCTTCGTGACTCTGTACACCGTGCCTATGATGTCCATCGCGCTGAACCCGGCGGCGTACAAAAATTTAATCCGATCGTACGCGTCGTCCACGTTGCCGCGTAAGCAGTGCGTGAGCATGTCGGAGATCACCTGCGGGTGCGGCTGATCGCACACCTTGAACACGTTCTCCTGGTTCACGTACCCGAACCCGCTGTGCGTCGCCTGCAAGTTATTGAGCGCCTGCCGCATGTCCCCGTCCGCGGTGAACACGACAGCCTCCAGCCCGTCCGGAACGTACGGCACCTCCTCCTTCTCCACGACTTTCGGGGTCGAGGGTCCATACGAGCGAACGTCGGGGTGGAGTTCAGGGGTGCGTCAGAAGTGGATTTCAAAGGCGTCGCGGGCGGGGATCGAAACCGAGGGACCCTGGGCGGAGAGACGCGCCGGGAAAAGTCCTTAAGGAACGGCGTTAACCGCGCCGACGCGGTCGTTTGGGAACCGGTGTATAGAACGCACCTTTCATCACGCGCTCCAACACCTCCTGGTCGCTCAGCCGCGTGAACCGCACGATCGCGCATCGCGACTGGATCGGCTCGATGATCTTCTCGCTCGCGTTGCACGCGAGCGCGAAGCGCGTCGTGTTGGAGTAGATCTCCATCGTCCTACGCATCGCCTGCTGCGCCGCGGACGTCATCGAGTCCGCTTCGTCGAGGAGGACGATCTTAGGGCCGTTCCATACAAGCGAACGTCGGGGTGGAGTTCAAAGGCGTCAGGTGGAGTTGAAAGGCGCCGAGGGCGGGCGTTGAAAGCGAGGGGTGAGCGGAGAGAGACGCCGGGCAAAAGCCCTTAAGGATCGGCGTTCACATCGCGAACGCGGTCGTATGGGGACCAGTGTATAGAACGCGCCTTATGCCTCCCCGGCGGGAGCGTCACCTTCTTCTGCGCGAACATCTTGATCTTGTTGCGCACGACGTCGATCCCGCGGTCGTCCGACGCGTTCAGCTCGAGCACGGCGTCCTTGTACGCGGGCCCGAGGAGCGTGTGCGCGAGGCACAGGATGGACGTCGTCTTTCCGATCCCGGGCGGTCCGCTGAAGATGAGGTTCGGGACGTTGCCCGTGGCTGCCATCGCGGCGAGGCGCTCGACCGCGTCCGCGTTGCCGACGATCTCGTCGATCTTCGTCGGGCGGTACTTCTCCACCCACGGCAGAGTGCTGTTCTTGGACGCGGCGGTCGCCATCTCGAGAGGAGAGCGAGTCCGCGCGGCGAGATCTCGTTCTCGTTCTCGTTCTCGTTCTCGTTTCGCCGCCGACGCGAGGTGGGCACGCTTCTTCTTTTCAAAAAAACGAACGCGCGACGCGACGACGAGAGCGCCGTATCAACACAGCACGCGCGGACGCTCGCGGGTTCGGTCGAGCGCGTTCGCTTCGCGTCGCGCGGTCGGGTGTCGCGGAGGGGCGCGCGCGCGTCGTGGTGTGCGGCGGTGGGAGGGCGCGCGCGCGAGGTCGATCGATCAAGTTTTCGAAATCGGGTCGGTCGCAAAACACTGTGCCAACCTGGTGCCAACCACGACCGACCCTCGACGACACTTCCGCCCGCGCTCGCCGACCCGCCCGGCCGCCGCGGCGACATGACGCGCGCGCGGGGCGTCGCCATCGCGCTCGCGGCCGCGCGCGGCGCCGTGGCGGCGCGCGCCATCTCGCGCGACGACGGCGACGACGGCGGCGGCGGCGGCGGCGCCCCCGCCGCCGCTCGGTGCGACGCGACGTGTCAGACTCTGGCGCACCTCGCGAGCGGGCTCGTCCTCTTCTGGACCGTCCTCGGCGCCGTCCTGTTCGGTATCGCGATGCTGCACAACCTGGACACGCCGACGATGTTCGAGCCGCCGAAGGAGGAGAGAGAGCGGCGACGGTGGTTCCGATGAGCGCGCGCGAGATGGGTAGCCCTAGCTAGAGACGCGACGCCGCGCGGAGCGCGAACGACGAGCGCGAAAGTTTCCCCTCGCGCCACTCTGCCAGCGTCCCGAGAACCAAACTCGTCCGCATTTTTGCGTTCGTTTTCGGCGCGTCCGAGGACACGAAACGACACTGTCGCTCGCGCGCGCACGCGGACGTCGCGCACCGACCCCCAACCCGCACCCCTCCGCGCCCGCGCGCGCGCCCGCGCGCGATGAAGTTCGGCTCCTTCCGCGGCGTCTCCAAGGGCGACGTCGCGCCGCCGAAGAAGGACAGAGACGCGAACCTTCCGTCCGTCCTGCGCCGGTTCGGCGCGGTGTCCCACGGCGTGAGGAACTACATCCATCACGTGCGTCCCCGTCCCGTCGCCTCGCCGCGTCGCCCTCCTCGTCGTCGTCGTCCCGTCGCTCGCGTCCGCGCGTCGCGATCGCCCGTCGCCGATCGCGCGCGCGTCGCGACGCGCGGGGTCGGACGCGCGTCGTCCCGGACCCCTCTCGCCGCGCGCCGCGCCGGATCGGGCGCTCGCGCGTTCCGACCAAATCTGACATCATTATTCATTCCCCGAAACGGCCTCGGCCGTCGCCGCGCGCGCAGGCGAACCTCTTGTTCTTCTTGACGCTGCTCGCCATCTCGATCTCGTTCGCGGTATTCATCGTCCCGGGGCTGACGGACACGGCGCCGTACGTCATCTCCGCGGAGAACGACAAGTGCTTCGCCAAGTCCGAAACGGTCTGCGAGAACGAGGTCGAGTGGAGGTTTCACTTTTGGAACCTCACGAACGCGGACGACGTCGTCGCCGGCACCGCGCCGCCGGTGCGTGCGACGAAGAAACGCCCGCATTTCAACCGTTTATTACTGACTATTTTTATTTTACTCGCTCGCTGCGTCGCGTGCCCGCGAGTGCGCACCAACGAAACGAAAGCGCCGCGGAGTCGTTCTTCGCTTTACTCACCGCGTCCCCCCGCCCTCTTCTCCCGACGACAGGCGCTCGTCGAAGTCGGCCCGTTCGCGATGCACAAGACGAAAGCGGTGAAATCCAACGTCACGTTCTTCGACGACGGAAACAAAGTGTCGTACACCGAGATTCAGTACGCGGAGTACGACACCGCCAACTTCTGCGACGGATGCTCCCTGGACGACGTCATCGTGTCGTTCAACCCGGCGTATTACACCCTCGTGAAGATGTACGGCTCGGAGGCGAACTTTCTGTACACGCTCACGCCGCAGGTGCTCCCGCCGATCCTCGACGGGCTCGGCGCGCTCCTCTCCGCGCTCGCGGGCTCCCCCGCGGACCCGAGCGGCGAGATCTCGACCGCGGTCGCCGCCGGCGCCGCCGCGGTGACGACCCTCGCGCTGAAGCAGTGGGGCGACTGCTCCGGTGCGTTCTACGCGCCGGTCCCCGTGCGACCGCGTTGGCGCGGTGACGCCTTTCCTTGAGGACTTCTCCCGGCGCATCTCTCCGCCCAGGGTCCCTCGCTTTCAATCCCCGACCGCGACGCCTTTCTCAACTCCGTCTGACGCACCCCTGAACTCCACCCCGACATCGCTTCGTATGGGCGATTACTCTCAGTCCTCGGCGACACGATCCTCAACATGGGGCTCCCCGCCGCGTACACCGCCGCGTTTCCCGTGGCGCCCGAGTTCGGGTGTTACGCCGCGACCTACACCGGGATGGCGGCCGGCATGATCGGCGTCGACGCGACCGGCGCGCTCGCGGTCACGACCGCGCTCACCGCCGACCCGACCGGGATGGCCGTGCTCGGGGTGTTACAGACCTCGGACGCGACCAACGCGGCCAACTGGGGCATCAGCCCGGCGGTCGCGCCGCTCGTCAAGGCGTACCTGGTGTACTTCAACACCAACTACAACCAGCCCGCGGGCGCGACCGCGATGGGGCCGTGGCTCGGCGGCTCCTCCTCCGGAATCTTCATCGCGCGGACCGTCCGCGAGTGGCTCGAAGGGTACGTCGACCCGCTGACGTCGTCCGTGTACGCCGCGTCGGATCCTCGGAGGCTCGTGAGAACCGTGCACGGCGTGTATCCGCTGAGCGACCTCGACGCGGGGAGCTCTGTCGATCGATACCAGGACGTCGTGACGCACGTGACGGACAAGTCGGAGTGGCGCGGCGTCGGCGCGACGCCGTGGGTCGTCGCGACCGGGAAGGACGATCCGGACAAAGTTTGGGACGTCCTCGCGTCCACGAAGGGCGACGCGCAAGGCGGGTCCTACGCGTATAACACCGGCCACGTCGAAGCCGTCGGAGGGAAGCACTTCTGGCAGGCGATTTACCCGAAAGTCGCGAACAAGGGCACCGGCCTCGGGACCCTCGGCGAGGTCACGACCTGGTTCGACATCGGCGCCGGTCTCGACATGGGCCGCAAGGTGAAGCTGCAGTACCGCGGCGATTACGACTTGCCGCACAAGAAGAACACGATGGTTCGCCTGTACAACTACGAGTTCGTCGACGAGGCGCGTCTCGTCTTTTATTCGACCCGCCATCGCTCTTCTCGCTCTCTCGCCGCGCGAAAACGCACTTACGGCGACTCGCGCGCGTAGTATGCTCACATCACCCACCACGTTTCCGCGCGCCCCACGCACAGGAGCTCCACGCGTGCCCGATGAACGTGGCGAACTGCGACTACGACGTCAAATTCCAAGGCGCGTGGGACGTCAGCGATCACACCGCCATCGAGACCGTCGTGACGATGCCGCACGCGTACAACGCGGACACGCGCCTGTTCGGATACATCGACCCCACGTCCGCGTCGTGCCCGTTCCAGCCGAACAAGACCGCGCACGACTTCGAGTGGGAGATCTTAAAGTTCACCGGCAACGTCATGGGCGCGAGCGCGCGGTATCAGATGAACTGGCAAGTGAAGCCTACGGACGTGTACTACCCCAATTTGTGGCAGCCCGTCGCGGGGTCTTCCCTCGACGGCGACGCCACGGACGGGATCTACGTCCCCGGGTCGTGGTCGTCCGCGTCGTACCGCGTCGCGCACTCCGTGATCGAAGACATCGTGAACGACGTCGCGTACGTCATGGGCGCGCTCGCGATGTTTTACGTCTTCCTCCCGGTCGGGTGTTTGATTTTCATCGTCATCGCGATCGTGTCTCTGTACGTGCGTTCGCGCGTGCGCAACGCGCGGCAGAAGATCATCGACGAGCACAAGCGGGCCGAGCGCGAGCGCCACTCGCTGATCGCGCTCAACGGCGGCGGCAAGGCTGGTTTCCAGCGCGATCCCGACGATAACAACGGTAACGGTCACGTATCGGGCGTTAGAAACGAAAGCGCGTATGAGCCGCCGCCGACGGCGTTCACGGACGAGGACGCGCACGAGGAACGGATCCGGTCCGGGTTCTGGGCGCCGTCCGCGCCGCCCAAGGGCGAGGACGTCGCGAAGGACGCCGACGCGCGCGGCGACGCCGTGGACGACGACGACGACGTGACCACGGTCGTCGTCGACGTCGAGGCGCCCGCGCTGAAGACGGACAAGGCGTGAGCGACGAGCGCGCGCGCCGCCGGCTCCGAACTGTTTATATTTTTTTGTCAAGTTAAATGAGATCCATCTTCGGTCGAGTCGTCACCTTCGTTCGCGCGCGCGGCGCGTTCGCGGTCGTCGTCGGCGGCGGGCGACGCGCGCGCGCGCGCGTCGCCGCGCCCGCGGCGTCCTCCGCGCGACCGTATCGCCCGAAACCTCGTCGCGTCGGTCGCGAGGAACCATCACGAGGACGAACCAGAGATGAAACACGGCACCCTCGCCCCCGTCGCGTTCGCGCTCGCGACGCTGTGCGTCTACGCGTCGACGATGTACCCGTCCGCCGCGGGCGGCGACGCCACGGAGTTCGCGTTCATCGCGTGCGACTTCCCCGCGGTGCCGCACCCGCCCGGGTACCCCACGTTCGCGCTCCTCACCGCGTTCGCGTCGCGCGCGTTCAGAGCGATGCGGTTCGGGGGACCCGCGTGGGGATCGAACTTCGCGTCCGCGTCGTGCGGCGCCGCCGCGTCGGGGGTTCTCTACGCCGCGATTCGCGACGCGGTCGGGGGTCGTCGCGAGGGTTCGACGACTATCGCGACGCACGCCGCCGCGGCGTTAGGCGCCGGGCTGTTCGCGTGCGGGAAGAACACGTGGACGAACACGATCCAGTCCGAAGTCTTCGGACTCAACAATCTCTTCGTCGCCGCGGCGGTGTACTTCACCGTCGCGTTCGCGCGCGATAACGCGGTTGGCCCCGCCCCCGACCGGTCAGCGGCCGCGTTCAAGCACGCGCTGAAAGGCGCGTTCACGTGCGGTCTCGCGATGAGCAACCAGCACACGTTCGCGCTCGTCGGCACCCCGCTCGCGACGTGGGTTTTACTCCGCGGGCTTTTCGCCGGCGCGAAGTCGCTTCGGTCGCCGTCGCGGCTGCTCGCCGTGCTCTCGGTCCCGTTCCTCGGCCTGACGCCGTACGCGTACCTCGTCCTCGCGTCTGGGACGCGACCGGGGTGGCGGAATGGGCGTAACACCCCGAGAGGGGGTAACACCCCGGGGGCGTGGGGCGAGACGCGCTCCCGGGACGGTTTTTGGACGCACGTGACGCGCGCGGAATACGGCACGTTCACGCTGTTCAGCGGGGAAGGCAGCCGCGACCACAGGGCGCGGCTGGGGATCACGAGATACGCGAGGAACCTTCACGACGACACCGGCGGGATCGCGCCGTGGCTTATGCTCGCGGCGGTGATCGGGGGCGTGTCCGCGTGGGCGCGAGAGAGGCGGCGGCGGCGGCGGCGTCGGCGGCGGAATGAAAAAAACGCTTCCGACGCGACGACGGAGACGCGTGAACTCGCGCTCGCGGGGTCTTGTCACGGATTAGCGCCCGTCGTCGTCGCGTACGCGCTGTACACCGTCGGGTTTCAGCTGCTCGCGAACTTGCCGATCGAGAAGGACCTGTACGCGGGCGTGTCGAGACGGTTTTGGATGCAGAGCGACGTCCTCGCGGGGTTCGTCGCGGGCGCGGGCGCGGCGTTCGCGACGTCTCGGACGATCGCTCTCCTCGCCCTGGGAGGGGACGGTCGCGGTCGAGGCGCGATGCGAAACGACGCGAACGCGAACCGTCGCCGCGCCTTCTTCGAGTTCGCCGCCCTCGGGATCGTCCTCGCGCTCCTGTGCTCGAGAGTCGTCGCGGACTACCGAGCGATGGACCAGAGCGGAAACGCGTACTACGAGCGCTTCGGACGCGAGATGCTGCGTCCGCTGCCGAAAGGCGCGCGGCTCATCGTCCGCGGGGACCTCATCACGAACAGCGCGCGGTACGTCCAGCGGTGTTTGGGATACAGAAAAGATGTTCAGATGGTGGACATGGCGATGCTGACGTACAAGTGGTTCGTAAAGACGCAGTCGGGTAACTTCAAGTCGTTTCACTGGCCGGGGACGCACTACCACCCGAACGAGCCGCCGCACGGGTTTAGCATGCGAGCGCTGCTTGATTTGAACTATCACAAGGACAGCTCCGCGATATTTCTCGCGGGCGGGTGGCACGACGACGATCCTTCCACGGTCGGTCACTACGACACGATGCCGTTCGGGATCGCGGACGAGATCGTGAAGCTCCCGGCGGCGGGCGGCGCGGCGACGCGGGGGTTGCCGTTCAAGTCTCCGAAAAAGTTTTACAAGCGTCGGGCGAAGGCGCTTCCGAACATGACGTTCGGCGACGGCGGCGGCGGGAACTTCGCCTCGCGCGCGATGTCGCGGCACGTCCTGCCGCGGTTCGGAGGAGACAGAGAGGTATCCCTCGCGGAGAAGTACCCGGAAGGGACGTGGGAGCGCGTCGTGATGACAGACTACTACGGCGCCCGGCATAAGCTCGCGCACGCGTTGCTGAGTTATGGCATCGCCGCGGCGGACGTCGCGACGCGCGAGAGCGGCGACGACGACAGCAAAGCGAAGGACGATCGCGTGTACGCGTTCGAGACGAGCGCGGCGATCATCGAGGCGTGCGTCTCCGAGCACCCGCCGCCGGTGCCGTCGTTTTATTACCGGAATCTGGGCATCTGTCGCCAGCGCGCGTGGGGGGAACGGCGGGAGAAGACGGAGCACCACGCGAAGATGGTGACCGCGTTTAAGGCGTACCTCGCCGCGGTCGACGCCGAGGGCGGGGAGAGGGAAGGGGGGTACGACGCGATCGCGGGGATCGTTCTCGAGGCGGAGAGAGGGAGCATGGTCGCGTGACGTGCTCGTAGGAAGTAGAATGTGAGTTCTCAGTGATGTGCAGCTCGAGAGGAAAAAACGCTCAGCACCATCACCACAGGATTTCAAACTCGCACTGCGGTCCCGCGCGCGGGCTGGGCCGCCACGATGGCGGAGACGCAGCTGATGTCGACGCAGCTGCTCCCGGCCGACGCGGAGCCTCCGGGCTCCGCCCTGCTCGGAGCGTCCGCGGCGTCGCCTCTGCTCGGGGGCACGGGCGGAGCGACGGGCGGAGCGACGCCGCTCGTCCCCGGCGCGACCATCGCGGCCGCGCCGACGCTCGAGGTGAGCCCGTTCGGCGAGGGCGTCGCGCCCGCGGCCGCGGCGTCGCCGCCCGCGGCGTATCGCGCGCGCGCGGACGACGTCGTCGTCGACGACGACTTCGCGGCCGCGGAGACGCAGCCCGTGGACGACGACGCGACGCAGGCGCCCCCGGACTGGACCGGCGACAGCGACGAGGAGGAGGACGCGATGGCGGTGGACGCGGAGGACGACGACGACGCCGCGCGATACGCGGGCGCGACGTGCCCGGCGCCGTCGATGTCCGAGGAGGACGCGGACGACGACGACGCGTTCTTCGCCGCGGCGACGCAAGCGGTGGGACGAGCGCCCGCCGCGACGGCGGACGCGGAGACTGATGGGATCCGCGAGGACGGCGGAAAGCGCGACTTTTCAGAAGCGGCGGCGACAGCTGTCGCCGTCGGCGGCTCCGACGCCGACGCCGACGCGGCGACCGTCTCCACGGGCGTGCCGGACAGCCAGGCGACGTCCGCGGGCGGCGGCCGCGGCGGAAGCGTCGGCGGGCCCGCGCGGACACCGAGCGAGGGGTGGTACCGCAAGGCGTCCGCGTCGGCGCCGTCGGTCGAGAGGGCGCCAGCTGTCGTCGGCGGAGGAGGAGGCGACGGAGGGAAAGAATCGGAATCTTTCGGCGGCGGCGGCGGCGGCGGGAGCTCCGGCGCGCCCGGTTTCTTGACCACCGCGACGAAAGCCGCGGCGTGGGAGAACGCGGGCGGGATGTACGTCGACACCCAAGCGATGGCGCCGTCGAAGTCGGCGTCCGACGGCGCGGTCGAGGACTCGCAGCCTTCGGCGGCGGCGGCGGCGGCGGATTCGGACTCGGACTCGGACTCGGACTCGGACACCGAAGAGCCCGAGTCCGCGCCGCATCTCATCGCGCTGGACCTCCCCCCCGCGCTCGTCCCCGCGGAAATCAGCGACGACAGCGACTTGGACGACGACGACTTGGACGACGACGACGACGACCTGAACGCGCCGCCGCCGGCGTGGAGCGCGTACAGGCTCGACGGCGCGGGCGGCGTGAAGGGCGCGACGGGGATCGAGGCGTTCGCGGACGTGGGGAAGGACAGCGACGAGGAAGAGAAGAAGCCGGATCCGAGCGGGCCGAGACGGAGCGGCCGCGCGAGGAAACAGGTGTTGGCGTCGCCGCCGCCGGCGCCGGCGGCGGCGGCGAAGGGCGGCGGGGCGAGGAAGAAGGCGCGGTCGCCGTCGCCGCCGACGCGGTCGCGGTCGCGGTCGCCGTCGCCGCCGCCGGCGTCGCGGCAGTCCATACCGACGGTGTCCGAGGCGAAGACGGACGTCCGGTGCTTGTCCCCGAGAGCGGCGAGGGCGGTGATGGAGAGCGCAAAGAAGGCGGAGACGTTGCCGCGGACGGCGAAGCGGCGGAAATCGTTCGAGGTGAAGGTGGTCTGGTCGCGGTCGCCCGCGGCGTCGCCGAAATCGAATCCGTTGGAAGTCGTCGAGGAGGAGCCGGGGGCGGGCGCGGCGCCCGTGCCCGCGGCGACGAGGAGCGTCCGCGGCGGGAAGCCTCCGCCGGCGAGACGCGGCGGCGGCGGCGGCGGCGGCGCGCGCACGTCGCCGGCGCGAAAGAAGCTGCGAACGGCGACGACGACCGCGGTCAAGGTGCTCGTGTCGTCCGCGCTCGCGGCGAAGGACGTCGAGGCGACGACGACGGCGATAAAAAAACTCGGCGGCGAAGTCACGACGTCGACGAGAGACTTCACGCACTTTCTCACGGCGAAACCGCTCGGGCGGAGCAAGAACGTCCTGTGCGCGCTCATGATGGGACGACCGATCGTCACGGAGACGTGGGTCACCGCGTCGACGCGCGCGGGAGGGTTCGTGGACGCGGGCGACCACTTGTGCCGCGACCTCGCGTTCGAACGCGCGCAAGGGTTCGACATGAAGGCGACGCTGGAAAACGCACGCGATATGTGCGTTTTCCGTCAGCGACGGATACACGTCATCGCTCCATCGAAAGGCGCGGTCGCGGGAAAAATCGGTTTAATCGTCGAGCTCGCGAGCATCGCGAACGCGGCGGCGACGGAGACCGAGGCGGAAAAGTCGGCGCCGGACGACGTCGTGATCGTCGCCGCCACGGGTGAAAAGTCGGCGCCGGACGAGCGCGTGTCGCGGCGGTGGAGGAACAAGGGCTACGACTTGTACGACCCCGAGGATGTTTTGAGAGCGATCGTGAAGCACCAGTGGAAGCCGCGGAGATAATACGCGTAGGAACGTAGCGATAGAACGAAGGACGAAGAACCAATCGGACGAAGTGAATACAGTAGACTAACAACGGATTTACAACGAGAAAGCTTCGCGAGAGCACCACCCACGACAACACGATGTACAACACGATCATCCCCCCCTCCCTTCCCCCCTCCCCACGCAAATCGAATCGAATCGAATCTCGCGGACGCGTCACTCCCCGTCGTCCCCCGCGTGCGCGGCGTCCCTCCCTTTCTTCACCTTCCCCTTCGGCTTACTCCTCACCGTGCGATAAAACTCGCGCATCGCGTGCTTGTCCCCGCCCGCGCCCGCCGCCTCCGGGGACACGACCGTCGCGCCCCCCACCGCGTTCCCTCTCACGCACATCCTCCCCGCCTTCTTCTCGAGCTCCCACACCGCCATCTTCTCCTCGTGCCTCGCGATCTTCGCCTCCCTCGCCGCGATCTCCTCCGGGCTCGGCCCCTCCTCCGGCCGCAGCGCGAGGTACGCGTTTTTCCACGTCTTTCGCTGTTTCGGCGGCCGCCCGGGCTTCTCCGGCGCCATTCCCGGCTCGTACCACGCGCTCGCGCAGTGCGGCCACCACGCGGCGTCGCTGTCGACGCACTTCCGGTACTTGCACTTCTCTTTCGGCGGGCACACGCATCGCTCCGCGAGCGCGGCGAGCTCCGGCGCGGTGAGCCGCGCGACGCGCGCGAGGACCGCGGTCTTATCGAACACGCCGTCGAGCGCGGGGTTGCACCGCGCCTCGAGCGGGCAGATCTCCTCCATCGGGTCCTCCCAGCTGCCGTCCGAGTCTCGGGGGACGGCGTCGCCGTCGTCGTCGTCGTCCGAGCCCGAGCCCGAGGGCGCGTCGGGGTCGGCCGCGGCGGGGGGCATGACGAGAGCGTCGGCGACCCCCTCGCGGCCGCGGCGCGAGATAACAATGTGAACGTTTTATCGTTGCTCGGCTCTCGACTCTCGAGCCGAGGAAAAAGTTGCACTCCAATCTCCAACAGGTTAGAAAACCTGAATGGGCCTGGTCGGGAACAGCTCCGCGGAGTGAGAAAACCATCGCTTCGCGCGTCCGCGCGCCCTCTTTCAGACGCACGCTGGCACGCGTATCGTCGTAGGCGTCAACATGGACAAGGTGCGCTTCATCCCTGGCATCGTTTGAGCGTCGCATCGCGTCGCGCGCGACGTCGTATCGCGCGTCGCCGCGCGAAGACGGCGACGACGACGCGCGATGCGCGGAGGGAAAAACCCGCGAGCGAGCGGAAAGACGGGGTCGCGCCTCAACGCCCTCCTCGCTCGTCGGGTCCATCCCTCCGTCGTCGCGCCGCCGTCCGCCGCGCGGCGCGATGACGGCGCCGCGCGTCGCGTCGCGCGTCGGACGCCGTCGCGCGTCGCGTCCGCCGCCGTCGCGCGCGCGCCGCGCCTCCCGCGTCTCGCGCAATCTTTTTTTTAGGGTTTCTCGCCACCGCGAAAAAGAAATCGCGCGTCCGCGGCGCGCCGGCGAACGGCCGCGCGCGCGCGCGTCGCCGTCGATCGTCCCAAACCGTCCGCTCACCGTCGTTCGTTCTCACCCTTTTCATCGATCGCGCAGGTGGTTATCATCGACGGCAGGGGCCACCTCCTCGGCCGCCTCGCCTCCATCGTCGCGAAGCAGCTCCTCCAGGGGCAGCACGTCGTCGTCGTCCGCGCGGAGGGGATCGTCATCTCCGGCGGCATGGTGCGCGCGCAGCAGAAGTACGACTTCTTCAAGCGCCTCCGCATGAACACGAAGCCGAGCCACGGCCCGTTCCACTACGCGTCCCCGTCGCGGATGCTCTGGAGGACCGTCCGCGGCATGGTTCCGTACAAGACGAAGCGCGGCGCGGCGGCGTTTGAGCGGTTCAAGAGCTACGAGGGCATTCCCCCGCCGTACGACAAGTGCAAGCGCGCGGTCGTCCCGGAGGCGCTCAAGGTGCTTCGCCTCGGCGCCGGTCACAAGTACTGCGTCCTCGGCGACTTGTCCCACCGCGTCGGGTGGAAGCACCAGGCGACGGTGAAGAGCCTCGAGGCGAAGAGGGAAGCCAAGGCGAGCGAGTACTGGGCGGCGAAGAAGGCGGCGAACGCGAAGTTCGCCGCGGCCAAGGAGCAGGCGAACGCGCAGCTCGGCGACCTCGCGCCGCTCATCGCGGCGACGGGGTATTAGGGCACCAGCCTGCCTATCGCGCGGAAGAGAAGATTGCGATGTAATTGAAACCTACGACTAAAAGAAGACGTCCACGACACGCGAGCGCGCGTTCTCGCTCGAAAGAAGCGCGGCGACGCGACGGCCAAAAAACCGATGACGCGCGCGGTCGTATTACAACCCTCGACGCTAACCACCACTCACCCCGCGCGAAAACGCCTCCTCCTCCTCCTCCTCGTCAACCCTCGACCACTCGCTCGCTTAATATCTGTAGTCCTTGACGGTCTGGAAGAAGTGCGCGACGTTCTCCTCCGGCGTCCCCTGCATGACGCCGTGTCCGAGGTTCATCACGTGCTTCGTGTTCCCCGCCTTTTTGATCGTGTCCAGCACCCTCTCGGTGATGTGCGCCTTGCTCCCGAACAAGCTCACCGGGTCCATGTTCCCCTGGACCGCCTGGTCCATCCCCAACCTCGCGCGCGCGTCCGCCATGTCCACGGTCCCGTCCAGCGAGATGACGTCCGCGCCCGTCGTCTTGAGGGTCGTTCCAAACGAAGCGACGTCGGGGTGGAGTTGAAAGGCGTCAGTTGGAGTTGAAAGGCGTCGAGGTGTGTCGGGATTGAAACCGAGGGGCGGGCGGAGAGATGCGCCGGGAAAAGTCCTTAAGAAACGGCGTTCACCACGCCAACGCGGTCGTATGGGGACCAGTGTACAGAACGCACCTTGAGTCGCTCGAGCAAACCGCCGCTGCCGCTGCTGTATAAGATGAGCGGCACGTCCGGGTGCGTCGCCTTCACCTCGGTCACGATCCGAGTGAGGTACGGGAGGCAGTACTTATCGAAGTCGGAGGGGCAGAACTCGCTCGCCCAGCTGTCGAAGATCTGGATCACCTGCGCGCCGCTGTCCGCCTGGTATTTGACGTACTCCACGACGCTGTCGGTGATTGAGTTCAGCAGCGCCTCGTAAATCTGGGGCTCGTCGAACGCCATCTTTTTGATCACCTTGTAGTGCGTGGACGTGCCGCCCTCGACGATGTAGGACGCGAGCGTGAACGGCGCGCCGACGAACCCGAGGACGGTCGCGTTGTTGCCCACCTCTTGGCGCAGAAGTCCGAGGGCTTCGCCGACAAACGGCACGGACTTCTCCGGCTCCAGCTTAGGGTCGTTCCATACGAGCGAATGTCGGGGTGGAGTTCAAAGGCGTCAGTTGGAGTTGAAAGGCATCGAGGGCGGGGATTGAAAGCGAGGGGTGGGCGGAGAGAATCGCCGGGAAAAGTCCTTAAGGAATGACGTTCACCACGCGAACGCGGTCGTATGGGGACCAGTGTATAGAACGCACCTTCGTGATCTTCTTCACGTCGTCCATCCCTCGCACCGGGTCCATGATCACCGGGCCGGTCCCTTTGACGATGTCGAACGGGATGTTCATGCCGCTGAGCGGGGTGAGGATGTCGCTGAACAGGATCACGCCGTCGGGCTGGAACGCCTCCCACGGCTGCAGCGAGATCTCCACGGCGAGGTCGACCTTTTCGCTGCGCTCTCGGAACGTCGGGTGCTTCTTGCAGAGCTCCTGGTAGATCTTCATGTACCGGCCCGCCTGGCGCATCATCCTGCGGTCGGGGACGGCGTCGGGGAGCGCGTGGGGGGCGGGGGAGGGGGAGGCGGCGGCGTCAGCGCGCGTCGATCGAGACGCCGCGGACGCGGAGCGAGAGGGGGCGACGACGGTGGGTTTTATCCGATAGTCGAGCGAAGGAGATGGAAGATGGATGGATGTTAACGCCCGCGGGGACGCGCGACGGCGACGGCGGGCGTCGCGATCGCGCGCACCAGATCGGGGGACGCTCGACGTCCTCGCCGCGGATCGCTCGGAGCATGAGCGGGTCCTTCGTCGCGACGTCCTTCGCCTCCGCGGACGTGTCGACCTGGATCGCCCGCGCGCGCGTGTTCCTCGGTCCCGGCGCCTTCGACATCATCACCCCGGAGGACGACGGCGTCGAGACGACCTTCTTCGCGGCGCCGTCGGACGCGGACGCGCGGACGCGGAACGCGGGCCTCGAGAGCGCGCACGCGCTCGCGATGGCCGACATGTTTGACGTTCCTTTACGGTGTGAAGTTCTCGCGTGGCGTCGCGAGCGCGCGGCGTCAATGCGCGCGAAGGGCGCATCGCGAAGCGCGATACGCTGCCACCTGGAAGACGAGAGCGAGATCTCACTGGACAGATCGCCACTCGACTGGAAGATCTAGATCTTCCTGACAGCCTGCTTAGATTAAAGTTCGGAGCGGTCGACGCGACCGCGAACCTCGAGAAACGGTCCCTAAACGTGCGTTTCGCTTTCGTGTATGTAGTTTCATATCACACCCCGGTAGTCCTATCCCTCGCCCTCGTCACCGCGCCCCCCCCGCGGCGGCCACCGTCCGGTGCAGCTGCACGAGGAAATCCGCGTACGACATCGCGCCCGCGCCCCCCGCGCCGCGATCTTCCACCAGCGCGGGAAACAGCAGCGCCTCGCTCGGCTGCCCTTGCGCGATGACCGTGACCGTGCAGTGACCGCACCCGTTCGCCGCGCGCCTCCGAACCTCGGCCATGACCGCGCGAACCCGCGCGTTGATCGCGCTGCCCTCGATCGTCGGCGGCGTGAAATCCGCCTCCGGCGGCGGCGGCCCCGCGGGCCCGAAGACGTCCGCGGCAAACGCGGGGTCGAGCATCTTCCCGAGCCACAGCAAGCACACGTACCCGTCGTCGACGAGGTACGCCCCGCGCGCGTCGATCCGTTCGCCCGCGAGCGCGGTCCGCGGCGGCATCTGGACGACGCCGTCCTTCTCCACGCCGCTCTCCGGCGGCATCGCGTGCAACGCGTACATCGCCGGGTAGAGACGCCGCAGGATCGCCTCCGTCGGCGCAGACATGATCTCGAACGCGCTCAAGATGCGCTGATCCACCGGGACGTCGCGCGCGTGCCCGCGCAACGCGGGCGTCTTCGACGCGCACAGCGTGAACAGCGGCACGAGCCGCGCGCACTCGGGGAAGATGAGGCGGTTGAACGCTCTCGCCGCGGACGTGTTCATCATCCGGAACTCCTTCAAGCTCGTCGACAGCTTCAACTGCACCGCCTCGCGCGCGTCCTGCAGCCGCGCCGTGAGCGCGCGCTCGACGCCGAGCCGCGTTAAGAACGCGCTCATCGCGCCGCCGTCGATCGCGCGATACATCTCCGCGACGTCCTGCACCACGGGCGCGACCATCGTGTGCACTCTGATCCGCCTCTCGCCGTCCGCGTTGGTGTATAACAACGCGCACTGAATGAACGCGTGGTTCGTCGTCGGCATCACCTCGTCGTGCGCGAGCTGCACCGCGTACGCGGTGTCCGCGTTCGTCGCCGGGAGCGCGAGGAGGTCCATGCTTCGTATGAAGAAGTGGCCGTTGAACGAAGACACGCGGAAGCCTTTGCTGCAGCGCACGCGGCAGACAGCTTCCCACGCGGTGAATCGCGTGAGGTTATGGGTGAGCTCGCGCGTCAGCTTCGGGCCGTCTCGTTCCACGCGGAAGCCGCCGTAGTAGTACAGCTCCCCGCCGGTGTACCTAGGGAGCGTGCTCAGCGACGCGAGGTCCGCGTACGGCGACGCGGACGCGAAGACGTCGACGCAAATCTGCTGCCGCGAGCACTCCGCGGCCATCTTTTTGTAAAACGGATCCGCGGGCGCGCGATTCGCCGCCTCCTTGTCCGTCCCCGCGTTTCGATGATCGTCCCCGCGGTTCAGCAACCGACCGCTCCCTAACGACGGCAGCGTGCACTGAAACACCATGAGCTTACCCCCGATGTGGCTCATCGCCATGTACGCCGCCTGCACGGCCGGGCCCATCGCGGACTCGACCCGCGACGTGTCTTTAAACGCCCCCGGAAGCATGTCGAGAAGCGCCTCCACGGCTTCTCTGCTCTCGCTCAAGTTCACGAGCAGGTCGTCCGGCGCGGGGACGAACGGGTCGTCCAGCTCCGCGACGACCATCATCTGCGGCTGCGAGCTCCCGGGCTTCAGCGCGTAGAAGTGCAGCGTGCTGTCGTACGTCAGGAATCCGATGTGCGTCCTCTCGCCTCCGGGTAACGCGTCGAGCGACGCCTTGATCGCGTTCGTCGTCGTCGCGAGAAACCCGCTCGCGACCGCGTTCGCGCTGACGTCGATCGCGAAAAAGTACGTCGGCGGCATCGGCGGGCGGACCATGTACTCCTGCGACGCGAGGAACTCCACGGTCCCGTGCCTGAGCTCCGGGCGCTCGTTCACGTCCCGCCGTTGCCCGTCCGCGTCGAGCGTGCAAAAGTAATCCACCGGAACCTCGTTCGGGAGCGAGCACACGTTGCATCGAAACCGTCGCCCGCCGTCGATGAACTGCACGAACGGGTTGATGTACGTCCTGCATCGCCGGCAGCGCACGATCCCGCCGCTCCCGAAGTGCGCGATCGGGACGTTCTCGCCCGGGATCATCGGTCGAACGACGCACGCGACGGGGAGCGTGAACCGCTGCTTGACGGACGCCGTGCCCGGCAGCGCGCCGCACGTGAGGCGCAGGTACCTCGGATCGCACGACAGATGCGCGTTCGCGTTCGGGACGTCGTCGCCGGGCCTCGGGAACGTCGCCGGGTCCGCGCCTTGCTCTTGCCCCGGCCCGCCGCCGCCGCCGAGGACGAGCGACCCGAAGTCCTCGACGACGCTCTGCTGCGCGAACTGGCCTTGAAACGGCGCGGGTGAGAATTGCGCGCCGGGGTAGGACCCTCCCGGGGGCGTGCCCATCGGGCCTCCGCCGCCTCCGAACGCGCCGGGGACGCCCGCCATCGGCAGCGGCGGCGGCATCGTCTGCTGCATCTGCATCGGCGGCGGCGGCCCGCCCATGGTCGGCGGCGGCGGCATCGTCTGCTGCGTTTGCGTCGGCGGCGGCGGCGGCATCTGCTGCGTTTGCGTCGGCGGCGGTGGCGGCCCGCCGAGGCCCATGGAGCCCATCTGCGCCGTCGGCGGCGCGAACGTCTGCGGCGGCGGCGGCCCCGGGATCATCGACGGCGGTCCTCGCGGCGGCGGCGGCGCGCCCGCGGGCGGTCGGCTCGGTCCCGGCGGCGGCTGCGTCGGCGGCGGTCCCGGCGGGCCCGGGCGCATCATCTGCGGCGGGGGCGGGCCTCCCGTCGGCGGGCCCGGACGCATCATGCCGGGCGGCGGCGGAGCTCCTGCGCGCGTGGGAAGGGGCGGGATGGGTGGCGAGGGAGGCGGACGTCAGCGCGACGCGAATCGAAGCGAAGCGGCGGCGGCGATCGATCGAACGATCGACGGAACGATCGACGCGCGCGCGAAGTGCCGTTGGGGGAGAAGCCGCGGGGCGCACGGGGAGAACGAGATCTGCGCCCGGAGAGGACCCCGAGCGCGACGATTTCGGCCATCTCGCGCGAGGAAGCGCGCGCAGAGATCTGCGGGACGCACCCGCGGGCTGCCCCGTCGGCGGCGGCGGCATCCCCGGCCGCGGCGGCCCTCCCGGCGGAGGCTGCTGCATCCTCGGGTCCGCTCGACGACAATACTACGAATGAATGATCGACCGCGCCCTCCCTCCTCGGCGTCGCGCTCGCGTCTTTCCCCTGGCGCCCGCGCGACGCCCGCGATCTGACGCCGCTCGTCGCTCGCGAGCTAGGGCGAGCGCGAAGAGACGACGGCGACGCGACGCGGACGGACCGGCGACGATCGCGACGTGCTGTGTCGCCCGCGACGTCGCGTCTCCTCGAAGCTTTGTCGTTGCGCAGCGCAGTAGCGTCGGACGCGCGCGGTCGGACGGACAACGCAACGGCTTCACGCGGCGCTCCTCGGGGAGAGGCGCGCTACGCCGACGCCCGTCGCACTCGCGGACGCGCGCGGAGCGGATCTTCCACCCACCCACGTCGCCGCGTCGCCGTCGCCCGGCACCATGGCGTCGCGAAACGCGGCGGCGCTCGCGCGCGCGGCCGCGGCCGCCGCGCGCGTCGCCGCGGAGGACGCCGCGCCCGGAGCGATCGATCGCGCGGCCGGGTTATTAGGGCGACGATCGGCCGCCGTCGCGTCGACGTCGACGACGTCGTCGTCGTCGTCGTCGCGCGCGTGGACCGCCGCTTCCGCGGCGTCGCGGCGCGGCGGGCTCGCGACGGGATCCAAGGGCGGACGCCGATCCGTGATGTGCGCGACGCGCGGAGGAAGCGGAAGCGGCGCGGGCGAGCGCGTCTTCGGCGTCCTCCCTCGCGGTATGGGTCGCGGCGCGATGCGAAGACGCGGGTTCCGCGCGACCGTCGTCGGCGCGGACGACAAGGACGAGGACGACTCGAGCTCGAGCTCGAGCTCGTCGTCCTCGGACGACGACGACGACGACAAGAAAGAGAAGGAGGAGAAGGAGAAGGAGGAGGAGGACGACGACGACGACGAGAAAGAGGAGGAGGAGGAGGACGACGACGACGACGACGACGACGACGACGACGACGACGACGACGACGACGACGAGGACGACGACGAAGATGACGACGACGAGGACGACGAGAAGGAAGACGACGACGACGACGACGGCAGCGTCACCGCGACGAGCGGCGAGGACGAATACGTGGAGAGACAGGAAGACCTCTTCGCGGACGTCCTCGCCGCCGCCAAGGCGGAGCTCAGGTCCGTGGAGGAGGAGGAGGAGATCGTCAAGTGGTACGGCGGCGTCGAGCCGGCGAAGTTCGAGGGGAGTCGAAAAAAGCTCGGCAGCGAGCCGTTCCACTTGCACACCCCGCACGGCGACGACGTCGCGACGTTCACGGCCGAGGACGTCGGGAAGTTCTGGTCCTTGCCCGAGTCCGTCGTCGCGGAGGCGGAGACGCCGGCGGCGCTGCGGAAGGAGTTCGACGTCACCAAGACGCGGAGAGTGCTCTTCCGCGCGTGCGATCTCGAGATTAAAAACGCCATCGAGAGCGGCGTTTCCGTCCTCTTGGACGGCCAGGCCGGCTCCGGGAAGAGCGTCAGCCTCGCGAACGTCGTGTCCTGGGCGCGCGCGACCGGGTACCTCGTCCTCTACGTCCCCTCCGGGAAGGCGATGTGCACGTACTCAAACTACTCCAAGGACGAAGCGTCCGGGCTGTGGAACACCCCCGACCACGCCGCGCTGCTCATCAAGTGGCTCCAGGAAGGCAGCGCGAGCGCGCTGGAGGAGATCAGGATGACACAGACCGCGCGCGACGGACTCGAGGCCCTGGAAGCGGAGCCGACGCAGACGGTGGACGCCGCGCTGGCGATCGTCGAGGCGTTCAAATCCGCCGCGAGGGACCAGGGCAAAAAGGTGCTCTTCGCCGTGGACGAGTACAACGCCCTGTTCGGACCCTCGGACATGCACGAGGTGCTGGGCCCGCGGAAGCGCGGAAACATCCCCGCGGGGAGCACGCGAATCAACGCCGCGCTTCGCGACGCGACCGCGATCGTGTCCGCGGGCGCGTCCTACGTCGCCGCGACGAGCGGAACCATCTCGCTGTCGCCCGCGCTAAGGCGCGTTCTGTTCTATCTCACACTGGTCCCCGTACGACCGCGTTCGCGTGGTGAACGCCGATCCTTAAGGACTTTTCTTCCCGGCGTTTCTCTCCGCCCACACCTCGCTGGTTTCAATCCCGACACACCTCCCTCGACGCCTTTCAACTCCGCTTCTGACGCCTTTGAACTCCACCCCGATATCATCGCTCGTATGGAACGACCCTAAGTTGGAGGCTCGGCGCCAGGCGCGACGCGGTCGGGGAACACGCGACGGAGCTCACCGCGAAGGCGGAGGAGGAGGCGCTCGTCGCGAGCGCGTGCGCGCGGTGCGGGAAGCAAGGGCACGCCTCGGACTCGTGCCCGAAGCCGATCGTGTGCGATTACTGCCGCGAGGAAGGGCACAAGCACCGGAGGTGCCCGAAGCGCGCGGAGAACATGGAGAAGTACGCGCGGCTGAAGCAGCACGGGCGTCAGGGGAACCATAACACGAAGGCGACGAAGAAGAAGCACTCGATGAAGCTCAAGGGGACGTCCACGCTCGAGGGCACGGAGTCGCTCGCGCGGTTCAAGCACCCGCGGCTGGACACGGACGAGGTGGTGGCGCTCGTGGAGCACTACGACCACGCGAAGGGGCTCGACGCGGTGTGCGACACGGTGTCGCACGCGCACCTGGCGCGGCGGCTCAAGACGCTGACGCAAGGGAACGGGAAAGAAATCCTCGAGATGGTCGAGCTGATGTGATCGATGGATGCTCTTTAATACACTCACGTACTGTACTTCCATCCGTCCACCCGAGCTAACCTCGTCGTCAGTCGCTCTCTCGCTCTTCGTTCACCGCCCCGCGGCGGCGGCGATCGCGTTGACTTCGTCCACGAGTTTGAAGTGCGCGTCGAGGTCCGTCAGCGTGTTGGCGGCGATCACGCCGCTGCTCGCGGCGGCGGGAAGCCCCACCCCCGGCGCACACGAGTCCCCGACCCTGTACAGCCCCTTCACCCCCGTGCTCGGCCCGGGGAACATGTCCGGCGCGCGGATCGCCGCGCCGTACGTTCCCTTGTGCCGCCGCATCCACTTCTGATGCGTCAGCGGCGACGCGATCTCCTCGTGAACGACTCGTTCGCGAACGTCCGGTATTATCCTCTCCAGCGCCTCGTACAGCTTCGCGCTCCGCTCGATCTTCTTCTGCGCGTACCCTTCCCCGCGCTCCCACCCCTCGTACGGCTCCATCGTGTACGCGTGCACGCAGTGATGCCCCGCCGGCGCCATGCTCGGCTCCCACACCGACGCGATTGAGATCATGCACACGTTTCCCGGCGTCGATATCGGCGCGTTCTCGTCGCGGATCACGACGTGGTGGCCGCCGAGCGCGCTCAGATCCAAGCCCTTCGCGTCGATCCCGAGATGCAAGTGCATGAACGACTCGCTGCACGGGATTCCGAGCGCATCGCTTCGCTCTTTCGCGCTCACCGCGTCTGCGGGGATGAGGTGCTCGTACGTGTCCCACACGGACGCGTTGGACAGCACGATGGGCGCTCGGATCTCTTCGCCGCTCTTCAGCTTCACGCCGACCGCCCTGTTCCCGTCCTTCCGATCCAGTAACACCTTATCGACGTGCGTTTTCAACCTCACCTCCCCGCCGTGCTTCTCGAGCCCCCTCACGAGCGCGTTCGTGATCTCCTCCGCGCCGCCCACGGGGAACTCAGGGTCGTTCCATACAAGCGATTGTCGGGGTGGAGTTCAAAGGCGTCAGGTGGAGTTCAAAGACATCGAGGGCGGGTATTGAAAGCGAGAGATGGGCGGAGAGAGACGACGGCAAAAGTCCTTAAGAAACGGCGTTCACCACGCCAACGCGGTCGTATGGGGACCAGTGTATAGAACGCACCTCGCTCTGCTTCAGATCGTCGCTCGCGCCGAAGACGGCTGCGAACTCCGCGGCCACCGTCCCGCTCGCGTCCACGCCGCTCAGGAGGTAGCACTCCAAGTCCGCGAGCCGCCGCATCCACGGATCGTTGATGCCGAGAAAGTCGAGAAGGCCCACGGTGGGGTTGGGCAGCACGGGCGCGTACGGCCCGAGCCCCGCCATGGCTTTCAGGGCCATTCCATACGAAGTGAAGTCGGGGTGGAGTTGAAAGGCGTCAGTTGGAGTTGAAAGGCAACGCGGGCGGGGATTGAAAGCGATGGACCCTGGGCGGAGAGATGCGCCGGGAAAAGTCCTTAAGGATCGGCGTTCACCACGCGAACGCGGTCGTATGGGGACCAGTGTATGGGACGCACCTTTCATGTACCGCGAGACGATCATTATCCCGACTTTCCAATCCGCTCGCAGCGCCGGCGTCGGCAGCTGCGACAGCGCGTCGTACATCGTCCGTATCTTCGGCACCGCGGCGCTCAACTCCTTCGCGCCCTGCGGGGAGAATCGCTCCACCTCCGCGACGAGCTTCGAGAGGTCCGCGTGCCGTCGGAGCCCCGGCTTGCCCTTCTCCATGTGAAACGTTCCGAGCGGATCGTACTTGACCGTCTCGAGCGGCTCGCCGAGCAGGGTCAGGACCGCCGCGAGCGGGTTCAGCGCGTTCGGGGTCGTGAGCCCGGCGAAGAACGACGGCCCGGTGTCGAAGCGGAACTCGCCGACGGCGGTTTTCCGCGCGAACCCGTGCGCGGCGCCGCCGGTGGCGTAGTGCGACTCGAGGACGAGGACTTTTTTGCCGTAATACGCGAGCATCGCCGCCGCGGTGAGGCCGCCGACGCCGCTGCCGATGACGACGACGTCCGCGTCGTCGTTCGGCGTCGCCGCCGCGCGCGTCGTCGTCGTCGTCGACGCGCGCGGGGACGACGCTCTGGACGCGGCGACGCGGAGAGGCGCGACGGGGACGCCGCGAGCTCTGATCCGTCGCGTCGACGACGTCGACGACGACGACGACGACATCGCGCGCGCGCGAGGCGCGCCGACGCGCGCGGTGGGCATCGCCGCGTGGGACGCCATCGATCCTCCCTGCGGAACCGCGCGCGGTGCTTCGACTGCGACGAGAGTCGACGTGACGTGCGTGCGCGCGCGCTGTCGTGTGCGACTCGGCACTGTGACGTCACGCGTTATCTCGTCAGGTGCTGATCTCTGCTCGACGAGAGCGAGACTTCGCCGCAGACGCCGAGTGGCGCGAGCGTCGGAAAGTCGGACGCCAGTCTCGAGACGCTCGTGTCTTTTGACGCTACGAATAAAACTTAAACTTAAACCTACCACGCGCGCGGCGCGATGACGGACGACGATAACGGCCACGCGAGAGCCGTTACGAACGACGCCGCTCGCGAGCGCCGAGCGCGTCACAGCCCGTCCTCCGCCAGCCGCTCGCCCTCCTTCAACACCTCCCTCAAGAGTTTCTCGTCGACTTCGTACGCGGCGGCGATCTCGCTGATCGCCTCCCAGCTCTCCATCTCGTTCTTCGTCCGCTCCGCGACGTCGCGCAGCTCCCTCTCGAGCGCGGCTTTCTTCATCTCCTCCGACTCCAACCCTTTCCCGAAGCTCTTCCCGGCGAAGAGGTCCTTCGGGAACAGTTTCGAAAACTCGATCGCGCCCTTATCGAGCCCACTGTTCGCGAACGCGTCCTTCACCGCCTTCTCCGCAGCCCTCTCGTACTCCATGAACTTCGCCATCGCGCTCGGGGACGACGCCGGGACCGTCCGCGCCGCCGCCGGCGTCTCGGCGGCGTTCTTCGCGCCGGCGTTCTTCGCGACGTCTCCCCCCGCCCCCGTCGCGTTCATCGTCTTCTCGTACTCCGCCATCTTCGCCATCGCGCTCGGGGACGACGCGGGGACGATCCGGCCGTCCGGACCGACGGACGAGACGGACGTGTTACTCGCCGCCTTCACCCGGGCCGCCGCCTCCGCAGCCTGCGCCGGGGTGCGGAAATCGGCGACGGTGTAAATTTTCTTCTTCTGCGGCGGCGGCGGCGCGGCGTCCCCCGTCGGCGGCTTGACCACGATCGTCTCGCTCTCCTTCCCGGCGCCGTTCGCTTTCGCTCGTCGGTCGACGAATCGCGTGGAGAGTTCTTCCAGACGCGCAGCCTTCGCCTCGGGGGTCAGAATCGTCGGCTGCACGAACTCGGCGGCGTCCTTCGTGAACCCGTCCTTCCCGACCCAGCCGCCGCCGCCGCCGCCGCCGCCGCTAGACGCCGCCATCACCGGCTGCCGCGCCGACGCGTACTCGTACGCGTCGACGCTCACCGCCGCCGCTCGCGGCTCGTTCGCCGCGTACGCGTACTCCAACGGAAACGACCCGCCCATCCCTCGCGTTCGAAACCGCGCCTCCTCCTCCTCCGCCGCCGCCGCCGCCGCCGCGACGCCCGCGCGACCGGGCGGGTAGTACGCGTCGTCCTCGACGTCGCCGCGGATCGCGCCGAGGAACGACCGCCACGCGGAGCCCAAGAACCCGTCGGCGGCGGCGCGCTCGGACGCGGCGTACGCGACGGCGGCGCCCACGACCAACGCGGCGACAACGCCGCCGCCGCCCGTCGACGCGACGTTCATCATCGGCGCGCCGCCGCCGTTCGCGACGCCGACGCCGCGCGCCGTCTGAGACGGGACGTACACCGGGACGTACGCGGGGACGTGCGACGGCGACGCGACGACCGACGGCGGCGGCGCGGACGAGGTCGGCGCCATCGCGAGGTCGAGCCTCGCGGGCGCCGCCAGCCCCGATATCGGCTCGGAGTTCATGATGAACGCCGCGCGGGACTTTGGTCCGAAATACCCCGTCGGCGCGAGGCCGTTCATGACCTGCCACGCCTCGACCGCCTCCGCGGTGTCGCGTCCGTAGATGCCGTCCGTCTTTTGCACGCCGAGCGCGAGCTGGAGATCTTCGACGTCGTCGCCGACGTCGCCGAGGTCGAGGTCGCGCTCGGGGATGAACCACCTGGGGGACTGGAGGCCGCCGCCGCCGGGGTACGCGCGCGCGCGGACGTTCGTCTTCGACGCGCGGCGGCGGCGGTGCGCGCGCGCGGCGCGGTGGAGAGGCGCGCCGAGCGGCGCGCGCGGCGTCAGCGCGGGAGAAGCCATCGTGGTTGTTTTTTTGTTCCCCCGACGACCGCGAACGACGCCGCGCGATGCCAAAAAGCTCGGGAAGACGCCGTCCGCGGGTCCCTACGCGAGCGCGTTCAACGAGGTCGCGTGCGCGCGGTGATCCGTCGCGTCTCGACGCGTCGCGCGATCGATCACGCCGTCGAACGAGCGCTCGCGCGATGCGATCTGCCGAGCGCGCTGACGAGGCACCCGACGATTTTTTTCAAACGGGCAGATTTGATCCAACTGGCGGCAGACTGGACGGAAATCCGCGCACGCGCCTCTTCAGAAGGGAAAGGAGGAGTGCCGGCGTCGGCGACGCGCGTTCACGTCGTCATCACACCGCTAAGGCTAATACGATAATTAATACTACGCGCGCTAGTCGCGTCACCGCGCGAAACGCGAAACGCGAAATCGCGTCACGCCGGCGCGCTCTTGTGGTACCGAATCCTGCCGTCCGAGTACGAGATCCCTCCGTTGTTGGACGCGTCGACGACGACGCGATCCGCCGCCGCGCGCGCAACCGTCGGCGGCTCAACCTTTATCAGCGCGCTCGATACGTGATGCGCGGGGACCACCGCCGCGTTCGCGTACGCGTCGACGTCCATCGCCGCGTCCGCCGCGCGCGCGCCCGCGAGCTTCCCGGCGACGCTCGCGGAGAAGACGCCGCGCGACGACGACGCGTCCGCGGCGCGCGCACCGTCGGTCGCGAATCGCAGCACCAACCCGCCGCCGCCGACGCCGGACCAGCCGCCGTCCCTGAAGTCGACGCCCACGACGTGCATCGGCGCGTTGGGCGCGTCGTCACCGCCGAGGTGCCACCACGCGCCGCCGAGGTCCATGCGCTCGAGGTCCTCGTCGATCGCCTCGTCGTCGTCCCCGGACCGCGTGACCGGGACGAGGTTATCCGCCATCGCGTTGTCGACTGATGAGGGTCGTTCCATACGACAAAGCGGCGAACGTCGGGGTGGAGTTCAAAGGCGTCAGTTGACGGGAGTTGAAAGGCGCCGAGGGCGGGGATTGAAAGCGAGGGGTGATGAGCGGAGAGATGCGCCGGGTAGTAAAGTCCTTAAGGATCGGCGTTCACCACGCCGACGCGGTCGTATGGGAACCAGTGTGAGATAGAACGCGCCAAAGTCGCCGAGGCCGTCGTTCGCGGCGCTCAACCGCTCGTCCGCGACGGGCCGCCCCGCGCCCTTCCCCGCGCGCCCCGGCGCCTGGTCCGTCGCCGCGGTCCTCGCGGTCAGCGCGAGGCGCGTAGTCGCGGTGAAGAACCCGCCTCGCGACGCGAACGCGGCGAGGAACGCGGCGGTCGCGTCGACGGCGCGCGCGGGGACGTGCGCGCCGTTGAGCACGACGCGCAGCGGCGTCGGCGGCGGCGCGTACTCAAACGCGATGGAAAGAAACGCTTTGGAGACGTCCGTTACGTCCCCCACGTCGCCTCGGTGCGACACGCCGACGGAGATCACGGTGAACCCCGCGCCGGCCGCGCCGTCGACGGCGTCGTAAGGCGCGTGCGGGACCGCGCACTCGAACGTCGAGACGTTCGCGCGCGCCGCCGCCGACCGCGCCGTCGCGACGACGGAGAGCGACGCGACGCCCGCCGCGTTCGGGACGTAGCACGCGAGCCGCGGCGCGGCGCCGGCGCCGGCGGTCGTCCCGCCGGCGTCGCCCGAGAGCGCGACCGCGATGATCGACGACGACGCGTTGTCCTGCGTCGTGGACAAGTACGCGCCCGCCAGCTCGATGCCGCGCGCGCGAGTCCCCGTCGCCGGCGCGGGCGCGCCCGTCGCGTGCGCCACCAAGCCGCGCTCGATTCCTCTCGGCGCGAATAAAACGTCGCCGTCGCGCGGCGTCGTCCCGGCGCCGACGAAACCCGCGATCGCGGCGTCCACGATCAGCGCGATCGAGACGCCGCGATCGCGATCGGTGACGCGCCAGCCATCCGTCGCCGGGCTGATGCACTCCACCGTCTGCGACGCGAGCGCGGGGTACGCCGCGTCGGGAATCGCGGGGCGAGACGCGACGTCGATCGCGCGGAGACGGCACGCGCCGCCGGTCGCGTTCACGCCGTCGCCGAGACCGATCGGCGCCGTGAGGTTCATCGCGGCGAGCGTCAGCGATAGGCCGCCGCCGGACGGCAGCAGCGCCGAGCGGACGAGCGAGACGTCGCCGACGGCGCGCGTCAGCGCGACGCCGAAGCCGCCGCCGCCGCCGACGACGAGGCCGGCGCCGTCGGGCCCGCCGGGGACGGCGAGGCGGACGATCGCGTCGTAGTCCGCGCTCTCGCGCCCGAAGAAGTCCATCGACGACGCGGCGTCGCCGCGAGGGGGCGGACCGCGCACCGCGTCGTCGCCGTCGCGCGGGGCGTCGTATCGCTTCGACGCGCGCATCGACGGCGCCTCGCACAAGACGAGCGCGGAGCTGACGAAAGCACCCGCCGTCGCGCCGCCGCGGACGCCGCCGGCGACGACCCTCCCGACGACGCCGCCGCCGAAGGACATCCCCGCGTGCGCGCCGGCGGCGTACTTCTCCGCGCTGCCCTGCGGGCGAAGCGAGCATCCGTCGCCTGGGAGGAATCCGGTGCCGAGGAGCTTCAGGAGCCACCCGCCGTCGTTCGGACCGGGCGCGGACGCGAGCGACCAAACCTCGGCGTCGACGCGGAGCATGACGAGCGCCTGCGCGTCGCCGCGTCCGCCGAGCGTCGACGCGCCGGAGATGGCTCGACCGGACCCGCCGCCGGCGCCGACGGCGATCGCGCCGCCGCCGTCGAGCCCGCGCGCGACGCGCACGTCGACGTCTACGCTCACGGCGACGAACCCGCCGCGCTCGCGAAACGGCGGCGCGCATCGAATCGCGGACGTCTCGTTCCGCGCCGTCGCCGCGAGCGCTCCGCCGCGCGCGCTCGCGTTGAGCGCGACGAACGAGGCGTGAAACCCGGGTCCGCCGCGGAGGTGTTCTTCTTCGGCGTCCTCAAACTCGAACGCGATCGCGCCGGTGCGGTTGTACGCGTACTGGCACGTCGCCGTCGCCGCGACGGACGGCAGGTTCGCGCCGTACGCGTGAAGGAACCCGCCGCCGTCTCTTCCGACGCCAAAGTGCGGCGACTCGACGTGTAACACCCCGGGGACCGCGGCGACGAGCTCGATCGGGGTCGTCCACTCGAACGTCACGCTCGGGGTGTTAAAGTCGTCCGTCTCCGTCTCCGTCCCCGGCGAGAGCGCCGGCGCCGCGACGCGCTCGTACCGCGCCGCGGACGCGAACAACGTCGCGGCGAACGGCACGCCGCCGCCGCCGTCGCGCGGCTTGGCCGGGGCGATGCACTCCGCGGCTCGCGCGCCGAACGGCCGCGCGTGCACAGGGCGAATCGTCCCGAACGCGCACGCGGCGTCGAGGAACCCGCCGAGGGTGAACCACGTGTGGTTGCCGTCCGCCAACGTCGCGCCGTACACGACGTCGTCCGCGCCGCCCCAACGGTCCGGGAACGCGCGCGTCGGCGTCGCCGCGCGTCTCCCGCCGCCGCCGCCGCCGCTCGCGTCGTCGCGCGGGTCGCGCGTCGCCGCGCCCGGCCCGACCGCCGGGTCCGGGGCGACGATCACCACGGAGGCGCCGCCGGCGGCGTCGCCGAGGATGGAGATCGCGGGGAACGCCGACGCGCGGTTCGTGGGGCCGTGCGCGGCGCCGGCGTCGCGAAGCGCGGTCGGCGCGCGAATAAACGGCGAGTCGGGCGCGAGCGCGAGGTTCGGCCCCGGAGCCTCCGGCGCGGCGATGAGGACGACGTCCGGGACCCTCACCTCGTGCGAGCCGCCGTTCAGGACGACGGTCACGATCGCGGAGATCCTGGAGCCGGTCGGTAAGAACGCCGCGGGAAACGCGGGAAGCTCGCACGTCAACGTCGCGCCGTTGACGACCGTCGCCGTCGTCGTGAGCCGCCCCGTCCCCCTCGGCGGCGGCGCTCTGTTCCTCCCCGCCTTTCGAAGCGCCTCGGCCGCTTCCGTGGACGACAGCTTCGACGCCGTCTCGCGCGCGAGCGACGCCGATGCCGACGGCGGCGGCGGCAGCGGCGGCGGCGCGGGCGTAACGCTCGAGATCCCGGCGTTTTGTCTCGTGTTATCCACCATCCCGCCGCCGACGCCGGGCGCGCCGCCGCCGAAGACGGTGAACCGACAATACGTCTCCCCAGACTGGCCAACCTCCCCGCCGGCGTCGCCCTCGACGCCGGCGCCGCCGCGGTTGAACGCGCGTCCGGAGCCGCGCGTCCCGGGCTCCGCGCCGTCGCCGCTCACGAACCCGCGGCCGCGGATGGTGAGCAACGCGCCGGATCGCGCGCCCGCGTGCGACGGCGACATCGACGTCGCGACGGCGGTTCGGTACGTGATCGCCGCGTGGTCGCTCGGGTCGGCGACAGCGCTCGGCGGCGTGTAATTCGCGGGCGACATCCGCTTGACGTGAGGCGCGCTGAGCGACGACGGCGCGGAGCAGCACCCGAACGCGGGGTTGCAGAACTCCACGGTGGACGCGCCGGATGGGTACCACTCGACGTCGCTGACGTTGCCGCGTCTCGCGTCGAGCGCGGGCGGGACTTCGCACATCACGACGTCGTCGGATTTGACGAAGGCGCGCGTCCAACGCGTGACGTTCGGCGAGTCTTCGCCTCGGTACGAGAACCGGCACTCCGCGGCGACGTTCGTGTGGTTCTCCAGGACCGGGCCCGGGGTCGCGTTCAGATGCAACGCCAGGGGCGGTCCCGGGCGCTCGAAACCGGAGCCGTAGAGCGTCACGATCGTCCCGCCCTGCGGCGGGACGACCGAGGGGAACACCGCCGCGAGCTTCGCGCACTTGAACGTCGGATCCACGGTGGGATACCGCGCCCCTCGCGCCGGGTACCAGTCCCCGTTCGGTTTGTTCAGGCGCCACACGCCGCGACCGGCGGTCTTCGCCGCGTCGGCGCGATCCGCGGTGGTGTTCCCGCAGCCCTCCTCCAGCGGCAGGTACGATACCAAATCCGGCTCGTATCCGCCGAGGTACTCGTCCTTTTCCAGCCAAATCTCCGCGGGCGTCTTGGCGACGCGCCAGTACTTCACCTCGTCGACCCCGAACGCGCTGCGATTCGGGCCGCCGATGACGCCGATGGGCAGCGGCATCCCGCTGAGGGGAATCTCCTCTTCGTACTTCCCGTCGACGTACAGACGCGTGGACGCGTACCCGTCCACGTACGGCAGCCCGTCCGGCACGGCGACGAGCGTCAGGTGGACCCACTGGCGAATCGGCGCGGAGAAGGAAAACGTTTTTATCAGAGACTCCGCGCGCGTGAGCCGCGTCGCCGCGTCCTCCATCGCGGTGTTGTTCTCCGCGCCGTAAAAGTCCGCGAACGCGGACGCGCGCGCCGCCGCGACGGCTCGGCTCACGAGCCCCATCTTCCCCGTCGCCGGCGACGCGTCGAGGTAGACGCCGTGACCGCCGGGCCCGGTGAACAGCGCCTGAGAAGAAAGCCACGCGTCGCGTCGGACGTACGCCTGGATCGTCCACGGCGGATCGATCGTCGGCATCGCGCCGTCGCACGTCAACGCTAAATCCTCATCCGCGGGCTCCAAGGACAGCTCCACGCTGAACGGCGGCGGGCAGTCCGCGCGTCCCGCTTTGACCCTCGCCTTTTCCAACAGCGTATCGCGCAGGTTCCCTCGGATGTACGTCAGACGCTCGAGCCCGTACGCCTCCACGACCGCAGTCGCGCGCTCCAACGACACCGCGCCCGTGGTGCTGAACTCCGTGACGTTGTAAAAGGTCCACGTCGCGTTGACGCAGAGGTTCGACTCCGTCTTCAGCTCCTCGCGCGTGCAGTTCGTCGTCAGACCGCCCACCATCGAGCCGTCCATCGCGCGCGATGCGTTCACTCGCACGTACATCCCGTCGCTCCCGGTGGCGTGCCCGGTGCTGTTGTCCCACGCGCGGAACGTGAACGACGCGCTGCTGTAAATTTCCTGCGGCGGGATCCCCCCCGGCCCGAGGTTCTCCAAATCCGGCTCGTCCCGCGGGACGTACCGCACGTAATCCGTCTCTCTGGCTTGAATGATGAACGGCCGCTCCGGGGTGATGACCGCGGGCCAGTTCGTCCAGTTGTACGCGCCGTCCGTGCTCAGCTGCCACGTCCCGCGGCTCGAGTCTGCGTGGATGATCGCGACGCCGAGGCCGCTGTGATGGTCCCACCCTTCGGGGTCGTCGAACCCGAGGCGTATGATGGAGTAAATCTTATCCCCGAAGTTCACCGTCGTGTTGCGATCGTGGTAATACACCCCGGTCATCCTGAAGTAGTGCCCGACGTCGAGCGTGGGCGGGTCGTTCGTGTTGATCACCCTCACGTACGCCTTCACGGGCGAGTCCGCGAGGTACGTGTCGTCGAAAGACCCGGACGGACGAATCACGAACGAGAACGTGTCGTCCACGGGAGGCTCCTGCGGGATCGAGTACGCGTCTTTCTTCGGAAGGAACCGCAGCCCCGCGGTCGCGTTCGCCGCGTCGACGTAGCCGCCGTCGCGCACCTCCGTGACGCCGTCCGGGTAAAACACCTGCCCGTTCTTTATGTCCGTGACTTGGTACGCCACCGCGAGCGCGCTTCGGTTGTTCGGATAACTCGTCGTTATCGCAAACTGCGTGACGTTGAGACCGGAGACGTCGTCGATCGTCGTCGTCGGCGTCAGCGTGTCTTCCATCGTCGTCGCGTTTCCTATCGTCACCGCCTCCGGGACTTGGTCCGTCACGAGGACGTAATACCGGTCCGGGCCCGTCGCGTTCGTCGTCAAATTCGCCACGTTCCCCGCGTTGTCCCTCGCGCGCACCCACAGCGAGTACATCCCGTTCGTGAGGTTGTCCATCCCGTCGATGGTGAACCGCGCCGAGTTGCCGCTGAAGCCGTCCACGGCGGTGAAATCCCGCAGCGGCGACGTGAAGTTTGACCCTGTGGCGTCGGTGAAGCGCAGCAAGATGGCGCCGACGCCGCTGGGTGTGTTTCCGTACGCGTCCGTGTCGTTTCCCTTCGCGACGAACGCCACGCTGCTGTACTTGTTCACCGCGCTGCCGTTTCGAAGTTGATTGGACGTGATGGACGTCGTCGGCGCCCAGGTATCGTAGATCCACGCGTGCCGCGCGGTTCCGAGCGACGAAAAGCCCTCCGCGATCGCGCGCGCGAAGAATTCGTTCTTCCCTATAACGCTCGTCACCGTGACGTTATTTATCCCGCGCGCGAGCTGCGTGTACTCCAACGGGTAGGTATTCCCCGGGTTGAACACGTACTCGAACCTCGCGCGGTCTTTGTTCGACGTCAGCGAGAACGTCTGGCTCGCCCCGGACCCGAACGGCGCGGGCGGCGTGGCGAAAAAAACCTCGGGCGCGAACCGAATCGTCCACGTGAATCGCAACGGCGACGCGTCCGGGGTCGCGTCGCCGCCTAACCCTCTCACGTAGAAATTATGCTCCCCCTCCGGGAGCCCGTGGTACTGATACGGCGACGCGCACGACGTCCAGTTCCCTCCAAAATCCGCGCCGCTCGACATCGAAGTATGTCGCGCCAACACCAACCGACACTCGGACCGGCACCCCGTGCACTCGGTGTCGTTGAACCAAATCTTCCACCCGAACCTCGCCGCGTTCGACGGACTCGGCGCCTGGTTCGGCCACAGCGACCCGGGGACGTGCCCGTCGTCCGTGATAGGTATCGTCCGCCCGTGCGGTCGAATCGTCGGCATCCACTTCGTGTCCGGCTCGCCGTTTAAGACGACGCTCCCGACGCTCGGATTCCCGCCGAGCGAATCCGGCAGCGTCACGCCGCCGGCTAAAAACGCGCTCACCAGCGCCGCGGTGTTCGCGTCGCTCGCGCTCGTCGGCACGACCCTGATCTCGACGGTCAGCAGCCCCTGCGTCGTCGCGGACGGCGCCGTCCCGAGCACGGCCACCTGGTTCGCGTTCACGCCGATCTGCGACGCGATCGTCGATCGAAACAGCTCCTTCTTCGCGGCGAACGCCGCCGGGGAGAGGTTCACGTCCAGGGTGAACACGAGCGGGATCACGCAGTCGCACACGGTGCCCGCGGGCATCTTTCCCGCCGGACACGCCGCGCACGCCAACGTCGACATCGCGACCGCGGCGACGCTCTGCGCGACGTTCGGCGTCGGCGCGACGTCTCTCAGCGCTACGTACGCGACGTATTCGACGCCCGGCGACATGTCGCCGCTGAAGTTGTGCGCGCGCGCCACCCCGAGACCCCCAACCGTCGCGTTCACGCTCCCGGAGTACGCGAGCGTCGCGCCCGGGGGCGTCGCGCCGTTCACGACCGCCGTCGCGCTCTCCGGGGGGTCGCCGTCCGCGGTGAGAATCATCACGTGCGCCGTCGCGTTTTCGTTCGCCGCGATCGCGATCGTCAGATACGTCGGCCCGTGCCCCACCGCGTGCGGCGTGGACGCCGCGAACGCCGGCGGCGTGACGTCCTGGATCGTCGCCGCGGCGAGCGCGCTCGTCGTGGTCGGCGACGGCGTCCCGGAGGGCGCGGCGTCGGCGTCCGTGTGCGTGGCGACGTAGACGTCAAACACGGAGGCGTCCGGGAGGCGTTCGATCACCGCGCTTCGCTCCACGTTCGCGGACGCGAAAGTCAGCTTCCCGCTCGCGGTCGCGACGCCGCTGCCGCTCAGCGTCCCCGCGAAGACCTCCGTTGGGGTGGGCGCGGTCGTGCCGCCGCCGTCGAGGCCGTTCGGTTGCGTCGCGACGACGTAGAAGACCGTGCCCGCGCGATCGAGGGAGGCGGCGAACGTGAGCGCGTTCGTCCCCGCGGCGTGCGTTATCGTCGGGTACGGCGACGGCATGACCGGGTGGCCGGTGCCGCCCGCGGGGTGGACGCCGAACGCGGCGAGGAGGAGGAAGAGGAGGAGGGGGAGGAGGAGGGGTCGCCGCTGCATCGTGGCTTCCGATTCCTCCCGCGCCCCCGCGCTGCTCGCTCGCTCGCTCGCTCGCTCGCTCGATCTTTCTGCGGTCGCTCCGCGTTACCGCCGCGGGTTTCCGCGCGCGAGACGCATGGTGTCTGACGTATCCGCCGCGCGCTCGCGACTCGGAAGCGCGCGCGCGCGTCCGTCGACTCTCGCGCGCGTCGACGCGCCACCCCGCGCGCGTCGTCGTTGTGAACGAGGCACGAATAATGCTGTGCAGAAAATATTTGTCCTGTCCGAGTCATCAGGAATCTCAACTCACTTCGCCTTCCCTCGCCGCGTCCGCTCGCCGTCGCATGCTCAAACTCGCGCTCGCGACGACCGCCATTTCCATGTGCATGAGACGCGGCGTCGGCGCGAAGAAGAAAAAGCAGCAGAAGATGGACCCTTTCGACGACATCAGCGGCATCCCCGCGCTTCGCCCGAGCAAATCCGATCGCGCCGTCTCGCTCGACCCGAAGACGCCGCGCCTGCGGCACCCCGTCGGCGGCGCGAACACGAACGCGAACGCGAGCGCGAACGCGAGCGCGAAGAAGATCAAGACGATCCTCCTCGTCCTGCACGGCGTCAAGAGCAAAGAGAGGAAAGGCGAGCGGCAGGTGAACAACGTCCGCGCGCGCGCGCTGCTTCAGGACATCGCGCTGATCGAAGTCGTCACGGAGCGCGCGGGCCACTGCGAGGAGCTCGTGCGCGACGCGTCGCTGCGCGGCGTCGACGCCGTCGGCGTCATGGGCGGCGACGGCAGCCTGCGAGAGGGCGTGTGCGGGATGCTCGCGCGGCCCGCGAGCGACCGACGCCCGGTCTTCGTCTTCCCCGTCGGCACCGGGAACAACTTCGCGCGGGATCTCGGGCACCGCGACGTGAAGGATGCGTTCGACGCCATCGGCCGGGGCGTCGAACGCGCGGTGGACGTCGTCAAGGTGACGCACCCGGGCGGGAGCACGTACAGCGTGAACTGCGTGACGTGGGGGATGGCGCGCGACGCCGCGGAGACCGCGGAGAAGATGCGGTGGATGGGGCCGGTCAGATACGACGTCGCGGGGTTTTATCATATCGCGAAAGGGAAGGCGAACCTCGCGAAGATAACCGCGAGCGACGACGGCGCCGGCGGCGGCGACGCGGCGGCGGCCGCGGGGAAGGGCGGCGGCGAGGGAGACGGGGCGTACGACGATTACATGATGATGTTCGCGCAAAACACGCGGTGCAGCGGGAGAAATTTCAAGTTTACCCCGAGCGCGGAGCTCGACGACGGCAAATTCGACGTCGTCGCCGTTCGAAAGTGCGGGATGTTCAAGACGATCGGTCTGTTCGATAAGGTCAAAGCCGACGGCGCGCACGTGGAGGACCCGGACGTGTGTTACGTGAAAGCGACGCGCGCGACGTTGGACGCGAAGGACGCGAGCGACTTGGTCGGGATCGACGGCGAGGTGAACGTGAAGTCGCCGGTGACGCTGGAGGCGATAAAACACGCGTTCACCACGCTCGTTTGACGAGTCTCACGAGGTACCTTCGTAGAGACTACGTATGGATCTCCTAAGTTGACTAGTAGTCTATTTACTTCTGTTACCACTCGCGGCGAGTCCTTCGTTCGCGTCGCGCGATTCCGGCGTGCATCGGACGCGCCCGAGCCTCGGACAGAGAGGCGTTGCGGGAGGGTCTTCACGTGGCCGAAACAGCGCGCGCGTCGAGTCGTCGAACCGACGAGCGACCGACGAAAAAATCATCATCATCATCCGTCATCGTTCGAGCCCGCTCGCTTCGTACGCTTCCTCGAACAACGCCTCGAACGCGGCCGCGCTCCCGCTGCCGTTGTGCGTGAAGCTCTTCCCGACGCGCTGACGGAGCGGCCCGCCGTCCTTCTCCAGGCTGAATATAAACAACGGGATCGAGTGAATCCCGAGCTCGCGGATCGCGTCGCCGTACGACGCCCACACTTCGTCCCCGAGCTCGTCCCCGTCCAGCCACGCGTCCATCGCGTCTCGATCCATCCCGACCGCCTCGCACGCGTCGAGCAGCGTCCCTCGCTCGCTCGCGGACTTCGCGCGCTCGAAGTGCATCCCTCCCAGCGCGTCCATGAACACTTCGCCTTTCCCGTAACGAGACGCGTACAGCTGCGCGCGTTGACTCTCCACCGGCTGCCAGTGCGTCTTGACGCTGAAGTCGAACGTCACGCCGCCGGGCGTTCGCGCGCCGAGCGCGTTCATCGACCGCTCGAACTTAAGCGCGGTCGCCTCCGTGCCGTCCGTGTAGTCGATCAGCGACTCGTGCCACGTCGTGTTGCGTATGCGCCCCTTCCCGCCCGGGGCGTCGCTCAGGAACGAGTACGGGCGACGCCAGACATCGATCGCGAGCGCGACGTCGTCCGCGTGGCGCGCGTTGAACGACTCGAGCGCGGCCTGGACGTTCTTCTTGCCCAGGTACCCGTGCGGTCACTGCGTGCACGTGACCCAGTCCGCGTGGAGGATCAGCTGCGGGACTACCGGCGAGGTCGCCGCGTCGACCACGCGCGAGCCGAGGGCGTAGTTGTGGACGCGCGTGGACGCGACGGTCGCGATGGCGGGGGTGTCGCCGTCGTCGACGCCCCCCATCTGGGACGCGGAGAAGGCGCCGCGGCGCGACGCCGCCGATGCGCGCGAGGAGGACGAGCGCGCGACGCGGCGCCACGCGGAGGCGGTGACGAGTCGAGCACACGCGACGCGCGCGTGTGGCATCGCTCGGCGCGCGCGCGCGAGTGATGAAAGCGACGACGTCGATCTGACTCGGACTCGACTCGTCCTGTCCACTTTTCCGAGAGTCGACGACGCGACGTCATCACTTCGTTTCGCGCGCGCCGCCGCCGCTCGGACGCTCGCGATACCAATGGTTTCGGCCGAGCCGCTCGTCCCCGTGACCACCACGGTGTGGGGCATGGAGTACTCCGTCCACGGTGCGCGCGCTCCCGTCGCCGTCGCGGGAGATGGACGGACCTGTTGTCGATACCCTAGCGCTTTTTCTTTTTCCGCCACGTCGACGCTTTCTCGACGCAGCCCTCATCCCCTCCCCTCCCCGCTCTCCTCGCAGCGTGCCCGAAGCGGCACAAGGCCGAGGCGGAGGCGATGTTCCCCGGTATGGACGTCTCCGACCTCCTCGTCGTCCCGACGTGCCAGAAGACCAAGATGGACCTCGTGAAGACGGGCGAGATGGTCGATGAGGAGAAAGATTTCTGCTTGGAGCGCTTCCTCCTCTTCGCGAAGCGCGTCACGGACAAGCTCGCGTCTCGCGGGCACTGGGCGGACTACATCGACCCGTGCAGCGGCCTGAGCATGGTGAACAAATGCTCGCAGCAGGTATACGGCGAGGTCGACGCGCTCGTGACGCTTCTGAACTACCAGGTCACGAACAGCGGGTGCTGCAAGGTGGTGTTGCATCCGAAGTGGGGGTCCGCGGTGTACCCGGCGAGCGTGTTCGCGAAGGCGCCGAGGGAGGTCTTCGTCGAGGTCGTCGCGGAGGCGGAGGCGGAGATACGCGCCGAGGACCCGGCGGCGGCGTGACGATGTCGTTCGTTTTAAACCGTCGTGCGTCTCTGCTTCCTAGCTACTTTCGTATTACTTAACATTCTTCCCGTTAACGTTCACGACCTCCACGACCTCACGGCAGAACGCGCACCTTCCTGATGTTTACCTTGATGTCGCTGTGCATCACATGCGTCCCCACCAGCCTGAGACGATAATTCCAGTCCGATTTCTCCCACGCTCCGCTCCGTTCGAACCCAATCACGTAGTTCTTTGTCTTCTCCTTCGACCTGGGCTCAAACACGGCATGTTTCAAAAAGAGCTCGTCAGCACTCATCACCTCCGCCTGTATCTGAGCCTTCGACACGTCTTCGTCATCCGAGGGCGAGTCTTCTTCGTCAAGACCTTCTCCAAAGTGTTCTTCGCAGAGTTCGTCGAATTTTGTCTTGGCGGCCTCGAGCACGGAATCTCTCGAGCCATAGGCGTCTCCTGATACGCCCTGCTCGTCGTGGTCGTTGTCTTTTCTCAGTTCTAATGCAAAACTCTGTTGTTCGTAACCGTTGCAGTGATCGAACGTCTCAGGATCAAACTCAGTTATCTCAACCTTCAAGGTCCACTCGAAAACGTACACCTCCCGCGCAGGCTCGACGCTTGCAACCTCCTGCCGTCTCTTCTTCGCCGGCGCCATCTCGAGATCTCGCGACGGAGAGAATGATTGTTATTTTCAAGTCGTCGTCGTGCTTTGATATCTGATGTCGTACCTTCGAAGGTACGTTCGTACAGCTGGTGTCTACAGACATGAGCCTCGCTCCAGTCTGCTAGCTAGATAACGCTCGCAATGTCGTCGTATGATACAGCTGCTTCTACCTAATCGTTCGAAAGAATACAGTACGTGTACGATACCGTACCTCGAGGGTGACCCTCCGCCCCCCCCGCCCCCGTCCTCCGTCACACCATCACAACTCCCCCGCGATCGGCTGCCCCAGCGGCAAGTCCGGGTGCGCCAAGCAGAGCATCAGCTTCACCACCGCGCACTCCGGCGTCATCATCGGCCCCGACGTCACGCCCATCTCCACCACGGAACTCCCCGTCGCGTACAACTCCGGGTGCAGATCCCCGCTCTCGCACTGCGACGTGAGCACCAGCCGCATCCCTCGCCTGTGCTGCCCGCGCAGCCACGAGACCCAGTGCGTCCCCTTCCCGGGACCCGGCATGTTCCCGACGCCGAACGCCTCCAACACGATCCCGCGGACGCCGCGCGCGTACAGATCCCCGTACGCCTTCCTCGGGTCGCACCCGGGGACGATAGGGACGCGTATCACGTTCGTCTCGAGCTTCATGCGCGGCGTGTACGCCGTCGTCGACGATCCGCCGCCGTTGCCGTTGCCGAACTGAAGCAACGCGTCGCGTTTCCACTCCACGCCGACGCCGAGCCTCGCGAGCGCGGGATACTCCGGGGAATCGAACGCGGAGTATATCGTCGCGGACGTCTTCCTCGTTCGATTCGCTCGCAGCAGCTTCCCGCCGAAGCACACGGCGACCTCTTCGAGCTGGACGTGCGGCGGCGAGAACCCCGCGGTGGCGCACGTGATGGCGTCGAGCAAGTTTTGCCGCGCGTCCGACCTCGGCATCGCGAGCGGGAGCTGCGACCCGGTCAGTATGATCGGCTTCCTGAACCCCGCGAGCATCAGCGATAGCGCGGTGCCGGTGTACGCCATCGTGTCCGTGCCGTGGACGACGATGAACGCGTCGAAGCGATCGCGCTGCGCGTCGAGCTCGCGCGCGATTCCGATCCACTCCCTCGGGCCGACGTTGCAGCTGTCTTTGTTGAACAGCACCTTCACCTCGAGGTTCGCGAACGTTCGCAGCTCCGGGACCGCGGTCACGAGGTTCATGAGGAGGCTGCCCGGCTGCAGCGTCTTCGCGTAGTCGCCCCCGGTGCCCTCGTTGAAGACTTTCGCGCCCGCGAGCGCGCCGTCCTCGACGTCGTGGAACGCGTCGCCGGACATCCCGAGCGTCCCTCCCGTGTGTATCACGAGGACCGATGGGAGCGGGCGCGTCTGGTACAGCGTCGGCGCGCGCGCGGGGACCGTGCACGCGTCGCCGGTCGGGGCGGGCGGTCCGGCGCCGTCGGACGCGGCCGCGCGGCGGCGTCTCGCCGCGGCGAAGCACGCGAGGGACGGCGCGCGGGCGGCGCGCGCGGACGACGACGTGGCTTTGGATTTGGATTTCAAACGCGCGCGGATGTCCATATTCGCAAGATGATGGCGCGCGCTCGCGGCGGCGTCGCGCGAGCGCGGAAGCGCCGCCGCCGCGCTCGCGGCGGCGGCGACCATCGCGGACGCTCTCGACGACGCGCGGGGTGCGCGACGGCGACGCGGCGCGAGGCGGAGTGCGCGTCGCTTCGTCGCGAACTCGATGACTGACGCGTTTTATCATATTCTCGGGGCTCGCCCAAAACGCGCCAGCTCGACGGGATGTCTCGCACACTACCCACCCTCGCGCGGCCCCTCGAGGCGCTCGCCGTCGACATGCCGACGTCCGTCGTCGCGCCAGCGGCCGCGCTCGCTTCCGCGGCGCTCGCCCGCCGCGGCGGCTCGCGCGCCGCGCGCGTCTCAGGACGCCCGACGCGAGCCGCCGCGTCGGCCGCGCGTCCCCGTCGCGACGACGCGGGCGGCGTCGACGTCGTCTCCGTCGAGATCGAGCGCGCCGCGCGTTCTTCGTTCGCGCGCGGCGGCTCGTCGCGTCTCATCCGCCAGAGTCAGGCGTCCCGCGGCCGCCGCCGCCGCCGCGCGACGACCGCGACGCGCGCGATGGCCGGGGGGGAGACGGACTACTACGCCCTCCTCGGCGTCTCGAAGACCGCGGACGCGAAGGAGATAAAGCGAGCGTTCCGCAAAGCCGCGCTGAAGTACCATCCCGACGTGAACAAGGCCGCGGACGCGACGACGCGGTTCAACCAATACAAGACCGCGTACAACACGCTGTCGAACCCGGACGAGCGACGGAAGTACGACATCCTCCGCGCGGGGGGCGGGTTCGGCGCGGCGTGGGGAGGCGGCGCGTCGAGGTCGAGTTGGGGCGCCGGGACGTCGTCGTCGTCGTCGCCGCCGCGGGGGTACAAACCCAAAGAAGAGGAGGAGTTCTACGGCTTCGGGCAGTTCTTCGAGGACATGGAGAAAGAGTGGAGAGAGTTCGAGAAGTCGCGACCGGACCCGGGGCGGCCGCGGACGCTGTGGGAGGAGCTCAGCGCGCTCGGGGAGGAGTTCGTGGACTTTTTAGAAGAGGCGACGCCCGAGGTGGCGGAAGCGGTGAAGGACGCGCGCGCGAGAGACCCGTTCGACGCGTACGAGGCGACGTTCCGCGATGACGAGAAGCGGGCGGAGGGGTACGCGCGTCGCGGGGGCGCGGCGTCGAGCGCGTCGCCGAAGAAGGAGGACACCGTCGACGATATGCTCGACGCGTTGAAGCGAAAGATGGGGAAAAAGTAGCCGAGTAGAGATTTTTTTGGCGCGAGCGATGTTCTGCCTACACGACGACCCCTGGCGCGTTCACGACGCCCGCGAACAGCAGCGCGCGCGACCGCGCGTCCTCGATGAAGAACAAGAACGGCCGGTCGAAGACGACGCGCGTCCGCGGCGTCCTCGACGGCTTCGATTCGCCCGCCGCCGCCGCGTGGGAATCGTCGTCAGGCTCCTCGCCCTCGTCCACGTCGACCACGACCTCGTGTATCACCTCGCGTATCGTCATCTCTTCGTCGTCGCTCAGCGCGGTCAACCCGCCCGGTCGATCGAACACCGCGTTCAGACCGATCGACCGCAGCGCCGGTTCCAAACTCATCGGCCCCGCGGACACCGTAAACTTGGGCACCGACACGTCGACGTCGCGACGCGCGTCCGGCTGCGACACCCGCGCGGATATCGAGCTCCACTTCCCGGGCGTCATCGCGCGCGCGGCGTCGATCGCGGACGACCAATCGCCGCCTCCGTCGCCTTCGATGACGTGCGACGCCTCGTTCGTGGGGGGGAGGTAGAGGACCGCGCGCGTCGACGTCGCCGCGGAGGTCGCCGAGCCTCCGTCTCCGCCGCCGCCGTATTCGAGGGCGACGGCTTCGCTCTTGTCCCACATCACGACGTGCGGCGTCTTGAGCTTCGCGCGCATCATCACGCACGCTTGGATGTCTTCGTCGTTCGGCCCGGTCCTAAAAACGCCCGGTTTTGATGCGTTTTTATGAAACCCCGGGACGCGCCAGCGAACGCCTCGAACGCAGGCGGCGACGAGGAGCAGAATTCGACCGTCGGCGTCGTTTAAGACGTCGTCGTCCACGATTCGATTCACGCGTCCGTCCGTCCGCGACGCGATGAACGCGTTGACCGCGACCGCGTTGTGCCCGAGCGTCTTCGATCGCGCGCCGAGGCGTTCGCTCAGCGCGCGCACGTACGTCGGTTTGATGATGTCTATCGACGACGCGACGGAGTCGACGTCGCCGTCGTCGTCGTCGTCGTCGTCGTCGTCGTCGTCGTCGTCGAGGACGTCGGCGTCGTGTTCTTCCACCGCGTCTTGATACGCCTCCGCGGACGACGCGCTCGACGCGTCGTCGTCGTCGTCGTCGTCGTCGTCGTTCACCAAGCGCGGAACGCTCCGCGCGAAGACCGAGCTCGCGACGAGCAGCCTCACCCCGTCGGACGCTTTCACGCGCTCGTGCAGCTCGCGCACGTCGCCGCGCTCGTCCTCTTCCGCGCCCGCGCCGAGGACGCGCGCGAACTCTCTCGCGTGCACGCTGCCCGGGGTGACCCCTTGCGCGATCTGCGCGAGGGCGACGTACACCGCGTGCGGGGATACGCCGTACGAGGAGGAGGAGGACGACGACGAGGGTTGGACGCGCGCGAGGAGGTCCGTGCCGAGGCGCGCGACCTCGGGGCCCGGCGCGAGCGGCGAGGACGCGACGTCGTCGAACGCGTCCGCGGCCTTGGCGGCGTCCACGCTCCAGCACCGCAACGCGGAGAATGTCTGTCCCATGTGTATCGGACGCGGCGGCGGCGGCGGCGGCGAGCGCGAGCGCTCGTCGTTGTCTCGCGACGAAGCGGACGAGTCTTTCTGGGATAAACAAAAAACTGAAACGAACTGAAACTCGAGGAGCGCGCGCGATATCATAGACGACGGCGAATCGTTCAAAGAATGAATGTGTACATATTATCAGATCAACGAATCAACGAACCAATGAACCACGTGGTGGCTTTTACACGGCGGGGGAGATAATAACGCTCCCACGAAGACCGTTTATTTAGTGCACCTCGAGCACCTTCATCACCGAATCTTTCCCGAGAGCGTGCAACCCGACGACTTGATCCCCCGTCTTCACGAGCCCCATCGCTTTCGCGTGATTCAACGCCTCGAGCATCTGCTCGCGGTAGTTCCCCGGCGGATGGTCCGCAGTCTTCACGACGACGGGGACGATCCCGCGGTACACGAGGCTCCGACGCGCGACGCTCTCCGCCGCCTCCACGCCTTCCTCGTCGAGAATCAACATCAAAATCGGCACGGGCGAGCGATACTTCGCGATGTACTGCGCGAGCTTTCCGGTCCGCGCGAGGGATATGATCAACCGCGCGCCGACCTTGTGCGCGCACCGGACCGCGGTAGACGCGAGCGACTCCTTGATCGAGTCCATCGGGACCTTCTGGCGATCGAGGATGCGGCGAAACTGCGCTTCCGAGTCGATGTGCGCCTCGGACTCCGCGCAGATTTGCGCCATGACGCTCACGGCTTCCACCGGATACCCGCCCGCGGCGGTCTCGCCGCTGAGCATGACGCAGTCGGTGCCGTCCAAGATGGCGTTCGCGACGTCCGTCGCCTCCGCTCGCGTCGGCCTCGGCGCGCCGGTCATGGACTCGAGCATCTGCGTCGCGGTCACGACCGGCTTGCCTTGCTCGTTGCATCGCTTGATCATGCGCTTTTGCGCGAGGAAAATCTGGTGCATCGGGATCTCCATCCCGAGGTCCCCGCGCGCGACCATGACGCCGTCGGACTTGTCCACGATGTCCTTGAAGTTGTCCAAGCCCTCTTGATTCTCGACTTTGCTTATGATCGAGATCGTCGCCGCCGCGGGGCCCAAGACCTCGCGAATGTGATCGAGGTCGCTCCCTTTCCTCACGAAACTCGCGGCGATGAAGTCCACCTTGTTCTTCACGCCCCATTCCAAGAGGTCGTTCGTATCCTTCTCCGTGATCGTGGGCAGGTCCACGACGTTCATGTTCTTCCTCTCCCCGAGCTTCGCGTTGTTCTCCACGCGCGCGGTGACCTTGCCGCCGGTCACGTCGCACTGTAAGACGGTGAACGTGATGCTTCCGTCGGCGGCGAGAATCTTCGACCCCGGGCGGACGTCCTTCGCGAGGTTCTTGTACGACACCGCGATGCACGTCTCGTCGCCCTTGTGCTCGTAGTCCGTCGTGAGCGTGACCTCGCTCCCGGCGGTGAGATGCACGGCGTCTCCGTTGGCGAGGAACCCGGTGCGAATCTCCGGGCCCTTGGTGTCGAGGAGGACGCCGCACAGGATGCCCGTGTTCGCGCTCGCGATCCGCAGGTTATCCAGCGTGTGCTGGTGGTACGAGTGTTCGCCGTGCGAGAAGTTGAACCGCGCGACTTTCATCCCCGCGCGCAGCATCTTCTCCAGGACCGGGACTTCCCTGGACACCGGCCCGAGCGTGCAGATCACCTTGCTCTTGAACTTGTACAGCGCGTCCGCGTACATCGGGCGCGGGTTGAACAGGACGTGGCCCTCATCGAACTCGGATTCGACCTGCGGAGGGCGCGCGCGGAGGCGGCGAAGAGAGGAGGACGGACGCGTCAGTCGCGATGGATGGGCGCGGTTCGAGCGATGGAGACGACACGAGACGGGAGGCGAGGCGGTCGAACGCGGAGGAAGGTCGATCGACGGCTGAGATGTGTTTTTGTGGTTTCGCGCGCGGCGCGGCGGCGGCGCGCGGCGCGGCGGCGGGGTGAAGGCGCGTCGCGACGGCGCGCGAGGGACGATGCGACGCGCGCGTGCGGACGTGTCGACGCACCTCTTTGCTCATGTTGACCGGGGTGCGTGCGGCGTGAAGCGCGCGGGAGTCTCTCAGGTCTGACTCACCCTATCCGTAACGAACGAGGAAAAAGAGTGGAAAAAGTGGATCGGGCTCGACCGCGCGCGCGAACGTTCATCGGTGTGATGACCGCTTTCAGATGCGTTTTCTCGCTTTCAACAATCGGCTTTCAGATGCGTTTTCTCGCTTTCAACAATCGGCGCTCTCTGCTGGTTTTCCGCGCGCCAGCCGGCGCCGAGGCCTCGCGGGACGACTCACACGTCGAACGCGCGAACGCACGCCGGCGGTCGCGCGATGGTGGCCGCGTTCGACACCGCGGGCGCGATCTCGCGCGAGATCGTCGGCCACAAGAAGAAGGTCCACTCCGTGGCGTGGAACCGCGCGGGTCGGAAGCTCGCGTCCGGCTCGGTCGATCAGTCCGCGCGCGTGTGGGACGTCGAGCACGGCGTGCAGAGCGGCAAGGAGATCGAGCTGAAGGGCCACAGCGACAGCGTGGACCAGCTCACGTGGGACCCGTCGCAGTCGGACGTCCTCGCGAGCGTGAGCGCGGACAAGACGCTGCGGATATGGGACGCGCGCGCCGCGGGCGGGTCGAGGTGCGTCGCGAAGGTGGACACGTCGGGGGAAAACATCAACGTCGCGTGGTCGCCCGACGGCGGCACGATCGCGGTCGGCGACCGCGACGACGTCGTCTCCTTCGTCGACGCGCGGAAGCACAAGATCATCAAGACGACCAAGTTCCCGTTCGAGGTGAACGAGATCGACTGGGACAACGCGGGCGCGCGGTTTTACCTCACGACGGGGCTGGGCACGGTGGAGGTTCTAGAGTTTCCCTCCATGACCGCGGCGCACACGATACACGCGCACACCGCGGGGTGTTACTGCATCGCGTTCGACCCCACGGGCGCGCACTTCGCGGTCGGGAGCGCGGACGCGCTCGTGTCCATCTGGGACGCGAGGGAGAGCGCGTGCGTGCGGACGGTGCCGCGGTTGGAGTGGCCGGTGCGGACGCTGTCGTTTTCAGCGGACGGGACGTACCTCGCGAGCGCGTCGGAGGATCTGTTCATCGACATCGCGGACGTCGCGACGGGGGAGTGCGCGCATAAGATCACGACGAGGGCGGCGTCGAACGCGGTCGCGTGGTCGCCGACGGAGCTGTTGCTGGCGTACGCGGGGGACGACAAGGCGGGCGAGGGGGGCGGGCGCGAGGGCACGATTCGAATCTGGGGCAAACCAGGAGCGAGGAGCGACTGACTGATCGGGGTGAGGGCGTCTCATCTATACGTATAGCTAGATCTGCGGAGTCTTCGTCGCTATCGTCGATTCCTAATTCACATAATCGTCTACATATCGCCTACGCGGTCGTCATCTCGTCAATCGTCGTCAATCAATCGTCGTCGTCGTCCCCTCTCCCCCGCGCCCGCGCGCTTCTGCCGTACCCCAACACGCACAGCGGCATCGTCGGATGCAGAATCACCGGGACGCTCGCGCCGCCGTTCGCGACGTTCGCGTTCGACGACACGGACGCGCACCGCATCGCGCGGCGCGTCGGGACGTGAGCGGCGCGACGAAACGCCGTGAGCCGCGCGCGCGCGATCGCGATCGCTCTCGCGCTCGCGGCGACGCCCGCGGACCCGTGATGCGCGCTCTTCGCGCGCGCGCTCGCGCCGGCGCCGGACTGATCCACCTCGACGCTGTACAGCAGTCGCGGCGGCGGCGGCGGGAACGCCGCGAGCGGGCACTCCACAACGGACGCGACGATGCGCCACGGCGTCGACGGCGCGCACGCCGCGGCCGCGAACGCGCGCTGCTCCATCTGACGCCGTTCGCCTCGCGCTTGCAGCACGCTGACGACGACGGCGACGACGGACGGCGCGGCGTCGACGTCCGCGGCGTGCGCCACGGAGAGCACGTGCAGCTCGTAGTCCACGATCGAGTACCCCAGGCGCAGCGTCGCCGCGAGCGCTTTGGAGAGCACCGCGTCGGACTCGAGCGCCGTCCACGCGCGCATGTCCACGACGCGGCGGCGATCGACCGCCGCCGCCGCCGCGTTCGCGTTCGCGTCGGTCCATCGCACCGGCGCGATCGGACCCGGAGAGAACGACAGGAACTCCTCGCGCCGCGCGTCCGCCGCGACCGTCCGAGGGACCAACCGCACGCCGAGGAGGGAGTCGCCGGCGTTGACGACGACGTACCACGCGCGTCGCCGCCGCGTCCGTCGTCCGACCGCGGGCGGCGGGGATGCGGCCGCGGACACGCCGGTTCGTTTCCCGAACCGTCGCGCGTACCGCGCGACCGGCGGCTTGAACGCGTCGGGGTCCGGGCTCGCGAAACCGCCGCGCCCGCGGCGGTTCGCGTCGACGTTCTCGTCCCCGGACGCGCCCGACCCTCCGGACCCCAACCCGCCCGCGTCCGTCGCGTCCATCGCGTCAGAGGTGAGCGAAGCAGACTGGTTCCCATACGAGCCCGTTCGCGATGTGAACGCCGTTCCTTGAGGACTTTCGCCGCCGCCCTCCTCCTCCTCCTCCTCGTAGTCGCTGTCGCCCTCCTCGATGATCTCCTCCGCGGCTATCACCCCCGCGACGGCGGGCGCGAACGGCGCCGCGGACGTGCTCAGATAACTCGCGTGCGTCGCCGCCGTCGCCCACGACGTCCTCCGCGAAGACGCGTCCGAATCAGAATCCCGATCCCCGTCGCCATCCCCCCGACGCCTCCCCCCCCACGCCGCCGCCGCCGCCGCGCGCCCCCGCGCGCACGGCGACGGCATCGCGGTGATGAAACACCGCCGCGCCATCGGCGCTTCGCTGCTCCCGAACTCCCTCTCCGCGGTGGGTTCGCCGTGTATCACGAGCACGCTCGCGTCCGGGGATTCGCACGCGGTGATTCGAAGCGACGACGTGGAGTCTTCGAAGCCGACGTCGCCGAGCAGCGCGCTCTCCCCGTCGTCGCCGCGGCCGAGGCGGTCGCTCCCCGGCGACTCCGCGGTCTGAAACAGCGGCGTCGTCGCGATCAACGTCGCGGGCTCGCCGAGTCGAAACCCCCAGACTTGAAGCGAGTGCTCGCCGTCGGAGGAGGCGTACGACAGGAGGTGGTCGCCGTCCGCGGTGAAGCCGAGGACGACGCAGCGCAGAAGCGACGACGTGCCGTCCAGGAGCGACTCCACGGGCGTCGCGAGCCGACCGGGGATCGCGGAGAAGATTTTGTCCCCGGGATTCGCGCGTTCGAGCTCGCGCGCGCGGAGCCTCGCGAACGCGGACCGCGCGACGCGGGAGTTCCCTCGCGGCGGGGGCATCGGGTCGGCACGCGCTTTTCGATTCGAATCTGACGATCGACGAGAGAGGAGGGCGCGTCTCTCTGCTGTAAACGACGGACGCCGCTCCTCCACCGCGCGCCGCCGTCGGGTCGAGGGGCGATTCGAGGACCGCGGCTCTTCCTCTCTGGCTAGCGCGTCCGCGTCGACGTCATCGCGCGTCGGAAAACGCGCGCGCTTCTCTCGTGGTCGTGCCGCTCGAGCGCCCCGCGCGCGCGACGAATGGCGCCAGCCGTCGTGGTCGCGGTCGGACGCGCGGCCGCGCCCGTTGACGAAACGTCGTGTCCATGTCCGCCCGACAAAACGACGCGTCTATCCATCTCCGCTCGCAGAAGGAGAGACGCGCGCACGCCCTCGCGGCACGCGCACCATGTCCGCGGTCACCGCGCGTCTTCCCGCGGGAGGCCGCGCGCGCGCGCGGATCCCCGCGCGGCGACGCGATCGCGCCCCGGCGACGGTCGCGACGGCGACCCGCGGAGGCGGCGGCTTTTCGCGAAAAAAAGTGCACATCATTCCACCGACGCTTCGGACCCTCGACGCGCTTCGTCCTCGCCGCCGAGGCGACGCCGTCATCGCGCGCGACGCCGACGCCGACGGCGGCGGCGGCGGCTCCCCCCCCGTGAACGAGCTCCCGATGGCGCGCACGCCGTCGTACGACGAGTTCGAGTTCGACGACGACGACGACGACGACGACGACGACGACGACGCGGACGTGTGCGCGTTCATGACCACGGACGACTTCGTGAAGCAGCAAGCGTCCGGCCTCGGGTTGCAGTGCATGCCGAAGGCGCGAATGAACGACGAGGTGGCGCGCATCGACCCGGGGCTGAACCAGCTCCTCGTCTCGGAGGGGTCCACGATCTCGAGGTTCTTCACGCAGGACGAGTGGGAGCGCCACCGAGGCGTGGGGAGGTACTGGCGGCATCTCTTCAGCACGTGCAAGTCGACGATTTTTCTTCGAATCTTAGAGACGGTGATCTGGATCACGCTCTCCGCCGCGGCGCTGTGCGCGTACAACCTCGTCCTCGTCCCGAAGTTCTCCCTGCCGACGCTCACGATCCCGCCGATCGTGCACCAGCTGTCCGGGTCCGTGCTGTCGCTGTCGCTGGTGTTCAGGACGAACAACGCGAACCGACGCGTCATCGACGCGCGGTCCATCCTCGGAAAGATCTCCAAGTGCACGCGGGACCTGACGCGGATGTGCATGTACATCCCGAACGAGGGCGGGTGCCGGTTCGAGATCTTGAACCAGCTCAGGGCGTTCCCGTACGCGTTCGAGGCGCACGTGCGCAAGGGACGGACGCGCAAGTCGAAGAAGGATCCGACCGCGTTCAAGTCGGAGCCGCTGCCGTTGCTGACGCGCGCGCTCGGAGAACGCGACGCGAGGCGGCTCCTCGAGCGGTCGCACGAAAACGTCGCGCGCCAGGTGTTGCTGGACATGAGCACGATATTGCAGCGCGCGCTGACGATCGGGATGTCCACGCAGATGCATCAGCAGTGCGAGATCATATGCAAAGAGCTCAGCGATTGCCTGGCCAACGCGGAGAAGATTTTGTACACGCCGATTCCCATCGCGTACACGCGGCACACGTCTCGGTCGCTGACGATATGGCTGCTCACGCTCCCGCTGGCGCTGTGGTCGCTGATGGGAATGTCGATGATCCCGAGCGTTTTTTTGATCGCGTATCTCATGCTCGGCGTGGACGAGATCGGGATCGAGATCGAGGAGCCGTTTTGCGTGTTGCCCGTGCGGCCCATCGCGGAGATGTGCGACTCGGAGATCGTCAACTCGTTCGATCAGGCGCTCGCGGCGCCCGACTTCAAGCCGGCGAAGAAGTAAAGCGAAGCTAGAGAGAGGCGGAGAGGGGGTTCGTCGTTGGCGCGGTGGATTGGGTAGGGGGTTCGGAGGTCGGACCCCGAGTTGGTTGGCGATTCTTTCATCACATGTAATGGATGGCACTTAGAGCATACAGTATCTGATTGCGACGACGGCGAGACCGACGACGACGAAAAATTTCGGTCAACTCTCACCGAGTCTTCCTTCAAAACCAGCTGACGCTGACGTTCACATCATCACGGCGCGATGTCGCTGGACCCGCACCACTGCTTCAACTTCTGGGGCGCGAGCCCCGCGCTCGATCTCAAGGCGGCCGTCTCCGCCGCGCGCGCGAGCGCGTCCCCAGAGGCGTCCACGAGCGACGAGACGCCGAGCGCGAAGACGACGACGGGCGATGACGACGGCGAGAGGGATCCGCTGACGACGCTCCTTCTCGGGACGTCCGATCCGCGGCACGTGTTCACGACGCTCGCGCGCTCGCGGCGTGGCGCGGACAAGGACAAAGCGCTCGTGTTTTACGTGCACGAAGCGCACGTCGTCGAGCTCGCGCGTCAGGTTCTCCTCGTCAGCGTCCTCGCGAGCGACGACCTTCCGCCGACGGATCGCACGGAGCGAATCTTAGAGATCTGGTACAACTGCTCCGTGCGCGACAGCACCGCGGAGCTCATCGAGCGGCACGCGTCGAGGCTCTCCACCGTCGTGGGCGACATCTTCGCCGGGGACGTCGACCGCGTGAAGGACGACGTCATCGCGCGCGCGTTCGACTTCTCCCTGCTCAAGTACAAAGAAAAAGACGCGCTGATGGAGTGCTTCCGCCAGTGGTCGCGTAAGGTCCCGTTCGACATGGAGCTCGCGTTCGAACGCCGCTGTCGAAAGTACTACGGCAACCGGTACGATCACAGGACCAACATGCACGACTGGGACTACCACATGCGCGTCGAGCCGAGCGGCGCGACTGGGATACACTTTCGACACTTTTCGCAGTGGCGAACCAACGGCGTCGGCTATCCGATTCGAGAGGCGACGTATCCGGCGCCGAACCGCACGCTCGTCTCGTACGCGAGAGGGACGACGAAGGAGTATAAAGACCGCGACATGACGGACAAGGGGAGGACGATCGAGAGCCGCGGGTACTGGGGGGACATTCTGAACTCTCCGTACGCGTGCTTCGGCGTCGAGGCTGAGGACGCGAGGCTGTTCAAGGTGTCGAACCGGCAACACGTGAAGAACGCGGTGGAGGTGTCCGACTACAACGTCGCCGCGAACCTCTTCGAGCTCAGGTGCGTTCTATACACTGGTCCCCATACGACCGCGTTCGCGTGGTGAACGTCGTTCCTTAAGGACTTTTGCCGGCGTTTCTCTCCGCCCACCCCTCGCTTTCAATCCCCGACCTCGACGCCTTTCAACTCCAACTGACGCCTTTCAACTCCACCCCGACATCGCTTTGTATGGAATGGCCCTCAGAACGGGGCGGCCGTGGAAGATGCGGCGAGGCGATAACGGCGATGACGGCGATGACGGCGACGCTGCTAGCATCGACGCGGACGAGATCAACGCGTGGATGCCGAGCCCGCAGATCGTCCCCGGGGACGACGACGACGCCGTCGGGAAGGGCGCGAGTTGGGACGGCCACGACGGCGCCGTCTTCCGCGGCAACTGGGACAAGGTCAAGATCGTCCTCGTCGGGCCGGACGACTTCGAGAAGAGCTTCCTCGGGAAGAAGAAGCACGAGGGGATCTTCGACGCGATCGTTGTTGGCGCGTGGCGCGCGCAGTTGGTTACCCCCGCGCTCGCGGCGACGACCAAGGCGGACGGCGGCGTGTTGATTCTCGAGGGCGCGAAGTACATGGTGTCGTTCGATCTGAAAGCGTGCGAGCGGTTCGCGAGCAAAGGGTGCGAGCTCGCGATCGAGGCGGGGTTCGAGCCGACGCCGGAGCACGTCCGAGGCGGCGGTGGAGGCGAGGAGGGGATATCCGGAGACGAGAGGGAGAAGAAGGAGGTCGAGACCGGGCCCGGGATTTTGCCGGGCGTGGACTCCGTCCACAGGGTCTTCGTGAGAAAGGTAAAAAAGGCGGCGGACGAGGCGTGACGACGCGCGCAGGACTACTAGCCAAGGCTAAAAGCTCGCTTCCCTCCTTAATACGTATTCTAGTCGCGCGCATGTGCTAAACCTACTACGGCGAGTTCGGGGGCAGCTTCTTGACGTACGGCGGCTTCCACACCGGATTGATGTTCGGAAACACCGGCGGCTTCCCCCCGTCGGAGAGGGGCTTCCGCGAGCGGTACCCGAACGGCCCGTCGCCGACGAGCGTCTTCTTCTTCTTCCTCGGCGACGGGTCGTACACGCTCCTCGGCGCGGTCGCGGCCTCCGCTCGCGCCGCGCGCAGCTCACTCACGCGCGCGACTTTCGCCTCGATCGCGATGAACTGCCACGAGCTCCACACCTTGGCGGCGATCTTTCGATAGCGATGATCGATAAACGCGCGCTGCAGCACCTTTCGCGCCCAGCGATGCGTCCACGACGAGAACGCCCGCTTCAGCCGGCGTTCGCGCAGGTGCGCCGCCGCGAGCGCGCACGTCTCGCGATCGATCTCCGCGTTGGTCCACGCGCGCGCCCACGCGTCGAAGCGCTCGCGAAGCGCGACGCGGCGGTGATGCTTGATCGCAACCGCGTGGAGCGTCGTCGTCTCGAGAATCGCGTCGACGGATCGCCGCCACCTCTCGAGCGCGCGCCGCGCGACGCCCTCCCGCCCGACGTACGCCGCGAGCGTGACGCGCAGCCACGCGTCGATGAACTTCCTCCGCGTGCGCCGCGCGTCGAGCGACGCGGCCGCGGCGACGGCGACGCGCTCGCGCGCGGCGAAGACGGCGCGCTCGCGCCACGCGCGGCACGCGTCGACGCCGCGGCGCCACGCTCGGTGCTCGCGCGCGCGCGCCAATCTCGCCGCGTCCTCCGCTTCTTCTCGCGCCGCGCGCTCGGCGGCTCGCGTCGCCTCGCGCTCGAGCCTCGCCTTCTCCTTCGCCGCGGCGTCTGCGGCGCGCGCCTCCTCGCGCGATTTCCGCGCTTCTTCGCGTCGCGCCTCCGCCTCCGCGCGTTCGATCGCGCGCAGACGCGCGTCGTCTTCGCGCTTTCGAATCTCCTCCTCTCTCGCGCGTCGCGCCTCCTCGCGCGCGTACTCCGCGGCGATCTTCTCGTCTTCGAGGCGCCGCAGCAGTGCCTCCCGCGAAGCCTCTCGCTCGAGACGCTCGCGCTCGAGACGCGTCTCGAGCTCGGCGGCGGCGGCTTCCTCCGCGACGCGCGCGGCTTCCTCTTCCGCGGCGGCGGCGACGCGCTCGTTCTCCGCGCGGATCGCGTACGCGTCGATCGCGAACTTTAGCCACGCGCGGTACACGGTCGCGAGCGTCCACTCGCGCCAGTGCCGAATCGCGCGCGCGATCGCGCGTCTGTGCGCGACGTGATCGCGCCACGTGTACAACGCCCCTCGCGCGCTCCGCTCGAACCAACGCGTCAGCGCTCTCTCCGCGGCGGCGACGCGGAGGACGTATCGCTGCCACGTGTCAAACGCGGCGCCCATCTTCCCGGTGCGCACGCGCGCCAAGACGCGCGACACGAGTGCCAGCTGGCGCTCCTTCTCCGCCGCGCGCTCGTCCACGTGTTCGAGCCACCGACGCCACGCCGCGGCCAACTCCGCCTTCATGAAATTCCTCGCCGCCCTCTCCAAGACGCCGCGCCTCCGAATCGCCTCGAGCATGAAGTCCTCCTTCCATCGATAAAACGCCGCGCGCATGGACGACCGCTGCCACTGCACCAGCGCGCGCTTCGCCGCGCGCGCGTCGTCGACGCGCTCGCGCCAGGTCCCGAACGCGGCCGCGATTTTGCCGCCGTTGAGTCGATCCGCGACGCGCCGCATGATTTTCAACCGCTCGCGGCGCTCGTCCGCGAGTTCGCACCATTCCCCCCACACGCGCGCTTTCAACACGTACGCCGCGCGCGTGTACTCGATGTGATGGTCCATCCACGTCAGCCAGCTCTTCACGAGCGCGCGTTCGGCCCACCACTTGATCGCGACGCGCGCGTTTCTGAGCTCGCGCGCGTTATCCGCCCACGCGTTGAACGCGGCCACGACGGCGCGATTGACGAAGAACGTCATCGCGCGATTCGCAATCTCGCGCAACTCTCTCGTCTCCTCGTGCCACTCGATCCAGCGGTTAAACGCGGAGACGATCGCGCGATGCACGAGGAACTTCATCGCGCGGTCCGCGATCTCGCGCATCTCCACGATCTCCTCGCGCCACTCGAGCCAGCGGTTGAACGCCGCGGTGAGCTCGCGTTTCGTGAACCACCCCACGGCGCGCTCGAGGACGTCGCGCATCTCGACGACCTCGTCGACGCGCTCGACCCATCTCCGAAACGCTCGCGCCATGGACGTTTTCGTAAACACCACGAGCGCGCGCTTACGCATCTCCATCGACGCCGCCTTCGCGACGCCCGACCACCCTTCCAAGACCTTCCTCCGCGTCGTCGCGCGCGCGTGCGCGACGGCGTCGGCGGCGTCGTGCTCCGACGTCGCGAGCTCGCGCCATCGAACGAACGCCGGCCGCGCGAGCTTCCAACCGTTCGCCTCGCGACGCTTCGTCTTCCGCTTCGCGTCCCTGGAGACCGCGTTGAACCTCGGGCCCAATCGCGCGGGTCGACCGCGCGACCAGTCGTCGTCGTCCGAGTGTGGGTACGCGCCGCCGCCGCCGATTCGATCCCCGCCGCGTTCGAGCGCGAGCGCGGCTTTCGCCTCGGTGAGCACCGCGCGCATCTGTCTAACGAGATCCTCCTCCGCGTCGTCCCGCGGCGGCGGTCTCGAGCGCCTCGAGAGCGTCGTTCGCGCTCCTCCGCGAGACGCGCTCGCGCCGCCGATCTCGATCGAGGACGACCACGGGCTCGCGCGCGCCGCGACCGCAACCGCGCGGGGGGGCCATCCGCCGCCGCCGCCGCCCGGCGCGACGTTCTCGAAGAGATCCCCCTCGGCTCGGAACAACGGATTCCCAAACGGCTTGCCGCGGTCGCCCCTCGCGCCGCCGCTCGTCGACGCCACCTCGGGCGCGTCCGGACGCGCGGTGGAGTACCGCAGCGTCGTCGCGTCGTCGACCTCGACCGCGAACGAGGTCCTGCCGCGGACGATCTTCTCGGACTGCAACAGCGCGTCGTACACGGCTTCGTAGTCGTCGAAGTCGACGTCCGGGAGATCGCTGCGGTTCTCGGCGAGGACGTCGGCGAGGCACTCGCGTATCGGAACGCGCGCGCGGTCCGCGTACCGGCTCAGGTTCGACGGCGTGTGCCACACCGACGCGCTCCCGGCGCGGCCGCGGTCGAACGCGCGCGCGGGGCGTCGCGTCGACGACATCGCTGGGGGTCGCGCGCGCGAATGCGAAAAACTAATCTAGAACGCGACGGGGGACGGCGCCGCTCCCGGGGGCCGGGGAGGACGCCGCGCGGGGGGGGGCGCTCCCGCGCCGCGGACGGGGCTCGGGTCGCGCGCCCAACGCGGGAGTGGACGCTCGCTCACCGCGGGGGCCCTGCCGCCGCGCCCCACGTTGAGTGACGGGTTGAACTCGAATTCGTCCCCCTCGAGGAAACGGGCGTCTGGTCAGGTCGGGTCAATTCCGGGGTGAAAATCGCATTAGAACGTGGGTCGAGCGAGCTTTTTTCCTTTGAAAACGTGACTTTTGGTCACGAAATAGGGGTCAATATCGGGGCAAACGCTGGAGATGAAAAAAAAACTCTCGTCGCCCCGCCGCCGTCGTCGACGTTCGCGGGCGCTCACGAGAGACGCGAGACGTAAGCGAACGCGTCTACGTATACAGAAACAAAACACCCCTCCACCCCCGCCCGCGACGTCTATCTACTGCGGCTCGATCGCCGCCGCGCCCTGCGGCTTGATCGCTTGGTACGACGCGACGCGTTTCATCGCCTTGCCGTTCTCCTCCGCCTCGTCCACGGCCTCGACGCTCCACACGCGCTTCATCCCCGCCACCTTACCGTGCGGCACCTGCGCGCCGACGTCCACCATCTCCGTGTACTGCTTGTTCGTCACCGCGAACGCGCTGCCGCGAATTTTACCCGCCGCGTGCAGCGCGAGCTCGTCGTCCACGAAACGAATGTCCAACGTCCGCTGAGGGTCGTTCCATACGAGCGAATGTCGGGGTGGAGTTCAAAGGCGTCAGTTGGAGTTGAAAGGCGCCGAGGGCGGGGATTGAAAGCGAAGGACCCTGGGTGGAGAGACGCGCCGGCGAAAGTCCTTAAGGATCGGCGTTCACCACGCGAACGCGGTCGTATGGGAACCAGTGTATAGAACGCGCCTGATGCGTGTAGAGCCCCGCGTCTTGCATGGGCAACACCCACGCGACGTCGTCGGACTCGTTGTGATGCGAGTGCCACCACCCGGGCGGGGTCACGAACACGCCGCCGGGGGTCCAGTCGCATCGAATCGGGTCGATGATGGCGCCCGTCGCGTCGATCTCTTTCCCCATGAGCGTGTACACGTTCGCCGACGCGGACACCGCGAGGTCGAGCGCGACGGAGTTGTGCCGGTGCGGGCGCTGGACCGTTCGCGCGGGGATCGAGTTCAGTAACGACCAGAGCACGTGCGTTAACGTCTTCGTCTGCTCGCACGCCTTGTTCCCTAACAACACGCCGAGGCGGTTCCGCTCGCCCTCCGTCGCCGCGTGTCGAATCTCCTCCACCTCCGCCAGCATGCGCTCGCGCTTGAACATCGTCGGCTCGAACTTCTTCCCGTGCGGCTTCACGCCGAGGTAGTCCATCAGCGGCTCGTCGTGGACCCAATACAGCGCCGCGCCGCCCATCGTGGACTCCACGCAGGTGTGCGTGACGACGCCCTCGGTGTTGGGCACGACGAAGAGGTCGCCCTCGCCCCACGACACCACCCCGTGTTCGCTCTTCGAGACGCCCGCGCCGCGGATGACGTAGAACGCCTGCGACGTCGCGACCGCGGACGTGTCCAGGCTCTCGCCGACACGCACGCGCGCGAACGACGCCATCAGGTTCGGCGACGTGCAGTGCGTCTCGATCTCGAGGCAGTCGTTGATGTCGAACGGGATCACGCGCGTGTCGCCGGTCTCGTGAAGGGACGCGGGGTGCACGAGCACCGGGATGGGCGCCATGACCGGGTTCGCCGCCGCGCCGTACTCGAAGACGTTCGCCGTCTTCGTCCACTCGGTCGTGTCGTCCTCTTCCGAGGCTGGCGTCTTCGCCGCGCCGCGCGCTTCCGACAGCGTCACCTCGACGGTCGTCGACGCGTCCGCGACCATCGTGGACGGTTCGTTCGGTCGCGACAGGTACCGGTTCGGTTCGATCGCGCCGCGCGGTGATTCGGTTCGGTTCGGTTCGGTTCGATCGCGCGACGCTCGGCGCGGCGCGAGGGTGCTCGGCGTGAACCGCGGGCGGCGAGTTTCGACGTCGACGACGACCTGACGAGCGCGACGAGGAGGCGCGTTCGAAGATTGCGACGAAGACGCGTGAAAGCTGCGTTTGCGTTTGTGGCTGTCGCGTCTTCGTCCGGTCCTTTCGCGGCAAATTTTCGTATGGGCTTTGTTACAGGATTTGTGTACGTTTTTCGCGTAGTACAGAGGTGCAGTACAGCGCGAAAAATAGTCGAGGGGAAGACACACACAGTGCGAGAAGACGAAAACCCGCGACGGTGGTCCCTCTTTCCGCAGCGCAGCGCAGCTCGCTTGCAACACATCTCGTCAAGATGGTGCGTGCGCCTTCCTCCGCGCCACTCGCGCGCTCGCATCGCGTCGCGCGCGCGTCGACGCCGCGGCATCGCGCCCCCGGGGGCGTTCGCCGTCGGGTTTTCCGCGCGATGGAGACATTAGGGTTTTTTTTCGCTCGTCGCGCGCAAATCGCCGGTCTCGCGCGACGCCGTCGAACGCGCGCTGACGTTCATCCCGCTCGTTCGCTCCTCCCAACCGCAGGCGAACCCCATGATGGAGCCGCGCATTCACAAGCTCGTGCTGAACATCTGCGTCGGCGAGTCCGGCGATCGCCTCACGAAAGCGGCGAAGGTGCTCGAGCAGCTCACGGGCCAGCAGCCGATCTTCTCCAAGGCTAGGTACACCGTGCGCACGTTCGGGATCCGCCGCAACGAGAAGATCTCCACGCACGTGACCGTGGGGAACCGGGATAAGGCGATGCAGATTCTCGAGTCCGGGCTCAAGGTGAAGGAGTACGAGCTTCTGAAGAAGAACTTCTCCAACACGGGCACGTTTGGGTTTGGCATCTCCGAGCACATCGACCTCGGCATCAAATACGATCCCTCCACCGGCATTTACGGTGCGTCCGCCTCCTCTCGCATCATCCCACGTTCCACCGCACGCATCAACTATTGCTGATTACGCGACGGACGTCGCCGTCTCGGTGTGCCGTTCGACGTATGAGTTTGGTGCCAGACGAACCTCCGGGTTCGCGCGCGCGCGTCGCCGGCGTCGTCGCGCGATGATCCAGTCGCGCGTGGCGTCGTCGTGCGCGCGCGCGGGCACATTCGCGCCGCGCGCGCTCTAGCGCTCACTCGGTCTCTCTCGCTCCATCGATCCATCGCTTCCGAACGCGTCGCTGACGACGCTCCATTCTCCCCCGCGTCTCGCGTCCGCCTCAGGCATGGATTTCTTCGTCGTCCTGGAGCGCCCGGGCTACCGCGTCGCGAAGAGGCGCAAGTGCCAGTCGAAGATCGGCAAGCCGCACAAGCTCACGAAGGTGGACGCGATGAAGTTCTTCCAGTCCAAGTTCGAGGGTGTCATCCTCGCCAAGGCTTACGCTTAAACGATCCGCGGTCGCGGTAGTTGTAGCAGGAATAAAGAGGGTGGGTGTTGGCGATGTAATGACCATACGTTCTTCGCTAAAACGAACGTCGTCTCGCCGATTGATTTTCTACTGTGCCTAGTGCTACGTCGTCGAGGTCCATCGCCGCTCGCTCGCTATCCCTGCGCCTCCGCCGCCGCGTTCTTCTCCTCCTTCTTCGCCCTCCGCGCCTCCTCGTCCTTGAACGCGCTCGGACACATCGCGTTCGCCGCGCACTCGCCGCACTTGGGCGCCTTCGGCGCGCACGTCAGCTGCCCGTGGCCGACGAGAAGAGGGTTTATCTCGATCCACTCCTCCCTCGGCAGCCACGCCTCGAGCGCCTCCCTCGTGTCCTCCGGCGTCCGGTTCTTCCTCGGCGTGCCGTTGCTCGTGAACGCGACGGACGGGACCCACCCTAATCTCTCCGCGATGCGATGCACGTGCACGTCGACGCAAATCCCGCTCGGGACGCCCCACCCGACGTTCATGACGAGGTACGCCATCTTCGGTCCGACCCCCGGCAGCGCCATCAGCCCGTCCACGTCGCTCGGGATGTCGCCGCCGTGCCGCTCCACGCACGCCCTCGCGGCGTCTCTCAGGTACTGCCCTTTCCTCGCGTGGAACCCGACTGGGCGGATGATGGCCGCGAGGTCCTCCGCGGACGTCGCCGCTATGTTCTCCGGCGTGCATCCGTGCTTCACGAGCCGCGCGGTCGCCGCGTGCGTGATCGGGTCTTTCGTCTGCGACGACAACATCGCGCTGACGAGCGTGACGAAGCGTCGTCCTCTGTCGTCCGGGGCGGCGTCCTCGGAGATCTTCTCGCAGCCCATGGTGTCCACGGGCGCGCCTCCGACCGCGCGCTGGCGCTTGATCGCGGCGAGGACGTCGCGCCAGTCCTCCGGCGGGGAGAACGGCGGCGTCTTCTTCTTCGTCTTCGCCGCCGCCGCCTTGGGCGTCGTCGCCTTCGCGTCTTCGTCGTCGCCCGCGTCGTCGACCTCGATCTTCACGTGCGCGCGCTTGCGTCCTCCCGCCATGACGACGACGGCTCGAGCGGAGGTCGCGGTGGACGGCGCGGCGAGGACGCGATGCGAGGGGCACGGCGCGGGGACGCGCGCGAGGGCGAGTCGTCGGCACGCGGTCGCGAGCATCGAGCGCCGCCCGGCGCGAAGTCGCGAGCTGTCGTCGCTCGCGGTCGTCATCACGTCGCGTCGAAGTTGACGAGCTCTCGAAGTTCTGTATTTTATACGCGTACGCGTACTATATGTATGCGCAAACAGTTAGGCGTGTCATTTTCTCTGAGACTGGCTCGCATACGTGAGTACATCTCGAAAACTACCTACTCGCGCTGCTCGCGAGAACTCGCGAAAACCCTACTTCATCGCGGCGAAGGACGCATCGCGGCCCTCTTCAATCCGCACGGACGACGTCGTTCTCGGAAATCAGTCAGGTGCGTTCGCTCTCCGCGCCCCGTCCACCGTCGCGTCCGCGCCGCGCGCGCGTCGTCCTCGTCGCGTGCGCGTCGTCGCCGTCGTCCGCCGGCGCAGAAAACCATCGCGCAGGGTTTTCACGCGCGACGATGTTTTTTTTTCTCCGTCGCTCGCCGCCGCGCCGGATCCGCTCGCGGAACGCGCCGGCGACGACGCGACGGCGTCGCTCTCGACGCCGAACGCTCCCTCGACCGCGCGTCGACGCCATCGCCCCGCGGCACTGACGCGCATCCCGCCCTCGTCCCTCCGACGTCCACAGGATGCCGCCCAAGATGGATCCCAACGCGATCATTGAGGTCTTCCTCCGCGCCACCGGCGGCGAGGTCGGCGCCGCGTCCTCCCTCGCGCCGAAGATCGGTCCCCTCGGTCTCTCCCCGAAGAAGGTCGGCGAAGACATCGCGAAGGAGACGAAGAAGGACTGGAACGGCCTTCGCGTCACCGTCAAGCTCACGGTGCAGAACCGTCAGGCGAAGGTGTCCGTCGTCCCCTCCGCGTCGGCGCTCGTGATCAAGGCGCTGAAGGAGCCCCCTCGCGACCGCAAGAAGGTGAAGCACGTGAAGCACAGCGGAAACATCAGTCTGGACGACTGCATCGAAATCGCGCGCATCATGCGTCCGCGCTCGAAAGCTAAGAAACTCGCCGGCACCGTGAAGGAGATTCTCGGCACGGCGAAATCCACCGGGTGCACCGTCGAGGGCCAGGACCCGCAGGACGTGCAGCAGGCGATCGAGGACGGCGACATCGAGATTCCGGACAAGTAAACGCGGCGGGCGATGAGTAGTTTGTAGCTCAGCTTTCAAAGGAGAGAGAGAAGCTACGTGCAAATCAATCGTCAATTAATCCTGCGCCTGCGACCCCCCGCTCTCGGCCGGCTTGGGCTTCTCCGCCGATTTCGGCGCGGCGGCGGCGGCGGCGGGCTTCGCCTCCGGCGACTTCGCAGCCACGGCGGCGGCGGGCTTCGCCTCCGGCAATTTCGCCGCCGCCGCCGGCGGCTTCTTCTCGCCGTTCGCGAAAAACGCGTCGTCCTCCTCCTCGTCGCTGCTCTCCTCCGTCCCGGTCTCCTCGCTCGGGTAGTCGTCGTCACCGTGCCGCCCTAGGCCGTCGTCGCTGTCGTCGTCGCTGTCGAGGTCGGACAAGTCGTCCGAATCCGACGCGCTCCCGGCGGCGTTCGCCGACTCAGACGCGATCTCGCCGCTCTCCCCGACGCCCTCGCCCTCGCCCGCGGCGGCCGCGAGCCGCGCCTTGCGCGCCTTCGCCTTCGCGCTCTTCTCCTCGTCCACCGCCGCGGCGGCGGCGGCCATCCGCTTCTCCATGACTTCGTTCGTGCGCTTCAGCACCTTCACCTTCGCGCCCCACGACGCGTCCACGCCGATCCAGTAGTCGCTCAGGAGCTTCACCTGAAGCGAGTAAACGCCCGCGGTGGGTACGTTAAACTTCAGCTCGAGCTGCTTCCCCTTGGGCGACTGCTGCGCCTCCGCGACGACGTCCGCGGTGAGCCTCCGGCACGAGAGAATAAAGTTCGCCGCCGGATCCGTCACCGCCAGCCACCACCCTTCCTCCCTCTCGCATCGCGTGCAAAACGGCAGCGGCGGGAGGTCATCCCTCGACCTCACGATCAACCCGCACGCCTCGTCTCTGCCCCACGCCGACGCCGTCGCCGCGGCGCTCTCGTCCTTCCCGTCCTCGTCCTTCTCCGCCGCGCGCGCGTTGGCGCCGCGCGTCATCTTGAGCGTCACGCGACACGTCACCGCGTCGAGCTCGACGACGTCTGCCTCGCCCTCCGTCTCCACGGTCGCGGTCAGAAACTTGACGGACGGGACGAAACGCAGGTGCGCCTCCACGTCCGCGGCTTGTCTCGCGGAGAGACCCGCGGCCGCGAGCGCGGACGCGCGCGCGTCCGGGCCGGGCGTCGCGAGGAGGTCCGCGAGCGACTTGACCTTTTTCCGCGTCAAGTTCACCGCCGTCCTCTCGTCCACGTGCGGGAGCGTCAGCAGCGACGCGAGCCCGTCCGCGACTTGGCCGGGCTTGTCGCTCGGCTTCCTCGCGCTCGGCGCGACCGCCTGCGTGACGCACTGCGTGAACTCGAGGATGCTCAGGCCCGGGCGCATGAACGAGTACCCGAGTTGATTCACCGGCGCGAGCGTGATCTTCAGCGCCTCCTCGGCGAGTCTCGGGAACAGGCCCATCACGGTCTTCAGGTCCGCCTGCAGCGACGCGTCGACGTCGTTCGTCTTGCGGCACGCCTGCGCGAGCATGAGCATGTGCGCTTTTAGGATCGCGGGGTGCCGCTTCATGAACTTTTGGTCCTTTGAATCGTACTCGCTCTTCGTCGACACCGCGAGCTTCCGAAACCCCTCCTCTTGGTCCCTCTTGAACGGAATGTTGATGAACTCCATCGCGACGGAGAGCATCTTCGGGACTTTCGTCAGCGCGAGGTTCGGCCTCAACTCCATCATGAAGTGCTGGAACGTCTGCCGCAGCACCTTGCCGGCGTCGCCGCCGTACTTGTTCATGCGTTGGATCGCGCACACGGCGAAAAACATCGGAAGCAAGATGCCGAACGCGACGAGGAACATGAGCACGTACGGTCCGGTGCCGTCCTGTCCGAACATCCACGCCGGGAGCGCGACGCCGAGCTTCACGGGCTGTTTCCCGTCCGGGTGCCCGTACTTCTCGTAGTTCACGCGCGAGTTCTCGTCCGTGAGCGCCTTGTACGCGGGCGTTATCGAGCCCGTGAAGAACTCGTGCGCCTCGGGATCTGGGTTCTTGTCCGGGTGGTACCGCAGCGAGAGCGTTCGGTACGCCTTCTTGATCGCGCTCGCGTCCGCGCCGGGTGTGAGCTGAAGAATCTCGTACGGGTCGAAGACTTTGTGCTCCGGCGGCGCGGAGTAGGCGATGTACACCGCGAGCGCGGCGGACATCGCCCACGCGACGGATACGTACAGGTTGAACCCTCGGAAGAGCGCTTTGATCCGCTTCGACGTCGTGGGCTTGTTCCTCGCCGCGTGCGCGGCCGCGGCTTTCCCCCACTCCGAGGACGCGTCTGCGGGCGCGACCGCGGGCGCGGCCGCGGCCGGGCGCGCGGCCTTATCGCCGTCGCCGAGGAGCCATCCGCCGACGCGGAAGATCGTGATCGGGACGAGGAAGAACTGAATCAGCGACAGGAGGAAGATCGGGAACAGGTTCCCGTGGCTCTCCGTCGGGTCCGTCATCGCGTCGCGTCGAGATCGACGACGCGCGCGGACGTGCGATCGAGGGGGGCGTGGAAGCGCGGCGCGTCTCGCGTCTTTCTTTCGCGCGATATCACCCCGCGCCTCGAGATCTGAGAGCGCGGATCTCGAGGCGCGGAGGAAAAATTACGGAGGCGAAACGCGCGCGCCGCGCCGTCGCGTCGCGTCGCGTCGCTCGTCGTTCTAAAATCGTTCGACGATTCTCCCCACGGCGTCACTGCGCGCGGCGCCGCGGCGATGGCGACGCTTCACGACGTCGCGGGGGTCACCGCGCGGTCCTCGACATGGGGCATCGACCTCGATAACCCGTCCGCGCGCGCGGAGTGGACGCGCCGGCTGAACGCCAAGGTGGAGGAGGCGGAGGAGTTGGCGAGCGTGGGCGCGCTCCTCGCGGACCAGCTTCGCATCGCGAACGAGGAGAAAGCGCGCCTCGAGGTGGAGCACTGCAACGGCTTCGGGCGCGCGAGCGCGAGCACGGCGAAACCGAAGTGGGGGCGTCGCACGGCCGCGCCCGCGGAGGACGCCGCGCGCGCCGCCTCGAGCGCGTCCGCGACGACGGCGACGTTCCACTCCCTGCGCGATTCGCTGCTAAGACGATTCGGGAAGCACGGCGAGTACTCGCTCCTGTGCGACCCCGTGGACGCGTTCGAGTCGCTCGCGCGCGCCGCGCGCGAGCGCAGAGCCGTGTTCGAGGGCGTCGTCAACAGAGAAGCGCTGAGGCGATACTTCGCCGACTTCGACACGAACCATCCCGCGGTGGTGCGCGCGTACTTGGACGCGCGGCGGGGCGTGCACGAGCCGTCGGGTAAGATCGGAAGCATCTTTCTCATGCCGTCTCGGCTCACGTCCGACGTGCGATACTTCGCGCACGCGGCGGGGTCGCTGTATCGCGTCCCGGAGCGCATCTCCGCGGAGGACTTGCGCGAGGCGATCTCGAAGCTCGAGGACGTCGACGGCGCGAGGGAGCTCACCGTCGAGGATTGCGAAAAATTCATCCGCGAGTGGGACTCGAGCGACTACCTCCACCGCGACGGCGCGATGCACGTGCTCGATTTCGCCGTGTTCATGCGGTTCGCGACGATGAACGACGACGCGGAGGGCGCGGCGAACGTGCTGAACGCGACGAAGAACCTCACCGACCGGACGCGCGCGAACGCGATGCTGAGAGTCGCCGCGGACGTGCGAAGACAGACCAGAGAAAAACTGACGCGGTACCGCGCGGCGGGCACGCGACTCGGGAGGGACGTCGCGCGCAACCGCGAGGCGGACGCGCTCATCGAGGCGCTCCAGGAAGAAGTCGCGGTGTACGTCTCGCACCGCGACCCCGCGGTCGGGGACGTCGAGAGAGAGCTCGAGTTTCGAGTGGAGTTGGTGATGCCCGTCGGGATCGCCGCGGATGCCGCGGGCGACGCCGTCGGGTCGAGGTGCAGGCTCGTCCCTCGGCTCACCCCCGCGCCGACGATCGCGCTGCTGCTGCACGCCATGGACGATAACCTCACCGGGTACGTGACGCCGTCGGACGTGCGCCTCGCGCTGTCGCAGTGCGGGATACCGCTCACGGCGACCGAGGCGCTGGTGTTGGGCGAGATGTTTGAAGATTCGCGAGCGAAGCACGGCGTCGGCGACTCGACGCGCGCGCGCTGGGCGATCGACGACGTGCTCGAGATTCTCGACGCGGAGCCCTTGCCTCCGTGCCGCGGCGGGATCCCGACGCTGCTGTGGCGCTGGGCGCGAGGCGCGAGAGCCGCGGTCGTGAAGTACATGACGTCGGGCGGAGCCGTCGGCGACCGCCGCGAGAAGGAGTACGAACTCTCCGACGTGAGCGACGCGGAGATGACGCGGTACCTCGTCGCGCCGTCGCTGTTCGCCACGTTCGAACACGGCGCGATACGCAAGGTGGCGCGCGCGTCGTTGTTCCGACGAAACAAGCTCGTGAAGGCGTTCCGGGCGCTGGACGACACGTTACCGGAGACGAGCGGCGCCACGGGCGTCGGCGCGTTGACGCAGAGCAACGTCAAATACGCGGCGATGATCGCCGGGTGCGATTTGCCGTCGTTCACGCGAGACGCGCGGCTCGAGACGCTCGCGGAGCGGTTCGTCCCGAGCGGCCCGGGCGTGCCGAGCAAGCTGCGGCTGAAGACGACCGGGATGCGGGGGAAGCAGGAGAGGTACGTCGACTGGCGCGGCGTCGTGCGCGCGGCTGGGCCGTCGTTTGCTTTGTGCGAGCAAGAGAAAGCCGCGGGCGCCGCCGTCGGGGGCGTCCACGGCGTCGGCGTCGACGCGTGCGGGATCTCTGAGGACGTGTACTACGCGGGCGAGGATGCGAAGAGGGTGCGCGCGGACGACGTCGCGCACGACGGCGACGTCGTCGCCGTCCTCGCGTCCATCGCGTCGTGGACGTACGAGTGGATCGCGGATCTGCGACGCGAGTTTGAATCTCGCGACGCCGCGCTGACGGGCGCGCTCTCGCCGGGAGACTTTCTCGCCGCGATGCGCGCCGCCGGGTTCGGGGTGGAGTGCTTCGGCGAGAGCGAGCTGAGGTGGTGCGTCGTCGCGTGCAGGCACCAGAGCGAGGACGCGGTCGTGTATCCGAAGTATCTGGCGTTGGTGCTCTCCGGGATCGAGAGAGAGGTGGAGGCGGCGGAGAGGAAGCACCGGGAGAAGGTCGCCGCGGACGCCGCCGCGGACGCGCAGGAGCAGTATTAGTAGCGCGAGTGAGTGTTTAGCTAACGAGGTACAATATCGTATGTATAACTTATATCGCTACTTACTTTCCTATGCAAAAGTCGGAGAAGATGACGTCGAGGAGCTCCTCGACGTCGACGTGACCGGTGACGTGACCGAGCGCCGTCGCCGCGAGCCGCAGCTCCTCCGCGGCGAGCTCGTGCCCGCCGCCGCGTCCGTTCGTCTTCCCCTCCATCGTCGCGATGGAATCGAACCGTCGCAAGTGATGCACGCACTCCTCGAGCCGCGCGCGGTGACGCAGACGCGTTATCGCGACGCCGTCGACGTCCACGGCGCCGCGAGAGTTCCCCGCGCCGACTCTCGACTCCACGGCGTCTCTCAGCGCCGCCGCGAACGCGTCCACGCCCTCGTTCGTCGCGCACGACACCCCGACGACGGCGCCGTCTCCGCCCCCTTTCAACGACTTGGACGTCCCTATCAAATCTATCTTGTTCATCACGGTCAAATCGGGCGCGGCAGCCCAACCCGGGAGCGCCGCCGCGCCGACGCCGACGCCGACGCCGACGGAGGCGTCGACGACGCCGACGACGAAATCCGCGTCGCGCGCGCTCCGCTCCGACCGCCTGATCCCCTCCCTCTCCACGTCATCCTCCACGTCGTCCCTCACCCCCGCGGTGTCCGTGACGACGACCTTGTACCCCCCCAAGTCAAGCGGCACCTCGATCGCGTCGCGCGTCGTCCCGGGAGTCCCCGAGACGATCGCGACGTCTCTCCCGGCGAGCGCGTTGAGCAGGCTGCTCTTCCCAACGTTGGGAGCGCCCACGAGCGCGACCCTGAACCCTCTCCGCACGAGCTCGTGCGCGCTCCTCGGCGCGCGCAGGTGCTCCTCGAGCGACGCGGCGAGCGCGCGAACGTCCGGCGCGACCGCGCGAAAGACGTCGTCCGCGATGGCCGCGTCCTCGCCAAAGTCGAGCACGGCTTCGACGTGCGCGGCTGCGGCGATGAGTCTCGCGCGCCAGCCGTCGTACGCTCTGCGCATCTCGCCGCCGCTGAGCTTCAGCGCCTGGCGTCGCTGCGCCGTCGTCTCCGCGTCGAGGAGGTCCGCGAGGCCTTCCGCTTGCGTGAGATCGAGCTTGCCGTTGCGGAACGCGCGGCGGGTGAACTCGCCGGGCTCCGCGTGACGCATCGCGCCGCGATCGACGACGCGTTCGCGTTCGCGTTCTTCTTCCGCGCGCTCGTCCGTCGCGTCTCCTCCTCCGTCGTCGTCGTCGCCGCCGCCGCCGCCGCCGCCGCGCGCGCCCAGCCGCGACAGCGCGTCCAGCAGCGCTCGCGTGACCGCGAGCGAGCCGTGGACGTGCAGCTCCGCGACGTCCTCGCCCGTGAACGAGGCCGGGCCGTCGAACCACAGGAGGATCCCGCGGTCGAGCGTCTCGCCCGTGCGCGGGCACGCGAACGTCGTCGGCGTCGCGCGCCGATGCGTCAGCGTCGGCGTCGGCGCCGCGCCGCGGGGGACGAGCCGCGCGACGTCGCGCGCGCGCGGACCGGAGACGCGCACGATGGCGACGCCCGCGCGCCCGGGAGCGGACGACAGCGCGTATATCGTGTCCGAGGGGGCGACGGGTCGCGTCGACGACGACGACGAGGAGGAGGAGGAGGACGACGACGACGACGACGACGCGGCGACGCCGCTCGAGATGCGACGCGCGGACGCCGCGTCGAGCGCGATGTGCGGCGCGAAGACGGGCGAAGCGAGCCCGCGCGCGTCGCGCGATGCCGCCGCCGCGGCGGCGACGGCCCTCCGCCACATCCTCGGCGGCCGCGCGTCGCGAGGCGCCGCGCGCACTGACGCCGGGGTGCCCAGTGGCGCTCGCGTCGTCGGCGTCGCGTCGTCGCGACGATCAGATTTTCTGCAGTGGGCGCTCGACGATGCGATGTTTCGCGCCGCCGCCGCGCCGTCGCATTGGTCGGGAGCGCGCCCCCCCCCCACGCCACGCTTCTTCATCACTCAAGATGGGGAAGACCGCGAAGGGCAAGCGCGCGTGGCGGAAGAACATCCAGCTCGGCGAGGCGGACTACGTGGACAAGAAGCGCGAGGACGCGAGGACCGGCGGCGCGGTCGACGAGCTCCCGGACGACGCGCTCTTCTTCACCGACACGGACGGCGGCGGCGGGATCGCCAACGCCGCGGTCCTCACGCGCAAGGAGAAGGCGCGAAACAAGACCCTGCGCGTGGACAGCATCCTGACGAAGACGAGGACGTCGTGCCCGTACCCGGTCCCGGTGCCGAGAGGCGCGAAAGGGCCGCCGACGGCGTCGCGCGCCACCAAGGGCGCGGAGACGACGAGCGACAGATCGCTTCGCGAGGCGTCGTCCTTCTCCAAGGCGGTCGCGAAGGCGGGCGGCGCGACGCGCGAGAAGATCAACGGCGCGGCGCTCTACAAGCCGAACCGTCGCTTCACCCTCGACGACGTCCTCGCCGACGACCCGGACGCGCCGAAGAAGCAGAAGACGTACGACATATGGGACGGAGGCCTCGCGAGGGACGCGGCGAGGGACGCGACGCGAGAGAAACACAAGGCGACGACCAAGGCGGGGGCGAAGCACGCGGAGGCGGCAAGCTACTCGAAACACCGGCTCGGCGACGCGCCGGGGAGCTCCAGCGCGAGGGGGAACAAGAAGAAGGCGTACGCGCCGAAGAATGGGGTGGGCGCGGTCGAGGTGGACGCCGCGGGGAGCAGCTACAATCCCCCGGAGGACGCGAGGCAGGAGGTCATCGCGTACGAGGTGGGGAAGGAGCTGAGGAAGAAGCTCAAGAAGCAGCTCGACCCGGTCCGCGCGCCGGTGTCGAACAACGAGGCGAACCAGAAGCTCGCGGAGGAGCTGTATTACGCGCAGGAGAACCTGTACGAGGACGCGTCTGACGACGAAGCCGGCGGCGGCGACGGCGGCGGCGGCGCGTCGAAAAATAAAAATCCCGCGACGTCGAGAGACGGCAAGATGACCAAGGCGCAGCGGAATAAACAGCTCAGACGGCGCGAGCAAGAGGCGGAGGAGGAGGCGAACCGGCTCGCGAAGCGGCACCGACGAGATCTCTCCAACCTGAAGCATCTCGACGCGCGTCTCGACGCGGAAGCCGCGGAGGAAGAGGCGAAGCGCGAGCGTCGAAAAGTCGCTCGCGAGGAGCGAAAGGCGGCGCAGCCGGACAGGCTCGGGAAGCACCGGTTCGTGGAGGAGCACACGCCGGTCATGCTCAAGGACGAGCTCACCGGATCGCTGCGCACGCTCGCGGGGACGCACACGCTGCTTCGCGACCGTCTGAAGAGTTTACAGCGACGCGAGCTCGTGGAGCCACGGAGGAAGGTTGAACGGGTGAAGAGCAAGTCGTACATGAAGTACGAGCCGGGGGCCAAGGGGGAGAGGGAGACGGAGATGCACGAGAGCGCGCTGAAGGCGACGGAGGCGTCGCGGAAGCGAGGGAAGCGCGCGAGTTTGATGGACGCTCCGATGTGATGTGTGATCGCATGTTGTAAGGCGTGCCGTGTACGAGTAGCGACAGTACAGAACCGAACGCACTGAACACGCTACAACGCGACCGGTCGCCCGCCCGCCTTCTCGACAAGGCGACCGGTACCTGACCTAGTTGTGAACCTCGAGGCGGGGTCGCGTCACTTCCCTCCGCGCGCGACCGACGTCTCGCCGAGCGCGGCGCGATGGGAAACTGCGTCGCGCGTCCCTCTTCGCGCGGGGACGTCGTCCTCGTCGCCCCCGCGCGCGCGACGTCGCTCGCGCGCGACGCCGACGCCGACGCGCGCGCGGGTCGAAGCGCGAAGAAGAAGCGCGAGACGATACCGCTGTCTCCCATCGACAACGCGCTCGGCGTTCGAACGCTCGTCGTGCACTGGGCGTTCATGTACCGCGGCCGTCTCCCCGCCGCGCGCGTGAAGGCGGCGCTCGCGGACGCGCTCGACTCCTACCCGATACTCGCCGGCAGAGCGCGAAAGACGCGCGCGAGCCGAGGACGCGTCGCGCTCGAGCTCGAGGTCGTCCTCGACGACGCGGGCGTGCTGTTCGAGACGGCCACGGACGACGCGCTCGGTCTCGACGACCTCCGAGGGACGGAGAACGCGGGCGTCGTCCAGGGCAGAGACAACGAAACGCCGCCGACGTTCTTCGCGCGCGTGGATTCGCGCCCCGAGCGCGGGAACCCGCTCATGAGCGTGCGACTGACGACGCTCGGCGACGAGCGCCGCGGCGGCGGCTGCGTCCTCGGCGTTTCCTGGTCGCACGCCGTCGCGGACGGCGACGCGATGAGCGCGTTCGTCGCCGTGTGGGCGGCGGCGTCGCGGCGGCTGCGGAACGTCTGCGACGCGCCGGCGACGGCGTACATGCGACACGACCCGGCGATCCTGGACTACGGCGTGGAGACGGCGGCGCCGTCGCTGCCGCCGAACCCGGAGCATCCAGCGTTGTACACGGCGCCGTCGCACGACAGACTCGCGGTGCTGAGGTGCGTTCTATACACTGGTTCCCATACGACCGCGTTGGCGTGGTGAACGCCGATCCTTAAGGACGTTTCCCGGCGTGTCTCTCCGCCCACCCCTCGCTTTCAATCCCCGACCTCGACGCCATTCAACTCCAACTGACGCCTTTGAACTCCACCCCGACATTCGCTTGTATGGAACGACCCTGAGGGACGCGCCCGATATCGGCGAGGCGCCGTTCCCGGAGCTGAGGCTCGAGGACGACCCGAGGCTCGCGTCGGGGTGCGCGGTCGCGAGGTCGCTCGCGGGGATGGCGTACGACCTGAAGTTCGCGCGGCTGACGCAGCAGCTCGTGCACGTCACCGCCGACGAGATCAAGTCGATGAAGACGTTTCTCGCCGCGGAGACGCGACGAGCCGAGGCGGACGCGCCCGCGGACTCTGCTTCGGACTCTACTTCGCGCGCGTTCGTCACCGCGAACGACGCGATCGCCGTGTTCTCGTGGACGCTCACGCGCGCGCTGAGGGACGACGAGGAGAAGCGAACGAAGAAGAAGCGAGGAAAGACGCGAGCAGCGCGCGACGGCGCGTTCGCGCTGCACGCGATGAACCTCCGTGGGCAGGGCATCCCGGGGCTGGGGAAGAACCTGTTCGGGAACGCGTCTATCTTCGTCGCCGCGCGCATGCCCCCGACGCGCGCGAACGCGGACGCGGACGCGAACGCGCCGGACGGCGGCGTCGTGGCGTCGTTCGATCACGGCGCGATGGCGCGAGCCGTCCGCGCCGCCGTCGTCGACGCCAAATGCGTCGGCGACGTCGACGCGCAAGACGTCCGCCGCGCGCGCGTGCTCGCGCTGAGCAACGCGGGCGGCGGCGCGCACCTCAGAGCCGCGGTCGCCGCGGTCGAGCACGCCGACCTCAAGCACAGCTCATGGACGCAGTTTCCGTTCTGGGACGTGCGTTTCGGCTCCGACGCGGGCGACCCGGCGTGGTTTTGGGGATCGGTGTACCCGCAGTCGCCGTGGACGAGCTGCGTCGTCGCGGACGGGAAGAAGCGATTGAACGACAAGCCGGACGCGGTCGGCGCGTACGTGTACGTCACGATACCGAAGTCGTGCGAGGGGATGCTCAAGGCGCGCGCGCGCGAGGTCATCGCCGCGCTGAGCGGAGCTTGAGCGGAGAGCGCCGTGCGACACTCCTACCTTCTTGTTTTTATGCACTGGTTGATGCTGTTTGTCCAGATCGATGCGATGTCACACACTTCAGCACTGAATCTGGTCGCGCGCTCGTACACGCGCGTTCCTTAAACGCGTTCCTTCGGCGGCGGGCGCGCGTGCGCGCACTCCGCGCGACGCGACGCGATGTCGTACCTTCTCCCGCACCTCCGCTCCGGCTGGGCCGTGGACCAGGCGATCCTCACCGAGGAGGAGCGCGTCGTGTGCCTGCGCTTCGGCCGCGACGGCGACGAGACGTGCATGCAGATGGACGAGGCGCGCGCGCGCACGGCACCTCTCGGCTTCTCGCCTCGCTTCCACGAATTCCAGATCCTTCCTTCGTCGTCTTCGCGTCGCGCCGTCCGCTGACGCGCCTCGTCCTCCCCCTCGCTCACCGCTCGCAGACGCTCGCGAGCGTGTCGGACAAGGTGAAGAACTTCGCGGTCATCTACTGCGTGGACATCGACGAGGTGCGTACCGCTCGAGTCGCGCGACGAACCCTAGATTCGTCCTCTTCTTCTTCTTCTTCTTCGCGCGCGCGATGATTCGACGCGATCGCCGCTCCCGGCCGCTCACCCGCCCCTCGCCTCGTCGCAGGTCCCTGACTTCAACACGATGTACGAGCTCTACGACCCGTGCACGTGCATGTTCTTCTTCCGGAACAAGCACATCATGATCGATCTCGGGACGGGTAACAACAACAAGGTGAACTGGGCGATGGACGACAAGCAGGAGTTCATCGACATCCTCGAGGTCATCTTCGCGGGCGCGAGGAAAGGACGCGGTCTCGTCGTGTCCCCGAAGGACTACTCCACGAAGTACCGGTATTGATCGTCGGTCGTCTTAGGTTCTTCTATTCGACGTCAGCGCGCGCGTGCTAATTAGTCTAGGCAATGGAAACGTCGTCGTCGTCGTCGTCGTCGTCGTCACTCGGCGGGCCGCTTCGTCCCTCGCACGTCCCGTATACCCCCCTCGGTGACCGTATACCGCGCCCTCCCCTGCGGCAGCCTCGGACTCTTATACAAGTACGCCGTCCGCGTGTCGTCCTCCCACGAGAGGATGATCCGCGTCGTGCACGCGTGCGCGTACGATTCCCCCAACGCCGGCACCAGCCTCGCGCCGCCGCCCCTGGGGTCCGGCTTCACCGTCACCTGGTTCACGGTCACCACCGCGAGCGCGTTCTCGCTCGCGAGCTGCTGCAGACGCTGCGTCATCTTCGCGAGGATCGTCGTGCGAAGCGCCATGTCCCTGAAGTCCTGTCGGAAGTGAAACGCGACGGAGTCGACGACGACGAGTCGCACGCGGTGTTTCTTCACGTACGCCGGCAGAGCCTCCAACACCGCGAGCAGCTCCGTGACCTCGTGGCACCGAAACAAGTGCACGCGCTCGAGCATCCGCTCCGCCGTGAACGACGCGATCGCGTCGGACATCCCCGCGTCCTCCGGCGACGCGTTCGACACCGACCGGAGGTGGCGCGCCGTCGCCTCCGCGATTTCCTCGGCGCGCTCCGCCATGAACGACCCCTCCGTGTCTACGTACACCGCCTCGCCGTCGTACCCGCCGAACGCGTGCGGGATCTGCACGCTGGCGCACAGCTGGACGCACATCTGCGTCTTGCCGATGCCCGGGCACCCGCAGAGTTCGGTGATCTCGCCCGCAGCGACGCCGCCGCCGAGGAGCGCGTCGAGCTCCGAGGAGAAGGTGTAGATGGGGAGCTTCCCGGTCTCCTCGCGCAGGAGCTCGCTCGCGGACTTGGCGCCCGCGAGCGCGGTGCCGTCGACGCCGAAGCGGACGACTTTCATGACCTCGCTCGCCTCTTCGTTCGTCAGGCCCGCCTCTGCGTGGACGACGACGGGACGGCGACGACGACGACGATCGATCGCGTCAGAGGAGAGGGTGCCCACGTTCGATCTGTTCGGACGGGCGACGCGCGGGCGCGAGACGGCGGGGGAGAAGGGAGGGAAGCGGGGACGCGGACGCACCCAGCGCGAGCTCGACGGGACCGCGCGTCTTCTTCACGTCCCGCACGGACACGAACCCGGCGCGTTGGAGTTTCTGCGAGGAGAAGGAGCGCGGGTGGGGGGGGGGGTCGTCAGCGTCCGACGAGCGCGCGTTTAAACGCGGGCGCGATGGCCTCGCGAGACGAGAGAGGAGGACGAGACGGAGCGTCGAGAGATTGAGGTCCGAGCGCGCACCGATCGCACGGACGGCGCGAGCGGCACGGACGTGAGCTGCATCGCGTCCTTGTACCACGCGTTCGCGCCGCCGTTGTCCATGGCGAACGCGGCGCGCGCGAGACGCACTGTGGTTGCGCTGAAGTGAGGAGCGCCGAGATTTCTTCCGTCCGTCTTCAAAAAGTTGGCACCCCGAGCATCGGAGCGCACAAGACGTCGCGCGTGAGGGCGTCCACGCGCGGCGCGGCACCCTCCCCCGCTCGGCGCGCTCGAGGGGAGGCGGGCGGCGACGCGCCTCGACGCGCGCGGCGCGCGCGCGCGGCGAGAGCGGGCTCGCCCGCCGCGCTTCCTTCGCGGATCTGGGGAGGATCGACGCGGGCGCGATGTCGTCGCACGACGAGCTCGTCGCGCTGCACCAAGACTTGCGCTCGGACAAGGTCACGAAGCGCAAGAGCGCGCTGAAACTCCTCGGCGAGCTCCTCCAGAACCCCGACTTCGCGCGCTTCCTCGACCACACCACGAAGAAGATGGACGACGGCGAGGGCGGGGACGTGAAAGCGACGTGGGCGGGCCTGTGCGGCAGCGCGATGATCTGCGTCTCCGCCGAGATCGCGACGTCGCGCGGGAAGAAGAAGCCCGCGGACAAGGGCGTGACGAACATCCTTCGAAGGCTGATGACCGCCGCGGAGGAGCCGAAGAGGAAGGCGAGGAACGGCGTCGTCGCGCCGCTGAAGCGCCGCGCGGGGAAGCTCTTCACGCACGTCCTCGAGGTCCTGCGCGACGGCCCTTCGGAGTTTGCCTCGGACTATGCGCAGCTGTTGCGGACGCATCTGCTCGCGGAGCCGACGTACTGCGCGCGCGCGAAAGCGAGCACGTACGAGGGGATCATGCGCGTGTACAAGGAACGCCTGGAAGCGCACTTCAACGACATCGCCGCGGCGAAAGAGGGCGCGTGCGACGCCGGCGCCGGCGCCGAGGACGGCAACCGAGCGGCGCACGTTTTGTTACAGCTGTCGCGGAGCCTCCCGCACGACCTGTCGCCGTCGTCGACGCTTCCGGACCTCGTGGCGTTCCTCGGCGGCGCGCTTCGCGGGATGGTCGGCGACGAAGGGCGCGTCGCGATCGCGCTGACGCAGACGCTGTGCGCGCTCTTAGCCCGCGGCGGGTTAGACCTCGACGTGGACACGACGCTCGCGGAGTTGCGCGACGACGTCGCGCCGTTCGTCGACCGAGCCCTCGGCGGCGGCGGCGGCGGGTCAAGCGGCAAACCCAAAAAGGCCGACCGCGACCGTGACCGCGACCGCGACCGCGACCGCGACCGCGGCGGGAAAGTAGACGCGCGCCTCCGCGACGCGGTCGTGACGTACTGCAGGCTGCAGCTCGCGCTGGGCGGGGTCAGAGGTCGGTCGCTGGACGCGTTGGTGGAGACGGTGAGAAAATTCGTCCCGACGGCGGCGGTGGGCGGTCGCGGCGGATCCGGGCGAGGCGGCGAGAACGACGGCGGCGCGTCCGCCGCGTGTCGAGTGAGCGCGTCGCACGCCGCGGCGTGCGCGCTCGCCGCGGACGTGTTCGTCGCGCAGTGCAGAGGCGACGGCGACGACGGCGACGCGTCGCCGCGTTGGGCGTGGCGCGAAAGCGCGCTCGCCGCCGTCGCGTCGAATCGGGACGACGAAGCCGACGTCGACGGCGACGGCGACGGCGCCGGCTCGAGGGGGGATAAGCGCGCGCGTGACGACGGGAGAGACGCGGACGCGCGCGAGAGCCAGCGGAGACGGCGCGGGCGGGACGACGCCGACGCCGACGCGGGGCCGAGCGCGCTGGAACGACTCCGAGACACGCTCCCGCGCGCGGTCGCGACGGGGTCGTCTCTCGTCGGCGGCGCTGGCGCCGCGACGTCGTCGTCGTCGCCGCCGCCGCCGCCGCTCGCGCGACTCGGGTCGCTCGCGGCCGGGCGCGACGCCGCGGCGTGGGGCCCCGTGCTGTGCGCCGTCCTCCTGCGCCACGGCGCGTCGCTGCCCGAATCGTTGACCGCGGCGTGGCGAAGGGATCTCGCGCCGGCGTTCGCGTCGCTGTTCGCGTCGGGCGCCGCCGCGTCTGGGACCGCGTCCACGTCGTTGACCTGGGTGATTCGGTGCCTGCGCGAGCTGTGCGTCGTCGCGAGCGTGCGATGGAGCGCGCGCGACGAGGCCGACGACGTCGACTCCGCCGACGACGCGTCGTCGGCGGCGTCCGCGAGCGCGGAGTGGACGCTCGTCGGCGACGGCGTCGCGCAGTGGATGCCGACGTTCGCGTCGAACGCCGCGTTGTCCGCGGAGGCGCTGTCGCTGTGGGCGACCATCGCGTCGTCGAGGCTGACGCCGCCGATGACGCTGCCCGCGAAGTTTTGGAAGCTTCCTCCGCTGAGCACGACCGCGGAGGACGCGCCGTCGACGACCGCGCTCGAGACGTTCGCGAACGCCGCTCGCGGCGACGGCGGCGGCGGGCTCTCGCGCCGAGAAGGGTGGCACTCCGGGAGAATATTCTGGGCGCTGCGTCGACTACAACCGCCCGCGAGCGCGGATCGGATATCGTTCTATCAGCGGCGAAGCGCGGCCGTGGATCCCGGCGCGGGGCCTAGCGCGATGCGCGCGGTCGTCGCCGCCGTGCGCGCGACGCTTCTCGGCGCGGCGGCAGATCCCGTCGACGACGCGTTCGCGGAGTCGACGTCCGCGCGCGAGTGGCTCGAGCGCGCGAAACCGGGATCAGACGAGTGGGCGCTCGAGGAAGACCTCGCCGCGATGGGCTCGCGCGCGGCGCCGGAACTGCGCGTCGTGGGCGAAGAAGAGGACGCGGACGACGCGAGGCGCGCGCTCGGCGCGAGCGTCGTCCCCGGAGAGGGCGTCGCCGCCGCGCTCGCGGAGGGCGCGGCTTTCCTCGCGGAGACGCTCGCGGCGATGGCGTCGACGACGCCTGTTTCCGCGATTCGGATTTCGACCGTCGCGGTCGACGCCGCGGCCGCGGTGTTCTCCGCCGCGACGGCGAAGAGAATCACGCTCGATGCCGGCGCGAGGAGAGACGCGTGGATATCTCTCGTCGCCGCCGCCGCGGAGACGCTTTCTTCCGCGGCAGCCGCGCTTCGCGACGCGTCCGCCGTCGTCTTCAAGGGCGACGACGGGAACCCCGGCGTCTCGGGGTTTCATCTCGCCGCGCTGGACGACGTGCAGCAGCTCGCGGTCGTCCTGAAACGCGCGGAAGGCGCGGGATTATTACACGAATCCGGACCCGGGAGCTTACAAAGCGCCGCGGAGGACGTGCTCGCCGCGGTCGCCGCCGTCGCGTCCGACGCGGTCGACTCCCCGGAGATCGCCGGCGTCTTCGCCGACCGCGGCGGCGGCGACCGCGGGCGCGCCAGCGGCGGCGGCGGCGGCGAGACCCAGGACCTCTTCGACGACGACCTCGACATCCCCTCCGCCGGCGGCGGCGGCACGCAGGGCGGGTTCCAAATGACGCAGGCTGTGATGACGCAGGCGGTCTTGACGCAGTACGCGTCGCAGCTGGGCTCGGGCTCGGGCTCGGGCGGGACGCAGCACGGCGCGGGGGCGACGATGGACGCCCCCGCGAACGCGTCCGACGCCACAGCGCGCGCGGCGCTGTCCGCGCTGGGCGCGCTGGGGACGACGTTTCCCGCGGCGTCCGTCGCCGCCGCCGCCGCGATTTTGAAACGCGCGACGTTTTCCGAGATCGACCCCGACGCCGAAGGCGGCAGCGAGCAGCTCACCGTCAAGCCCGGGCTCGAGGGCGTCGTCGACGCCGCCGCGAGCGTCCTGTGCGCGCGCGCGGGCGTCGACGCGTCGGACGAGACGACGGAGCACGGCGAACGCGGCCCAGCCGCCGCCGCGGGTGCGTCGCTCGCCGTCGCCGCGCTCGAAGCCGCGCTCGTCGGCCCCGGCGGCGGCGCGGACGACTCCGGCGCGAGCGAGGCGCGGCGCGCGTGGCTGCTGTCGCAGGCGACGTCGCTCGCGCGCGGCGTGAAGAGTCGTCGCGAGCTGCTGAGACGATCGGACGCGGCGGGGGGATGGCGCGGGAAATTCCCCTCCGCCGCGGCGGCGGAGGCGGCGGCGAAACGCGCCGGGCGCGTCCGCCGCGACCACGCCGCGGAGATGGTCGAGGCCGCGGAGACGGCCGCGATGTTCCCGCGCCTGCGATACCTCGTCGAAGACATCGCCGGGCTGCCGGACTGCCAGGAGCTCGACAGAACGAAAGTCACGGACGCGAGCGCGTTCGCGCCCGCGTCGCTTCGTTCGCCAGCCTCTCGCGTCGCGCTGACGCGAACGATTCGAACGCTGCTCGAGCTCGACACAGACGTCTTCCAGCCGCACTTTGGCGTCGCGCTGACGTCGATGCTGACGGACGTCTCGGGCGTCGTCCGGCGCGCCGCGGGGAGAGAGATGTCGATCGTGTTATCGTTATTCGACGGCGTAGATCAGCCGTTTATTTTTCGCGACCGCGTCGCGACGCGGCTCGCGTTGCACGCCGCCGCCGCGTTGCCGGGGGATAACATCCCGTCGCCTCCGACGAAAGCGCTCGACGACGCGCCGCGCGCGGGGAGCACCGGCGGCGGCGAGATGTCCGCCGCGGCCAAGGCGAGAGCCGCGGAGGCGGCCAGGACACGCGGGGACGAATACGAAGAAGGCGCGGACGACGCCGCCGACGCCGCCGCCGACGGCGGCGGCGGGGAGTCGCCGCCGTACGGCGGCGCCGCGGCGGCCGCGGCCGCGTCTCGATGCGTCACGGAAACATCCATCCTCGCGCTCGGACGCGTCGCGTGCGCGTGCCCCGCGGTGGAGTCCGCGTGCGTGTTCCTCCTCGCCGCGCACTGCGCGGCGACGACGCTGACGACGACGAACGAAGAACGAAACGACGCCGCCGGCGCGCACGCGCGGCTGTGCGCGGAAGTCCTGACGCGACTCGCGACGTCGCTCGGGTACCCGTCTCGACGCGCGTTCGTCAAACGCCACGCGCGGTCCATCGGCGCGCTGTGGATGCGTGCCGGTCTGTCCGTCGCCGCGCTGCTCGCCGTGCCGGACCTCCTCGCGTTGGGGGAGGAGGACGGACGCGTCGGGGGCGCCGCCGCCGACGCCGGCGACGCCGACGCCGACGCCGCGTCCGCGTCGCTCGCGAAGGCGTGGGCGCCGTTCGTCTTACCCGCCGCCGCGCTCGCCGGGGACGTCGCCGCGACGCGCGCGCTGGAAGACGCCGCGCGCGTCGAGCGCGGCGATCTCGTCCGCGAGCACCTCGCGCCGATCTTCGCGCAGCTGCACGCGTTGTCTACGTGCGAATCCGAGCAGCGAAGGCACGAGAAAACCGCCGCGGTCGCGGCGTTACACGGGACGATTCTCGCGAGCGCCGGCGGCGGGACGCTCGACGCGCGTCTGTTCCGCAAGCTCACCGACATCGCCGCGGAGATGACGCTTCTCGCGCAGCCGTCGGACGATGCCGACGACGCCAGCGTCGACGTGGGCGCGGACGGCGAAGACGTCGACGACGTCCCCGCGATCGCGTCGCTGACGCCGCCGTACCTCTCGACGAGGGAAGTCGTCCGCGCCGGCGAGTTGCTGCCGTCGCGTTTCAGTAAAATCACCGCGCGACGAAAATCCGAAGGCGTCGTCCTGAGCGGCGCGGCGTCCGCGGCGGAGACGCGCGCGTCCAACGCGATGTGGGAAGGCGACCGCCCGTATCGCTGCGTCTCCGCGCTGCGCGCCGACCTCGACGGCGCCGCGCACGCGCGGCACCGACGGCGCGGCCTCGCCGGCGTGGAGGCTTTGACGCGGTTGCTCGGTCCGGAGGCGCTCCGTCCGGACGTCGCGCGGTCGCTGTGCCACGTCCTTCTGCCGCACGTCGTCGTCCGAGGCGTCGTCGGCGAAACCGCGACGCGGCTGCTTCGCGCGCTCGTGGGCGGACCGATCGCGAAGAACGACTGGAGCGCTGTCCCGGGCGGCGCGGACGGTCTGGGCGCGGAAGCGCTCGCGGATAACTTGCAGCCGATCGCGTCCACGCTCGCCGCCGCCGCGGAGGGCGGCGGCGCCGCGGCGGCGTCGCTGCTCACGGACCTCGTCCACGGCGCGGGGGCGACGTCGCAGGCGAAGGTGCTTCGACTCGCCGCGCAAGCGTTGACGCCGCTGCCGCGTCTGGACGCGCACGTGCGGATGACGCGCGCGACGGCGATGCCGACGCGATTGAGAGTGCTCGTGGATCGCGTGCCGCGTTTGCCGCCGCGGCTGCGGCGGCTCGCGATGCGCGACGCCGTCAACGAAGCCGTGGAGAGGCGCGGGGAGATCGTCGCCGGCGGCGCGAGCGCCGCCGCGGACGCGTGGCGGCTCGCCGCGCTCGCGGTCGAGGGCGGGGACGAGACGCAGACTGCGCGAGTCGGCGAGTTACTCGCCGCGTTGGGGCCGTCCGCGAGAGAAGACGACGACGACGACGACGACGACAAAAACGGCGCCGCCGCCGGCGGCGGCGGCCGATCCGGCGGCGGCGCCGTGGACGAGCAAGGGATGCGGAAACGCCGCGGCGGCGACGCCAAGGACGCGACGCGCGGCTGCGCCGGCGCGCACGGCGCCGCGGCCGCGGACCCGAACGACCCCGCGCTCGCGGCCGCAGTGCTCCGACGTCTGTCCTACCTCCTCTGCGACGCGTCTCACGCCGTCGCCGACGCGGCGGCGGAGACGGCGAGGCTCGTGCTCGCCGCGCGAATCTCACGCGCGGCGCTGACGAAGCTCTCGCCGCTCGAGCGCGCGTACTTGTCCCCGCTCGCGCCGTCCCAGAGCGTTCCCGCCGCGGACGCGGAGTGCGCGGCGCTGGAGAAGGTTGCGAAAGCGATCGGGGACGCGAAGGGGGAGGCGTCGATCGAGGACGCGAGCGCGTGGATCCCCCCGCCCGCGAAGACGTCGCGCGCGGGCGGCGGCGGCGGCGGCGGCGGCGGCGCGCGAGTCAAAGCCGCGTCCGAGCAGCGTCGCCACGACGCGTGGCTCAAGCGCGTCGCCGGCGCGCTTCTCATTCACTGCCACGCGCCGCTGCTGAAGCTCTCGAGGGCGACCGCGGCGAGCCACGCGCCGCTCGCGGAGCTCCTCCTGCCGGCGGCGCTCGCGGACGTCGCGGCGAATCACCCGGAGGGCGGCCGCGTGCACGTCGCGGTATCCGACGGCGTGAAGGCGTGCCTGGATGCGGACGGCGGCGGGTGCGCGCGCGTGTCGAGAGCGCTGCTCGCGGCGTTGGACGCCATGCGCGCGCGCCGCGTCGCGGTGTTGCAAAAGCCCGGCGTCGTCGTTCGCGCGGGCGGCGGCGGCGGCGGCGGCGGCGGCGGGGAGAAAAGCAAGGCGAGATCGCCCGAGGCGTGGCGCCGCGTGTACTGGGTCGACGTGGACTACCTCGCCGCCGCGGCCGCGGCGTTGCGCGCGCGCGTCCCTCTGACCGCGGCGCTGCTCGTCGAAACCTGGCTCGAGGACGCGAACGGGACGGTGTCGTTAGACGACGCGGCCGCCGCCGTGGCGGCGGTGGATCGCGAGCGCGCCGGCGCCGGCGCCGGCGCCGGCGCCGCGCAGCCGACGTTCGTCGCGACCGAGGAGGGCGCGCCGACGCACGTGAAGCTCCTTCTCGAAGCCCAGGCCGGGACCGCGGAACCCGACGGGATCTACGGCCTCCTGCGCTCGCACGCGCTGCCCGTGCAGCTGCGGCTGTACGAGCACGAGGAAGCGTGGGGCCAGGCGCTGACCGGGCACGATTTAACGTCTCGCGCGGCGTTCGGCGGCGGCGGCGGCGGCGGCGCGTCCGGGTCGAATCTGCGGCTTCTCGAGACGCTTCGAAAGATGGGATGTCTGCACGTCCTCGACGTGTACGCGCGGTCGCTCCCGCCCGCGGAGGCGGCGTCGCCGGAGGTGTCCGAGGTCCGGTTTGAAGCCGCGTGGCGAGCGGGGCAGTGGGATTTGCCCCCGGCGGACGCGGGCGCGGGCGCGGGCGCGGCGGCGGCGGCGGCGGCGGCGGCGGCGGCGGGGGACGCGGAGGGCGTCTCCTCCTCCGGGTTCCACAAGGGCGTGCACGCGGCGTTGTCGTCGCTCCGTCTCGGCAACGCGGCCGCGGCGGCGACGCGTTTGGACTCTATCCACAGCGCGCTCGTCAGGCTCGCCGTCGTCGAGGGCGCGGAGGCGGAGGAAGTCGCGCGCGCGGCGGTCGTCCGCCTTCGAATGCTCGACGACGTCTCCGACGCCGCGTCGCTGTGGTCCGCGTTTAAATCTGGGACGACCCCGGCCTCTTCACTCGGCGACCGCCGCGCGGACGCCGCGAGCGGGAACGCGTCGAGAGCCGCCGCGCAAGCCGCGCGCAGCCTGCGCGCGGCGTGGAGGAAGCGCATCGGGACGCTCGCGCAGAGAAACTACCGACTCGCGGAGCCCCTGCTCGCGCTGCACGGCGTCGTCTTACGCGAGCTCGGCGATCGCGAGTCGCTCGCCGCGCACCTCGCGGAGACGGCGTGCCTCGCGCGCGAGGCTGGAAACGCCGCGGAGGGCCTCCGGAGTTTGCACCAGCTCCGCGTTCTCGCCGCGTCGAGCGCATCGAGCGGCGGCGTCGTCGTCGCGGACGTCGCGCCCGGCGCGACGGACGCGAACGGCGAGCGCGGGGACGAGGACGACCCTGGAAATTGGGCGTCGCATCCGATGTCGTCGCCGCTCGCGCGGTGGCGGCTCGAGGAGGCGAAGTTGCTGTGGGCGTGCGACCGCTCGCAGATGGCGATCGGGCTCGGGAAGCATCTCATGGAGACGATCGCGCCGGGCATCGCGGGCGCGATCGCGGCGACGGAGGGCGACAGCGCGAAGCTCAGCGCGGCGATGACGTCCGGCGGCGGCGGCGGCGGCGGAAACAAAAGCCGCGGCAAGAGCGTCGACGCCGTCTCCTCCTCCTCCTCCACCGCGCTCATCCCCATGCAAGACCCGTCGTTCTACGACGCGATGTCGCAGGTATCGGAGTGGCAGTCCGCGACGCGCACGGAGTCGAGCCGCGCGATTTTGAACGACCACCTCGGCGTGGTCATCTCCGTGAACGCCGCGGTCGGGATGCGACGCAAAGGCGGCGACCTGCCGCTTCCCGCGTCCTCGAGAGGCGTCGTCCCGTCGTTCGCGAGCCTCATGCGACTCTTACGGCGCGTGCACTTCCGCCTCGGGCAGTTCTCCGACGGTCTGTACACGCAGTCCGAGGAGCGGTTGAAGTCGCCAGAGTGGGCGCAGAGCGAGAAGCTGCGCGCGAGGAACGAGGAAGAGCTCAACGCGTTGAAGAAGGAAAAGTCGGAAAAGAAGCAGCGGCTCAGCCGCGGCTCCGGCTCGCTGTCGCGCGAGGAAGCGTCCGCGCTCGAGGAGGAGACGAAGATGCTCCACCGGCGCATTTACCCTCTCGAGAAACAAGTCCTCCTGGACCGCGAGGAGGTGAACTTCATCCTGAACGAGCGCGTGAAATGGCTGATCACGGCGTTGCAAGCGTACCGACGCTGCATCGAAGCCGGCGCGTCCGGGGCGGACCCCGAGGGCGGGGACGACCAGAAGATCGTGTTCCGAATCATCGCGATATGGTTCAGCATCTGCGGCCGCGCGGACGGCGGCGCGAACGCCCCGACGCACGTCGGCGACGCCGCGATGCTCGTGAACCAAGTCAACGACGAGGTCATGAAACTCGTGCAGCGGCAGTCGGTGCCGTCGTCCAAGTTTTTGGCGCTCGCGTATCAAATCTGCGGCCGGCTGGGGACGGCGCCGTCGGAGGGGAACGAGTTCCCCACCGTGCTGCGCGCGCTCGTGGATCGAATGACGTCGGACCATCCGTACCACACGCTGTACCACGTCCACGCGCTGTTTCGCGGGGATCAAGTCGGAGGAAGCGGCACGAACGTCACGATGCCGCGGGAGAAGATCAACGCCGCCGCGGACGTGTTGCGCGCGTTTCGAAAGAAATCCAATCACCACGCGAACGTCGTGAAGCAGATGGACCGCATGATCGAGGCGTACATCGCCCTCGCGCGGCACTCCGTGGAGCCCGGGAGGTCCGGCGGCTCCCAAGGCGGCGGCGGCGCGAGCGGGTTCCCGATACCGTCCGCGTGCAAGAAGCGGTCGCTGTCGAATTTACATCTCGTCCCCGTGATCACCGCGTCGATGCCGATCGATCCCACCCTCACGTACAAGGAAGGGACGTTTCCGCACTTTGTAAACTTCGGCGACACGTGTAAGCTCGTCGGCGGAATCAACCAGCCGAAGCTCGTGGAAGCCCTCGGGAGCGACGGGCGCGTGTACAAGCAGCTCGCGAAAGCCGGGAACGACGACTTGCGGCAAGACGCCGTCATGCAGCAGCTGTTCGGCGTCGTGAACCGACTCCTCGCCGACGACGGGGCCACCCGCGCGCGGCGTCTGAGGGTCGGGACGTACCGCGTCGTGCCGTTCACGCCCGCCGCGGGCGTTCTCGAGTGGGTTGACAACACCGCCCTGCTTTCGGAGTACCTGTTGGGGTCGCAGAGCAGCGTAGGCGGGATCAAGGGCGCGCACGAGCGGTACCGGCCGCAGGATTGGAAGAGCCGCGAGTGCCGCGATAAGCTCGCGGCGTGTCACACGCGGGAGGACCTCAGGGCGACGTTCGACAAGGTGTGCACGAAGTTCAAGCCGGTGATGCACCACTTCTTTCTCGAGAATTTCCCGACGCCGCAGCTGTGGTACGAGAAACGGCTCGCGTACACGCGTTCCGTGGCCGTGAACTCCATGGTCGGCTACGTCATCGGTCTCGGCGACCGGCACTCGTCGAACATCCTCATCGACAAGGAGACCGCGGAGATGGTGCACATCGACTTGGGGGTCGCGTTCGAGCAAGGCAAGTGTCTAAAAACGCCCGAACAGGTACCGTTTCGCATGACCCGCGACGTCGTCGACGGCATGGGCGCGTGCGGCGTCGAAGGCGTCATGCGGCGCTGCTGCGAAGAGACCCTGAGGGTGTTGCGCGCGAACAAAGACGCGCTCACGACCATCGTCGCGGTGTTGATCCACGACCCGGTGCTCAAGTGGACGGTGTCCCCGGAACGCGCGAATCAGCGGCAGCGCGACGACGACGACGACGAGATGCGCGGCGGCGTGGGCGTGGGCGGCGGCGTGAACGGCGGCGGCGGCGGCGGCGCGGCGGCCGCGCCGGCGGAGGGTAACTTGGACGCAGAGCGCGCGTTGATGCGCGTGTCGCAAAAATTGGACGGCTACGAGGGGAGCGAACTTCGCAGCGTGGAAGGGCAGGTGCAGCAGCTGCTGCAGGACGCGCAGGATTTGGATTACCTGTCGCAGATGTACGCGGGGTGGGCCGCGTGGGTGTGAGGTGAAACGATTCGACGGACGGATGACGCGACGGAAGACGACGTAGAAGATAGAAAATAGAGTTGAGATTGAAGACGAAGTAGAACGACTGCAGCGACTAACAACGATCTGACAGTCACTCTCGCGGGCGCGCGGCGCCGCCCGTCGGGACCGATGGACGTCGCCGCGCTGAAGGTGGTGGAGCTCAGGGCGGAGCTGAAGAAGCGCGGGCAGCCGACGACCGGGCGGAAGGCCGAGCTCGCCGCGCGGTTGCGAGCGCACCTGGACGCGAAGGCGACGACGACGACGACGACGACGACGACGAAGGCGAAGGCGAAGGCGTCGAAAGCCGAACGCGCTCCGACCGCGCGGCCGCCGGCGCCGCGCCCGAAGCGGCGCGCGCTGCGGACGTGGGTCAAAGTCGTCGCGCCCCTTCTCGTCGCGATCGCGCTGGAGGCGTCCCACGGTCTCCTCGAGACGTTCGTCGCGTGGCAGCACGACTACTTCGCCGTCGGGGTGGATCCGTGTTCGGGCGCAGAGTACGACGTCGCGATCGTCCTCGGGCACGACGTGATGCCGAACGGCGACGTGTCCCCGCCGCTCGCCGCGCGCGTGGACGCCGGCGTGAAGTTATTCTGCGAGGGGACGGCGAAGAATCTTCTCTTCAGCGGCGCATCGGGGGGCGACCCCGCGGCGACCATCTCGGAGGCGAACGCCATGATGAACCACGCGCTGCGCAGGGCGAAGGCGCTCAAGTGCGAGAGGCCGACGACGCCGGCGTTTAAAGTCGACACGCGCTTGTACACTCGAGGGAGCTTCCTGTTGCGCGACAGCAAAGGGAACGAGCTGCGGATGAGCGAGCGTCACGGCGGGTGCGAGGGGCAGGACTTGGACTCCGGGTGCGCGCCGTTTCGGTGGGTCATGGAGGAGAGCAGCACGTCCACGCGAGAAAACGCGATTTACGCGCTGACGGAATGCGGGAAACGAAACTGGACGAAAGTCGCGGTGGTGACGAACCGGTTTCATCAGTGGCGCGCGGACGGCGCGTTTCACGTGGTTCGCGTGGAGATATCGCCGATCGCGAGCGGGATGGAGAATGACCCGTGGATTCGGACGCGGACGATTCGGATACCGCGAGAGGTGGAGTCGGCGACGATGTTTCCGCCGCTGCGAGACGGCTTCGTCGCGAGGTTCAGGGAGCTCTGGAGGGCGCAGTACAACGTCGCGCGGGAGGTGGCCGCGATCGCAAAATACAATCTGTGGCGGTGGGTGTAGAGTAGCCCTACGACGTCCTACCGCGGTCGTCGTGTAGTCGTAGTCTTTAGGTTTCTAATTCTAAAACGTTCGCGAGGCGCGAGGAGTTTGCTTCCTCCGCCGTCGCGATCGTCGGTCGGAACTTTGTTCTCCGCTTACCGCGCGCGCGCGGCGCTTCACGGCGGCCGCTCGCCGCGCGTCAGGTGCCTGTCCGGATTGAACCGCGTCACCTCCATCTCGTTCACGCTCAGCCGCTTCAGGCACTCCGGGTCCAGAAAGTCCGCGTCCCCTCCCGCGACGTCCAACGTCGCGAACACCAGCCTCTTAGGGCCGTTCCATACAAAAACAGTTCACCGGTCAGTTGAAAGTAGACGCGATCAAATGTTGAAACCGAGCGATGGGTGAAAAACTTTTGTATAGAACGCACCTTGTTCACCTGCACGCACAGCCTCGACGCGGCTTGCACTTCGATCCACCGCGAGTCCTTCTCGAGCTCCCCTCCCTCCCCGAACACCCCCGACGCGCGGGAGACGATCGCGCTCGACGGCTTCACGACGACGCAGCAGTCCGAGTGCACGAGCGAGGGGTGGTTGCGATACAACACGAGATCTGCGCCGTACTGAGGGTCGTTCCATACAAGCGAGTGTCGGGGTGGAGTTGAAAGGCGTCAGTCGGACTTGAAAGGCGTCGAGGGCGGGGATTGAAACCGTGGGGTGGGCGGAGAGAGACGACGGCAAAAGTCCTTAAGAAACGGCGTTCACCACGAGAACGCGGTCGTATGGGGACCAGTGTATAGAACGCACCTGCAGCCCGCTTCGCGGGAGCCACCCGGCGGAGCGGAAGTGTATCTGCGACGCCGCCGCGGCGACGAACCGCGGCGCCGCGATCGCGGCGTTCACGCCGGACATCCCCGCGGTGAGCAGCGCGCGCCAGAGCTCGTCGATCGTCAGCGGCGTCAGCGACGGCGGCGGCGGCGCGTTTCGCTCCGGGTTTTGGATTTGGTTTTCGGCGCCGTCGGCGGCATCGTCGGCGGCGTCGCGCGGCGCGTGCACGGTGAGACTCCCGAGGCACCACACGACGTAAAACGCCTCCTCGGGCGACAGCCTCACGATCGGATCGTCGTCCGCCGAATCGCCGCCGCGCTCGTCGCCGACGACGTTTCGAAAGAAGCACGGCGCGCCTCGCCCCGAGCTGCCGCGCGCGCGGCGTCCCAAGCACACGCGCTCCAAGAGATAGGCGAGCTTTCGCGCGCATCGCAGCCACACCGCGCCGCGGTGCAAGACCCCGTGAAGGTCGCACGCGGACAGCACGCGCAGGCACTCCGCGGGGGAGGGCTGCTTCGCCGCGGCGCGTCGCTTCCCGCGCTTGAAGTGCACCCTCGTGTCCGCGACGGGGGGCATCGCGATCGACGATCGAGGTCGAGATGCTACTCACCGTCCCGTCGTCGAAGGATCCGTCCCTCGCGCGCCGTCGTCGTCGCCGAACGGGGAGTCGTACCCCGGCGGTATCGGGTCGCCGAGTTTCCAGTTCCTGAGATGCTCCGGGAGCGTCGCGCGGAGCCTCGCCTCTTCCTCCTGCGGTCGCGACGAGGGGGAGGCGCGGCGTGAGATCGCGAGGGACGACGAGGACGACTGGAAGAATCGTCGTTCGCGCGTAGTGGGACGAAGCGCGAAGGACGACGACGGCGCGCACCTCGAGCTCCCTGAGCTGCGCCTCCGCCGCTCGCTTCGACTCCTCGAGCGTCTCCTGCTCGATCCTCAGCGCCTCCTCGACCTGCTCGCGCGGCAGCGTCGCGAGCTCTTCCAAGGACGGGAGGTCGGCTTGGAGCGGCGGACGTGCCGGGGCGTCGCGCGAGCGCTTCATGGAGTGTGTGTGTGTTATTTCAAGTCTCCGTGACGTGCATGCTGGAGTGATGCTTTTTTCGAGTCTGGCTGGGGTTCGTCTCAAATGTGTCGAGTCACACATTTACAAGCGCGCGACTAAGCTAGGGGGTCATCCATCCCGCCCGCCGCTAACCCCCGGTCCCCGCCTCAGTCGTCGCATCTCAGTCATCACATCTCTCACTCGCACTCACTTGAACTCAATCGTGCTCGTCGCGCCGCCAGAACGCATCGCCGCCTGTCGCTTCGCGCGCGCGGCGAGCCGCTTTTCGTGCGCGCGTCGCTGCGCGTCGATCTTGGTCTGAGGTGCGTTCCATACAAAGCGACGTCGGGGTGGAGTTGAAAGGCGTCAGTTGGCGTTGAAAGACGTCGAGGACGGGGATTGAAAGCGAGGGGCGGGTGGAGAGAGACGACGGGAAAAGTCCTTAAGAAACGGCGTTCACCACGCTGACGCGGTCGTATGGGGACCAGCGTAAAAACGCGCCTGAGGGTTCAACGCGCCGCCCGGCCGCTTATACTCCCACAGCGCCCACGCGCCGGCGCCGAGGAGGATGAAGAGGCCGGTCTGCGACGGCGCGCCGCCGTCGCCGCCGGGCTCCCAGCCCTCGTCGTCGCCGTCGTAGTCGTCGGGGGGCAGCCCGTCGCCGCCGTAGCCGAATTTTCTCTGGTCTTCGTTTTCCATGCGAAGCGGCGCGGCGCCGGGGCCGCGCATCCCGGAGGAGCCGCCGCCGCTGCGAAGCGAGGGAGAAGGGGAACGTCGCGATGGATGGATGTCAGATGTCATGTGGTGTTCACGCCGACGCGGCGAAGAGGGAACGATAGGTGGCGCGCTGTGGACGACGCGCGTCGGTCGACGTCGTCGTCATCGCGGTCGCGTCAGGTCGGATAGAGAAAAGAACCCTAGCCGGTCCGTGTCGGAGCGGCCCGCGAGATGCGCCCGCCGTCGACGACGCGGACGCGCGCGCGAGCGACGCGCGAGCGACGCGGGACGAGGAGGACGCGCGCACCTCGGGAATCCGCGGGGCTTGTCCGCGTCGTCGTCCTTCGGCTTGCGTCCCGCGCCGGCCATGGACACGGGGCGGAGCGCGACGCGCGACGACGACGACGACGACGACGGCGAGGAACGCTGCTTCCTCGCGACGGGGGAGGCGTGGCACGCGCATCCGGGCGCGCACGCCTTCCGCGCCGCGGCGACGCCGCGGCAGAGCGAGAGCGTGGACGCGACCGTGGACATCGTCGGCGCGGTTCGGGCGAGGGCGGGAGCGAGCGAGACCGAGTGCGAGGCGGCGCGACGACGCGAGGCGCGGCGTCGATGCGTCGAATGGAGTGCGCTGACGATGACGCTTTTTTCGGCGATCACTCGACGAGCGAACAACGCAACGCAACGCAACGCCGAGATCCTCAGATCCGCGCTGCTACGCACTGCTCCCCGCGCGCCGACGGCGACCATGGCGCCCACGTAGACCCGCCACCAGCCCCCTCCTCGGGTGACGTCGAGAGCGCGACGCCGGCATGGGCGTCAAAGGCCTGTGGACGCTCCTCGAGCCCGCGGGTCGACGCGTGAACGTCGAGGCGCTGCAGGGGCGAAAGGTGGCGGTCGACGCGTCCATCTGGCTCGTGCAGTTCGTCAAGGCGATGCGCGACGAGCGCGGAGACATGCTCCCGAACGCGCACCTCCTCGGGTTCTTCCGGAGAATTTGCCGGCTGCTCTACCATCGCATTCGCCCGGTGTTCGTGTTCGACGGCGCGACGCCAGTCCTCAAGTACAACACGACGCGCGCTCGGCGACGCGTGCGCGATAACGACCAAGCGCGGATGAAGCGCACCGCGGAGAAGCTTCTGCTGAACACCATGAAAGCGTCCGCGCTGAAGCAAGCGCTGAACGCGCCGTCGCGCGGGGGCGGCGAGGGGAACGCTGAGAAGGTCGCTATGAGCGAGATAGACGACGACGACGACGGCGACGGCGCCGCGCTCGTGGACTTGACGAAGGAGGCGGCGGAGGAGGAGGAGGACGACGGCGAATGGAACGCGGAAAACGAATACGAATACGAAGAAGAAGAAGAAGAAGACTCAGAGGAGGAGGAGGAGGAGGAGATGATGATCCCCGACGACGACGACGTCGACCCCGCGGTCTTGGCGTCGTTGCCGCCCTCCGTGCAGATGGAGGTAATGCTCAAGATGCGCGAGAAGCGCGTCGCGGATAACCGAGAAAAGTTTCAATCCGCGTCGGGAAAGATGGCGGACTTTAGCGCGCTGCAGATGAGCACGTACCTCAAGTCCACGAAGCTCAAGCGCGAGATGGAGTCCGTGATCAAAGGCACCGGCGGCGGCGGCGGCGGCGGCGGCGGCCACGCCGGCGGCGAGCTCGCGCTCGTAGACGGCGGCGCGGACGGCGGCGCGGCCGGGGACGAGCCGGCGTTGAGAGGCGCGCGCGTCGCCGGGGCGCACGACAGGGAATTCATCTTCCGCAAGCCCGCGTTCGGGGACGCCGCGGCCGCCGCGGCGCCGAGTAACATCGACATGTTCTACCCCAAGCGGCCGAGCGAGTGGGGGTGGGGGAGCGGCCCCGGGCGAGGCCGCGGGATCGGCGCGGGGGGGAGAGGACGGGGACGCGCGCGCGGGTACGGCGCGAACGCGCCGCTGCGGGCGCCGCGAGAGCGATTCTTGCTGTCCGGTCTGCACGAGGTGCTTCCGACGCCGACGGTCGCGGGGACGATCGCGGAGACGCCCGTGATGCCGGTGGATCAGCGCGCGGGGAACGACGGGAAGGCGTCGCTCGATCTGCACATCACGTTCGACGCGGACGAGGTTTTGAAGAGCGGCGGGATCGACCCTCTGTTCGCGGAGGACGGCGACGACGACGGCGGCGCCGCCGCGGCGACGCGATCCGAACCCGCGCCCGAGGCTGCCACCGCGCCGGCGGCCGCGTGCGCGGACGACGACGACGACGACGAGTGGGAGGACGTCGTCGACGAGGTCGAGGTCGAGGACGCCGTGGAGGAGGAGGTTCAGGAGGTTGAGGAGGACTGGGAAGAGGAGGAGGACGAGGAGGTGGTGGAGGTGGAGGAACTCCCTCCGCCGCGCGAGCCGCCGGGGGTCGGCGGGGGCGCGCAGGCGCTGTCGCGCAAGGACGTCTACTCCATCGGACACGGGTTCCTGAAAGGACGCAGCCTGGGTCAGTGGGACGCGGACGACGCCGCGCCCCCCCCCGCCCCCGGCGGCGGCGGCGGCGGCGACGACGACGGCGGCGTCGACGACGGCGAACTCCCGGCGTCGCTCCGCGCGGCGCTGAAAGCGGTCGACGCGCTGCCGTCCGCGCTGAACCCGGTCCGAAAGGTGAAGATCGACCCTAAGTCGGAAGCGCGCGAGCCGGAGATCGCGCCCGCGGCGCCCGCGCCCGAGACGACGCGAATTAAGACGGTCGCGGAGAAGGACGAAGAGGAGGACGTTCGAGCGGCGATAGCGGCGTCGTTGAAGACGGAACCGTCCGTCGCGGCGGCGCGCGCGGACGACGTCGTCGTCCTCGACTTCGACGACGGCGAGAAAGCAGCAGCAGAAGAAGACAAAGAAGAATACAAAGAAGAAGAAGCTGAAGTCGCCGCGGCCGAGGTCGTCGAGGTCGACGTCGACGCGAAGGACGAGAAGACGGACGGCGCGCTGAACGCGTCGTTTTTAGAAGAGACGTCGCCGCCGCCGTCGTCGCCGTCGCCGTCACCGCCGCCGCGCGAGACGCCGACGGAGGAGGAGGAAGTAGAACTAGCAGAAGAAGTAGAAGAGGAAGTCGTCGAGGAAGAGGAGGAAGAGGAGGAGGGCGGGGAGGAAGACGAAGCGCTCGACGAGCCTCCGAGCCCCGGGGCTGCGCGCGCGGCGGCTCGACGCGAAGAAGCCGCGGCTGCGGCGGCGCGCGAAGAAGCCGCGCGCGCGGCTTCCGACGCGATCGGCCCGGTGTCGCTTCTTCCCCCACTCGGCGCGGACCCGATCGTGTTCAAGACGCTGCGCGACTTCGAGCGCGCGGCGGCGCGCACGCGCGAAGAGTACCCGCCGTACCTGCCCCCCGAGCACGTCCTCGAGACGACGCCCGCGTTCGTGGAGTGCGACGGGCGGAGGTTCGACGCGTGCGCGCCCGTCGCGGAGTCTCTCGCCGGCATCGCCGCGGCGATCAGAAACGCTCCGCGTCCGCGCGTTACCTCCGGCGTCGCGACGACGCGCGGCGACGACGACGAGGGCGACGTCGATGACGCCGCGCTGCTCGCCGCGGCGGAGCGCGCCGAGGCCGAGGCTGCGAACCGTCTGAGGCTCGAGCGGCTCCTGAGCCAGACCGAGGTCGAGCGCGAGGTTTTGACCGGCGAACACGCGAAGGCTCGACGGGGCGCGGACCCCGGGAACCTCCACGAGATGCACGCGGAGGTTCAGCAGCTTCTCACGCTCTTTGGCATTCCGTACATCATCGCGCCGCAGGAGGCGGAGGCGCAGTGCGCGTGGCTTGACCGAGAGGGTTTCGTGGACGCGGTGATAACGGACGACAGCGACGCGTTTCTTTTCGGCGCGAAGACGATTTACCGCAACGTCTTCGAGAGCAAAAAGTACGTCGAGTTTTACGACGCGAACAGGGTCGACGCGGACCTCGGTTTAGACCGCGCGAAGATGGCGCAGCTCGCGTTGCTGTTGGGGTCGGACTACACCGAAGGCGTCACCGGCGTCGGGATCGTGAACGCGCTCGAGGTTGTGTTGAACTTCCCGGGCGTGGAAGGGCTGACGAAATTCGCCGAGTGGGTGGGCGAGTCCGAGTTCACGGGGAAAGTACCGAAGACGCTCGCGCTGCCCGCGTCGAAGGGCAAAGGCGACGGAAAGAAGACGAGCGCGGGCGACGGGCCCGACGACGACGACGACGACGACGACGACGAGCCGGCGGCGATCAGAGAGTTCAAGCTGAAGCATCGCACGCTGAAAAAAGCATGGGAGCTCCCGCGCGACTTCCCGTCCGAGAGAGTCCTCGACGCGTACGCGAACCCGAGCGTGGACGCGTCGCGCGAGAAGTTCGAGTGGGGCGAACCCGACCTCGACGCCCTGCGGCTCTTCTGCGGCGAACACTTCGCGTGGCGGCCGACGCAGACGGACGATCTCTTACTTCCCGTGGTGAAGATGTGGGAGACGAGCGATAAGCAGAGCCGGATCGACTCGTTCTTCGCCGCCGCCGCGAGCGCGAACGTCCCGGGGTTTAACCAGCGGTTCTCGAAGGTGCGGAGCGCGCGCGTGCAGAGGGCTATCGCGGGGCTCACGGGGAAGCCGCTGGACGAGGAGATCGCGCTCGCGGAGGAGGACGACGCGAGCGAGAAGAAGAAGAAGAAGAAGCCGAGGCGGGGGAAGAAAACGGCCGAGGATCTGGCGTTGACGTCGAATGAAGTAGGGAACGTCGGCGGCGATCGCGGCGAAGAGGTCGTCGAGGTGGGCGACGATGGCGGCGTCGGCGTCGGCGGCGGCGACGAGGTCTTGTTGATCGAGGCGCCGCCGGCGAAAGGGAGGAAGGCGAAGGCGAAACCGAAGGCGAAACCGGCGGCGAAGCCGAGAGCGAAGCCGAAAGCGAAGCCGGCGACGGAGGACGCCGCGCCGCCGTCGCGGCGGTCCAAACGCGCGCGGCGGACCGAATAGAACGAATAGCGCGCGATGTAACGACGCGAACGAGTGAACGCGTCGTCCCTCGAGTACGAGGCTGCAGCTTTTCGAAAAAAATCAGAAAAAAATTCCAGATCCGCGTCAGCCTGCGTGAATCAGAAGATCCTGCTCCCGCGCGCGCGCGCTTTCGTTCGAGAACTGAATTGATTCGCGGCCGCCTCGCGGCCGCCTTTAGTTCGACGGTACGCGCGGCCACCGGCTCGCCACAAAGTCAGGCAAAATGAGCGTCAAGGTCGCTCTTCCGTCCGGGAAGAGATCGGACGGAGGAGCGCAGAGGAACGAGACGTACTGGGCGCTGAAACGGGAGCTCGACGAGTTCATCTCTCGCGGGCCGACGGTGAGTGCGCGGATCTTTCATCAGAGATTCCCCCTCGCGCGGCTCGGGCGAACCCGCGCGCGTCGCGCGAGCTCGCGCGATTCGTCCCTCGCCATCGCGCGTCGATATCATATTTTTTCTCGGTCGTCCCGCGACCATCTCGCGACGCTCGGGTCTCGCGCGACGCCGCGCCGCGCCGCGTCGCGCGGCCGCCGCCTTATCGAAATCTTGTTATCTTGGCAAAGAAACGCGGTTGCTTGGAGAAGCGAAAGACACGCGCGCTGACCTCGCGCCCGCTGACCTCCCCTCCCCCTCCGCCATCCCTCCTCCCCGCAGCACGACGGCGCGACGCCGCTGCACCACGCCGCGGAAGAAGGCGACGACGTCGTCATCGAAGCCCTCCTCGCGATCGGCGCGGACGTCGACGAGGTCGACTCCGAGGGCCAGACCGCGCTGATGCTCGCCGCGTCGTGGGGCCACCCCTCGAGCGTAAACGCGCTGATTCGCGTCGGAAACGCGTCGATAAATCTCAAAGACGAGGGCGGCGACACCGCGCTGCACGAGGCGGCGCGCGCGAACGAGCTCGAGACGCTCTCGCAGCTCATCTCCCTGGGCGCGGACAAGGACGCGAGGAACAAGCTCGGCGCGACGCCGCTGCTCCTCGCGTCGCACGCGGGACACAAGCGCATCGTCGTGGCGCTGCTCGACGCGGGCGCGGCGGCGACGGGGAAGAAGTCGCTCATGCGCGGCGGGTACTCGCCGCTGCACGCCGCCGCCGCGAACGGAAGCACGGAGTGTCTCCAGGATCTCATCGACGCCGGCGCGTCGCTGCGGCACAGCGCGTCCGACAGCGCGTTGGGCCGCGGTACAGCTGGCGGCGGCAATAATGGGTCGAGGGGGTCGGCGACGGCGTTGGAGCTGGCGGAGGATTTGGGTCAGTCGGGGAGCGCGTCGCTGCTGAAGCGCGCGAGCGTGAGCGAGTTCGAGAGGTACGGGATGTGGGGGAACCCGGCGGACGCGGCCGCGGCCGGCGCGGGGGAGGACGACGGCGGGGAGTACGACGGGGGCGTGGACTGACGACGACGGTGCGCGTCGATGATAGCTCACGATAGCTTAAGGTACCTTCAACGTAATACGAATTGCCGTTTTGTACGCGACGACGACGACGACGACGACGACGACGACGCGCTTCTTTTACTCTACTGCGCCTCCATCTCCATCTCGCGGAGGCGCTTGGGTCTCTTCATCCGCGGCGGCGAAGGCTTCCAGTCCTCCATCGCGTCCGGCGACCCGAGCTGCCCGCACGCGGCGGCTTCCTCGTCGCCGCGGCTCTGCCGAATCGTGCACGTGACGCCCGCGGCGACGACGCGATCCCGAAACGCCAAGATGGTCTCCCGGTCGCTGCACCTGAACTCGCTGCCGTCGTGCGTGTTGAAGTAAATCAGGTTAAACTTACACGGCAGCGTGCGCGCGATCGCGACGAGACGGTCCGCGTCCTCCGCGCTGTCGTTCACGCCCTCGAGCATGATGTACTCGAAGAAGACCTCCCGCTGATGCCGGCCGCCGTCGCGCCTCGGAAAGTTGGCCCGCAACGCGCCGAGGAGCCGCTCCAGGTTATACTTCCTGTTGATCGGCATGATCCAGCTTCGAATCTCGTCCGTCGTCGCGTTCAGCGACACCGCGAGGCTCCCTTGCGACTCCGCGAGGTACCGCTCGATCTCCGGGACTAAGCCGGACGTGGACACGGTGACCTTGTTCTTCGAAAAGCCGAGCCCGCGATCGTCGAGCAACACGTCAACCGCGGCGAGCACCGCGTCGATGTTATGCAGCGGCTCGCCCATGCCCATGAAGACGACGTTGCTGACGACCTCGCCGCCGGTCCGGGTTCTTCTTCTCGTGGCGGTTGACGTTCCATCTTCCTCTTCTTCCTCCCCCCCCCCCGACGACGACGACGCTTCGTCATCCGCCTCCGCGAGCCGCCGCGCGTGGACGACTTGCTCCACGATCTGCGCCGCCGTCAGGTTCCTCCTTAACCCCATCTTCGCGGTGAAACAAAACTGGCAATTCATCGCGCACCCGAGCTGCGAGGACACGCACACGGTCGTCCGCCCGCCCGGGACGTTGCTCGGGATGATCACGCTCTCGACGACGCCGCCGCCGTTCGCCAGCGCGTACGTCACCTTTTTCGTGCCGTCCGCGCTCGTCCGCACGTCGCGCATCTCCAAGTCCCCGTCCACGGTCGCGAGCGACGCGAGCTTCTCTCGGAACGCCGCGCTCACGTCCGCCATGTCGCGCACGTCCGCGACGAGCTTGCCCGGGCGGTACATCCAGTTGAACACCTGCGTCGCGCGCGACGGCTTCTCCCCGATCTCCGCGAGCCATCGCTCGAGGTCGGCGTATCGCATCCCCTTGAGCGACACCTTCGCGAGGGCGCGGTCGCTGCCGCCGCCCGTCTCGCCGCCCGCCTCCGTCGCGACGCTTCTGGGGACCTCGCCGACCGGCGAATGCGCGCGCGCGGACGGGCGCAGGTCCGCGTCCGCGACGGCGGCGCCGCGACGCGACGCCTCCTCGCGGTCCATCTCCGCGGAGAGCGCCGCGGCGGTCGAAATCGACGCTCGGCGACGACCGACGGGACGTCGCTCTCGAAGCGCGCCGCGCGAGGTCAGCATCGCGTGGCGGCGGCGCACCGCGCTCGCGACGACGCCGTTCGCGCGAACGAGCGCGGCGGCGGTCGCGTTCATGACGACCCGCGCGCGCGCGTCCCGTGGAGTGCGACGCGGAGGAAACGCGGACGCATCGGAAGACGCTTCTCGAGGTTTTAGGGTAAGGTTATCAAACTTTTACAGGTGAGTAATATGTGTGTTCCAGTCGTGTCATCAGGGTCCTAGGCTATCACCCTCCCTCTCTCCGCCGCCGCTCCCTTCTCTTCTCTCATCGCTCGATCAATCGTCCCCAAAGTCCGGGTCGCCCGCGACGTACCCAAAGTACTGCACCATGGGCACGACGAACGAGATGACGAGCAGACCGATGACGACGTTGCTGAAGATCTCCCGCTTCTCGTTGGTCTTCAAACGGGGTGGAGTTTAAAGGCGTCAGAAGCGGAGTTGAAAGGCATCGAGGGCGGGGATTGAAAGCGAGGGATGGGCGGAGAGAGACGACAGCAAAAGTCCTTAAGGAACGGCGTTCACCACGCGAACGGGGTCGTATGGGAACCAGTGTGAGATAGAACGCACCTCCGCCTTCGTCTTGTACGTCTTCTCCTTGCTCTTCTCGAACCGCGTCGGCGGGCCGGGGTCGCCCTTGCCTTCGAGAATCGCCGCGATCCTGTCCACGGACGACGTCAGCGCCTCGCCGTACTTTTCGTCCGCGAGGTTGTACGGGATGTTCTTCGACAGGATGGAGTCGAGGACGTCGTTCCCGACGGCTTTCAAAAACGCGGGGCCGCCGACGACTGAGCCCTCCTTCGTGTTCTTCACGAGCAGAATCTGCCCCTTGTTGTTCCCTTCCTCCAGCGTCGGGTACCAGGTCTCGAGAACCTTATCCCCGAACGCGAACGGGTCTTGCTCGAACACGAGCTTGCGCACGGTGACGACGTTCACGTGGTATCCCGTCTGCGCCTCGAGATCCTTCAGCGTCTTCCCGATGGACCCAGACGCCGCGCGCGAGAGGAGGCCCGCGTCGTCGACGATGTACCCAGAGTTGGCCGCCGGCGGAGGCGTCTGGAGGATCTCCAGCTCCGCGGCGGTCGCGGGCGGGAGCGCCGGCGCGCCGAGCGTGAGCGCGGCCGCCGCGCCGAGGGCGAGGCCCGCGTTCGCGAGGCGCTCGAGCGGCGAGCGGCGCGAGGCGATCCGATCGTCGTCCGCGTCGGCCGCCGCGCGGACGACGGTCGCGGCCGCGCGCGGCTTCGCGGGCGCGGCGGCCGCGCGGCGGAGCGCGTTCGCGTTCGCGCGCTTAGATTTGACTGCGGCAAAAGAAGCGCGGCGGGGACGGGAGGGGGGATGATCGGCGTCAGCGGGGGGACGGACGCCGAGACGCGAACGAAACACGTGCGAACCGCGCGACGTCGAGAGAGATCGATCCGACGTCTCGCGCGAAGAAGGAAGCGCGCGGCGTCCTCAAAGGGACGATCGCGGAGATGGACGCGGACGGGCGCGTCGTCCGGGAAGGGACGCACCGGCCACGGGGGCGCGCGCGGAGGCGGCGAGGTTCATGACAGCGCTCATCGTGAGGTCGCGCTCGTCGCAGTGTCGACGCGCGGACGCCAGGGATGATGACGGGGTTCGCGTGCTGCGTGGATAGACGATTTCTGTTCGAGCGTTTTGATTGGCTGAGACCGGGCAGTGAGCAAACAGTCACTGAGGAGTACGATCGCCGCGTAGTACGGTCATCACAGCCGTGCCTTTTCCACGGTCCCGCAGCACGAATCCCCTGCATAACACTCATCGTCCACGCCCAGCGCGACCGACATGGCGTCCACGGCGACGGTCGCGGGCATCACGCCGCCCGCGATCGCGTCGCGCGTCGCGGGCAGAGCGACGACGAGCCGCCGAGCGACGATCGCGGTTCGAGCGACGACGCGAGGCGACGCGAGGCGCGGCGTCGTCGTCGCGGCGCCGGGGGCGATCATCACCGCGAGGATGATGCGCGGGGAGAACGACGACGACCGAGCGCGTTCGGCGGGAGGGTCGGGGAGAGGCGGCGGCGCGCGTCCGACGACGTCTCGCGCGACCTCTCGGCATCGCGCCGCCGCGGCCGCGGGCGACGCGCTCGCGGCGGCGTCGAGCGGCGACGACGCCGACGCGCCGAAAGGGGAGACGAGGCGCGTGCCGTGGGACAAGGAGCCGTCGAAACCGCTCGCGGAGACGCTCGAAGCCGCGGGCGATAAGCTCGCGATCGCGCTGAACGAGCGCCTGAACGAGTGGGAGCCCCCGAAGTTCGTGTGGCGAACGCTGTACACGCTCCTGCTGCTCGGGCTCGTGATCAAGCGCGTCGTGTGGCAGCGGAAGCTGAACATGGCGCAGACGATTCAACAGATCGCTCGCGTTGGCCCGGACACCCTCGGCGTCGCGATGCTGACGTCCTCGTTCGTCGGCATGGTGTTCACGATCCAGTTCTGCAAGGAGTTCAGCAAGGTGGGGCTGACGCGCGTCATCGGCGGTCTGCTGGGTTTAGCGTTCACGCGAGAGCTCACGCCGGTGATCTGCGCCATCGTCCTCGCCGGGCGCGTCGGCTCCGCCATCGCCGCGGAGCTCGGCACGATGCAGGTCTCCGAGCAAGTCGACCAGCTCCGAACGCTCGGGAGCGACCCGGTGGATTACCTCGTCGCGCCCAGGGTCGTCGCGTGCGCGTTATCGCTGCCGATCCTGTCGGTGGTGAGCTTCACGATCGGCATGGCGGCGAGCATACTTCTCGCGGATCTGCGGTACGGGATCTCGCCCAACGCCATCGTCGACTCGGCGGCGAAATATTTGGAGACGTCGGACATCGGCGTGATGTGCGTGAAAGGTTTAGCGTTCGGGGGCGTGATCGCGACGATATCGTGCGGGTGGGGGCAGACGACGACGGGGGGGGCGAAGGGCGTCGGCGAGAGCACGACCGCGAGCGTGGTGATCTCGCTCGTGGCCATCTTCGTCGTGGACTTTTTCCTTTCGATGATATTCTTCAACAAGTGACAACGTAGTCCGCGCAGACGTCTCTGTCTGTCTTTTAAAGAGAAAAGAAATCAACACGCGAGCGACGCGTCATCACGACCTCGCGTCCACGGTGCCAGACATGATGCGCATGAGCATCCCCGGCGGCATCGCGCGGATGAAGTCCATCGAGTCCACGCTCGAAAAGTCAAACGCGCGCAGCTCCGGATACGCGTCGAAGTACCCATCGAACTCGCATTGCTGGAGCCCGACGAACGTCGGCACGGGGATGTTCGTCATGTAGTCCTCGACGTGCGGGGCGACGCAGCCGACCATCCACTCGGAGGTCACGTTCGCGTACGCGGAGGCGTCGATCTCGCGGTTCTCGAACTGCGGCGAGAGCCAACGCACCATCGCGCCGCTGTCGGGTGGAAACGAAAAAAATTGAATCGAGGGGTGATGAAACGTTCGTCAGTCCGACGCTCGGGTCGGCCCTTCGCCGCGAGACGACGCGGAAACGCGCGCGCGACGGCGCGACGAGACGCACACGCAGCCGTTGGCGTCGTCGCACGCGAGCGCGGGGTCCTCGCACGGCTCCCGGAGCTGGCCGATGTTCGAGTAGTCGATGGCCAGGCACGGCGGGTCGCCGCTCGCTTGCGCCTTCGCCTTCGCCTCGCCGCCGCCGCCGCCGCGGTCGTCGAGCGACGTCGACGACGTCGACGCGGCCGAGTCGTGCGCCGCGAGCGCGGGGGCGGCGCCGCACGCGGCGACGCCGACGACGAGCGCGAGCGCGAGGGAACGCGCGCGGAGACGCATTCGACGGCGGCGGGGGAGTGTGGGGGGGGGGGGGGTCGGGGAGGGAGCGAGCGAGCGAGCGAGCGAGGCCGCGCGCGTGGAAGTGTCTGGTCCAGTCGCGCGCGCGGTTCGCGCGAGTCCACGAGGTTTGGCTCGACGCTCGCGCGCGGCCGACGCGAGCGGCTCGAACGCGATCGCGCGCGCGCGCGACGAGGCTCGTAGCGGCGTCTCGGCTCCTCCCGCGGCCTCGTGGCGTCGACGCCGCGCGGCGTTACGACGGAAAAAACGCTTCGCGTGCGCCGATGAAATTTTGTCGACGTGTCGACTGCTCCTCGCGACGGACAGGACTAGGACCAGACGTCGACGACGGCGCGCGCGTCAGAGCTCCCCGCGCGACGAGGGACGCGCTTCGCCCCTCGCGCGACCGCTCGCGCGCTTCCCGCGACGAACGAACGATGCCGCCCACGACGCTCTGCGGCGTCTGTCCCCCAACGCGCGTCGCGCGCGTCGCCCGCGTCGGCGGCGCCTCCTCCGCGTCGACGCCCCTCGCGGCGACGTCATCGACGAGGGTGCCGATCTCGAGCTCTCGTCGCGCGCGGAGATCCCGCTCCTCCGCTCTCCCCGCGCTCCCGCCCGACGCGATCGCCGCCGGGTTCACGGACGCGGCCGTCGACGCCGTCGCCGCGGCGTCCGCCGCGGCGACGGCGACGGACGGCGCGTCGACCTTCGCGGCGTCGTCCATGGCGGACGCGCTCTCGGACACCGGCGTTCCCGAGTGGCAGATCTACTACGGCGCCGTCGCCGGTCTGTCGCCGTTCGTCATCGCCGCGTACGAGTTCGGCAAGCGTATTCTCATCCAGCGCCGGTGCGAGCTGTGCCAGGGGAGCGGGCTCATAAAGCGCGGGCGGTACTCGCGGAAGTGCACGTCGTGCGGCGGGTTCCTGCCGTGGGAGTCGTGGGAGCTGTTCTTCACCTCGGAAGCCGGCAACGGCGGCGCGCTGAGGCAACCGAAAGGGCAGACGAGCGCGTTTTACGACGTCGACGCGGCGACGGAGGACAGCAGGCGTCAGGCGGCGGCGGCGAGAGCGGCGGCGGATGAAGAGGACGAGGGCGCCGAGGAGAGCGGCGCGGGCGTCGGCGCGGAGGAAAGAGGCGGCTCGACGAGGCTCGACGCGGCGCCGCGCCACCGCGCGTGCTTCAGCCCCCGCGCGGTCTCCGGGTTCCGACGCCGCCCGCGCGCGCTGGCGACCCGCGCGCGCCGTTCGCGCCGCGCGACGCCGCCCCCTCGCGCGATCGGCGACGGCGCCGCGGAGGCCGCGGAGTACCGCCTCGCGACGCCCGAGGAACGCGCCACGGCGGAAGCGATCGTCGTGAAGCCGCGCATGACGCACGGCCTGGACGTGCACCGGCGGATACACGTTCGAGCGATGCGGCAGCTCGCGTACATGTCGCAGTGGAGGGCGTTCTGCGAGCGCGCGAAGCTCGATCCGACGAGTTACGCGTCGGACGACGACGAGGCGACGCTGTGCTCGTTTCATTTCGAGCTCGAGCGCGGGTTGGACCGGTTCGAAGAAGCGAAGCGGGCGAACGCGCTGGACGATTACCCGCCGCGGACGCTACACCCGACGCAAGGGTTTCCCGCGATCCAGGCGGCGTTCTACGCCGCGGTCGCGGAGGCGTGCGGCGGTCAGGAGCGGCTGTTCGATAAGCTCTAGCTCGCAGCCGTCGACGAGAAAGTAGGAGCGAAAATTTATTTTTTGGCACGCTCGGTTGTTAGAATCCCTCGAGATGTCGCCCATCCCCGAGCGTCAGTGTCGGGCGCGCCGAGGATGTCGTCCGCGTTCCCGAACCCGGTCGCGTGGCTGCGCGGGCGGTTCCTCGGACATCTCGGGAGCGAGACGCCGTCGACCTCGGGCGCGAGGCTCGAGATTCGCGTCGGCGAGCGCGAGCGCGGACGACGACGACGACGAACGCGCGCGGGCGCGCTCTTCGCGAGCGCGTCGCTCGCCGCGCGCGAGGACGCCGCCGCGTCCGCCGCCGCCGCCGCGACCGCGTCGACCGACGGGTTCGTATCGCGCGAGGAACTCGGGCGCGCGACGTGGCTTCTCCTGCACACGATCGCCGCGGAGTACCCGGACGAGCCCACGCGCGCGCAGAGGAGGGACGCGCGCGAATTCCTTCGAACGATGACGAGCCTCTACCCGTGCGAGCGATGCGGCGCGGAGTTCGCGGACATCACGCGACGCGACGCCCCGGACGTGAGCTCCGGGGACGCGCTCAGGGCGTGGACGTGCCGCGCGCACAACGAGGTCAACGCGAAACTCGGGAAGCCCGCGTTCGCGTGCGAGCGATTCCACGAGCGATGGCGCGGCGTGCGATGCGACGACGGCGACGACGGATGCGACGTCGACGCGAAGCGCGCCAGACGACGCGGCCGCGGCGGGAGCGAACGCGGCGGGAGGCTCGACACGTTTTAAACGTCAGGGATATTATTAGACGCGTCGTCATAACATAGTCACGCGTAGTCACGACGCGATGAATGAAAACCAACCCGACCCGCCTCATCGACGAAGCGCCTCGTCCCCGGAGCCGGAAAAACTGCGATCGCGGTCGTCGTCGTCGTCGTTCCACCGCTTGTCACCGCGCGACACGAGCGTGTCCGTCTCTCTCGCGGCCTCGACGTCCTCCTCGGACTCGTCCGTCCACTCGCCGTCGTCGTCGCCGTCGTCCCACGCGCTCGACCACTGCGACGCGGCGATGGGGTCGCGCTTCCCGACGCCGCCGCCGCCGCCGCCGCCGCCTCTCCCTCCGGGCGAAAACGGCTCCGTCCACTCCTCCGCGACGCCTCTGCGGCAGAGCGCCACGAGGCTGACGCCGAGCAAGACCGCGACGCCGAGGATGTGAAACTGGTACGACTGCAGCTGCGCGAGGACGGCGTCCTTCGTGCTCGGCGAGCCGCTCGACCCGGTCCCGCCGGACGCGGCTCCGTACGTCGTCGTCGCGGCGGTGGACGCGGGGGGACCCGACGACGACTTCGGGCCGTTTTATACAAGCGAACGTCGGGGTTGAGTTGAAAGGCGTCAGTTGAAGTTGAAAGGCGTCGAAGGCGGGGATTGAAAGCGAGGGGTGGGCGCAGAGAATCGCCGGGAAAAGTCCTTAAGGATCGGCGTCCACCACGCGAACGCGGTCGTATGGGAACCAGTGTATAGAACGCACCTTAGGCACCTTCGCCGTCGGGGGGGAGGGGAAGTATCCGGAAACGTCGTCGTCGTCGTCGTCGTCGTCTTTTCCGTTTCCGCGCGCGCTCGCGGCGCTTGCGCTTGCGCTCGCGTTCGGGGATGCCTTCTTCTCCTCCTTCTTCCGCGACGCGGCGTCGAACTCGCCCGTCTCGTCGTCGTATTTCGCGTCGCCGCCGTAATCGCCCTCGCCTTTCACGTCCGCGTCGTAGTCCGCGTCGTAGGCATCGGACGACGACGACGACGACGACGACGCGTCTACGTCGTCGGCGTCGTGCACCCACGCCTCGCGCGGGTCCTTCGCGGCGGCGGCGGCGCCGGTCGCCGCGCCCTTCGCGTCGCCCTTCGCATCGCCCTTCGCGTCGCCCTCGTCCGGGTACGCGGACGACGACGACGCGTTCTTCGATGAAGGCCGCGTCCCCGGCGAGCGGCTCGACGCGCCGCCGCTCGTCGCCGCGTCGTCGTCGTCCTCCGCGTCGTCGTCCTCGACCCCTCCCGTCTCGTCGTCGTCGGCGGCGTCGAACTCGTCCTCCTTCTTCGACGCGGAGGAGAACTTCGCGGCGGCGTCGATCGCCTCCGTCTCCTTCCCGTCGAACATCGGGGACTCGCGCGAGCTCGCGTCGGGCGCGGGCGCGGGCGCGGGGGAAGCGCTCGATCCGCCGCGCGCCGCGTCGGACGACGATATCGACGCGGCCGCGTCCTTCTTCTTCGCGTCCTTCTTCGGCTTCTCGCCCTCGGACCCCGCGGAGGAGAACTTCGCGGCCGCGTCGAGCGCCTCCGTCTCTTTCGCGTCGAACATCGGGGCGTACCCGTCGCCGTCCTCCTTGGGGTCGTCGCGCTCGAACGGCGACGGCGCGGGCGCGGGCGCGGGCGACGGTGCGGGCGCGGGCGACGGCGCGGGCGCGGGCGCGGCGCTCGAGCGCGACGACGACGACGACGACGACGACGACGACGCGGCGGGGTCGTCCTTCGCGGGGCGCGCGAACGGCGACGCGTCTCTCGTCGCGTTCTTCGTCGTCGTCGTCGTCGCGGCGTCGCGCGTCTTCTCCGCATCCCTCGAGGACGACGAAGACCGCGCGGAAGAGGAGGAGTAGGAGGGCGACGGCGCCGCCGCCGTCGTGCTCGCCGCCGCCGCCTTCGTCTCCGTCTCCGTCTCCTTCGACGTCGCGCGCGTCGGCGGAGCCATCGGGGCCCAATCGGGGGGCTCGTCCGTCTTCGACGACGCGCGGGAGCGATCGTCGCGGCCGTCGGTCGTCGCGGGCGACGGCGACGGCGACGAGGAAGACTCGCGCGCGGAGTACGACGGCGACGGCGACGGCGACGGCGACGGCGCGCCCGCCGTGACCGCGGTCGCGGGGGGCGCCCTCGTCGCGCCGCTCGCGGACGACGACGGCGTCGACGGCGCGGTGGACCGCAGCCACTCCTTCGGGATGCCGCCTTTCGACGACGACGACGACGACGACGACGAATCGGACGCCGGTAGGTAGCTCCCCGCGAAGCTCGGGGCGCCGACCTGGCGAAGCGTCCGCCGCGGGCCGCGGAGGCGCGGCGCGTGATTTTTAAGATGCTGACGATCGCGCTCGAGATCGAGCGACGTCGCGAGCGCGGGTCGCGCGATCGACGCGAGCGTCGCGATCGCGAGCAGGAGCGTCGCGAGGAACGCGCGCGACGTCATCGCGCTTCTCATCGCGCGACGGAGCGAGGACGCGCGCGAGAGAGAGTGCGAGCGCGCGGTCGAACGGGACGAGCTAACGGTTCCGCGGCGCTGCTGGCCCCAGACCGCGACCGCCAGAGCCTTTCCTAGCCAGAAATCACACGTACTCGTACTCTTTGGGTTTTTTGTCTGAATCGAATTCGCGCTACGCTACCCTCTTCTACGCACATCCTATCCCGCGCCGCCCGCGCCGCGCCCGCCGCGCCTCACCTCGCGTCGCCGCCCCCGCCCGCCTCCCGCGGGCCGTAGTGCTTCTCCAGGTGAGACGCGAACGCGTCCACGTACTGCGCCGACCTCGGCACGACGTCGCCGTCGTCTCTTCGCCACGCGTCGCACAGCTCGCGCACATCCACCCACTTCACGCCGCTGACTTCTGCCTCCCCGGGCGCCATGTCCACGGTCTCGTCGCGCTCTAAGAAGTACACGTCCTCGAAGCAGTTGCAGCCGCCCAGATGCGCTTGCTCGGCGGGGACGCAGAAGGCGAAGGAGAGCTCGTCGTGGAGGCACGCGATCCCGAGCTCCTCCTCGAGCTCTCGGACCGCGGTGTCCCTGCTGTCGTGCCCGGACTCGATGTGCCCCGCGGCGGAGATGTCCCAGAGGTTCGGGAACGTGTCCTGACGGTCGCCGCGAGTCGAGGGGTGGGCGACGGGGAGGCGTGAGTCGAGGCGCGACGTCGAGCCGCGAGGCCCTCGCCGAACGATTCGATTCGCGGAGAGAGGACGAGGGAGAGGACGACGACGACGACGACGACGACGACGACGACGCGAGAGACGGACGGACGCGTCGCCCCGTCGCACCTTCTTCGCGCTGCGCTTCTGCAGCGCGACCTTCTGCGTCGCGCGATCGATCAGCCACACGTGCACGCTCCTGTGCCAGTCCGCGTCGCGATGCACGAGCGCTCGCGGCTTCGTCTCCCCCGTGGGCATCGGGCCGTCGCGGAAGATGTCGAAGTCGTCCCCCGGCGCGAGCACGACGTCGAACATCTCCAGGTCGGACTGCGCCTCGGCGAGCGCCGCGGCGTTCTTCCGCGGCGCCGACGCCGGCGAGGACGTGGACATGGTCGCGGCGAGGGCAGGGGAGGACGCCCAGCGGGCGCGGTGTGCTCTGAAGATTCTTCCTCAGCTTCGAAAATATAATTTTTTCGTCATCACTGCTGCGGCAGCGACGATCGCCACCCGGCCACTCCGTCGCGCGCCTCGCCGCATGGCTCTCCGACGCGCGCTCCTGAACTTGCGCACCGCTCGGCCCGCCCGCGGGTGGGCCGGGATGGCGACCGCCGCGGACCCGGGGTTCATAAGCACCGCGTCGAAGATGTGCGTCCCTCGCTCATCGCGCGCGTCTCTTCGCGTCGTCGGCTCGATCGAGGGTTTTCTCCCTCCCGCCCCCCCCCCCCCGCGTCGTTCGATCGCGCGCCGTCCCCGCGCGCTCCCTTCGCTTCGCCTCGCCCCGGTCGCCGAACCCGCGCCCGGGTCACCTTCCTCGCGATCCTCCGCTCGCAGGATCGACGTCACGGTGGTGCACGAGGGCCAGAGGTACGTCGTCAAGGGCATGGTCGGGCGGACGCTCGCGGAGACGCTCGCGAACAGCGGGATCCCCGAGCTCGAGGCGAACACCCCGATCGTGTCCCCGGAGTGCGGCCCGGACGCGCACGTCTCGGTCCCGCCGGGGGTGATCGCGTCGATCCCGGAGATGACATTGGACGAGAAGCTCGTGTTGACGGACGTCGCGGAGACGGTCACGCCGCGGAGCCGGCTCGCGAGCTCGGTGAGGCTGACCAAGGATCTGGACGGGTTGGTCGTCGCGTTCGCGCCGATGCAGCCGTTCAAGACCATCTGAGGTCGGGTCGGAGGACGGGACGGGACGGGACGGGACGCGACGCGACGCGACAGACGTGCGATTGTAATCTATTATCGCTTTTAAAGCGGTTATCCGAGGCGTCGCGACGACGCTACGGGGAGTCCTCGAGGACGACGACGGCGTCGGCGCCGCCGCCGCCGCCGCCGCCGCCGCCGCTCCCCGACCCGCCCGCGCCGCCCGCGCGCCCTCGCCCTTCCTCGAACCACTGGCTCACGAGCGCGTCCAGGTCGTCGTGCGGCGGCGGCGCGCGAGCCGCGGGCGCCGTGGGCGCCGACCCCGCGCCCGCGGTCGGCCGACGCATCCGCACCGTCAACGGCGCGCGCTCCCCCGCCGCCTCGCCGAGCCCCGGCGACGGCGCCGCCCCCGGCGCGGGCGCTCGGCCCGCGGCGACCGCGCCCGGGCTCGGGACGCTCCGCGCCGCGGCCGCGCCGACGACGGGGACGGGCGTCGCTGTCGCGGTCTCGGTCGCGGTCGCGGTCGCGGTCGCGTCGCCGCCCGCGCGTAAGAGCTCGTTCGCGGTGGAAATCGCGCGGTGCGCCGCCTCCAGCCGCGGCGACGGCCCGTCGTAATACTCTGCGGCCGCGGCGGCGTACGCCCCCGGGCTCTCCAGTGTCGCCGTCGCCGCCGGCGCGCTCGACAGTGATTCTCTCGACGCCTTGTAGGACTCGACCGCGGCGGCGGCGGCGGCTCGCATCGCCGCGAGCGCGGCGGTCGAGTGTTCCACCGCGCGCTGCGCCGCCGCCGTCGCCGCGTCCATCGCGCGCGTCGGGTTCGCCGCGTCGGTTTCAACGCCGGTTTCAACGCCGGTTTCAACGCCGGTTTCAACGCCGGTTTCAACGCCTTCCTCCGCCGCCGCCGTCTCCTCCTCCTCCTCCTCCTCCTCCTCCTCCTCCTCCTCGTCGTCGTCGTCGTCGCTGTCCGAGATGACGATGACGTCTTCGGCGCTCTCCGCCGCGGCCGCGACGGGGACGCGCGCGGCGTCGTTCCCGTGCGCGGTCGCCTCGCGAATCGCGCGTCGTCGTTCCTCCTCCTCGTCCGTCTCGTCGCCGGCGTCGTCGTCCTCGGCGTCGATCGTCGTCACGCCGGCTCTCGCCCCGCCGCCGCCTTTCGTCGCCGACTCACTCCCGGCGTATAGCTCCGGGGGCACGTGTAAGACGTTCCCGCCGACGCCCAAGACGACGCCGTTCATCGCCTCCGCGGGGACCCAAGCCGACTCGTTCGCGTTTCTTTTCCCGCCGCCGCCGCCGCCGCCGCCGCCGCCGCCGCCGCCTTCGTCGTCCGGGCACGGCCGCCACCGCCCACTGGGCTCGACCTCGACGCGGCTCACGCTCGCGGAGTCGCCGCCGCGCGCGCGCAGGACGCCCAAGACTCGCGTGAGGAAGCCGTCGATGACGAGCTCCGCGGGTCTCCCGCTCTCGCCGCAGTGCGGACACGTCCACTTGCGAACTTTTTCATTCAGCGAGACGTACGTGTCCAAGTCGAACGCGGCCAAACCTTTGCACCGCCGCGTCCGCGCCGGGGTCTTGCAAATCAACCCCGATATCGGGCAGCGAAGGGATAAGACCGCGTTGTCCTCGATCACGAGGTCGTCGTCGCTGTCGTCCGCGCCGGGCACCCCGCCGCTTCCGCCGCCGCTCAGAGACCGCTCCAGATGCGCGCGCGCGTTTGGAAACGAAACCGGCGCCGGCACCAGCGCCTTAGGGTCGTTCCATCATTCAAAGCGACGTCGGGGTGGTGTTCAAAGGCGTCAGTTGGAGTTGAAAGGCGTCGAAGGCGGGGATTGAACGCGAGGGGTAGGCGGAGAGAGACGCCGGGAAGTAAAGTCCTTAAGGATCGGCGTTCACCACGCGAACGGGGTCGTATGGGGACCAGCGTATAGAACGCGCCTTCACCTCCTCCGCCCTTCGCCTCTTCACGATCCGCATCAGCACCGTGAACATGCGCGAATCCGCGCACGACACGCTGAGGACGTTCCGCCCCTCCACGGCGACGCCCAACGGCACGCTCACGGGCGGATCCCTCCCGGCTTTTCCCATCGCGCTCCCGGGTTGCCGAAACATAACCGGCAGCGGCGTGTCGTTCACGCGCACGTTCGCGAGAAACGGCCAGTGCTGCCGCGCCGGCACCTCGTCGTCGTTCATGACGCACTGGAGCTGCAACTGGTACGACCGCGAGTCCTTCCCGCGCAGGAGCATCGCCTGCGCGTTGCTGAGGATGAACGGCCGCGACGCGACGCCCTTCGCGCCGAGCCGCGTCGGCGACATCACCACGCCCGGCGCCGACGCGACGTTCGGCACGGGGTGCGGCGCCCAGAACGGGTCGGACTCGACCGCGCGCGCCCATATCCCGCTGCTGACCGCGTCCGCGGCAAAAGATGCGCCGCCGCTGGCCACGAGCGCGCCGACCGCGGCGGCGGCGGCGCGTTGCTTGCGGAGCTCCTCGAGAGATTTCGGCGACGATGCGCGCGCCGCTCGCACGAGCCCGGACACGTACTCGCCGTGCGTGCGCTTCACGCCGCCGCCGCCCGCGGCGCCCGGGGAAAGGCAGAACTTCGCGCCCTCGAACCTGTACCACACGTCCGTGACTACGCGCTCGATCGCGTGCTTTCCGCCGGCCGCGCGGGTCAGCACCTCGGACTCGCAGACGCCGACGACGCGCGCTTTGAGCGCCGCCTTGTTGCCCTGCTTGCTCTGGCGCAGCGCGACGAGGATCTCCGCGAGGTCTTTCGCGCGCAGGCGATCGAGGAGATTCTGCGCGATGGAACGGACGGACGGCGCGGGGAGGGCGAGGGAAGTCAGCGAGGCGCGGCGACGCTATGCTCTCGGTCGTGGTTCGCGCGGAGAAGCGATCTGATCAGCGACCGCTCGAGAGACGGGACGACGACGACGACGACGACGACGACGACGACGACGCGAGGAAGCGCGGAGGCGCACCACGACGGCTTTGTCCACCGCGAGCGACATCTCGCGATGCCGCCGCGGAGCTCGAGACGCGCGGCCGCCTCGTCCCTCGCGGACAGGACGCCGCGCGCGCGCGAACTGACTCTCACAGCGAGCGGGAGCGCGGAGCTGCGCGCGGAGCCACGACCGCTTGCCACGACTGGCCCTCTGGCCGCGACGCGCGGTGAAACGCGGTTTCAATTCGACGTTTAAACCCACGAAGACGAGGGTCAACGAGACGTGGCTCGGTTTACGCTGATCGAGGCACTCATCGAGCTCAGCAAAACGCGTCGTCCCATTTATTATTTTCCGATCGTGCCGCCGATAAGCCCCCGTGCGTCCGCGACGTCCGCGCCCTCCCGTCACATCCCCGCGCGTGCCGCACGCGCTCGTCTTCGGAGCCGACTCGCGCGCGCCACGACCCCCCGCGGTCTCGTCCCCGCGCCCGTCCGTCCGCGACACGAAATCAGGATCCTCTGAGTTGAAGGCAGCCCCTTCCGTCGTCCGCCGCGCCGCGTGAGGTTTCAGGGTTTATCGCCTCGATGCCCGCGCTCGCGAGCGTCGCCGGCGCGATGATCGCCCCCGGCGTCTTCGCGTCGGCCGCGTCCGCGCCGCGCCGCGCCGCCGCGAGCAACGCGAGCAACGCGCGCCGCGGCCGCGTCGCGAGGGCGTCGTCGTCGTCGTCGTCGTCGTCGTCCGCCGTTTGGGTGGCCCGAACCACGACGTCGACGTCCTCGTCGCCGCTCGGCGCGTCTCGCCGCGTCCGCGGCGTCGTCGCGACGCGCCCGCGCGCGACCCCGCCCGAGGGCGAGGCCGCGCCGGCCACCGCGGACGCGTGCCCGACCGAGCCCGTCGACGAGGAGCAGATCGCGATGCGCGACGCGCTCGCGGTCATCAAGCGCGACCGCGCCAAGTTCACGGAGATCGCGGAGAACGAGAAGCGCAAAGAGCAAAAGTGCGCGGACCGCTGCGCCGACCTCGAGCAAGTCGCGCAGACGCAGGCGCAGCTCGCGGTCAAGGCGTGGGAGGATCACTCCGCGGCGGAGGAGCTCGTCGTCGAGGCCGCGGCGAAGGTGGACGCCGCGGTGGAGCGATACGGCGTCGCCGAGCTCGCGTTATCCGACGCGCGAGCGAAGCGAGCCGCAGCGTTCGCCGCCGCGGGCGTCGGCGTCGAAGGCGACGACGACGGAGACGCCGACGCCGACGACGAAATCGAGAAGGACTCTTCTAATAAGCCCGCGGCGAAGCCCGCCGCTGCGGAGAAGGACTGGTGGACCGCGGAGGGTCTGTCCGCGGAGGAGGCGGTCGCCGTCGTCGCCGAGAGAGTCGCGGAGGCGGAGAAGGCGTACGAGACGGCGAGGGAGGACAAGGACGACCGCACCAAGTTTAGCGCCGGGATCGCGTCCAACGCGCAGGAGGCGAAGGAGCTCGCGCAGGCTGCGGACGCGCGCGCGGACGACGCGATGCGGCTCGTGGAGGAGAGCATGGAGGCGGTGATCGCCGCGCGGATCGCCGCGGCGGTCGCGGAGGAGGAGCTCGCCTCGCTCGACAAGGCGGAGGATGCCATCTTGAACCCGAAGGATTTCAAGAAGAAAGAGAAGGCGAAGAAGGTGAAGGAGGAGGAGGAGGCCGCCGCCGCGGAGGCGTCGATCGCCGCCGAAGAGGAGGCGGAGAAGGCGGAGAAGGCGGATGCGAAGAAGAAGGACAAGAAGGACAAGAAGGACAAGGAGGAGGAGGAGAGCGCCGAGACCGTCAAGGCGAAGGCGCCCTCGCCGACGTCGTCGTCGAAGCAGTTCGCGTCCAAGTGGTTCACGTCCGACACGGAGAAGTTCAGCAACCTCGCCACGGGCGCGGGGCTCGCGCTCGCGGTGGCGTTTCTCGCCGGGATGATCCTCCCGGGTGGGGCGAAGTTCCGCGCCGCGCTGTCGCACACGGGCGCGTCCGTCACGTCCACGATCGACAAGGGCTGGAAGTCCATCACGTCCATGATTCCCGAGTCGGAGAGGAAAATCGCGGAGCACGCCGCGCACGAGGCCGAGGAAGCCGGTCTCACGGACGCGCTCGTGCTCTTGTTCACGTCCATCTTCGCGGTGACGCTCGTGTCCAAGATCCCGGGCGGGTCCCCCGTGCTCGGGTTCCTCCTCGGCGGCGCCATGATCGGCCCGTACACCACCGGGCTCATCGGCCACGTCGAAGGCGCCAAGGTTCTCGCCGAGTTTGGCGTCGTCTTCCTCCTCTTCAACATCGGCCTCGAGCTCTCGCTCGAGCGCCTGCAGAGCATGGCGAAGTACATATTCGGCATGGGCAGCGCGCAGATGCTGATGTCCACGCTCGTGGGCGCGACGATCGCGTGCGCGTGCGGCCTCGCGGTGCCCCCCGCGGTGGTGATTGGCATGGGCCTCGCGTTTTCGTCCACCGCGGTGGCGTTGCAGGTGCTTCAGGACCGCGGAGAGACGGGGAGCCGGCACGGCCGCGCGACGTTCAGCGTCCTGCTGTTCCAGGATCTCACCGTCGTGCTCGTGTTCATGCTCGTGCCGTTGCTCGCGGGGCCGGACAGCGGGTCCATCACCGCGATCTGCGGGTCGCTCGCGAAGGCGATCGTGAAGACGGTGGCGGCCATCGGCGTCATCATGGTGAGCGGCCGCGCCATCCTGCGTCCCATCTACCGCCGCATCGCCAACCTCGGAAAGGCGGAGGTCCTGACCGCGACGACGCTGTTCGTCGCGCTCGGGACGTCGCTCCTGACGCAATCGCTCGGCCTCTCCATGGCTCTCGGCGCGTTCCTCGCTGGGCTCTTGCTCGCGGAGACGGAGTTCCACCTACAGGTGGAGTCGGACATCGCGCCGTTTCGCGGGTTGCTCCTCGGGCTCTTCTTCATGACGGTCGGGATGCAGATCGACCCGAGCGTGTTGATGTCCAACTCGTTCAACATCATCGTCATGGCGTTTGGGCTCCTCGTCGGGAAGTTGGGCGTGATGGCCGTCTGCGGGCCGCTGTTCGGGCTCCCTCTGCTCGCGTCGCTTCGCTCCGGCGTCTACGTCGCGCCCGGCGGCGAGTTCGCCTTCGTCACCTTCGGCCTCGCCGCGAGCGCCGGGTTGTTGACCATGGACGTCGTCAACCAGATCAACCTCGCGGTCGTCCTCACGATGGCGCTGACGCCGCTCCTCGCCAACCTCGGCTCGAAGCTTAAGGACGTTCTCAAGCAAGACGACGGCGTCGTGTCCTTGCAGGCGAAGGAGGGCGAGAACGACGACCTGAGCGGGCACGTCATCGTCGCCGGGTACGGCCGCGTCGGCCGCATCATCGGCGACTTGCTCAACGAGCAGCTCATCCCGTTCGTCGCGCTGGACATCTCCGCGGATAACGTCAACGCAGGGCGCTCGAACGACATGCCGGTGTACTTTGGCGACGCCGGCGCGGAGACGGTGCTGCACGCCGTCGGCGCGGCGAAGGCGTCGTGCGCGGTTGTGACGTTGGATACGGCGGAGAGCAACTACCGCGTGGTGTACGCGTTGCAGAAGCATTACCCGGACGTCAAGGTGTACGTGCGCGCGAAGGACGTCGCGAACGGGCTGTTGCTCGAGAAGGCGGGCGCGAAGGCGGTCGTGCCGGAGACGCTGGAGCCGTCGCTGCAGCTCGCCGCGGCGGTGCTCGGCGAGATGGACATGTCGAACGAGGACATCTCCATCGCGGTGGATAACTTCCGCCGGACGCACATCCAGGATCTGAAGCAGCTTCAGCAGAACAGCGGCGGCGGGCTCGGGTACGGGCTCCCCACGGACATGGAGACGCTGCAGGCGACCATGGACGAGCTCGACGAGGGCGGTCTCGTCGACCTCGTTCCCAAGGCTGTCTGAGTTGAGACGGACGGAGGGACCGGCAGACGGAGCCGAGAGAGAGAGAGAGAGAGAGAGAGAGAGCGGAGGGTGATTCTTTGAACGCTCGAGGTCGAACGTCGTTCGTCGTCGCATTGAAAAATACTATTACTACATCTTGCTACCACGCCGACGTCGTCGTCGCATCGCGGGCGGGTTTGGTTTCGGTCGCGACGTCGTCGCTTCGCTTCGCTTCTCTCTCTCTCTCTCTCGTTCTCGTTCTTGTTCCCCGGCGCTCAACCGCCCGTCGCGCCGCCGCCGAGCCCGACGGCGGCGTCTACGTCCCCGGACGGGCCCGACAGACGCCGACGGGCGAGCCGCACCAGCCCGTCCCCGCCCGGCAGGCACGCGAGGCGGAGTTTCAGCTTCATCACGCGCTCGAACAGCTCGAGTCGACGCTCGAGACGCGCGAGACGAGACGCCGGGTCCGCGTCCGCGTCGCCGCCGCCGCCGCCGCCGCCGCCCTCCGCCGCCCCTCCCTCGCCGTCTCCGCCGCTCGTTCTCCACCGCAGCGCCCGCAGCTCGTCTCGAATCTCCCCAACCTTCTTCCGAATCTGCCGCGGGTGCATGTCGCGGACGTCCTTCCACCGTTCGCTCGGCTCGAGCGCGAGCGGCGCGAGCTCTCTCCCCGCGTCGTCGAGCCGCGTCTCCACGTCGAGCGTCAGCGCCGCGACGTGCGCTCTGAGATGTCGACAGACGTCCGCGCGGCGCTTCGACTCCTCCTTGTCGTCCGCGCGCGCGCGCGCCGCCGACATCGCGGCGTCGACTAATATCTCCGCGTACATCGGGCAGCCGTACTGGATGGCGAACTGGAGCGCGGCGAGGGACCCGCGCGTGACGACGTGACGCATGGTCGCCTCCGTCCACGGACAATTGTTCGCGCGGGCCCAGCGGAGGCGCTCGACGCTCGCGACGCAGTCCTCGACCGCGAATCTCGGGTTGTCGATCGGGGCGTACATCCACACCGCGCGTCGGCACTCGCGGTTCAACCCGGCGACGATCGCGAGGTCGGTCTGCGAGAGCAGAGGGAAGATTCGCGTGCGAAGCAGATCGACCTGGGCGAACAACGCGGAGAGGACGCCTCCAGATTTGGTCTCCATGCGCGTCTCGAGCTCGTCCTCGTACATCTCCGTGGGGCACCCGATCTCCGCGGCGAGCTCGGCCGACAGCGTGACGACATCTCGCCGGCCGCGTTTCGGCATCGAGCGCGCGTCCACGCGCGCGCGAGGGTGCGGGGGGAAGGGGAAGAGCTTCCTTTTTTTTGGCGGGCGCGCCCGCGCGGGCGTTGACTTTGGTATGGTGGCTGGCTGTCTCCTCCTATCTCTATCCTAAGGTTAGGAGTTTTTGGTTTGAGTCGAAAACTACGTCGTACTACTCCCCAAAACTACTTTTCCCCGCCTGCGAGGGTTTCTTTCCTCGTGCAGGGACGGAGCGGGGAGGGTGCACTCCGCCGCCGCGCGCGCCTCGTCGCGATGTTGCGACGCGCGTTCCACTCGATCGCGGCGACGTGCGCCGCGGCGCCTCGCCGCGGCGCGACCCCGCCCGCGAGCGTGGCGCCGTGGACGCGCGCGCTGACGACGACGACGACGTCGCGACCGTCCTCGGATTCCACCACCGGATCTTTCTCCGGCGCGTTCGTCGCGGCGCGACCGGGGACGATCTTCGCGCCGCCCTCGCGCGGAGCGCTTCCCGAGGACGACGCGCGCGCTCCGGCGTCGCCGTTCGCGCTCATGGCGGTCCCGAAGCGGAAGGTGTCGCCGTCGAGGAAGGGGAAGCGGAACCAGTTTCGACGGATCAAGTTCGTCGGTCAGGCGGTGCGGTGTCGCGACTGCGGCAAGGTGAAGATGCCGCACGTGTACTGCGACAGGTGCAGCGCGAACGTGTACGAGGAGGAGGACCTCGACGGCGGCGGCGTGCCGCGCGCGGGCGTGACGCAGCCGTAGACGCGCGCTGATGGAGCGCGGAACGCGACTCGTCGAGGCGGAGGCGATCTCTCGGACGCGGTGGATGTAACACGACACGTCTTATTAGTCTACGCGTGCGCCTAAACAACGACGCGCGGCGCGCGATCTACGATCGATCGATCACAGCTTGAACCCCTCGTGAATCGCGACGACCCCGCCTGTGAGGTTATCGTGCGACACGGACTTAAACCCGACGTCGCGCATCATGTCCTCGAGCTCGCGCTGCTTCGGAAACTTCCGAATGGACTCGACGAGATATCGATACGACGCCTCGTCCTTCGCGACGAGCTCGCCGAGCGCCGGGATCACGTTGAACGAGTACAAGTCGTACATCGATCGCAGCGGCTCCTGGGTCACGTGCGAGAACTCCAGGCACATGAACCGCCCCCCGGGTTTCAACAGCCTGAGCGCGTCTCTCAGCGCCGCCTTCGCGTTCGTGACGTTCCTCAGCCCGAACGCGATGGTGTAGACGTCGACGCTCGCGTCTTCGAACGGCAGCGACTCCGCGTTCCCCTCCACGAACTCCAACTTCGCGAGCAGCGCGTCCCCCTTCGCGTCGACCGCATTCAAACCCATGAGCCCCCGCCCCCGCGCGCGCTTCCGACCCTCCGCGAGCATCGCGGGGTTGATGTCCGACACGATGACGCGTCCCGGGTCGAAGTCCCGCGCGCGTCCGCCGCCGCCGCCGCCGCCGCCGCCTCCGCGCCGCGCCTTCTCCTCCGCGCGTCGAAGCTCCCTCAGCACCCTGAAAGCGACGTCGCCCGTGCCTCCCGCGACGTCCAGGTGCGTCATCCCGGGGAACACGCCCACCTTATCGACGAGGTAGTCCTTCCACAGGCGGTGCACGCCCGCGGACATGAAGTCGTTCATGAGGTCGTAGCTCGGCGCCACCTTCTCGAAGACGTCGCGGACGAGGCCTTGCTTCTCCTCCACGCGCACGTCTCTGAATCCGAACGACGTCGTCGGCGCGTCTTCGTCCGCGTCCGCGGAGGAGGAGGAGGACACGCCGCGCGCGAGGGAGGACGAGGACGACGCGGTGGCCGCGCGCGCGGCGCGTTCGATCGATCTCCCGGCGGCGCGGAAGATCCGCGCGGCGCTCATCGCCGATCGCTCGCGGCGCGGGACGTCGACGTGGGCACTTCCGGTCGTTCGTCTCCCCGCGACGCCGGCCGCGCGGTTCGAACGACGAGGCGAGGCGAGGCGCGCGCGCGCGATTCCGTACGCGAGCGCGCGGTGGACGAGAGGACGGTCGCGAGCGGCGCGCGATCTGTTCGGCGTGCGCGCGCTCCGTGCGGGCGCGCGTCGCGCAGTAGATCTCTTTCATTTCATCGCGTTCGTGGCGGGCGAGCACTGATGGCGTCAGATTCGGGGGCGCGAGATGCCGGGGCGACCGCGCGGCCTCGCCGCGCTCCTCGCCTCCCTCCTCGCGCTTCTCGCGCGGCCCGCGCTCGCGGCCGTGCCGTCGCGGCCGCTGAACATCTCGACCCTGCGCGAGCCCCTCCCCGCGGCGCGGGTCCTCGCGCTCGGGCAGACGGACCGTCGCGTGCGATGGACGAGCGTCCGCGAGAATAAGAGCGACGACGACGACGACGACGACGACGACCGCGGGTGCACGTCGCTGGACGGGCCGGTGTGCCCGCTCCCGCGCGACGACGCGGCGGACGACGGCGAAGAAGAGGGCGAAGAGGCGACCGCGCGCGCGTTCTCGGACGCGCGCGAGCTGCTCCGCGCGATCGAGAAGCACATCGAGGCGATGCTCGGCCTGCGCGCGACGAGCGACGACGAGGCTACGACGAGCGACGACGAGGCGACGACGACGACGACGACGACGACGACGGAGAACGCGAACGCGAACGGCGCGGCGGAGACGCCGGAGCCGAAGCCCGCGGCGGCGCCGCCGCCGGTCGCGAAGGAGGCGCGCGCCGCGACGACCGTCGACGAGGAGAGGGGCGCGTTCTCGCGCGAGGCCCCGCCGGCCGCGCTGTCCGACGACGACGATTTTGAGCTCGCGAAGCGCGTCGTCGTCGGTCGAGCCGCGAGAGACGTCAAGTGCGACGTCTGCCGCGAGCTCGTTCGCGTCGTCCACCGCGCCGCGGCGACCGCGCCGGCGGACGCGCTCGACGAGGACGTCGTCACGAGTCGTCTCGCGCGCGAGTGCGAGGTGGACGCACTCGACGCGGACGTCGCCGCGGACGCCGCGGACGCGGCGGCGACGCCGACGCCGAGCCTCTTGCGAACGCACGCGATCATCACCCGCGCGCCGCCCGAGGAAACAACCGTCGGCGACGCCGCGGAGGCGTCTGAGACGTTCGTGCTCGCGCGTCGAGCCCCCGGGACGTCGCTGCGAGAGATCGAACTCAGGGTGTTCCGCCGAGCGTGCGCGGACGTCGTGCGGGACGGCGACATCGCCATCGCGGAGAAGACGGTATCCGCCGCGAGACGACGGCGGGGGGAGGGGGACGGCGACGGCGACGGAAACGAGGACGTCGTCGGCGACCTGCAGCGCGCGCTGTGCGACGACGACGCGCGGATGTGCGCCGCCGAGACGTCCTCCGCGGCGATGGACGATACGAAGAAGAAGAAGAAAAAGAAGAGGAGGAAGAAGAGGACGGAGACGTGCTACTATCACGCCGCCGGGTGGTGGAATTACGAGATTTGCCGCGGGGGCGCGATCACGCAGTATCACGCGGACGCCGGCGGCGTCACGAGGGTCGCCTTGGGGACGTACGACGCCGCGACGACGTCGAGACGGAAGACACGCGACGCCGCGGACGCGAACGCGGTCGGCGTCGAGATTTTCACGCGCGGCGCGACGTGCGAGGGCGCCCGCGCGAACGACGACGACGAGCCCGCGGCGGCGGCGATCCGACGCGGCGGGGAGGCGAGATTTTATTGCGCGAGAGACGGCGCGACGAGCGTGGAAGTGAACGAGCCGGAGACGTGCGTGTACGACATACGCGTGCGCTCGCCGCGACTGTGCGACGAGGACTACGCGTAGGTGTAGGTGTAGGAGGACGAGACGACGACGGTAGCTTTATAATAAGAATCGTTTCGTCGCGTTCCGTTTTCAGTCGCGCGCGGTTCGGACGCGTGGCGTTCGCGTCGCGTCGCGTCGCCTCACCGTCTTCGCGTTCGAAAATCCAATCCCCCCAGCCCAGCACGACAATCGTTCGTCTCATCGCCGCTGCTTCTTCCCGCCGCCGCCGCCGCCGCCCTTCTTCCGCTTCCTGTCGTCGTCGCCGTCGGAAGCTTCCTCGTCCGCGGCCATGGCCTCTTCCTCGAGCTCGTCCCAGTCCATGCCCTCGTCCTCGGAGTCCTCGTCGTACTCTTCGTCGTCGTCGTCGCTCTCCTCCACGGACTCGCTCTCGGACTCCTCCTCGGACTCCTCCTCGGACTCGCTCGGGGCGAAGTCGGACTCGCTCTCTTCGCCCCCCTCGCCGTCCTCGTCGTCGTCGTCCTCGACCTCGTTGTTCAAGAACTCCCATCCGCCAGCCTGGAGCCAATCGTCCGGGTCCTCCTTGATCTGCTTCAGAAGCGGCTTCCAGTTCAAGTTCGCCTTGCCCTCGTAGTACTTGATGTCGAGCGTTCCGAGCCACTGCTTGATGTTGTCGAGGTTCTGCACCGGGATCTGGTCGATGCGATGGACGTCCTTCGTGAAGTCTTTGAACACGATCGCCATGTCGAAGTTCTTCAGGTGGAACCCGACGCGCTCGAGGTTCACGACTTCGATGTCGCTCGACGACACCACGAGCGGCGGGAACTCGGTGAGCTCCACGAGGCACGTCGCCGTGGGCAGGATCCGCACCGTGCTCTTGAACGGGACGCCGTCGAACGCGAGGTCGTGGTACGGCGAGTCGAACTCCAGGTTGAGCTGCGGGAAGTCCTTCTCCCAGATGTCCTGCACCTTGCGGCAGAACCCGCTGAACTCCTTGTGAATCCGTTTCTCGCGTTCGCGGTCGCGTTGTTCCTCCTCGATCTCGTCCGGGTCGTACATGTTCCGTCGCCCGCCGTCGAGGCTCTGCACCGCCTCCATGATCTCCATGTAAAACTGCACGTCGTGCGTCTTCTTCTTGCCGATCATGATCGGGTTGTGCAGGTGGAAGTGAATCAACGTCTTGATCTCCTTCTTCGCGGGTTGGAAAAACGCAAACTTGACGTTGGAGTAGATGATGTCCACCTGCTCGTCCGCCTTGGCGCCGACGTACCGCAGACCGTTCGTGTGCGCCTCGAGCGTCCCCGCCTTGCGCCCTCCTCTTCCTCCGAACGTCGGCAGCATCCACAGGCCGACGAGGCGGTGCACGCGGCCGTGGGACAGCACGAGCCGCTCCTGTCGCACGAGCGTCGCGCGTTCGGCTTTTTCCGTCTCGCGCTGCGACACCGTCCGCTTCAGCGCGCGCATCTCCTGGACGATGTAGTTGGCATGCTTCGTGTCGCTGCTGCGGTACGAAATCTCGCGGAGGAAGGTCAGGTCCGGGAACTTCATGTTCGCCGGGTACGTGCTGTTCGCCGCGATCGCCCCCGGCGCGGTGGGCGCGTTGAAGTTGATCCTCACGAACGACCGACCGCCATCCTGCGTCACGCTCACGCTCTTCACGGCCATGATGTGGAACGGGACGAGCCCGCCGTGGATCGGAAGCAGCACGGTCTCGTTGTCGCGGTCGACCGCGAGCACCGGGTCCGCGCCTCGAGGCACGGGGACGTCAGCCATGGACTCGTAGGCGACGAAATCAGCCGTCGCGCCGCCTTTGCCGCCCGACGCCATCGCGTTCTTCGCGCCGACGAGGCGCGCGTACGTCTCTTGGTTCTTCTTGTCCGCGAGCGCGGCTTGCTTCCTTCGGCGCGCGTCCTCGTCCGTGGGGCCGCCTTCCTCGCCTCTGGTCTTCGCGTCCATGACGACGCCGCCTTCTTCCACGCGCGCGGCTTTGGCTTGCTTTTTGTTCGCCGCCGCCGCCTCCTCCTCCTCCTCCTCCGCGGAGTCGTTGATTTGGTACGCGATGTCCTTCAGCGCCTTCGTCGTCGCTTTCGTCATCACGTCCGCGGCGGCGCCGTCCTTCGCGACCGCCGCGGTGTCCGCGATGAGTATCGCGTACGTCGCGGACTTGCTGCCCTCCTTCGCGTCCGCGTTCGCGAGGCCGTTGAGCGCGATCTGGACGTTGTAGCACTGCCCGGCTTTAATCTTTTGCGGCGCGCCGCGCGACTTCGGCCCGAGCGTCATGGAGCTCTCGCGGAGCTCCAACCCGATCGCGGTCCCGATCGTCTTCCCGAGCTTCGCCGCGAGCTGCTCGCCCATGCCGTTCGGGTTCGCGGCGATCAGCGCCGCCTTCGCCGCGTCGTGCGGCGCCGCGAGGTCCGCGCCGTCCACGAGCGCCTTCAACGCGGCTTCCTGCGCGGCGAGCGCCGCCGCGTACACGTCCTCCATCGCCTTCGTCGGGTCGATCATCAGCGTCCGCGCGACGTTCGCGCAGTACTGCATCACGCGCGCGCCGAGGGAGATGGTCACCACGCCGTAGTGGAGCTTCTTATCGCTGCTCTGCGCGCTCAGCTTGAGCTCGTATTCGCCGCCCGACTGCAGGATCGGCGGGTAGCAGATGTCCACGTCCTCCGCCTCGACGTCTTTCATCCCGAGCTTCGACGGCTCGAGGATGACGTCCTCGCACTGCTCCGAGAGCTTCGCGTGCGAGATCTTCGTCTCGTCGTTCACGACGCCCTCGATGGTATCCACGCACCAACGCATCGCTTTCGCCGCGAGCGACGCGGCTTTCTTCATCGTCGTCGCCTCGGTGGCGTCGCGCACGCTCATCGCGTCCGCGAGCCCGGCGGCCACCTCGACGATCTTCACGCCCTTCTCCTTCAGTCGCGCGTGCGCGTGCGTCACGAGCGCGCCCTCCTCCGCCTCCTTCGCCACCGCGCCGACGATCAGGCCTCTCTCCGCGATGAGATCCACGACCTCGTCCACCTGCGTCTTCCCGTCCTCGCCCTTGGGCTTGACGTGCACGACCACGGTGACGTTCGCGTCCGCGAGCACCTTCTCCGCGACGGATGACACGAGCGTCGCCTTCTTCCCGCCCGTCACGACGTGCAGCTCGTCCTTCGTGAAGAGCATGAGCGTGTCCGGGAGCTCGTACTGGAATAGCCAGATCTGCATGGACGCGGACTTGAGGTACCGAAGGTCGTCCTCCTTGTTCGAGCCCGTGCCCAGGAGGCACGCGGTCGCGTTCGCCCACATCGGCTCCGCGTTCGCGGTCCAGGACGCGCGCATGGCCCTGAGCCTGGACGCGCACAAGTCGCCGTCGATCGTCGGGCCGCTCATCGCGCGCGTCGAGTTGTCGCCGCGAGAAATACGATCGGGCGGTGGATCTGGCGACTTCGAAGCCGACTTCGCGATCGGTCGTTCACGCGGAAACGCGCGCGGTGGTCGACCTCGCGGTTCGCGGCGACGCCTACCTGCGCGGCGTGTGCGCGATCGCGCGTGCTCCCGAGCGTCTCGGAAGGCCGCGGTCGCGAGCGTGCGTTGTGCGCGAGCGGCCGCGACGGATGTCTTTTTGAATCTTGTGGTCGTGTTCTTTCACTTTGGTGTCGAAGAAGTAGAGCTCGCCGCCGCGTTTTTCCCCGTTGTTAGCGCCTCCGCCGGCCGCACAAGCCCATGTCGCGCGCGGCTCTCAGGACGCTCGTCGCGCGCGCGCCGCCGCCGACGATCGCCCCGTCGCGCGTGGCGTCGCGGCGGAACGTCTCCGTCGCGACGCGCGCGCGCGCGCCGCCGGTCGCGGACGACGACGACGACGACCACGACGCGGGCTCCGACGACGCCCCGACCACGACGTCATCAGGGCCGTCGTCGACCTCGCCGGCGGGCCGCCCGCGCCCCTCGATCGTCGTCCTCGACGGCGCGAACCTCGCGTGGACGTACTCCGCGTCGCTGTACGCGAAGCACGGCTGCCGGACGCGCCTTCCGCTGTCGCGCGGCGTCGCGCTCGCGCTCGAGTGCGACGCGTGGGCGTCGATGCGGCTCACGCCGCACGCGTTCATTCCCCGCTCCTACGTCGAAGGGCCGCTGCACGGCCTGTGCGACGGCGGCTCGCTCGAGACGCTCGTCCCGGGGAACGTGGAGTACCTCGGGAACGCGACGTGGAGAAACACGGTGCTGCACGACTTCGCGCGGCGCGGGATGCTGACGACGGTGACGCGCGCGCCGAACGCGAGGGACGCGGACGACAAGCGCATCATCGCGTTCGCGTTAGGTGCGTCCCATACACTGGTCCCCATACGACCGCGTCGGCGTGGTGAACGCCGATCCTTGAGGACTTCGCCCAGCGCATCTCTCCGCCCACCCCTCGCTTTCAATCCCCGCCTTCGACGCCTTTCAACTCCGCTTCTGACGCCTTTGAACTCCACCCCGACATTCGCTCGTATGGAACGACCCTCAGAGCGCGACGCGGTCGTGTGCAGCAACGACCGGTACGAAGACCACGTCGTCTCCGCGGGTAGCGCGGAGAAACGTAAAGAACTCAGGCGGTGGCTGAGCGAGCGCAGGAGCGGGTACGAGTTTCAGGTCGGGAGCGTCCTGGACGCGGCGTACGCGAACGGGGGGGGCGATCCGACGGCGTCGCCGCCGCCGGTGGGGTGGACGCACCTGCCGTCGCCGCCGCTCGAAGAGCGCGGCGACGGCGACGGCGACGGCGGCGACGGCGGCGACGGCGACGCGGGTTCGCGCGCCGCGTGGCGCGAGGACGTGCACGCGACCGGGAGCAGCCGTCCGTGGGCGATCGGCGAGTCGCGCTGGGGTCGCGACGCGACGCGAGGCGGACGGAGAGGCCGCGGGAAACGCCGGCGGAGGGGCGGGCTCGGAGACGCGGGCGGCGGCGGCAAAGCGAAGCGCGCCAAGGGAAAGGGAGACGGAGACGGAGACGAGTTTCCGTACTGGGCGCTGCCCGCGCGCGACCTCCCGGTCGTCTTCAAGGTCAAGAAGAACGTCGCCGCGAACTAGCTAGGCATCTAACTTAACTATTCGTATGTTTCCGGGGATCGCATCGCCGCGCGCGCCCTCGCCATCGCCGTCGCGAACGCCGTCTTCGCCGCGTCTCTCGACTTGGCGCCCTCCGCCAACGCCGCGGCGACCGTCAGCGTCCCGGGCGCGGACCGCATCACGCTCGCGGTGAACGCGTGGGGCGGGCCCCTGGAGGTGGACGACGGCGACGGCGACGGCAGTTCGAGCGCGCAGTTCAATCGCAGCGGATCCGACGCGTCCGTCTCGATCGAGATGGACGTCGTCGTCGCGCTGCTGAGCTCCCGCCGCAGCCGCTCGAGGACGTCCGACGCCGTCGGCGGTTTTTTCCCCGCGCGCCCGCGCGCGCTCGCTTGCACCTCGAACGTCATCCGCCAGCACTTCGGCGTCGCCGCCGCGGTCGTCGCGGCGTCGAGCGCGTTCGCGTTCGAAGCGCCGCGCCGGTTCGTCTTCTCGAGCGCGTCCTTCGCGAAACTCCACGCGATCCCCCACCGCATCGTCCGGCCCTGAAGAAACTCCGTCGTCCGAAACGTGATCGACGAACGCATCTCGAGCGCCCTCCGAAGCTTCTTCATCGTCTCCTTCTTCCCGCACATCGTCGTGTACCAGTGCACGCGGTCGAGCAGCGTCAGCGAGTCCTCGTACATCGCGCGAACGAACGCGTGCTCGCCGCCGTTCGGGTAGCACATCTCCGTCTCCGTCCCGCCGAAGTTGGTCCCCGCGTTGAGCTCCGCCTCGGCCATCGTCTCGAAAAACGGGGGGTTACACATCGAGAACGCGAACCGCTCGCCGTCCCTGATCGCGGGGAGTAACACCCCGTCGCCGCCGCCGCCCTCGCCTCCGCCCTCGCCGCGTCTCGAGTCTCGGATCTCGATGAGCGACGCGACGTTCGCGTTGGCCGACGCGTTCGCCGTCGCCGCCGCCAGCGCCGCGTCGGCGACGTCGCACCCGACGAATCGCCACCCGTGCGTCGCCGCGCCGATCAGCGGGTAGACGCAGTTCGCGCCGACGCCGACGTCGAGGCCGAGGACGGTGGGCCCCGCGATCTCGACGCCGTCCGGGCGCGACGCGCGGAGGAGGTCTTGGATCCAGTGGACGTAGTTGGCGCGATTCGCGACGGGCGGGATCAGGTGCCCGGGCGGGACGGTCCAGCGGAGGATCCCGTAGTCGACCGCGAGCATCGCCGCGTTCAGCTCGCGCGTCGCGTCGTAGCTCGTGAAGTCGATGACGTGCCGTCCCTTCCCGCGCGATCGCAGGTGCGGCAGGAGCGCGGGGTGTCTCTTCGCGAGGGCCGCGAAGTCGGGGTTCTTCTCCCTGTACGCGTTCCGCGGGTGCATTCGGTCGCCGTTCGGCGCGCGCGTCGGGATCGGGGCCGCGCGCGCGTCGTCGTCGTCGTCGTCGTCGCCGTCGTCGTCGTCGTCCTTCGCGTCCTCGCCCGCCTCGACGCGCTTGCGCTTGCGCGCGGCGTCCGCGTCGTCCGCGGCGTCGTCGCGGTCCCCGGGGACCGCGACGACGACGTCGTCGTCCTCGCGCGCGGCGTCGGCACCGGCGGTCGTCGCCTCCTCGGCGTCGCGCATCGCGTCTCGGAGCTCCTCCGCGGCGGCGAGGAGCTCCGCGTCCGCGTTCGCCGGGTCCGCGGCGATGATCGCCTCGAGCTCGGCGAGCGCCTCGCGCACTTCCGCCGCGCTCATCGTCGCGGCGAGCGCGCGCGAGCGAGGCGTCGGAGGCGCCGAGGCGGTGTGACGCGAGCGCGCGAGATCGCGACTCGAGAAAATATTTTTTTGTCTATCCTTAAGATGCTCCCGTCTGAAGCCTGCGTGTAGTCTAACAGCCGAGGCACATGTGCTCGAACGCGTAAAATCCGACGGCGGCGACGATCGCGACGCCGGTCCCGCGCGCGAAGCCCGACTCCCCGCCCGCGAAGCCCGACCCGCGCCCCTCCCCCTCGGAGTACGACCGTCTCCGTCGCGGCGGCAACGCCGAGAGATGCCTCGCGTCTTCGTCGGCGTGCGCCTCCAAAAACCGCGCGCGGTCCCGTCGCTCCAAGCCCCAGTGCAACGACAGCCCGAACGCGATCTTGACGAGACACATCGGGATCTCCGCCGCGAAACACCGCGCGTAATCGCCGCCGTGCGCGCCCTCGAGATACCGCCTGCCCGCGTGACCGCCCGCGTCCGCGACGCACCTCGCCAAGAACCACCCCGCCTGCTTCGAAAACTCGTATCGCAGCGACACGATGCCCGTCGCCATCGTGAGCGGCCGGAGCGGCCTCCACACCGTGATCCCTCGCAGCAGCGCGTAGTGCCGCGCGGCTGCGCCAATCCAGCTCAAAACTTCGCACACGATCTCGTAGCTGTTCTCGTACGTCGCCGGGCACGTCGTCTTGAAGACGACCGCGGTGAGGTACGCCGATGCCATCGCCGCGGCGACGGCACCGATCGGGATCGCTTCCGCCCACTTCGGACAAAGATCGCGCGGCGACCCGACCTGCGCGTCCATGCCGCTGCTTTTGAGGATCGTGGCGAGCGCGACGAGGATCGCCATCCACAGACCGGTGTGATGCACCGCCGCGTACGGCCGTATGATGGCGAGTCTCCACGCCCTCCTGCGCTCGAAAATCCTGTAGGAAATCCGCGCGGCCTGCGCGGGGTAGCTCGCGTCGACGCCGTTGACTTCCTCGTCGTGTCTGCCGTTGGATATATCGCTCGAGGACGACTTCTCGCGCGTCGACGCGCGCGTCGCGCGTCGCACCGCGGGCATGTTTCGATTCGCGGCCGACAACAGATTTATTAGGGTATTAGGGTATTAGGGTATTAGAAGATTCGGCTGAAACTTGCCGCGCGCCTTCGCGAGGGATGCGGTGCCTGCGCGCGCGCGCTGCGGCGTCTCGAGCGAGCGGCTCCGCGCGATGGAGCGCGCGATGTGCGCGTCGGCGACGCCCGGAGACCGCTCCTCCCGCGTCGCGACCTTTCGCCAGCGAACGTGTCGAATCTCGGAATTTATTTTCAGATCACTTACTTTTAACCGCATAAATGCATATCTGGACACGTGTTCCCGCCGTGTAACGCGCGTTAGGTTGTAACTTTGTACAGTACAACTACACGTGTTCGGGGAAACTGTACACGTGTTCGGGGGATCATTTTTAAAAAGAGTCGCTTAGGGGTCCGAAAACCGCCTTCCAGCCCTCTAAAATCGCGAAACTTTGTGAGGGCATCGGCAACATGATGTACAACATCGTGACGAAGTTTCGGATTGATCCGCGCAGCGACGGCGCGTGGGCGCGTACGAAAGTACTTTCGCGTACGTTTTTGCCATCTGTATGCGTATTCAGTATAAATTTCGTACTTTTTTTCTGAAATCGTGAATTACCCCACCATGACCTTAATGCGAGAAGAAAAAACAGTCCCGAGGCACACACTATTCTGTACACGGTACTCATCACGACGTAGCTTTCAACGCACAACACGCGACACTCCTCGTCCGAGACGCGCTCGCGCGCTCGCCTACCTAAGTTGCTCGAGCGCGGCCAGCGCCTCTTTCGCCCTCGCCTTCGCGTCCGCCAGCCGCTGCGCGCTCGTCCCCGGCCCGAACACCACCTGCTCCAAGAGCGTCGCCCTCGACCCTCTTCTCGTCTCGACGTCCACGATCAGCCGCAACGCCTCCCTCGCGCTATCGGCGGCTTCCTTCCTCGACGCCGCCGCGTCCGACGCGCTGGACGCGTGCCCGACGTCCTCCTCGTCCGCCGCGGCGAGCGCGGCGAGCGACGCGAGCCTCGCGAGAAACACGGGGAGCTCGTTCGCGCACTCGGGCTGCGCGCGCGCGACGTCCACGACGTCGCGAACGTGCGACAACGCCGTCGCCCACGCGCCCGTCGCCTCCGCGTCGTCCGCGGCGGCGGCGTGGCACTCCGCGGCGGCGATCTCGTACCCTATTCCCGCCTTCTCGTAGTGCTCCGCGCGCTCCGCGTGCATGGGGTTCGCGTCCGTGGCGTCCATCTCGTACACGGACGCGAGCATCGCGTTGATCTCCTCCCGGTGCGTCGTGAGAAGTAGGTTCGCGGCCACCTCCGCCTGGAGCGGGTACACGAACTTGTACACCCCGGGCTCGATCAACATGATGAGTCCCTGCGCTTCGATGGACTCGAGGAGGCCCAACAGAACCGGGAGTGAGTGCTCCATGATCTGCACGAGGACGTCCACGGGGAACTCCACGCCGACGCACGACGCGCACTTCAGAAGGTCCGCCTCGACGGCGGTGAGCATGTCGATGCGCGCGACGAGCGCGGACCTGACCGAGTCCGGCAGCGACGCGTAGCTCACCTCGCCGGTGTTGCCCTTCAGATGCGTCGAGGAGCCGCCGTCGTGGGAATCCGAAGCGGTCGCCCACGTCTTGCCCTTCGCGAGCGAGTGCACGCCGGACGCGCTCACGGCGACCAAGTCTTCGCGGCAGAGGAGGTCCACGAGCATGACGACGATGCGCGGCGAGCCGTTCGCGTGGTCGACGATGTACGCCTCGAGCTCGGGGGCTACGGACTCGCCGGGGTGTAAGCCCAGCGATTTCGCCGTCAGGGCTTTGACTTCGTCGTCCGTGAGCTCGTCCACGTGCACGACGCCCTCGCCGGTGGGTTTCAGACGACGCGCGCGCGCGGTGTGAAACTTGGGCGCCTCGGGGTGGGATAACCCAGTCAACACGACCATGAGCTTGCCTTTCACCGCGGCCGCGGCGGGCGACGACAACCACTCCACGAGGTGCCACGACGTCGGGTCGCAGAAGTGCGCGTCGTCGATCACAAACAGCAGCGGGCGTTTCGATCTCGCCACCACGTGCACGAGAATCGTTTTTATCAGGCGGTGCGCGTCGTCCCAGTCCTTCTCCGTCATCATCGACGCCAACATCTCCATGTGCGCGTCGCCGGAGGGGAACAAAAGCTCCGCGGCGGCGATCTCCGCGGAAGACGCGCCCTTCGCGGACTCTTTTTTGAAGCCCACGCGGCCGCTCTCGTTGCTGCTCGCCATGCGGTCCATGATGATTCGGTGGATTTGGAACCCGGCTTCCGGGACGAGCGCCTCCTCCGCCTCGGGTTCGCTCGTCGTCAAGGTCCTCTTGATCGAGCCTTGCTTCTTCAGACCCGCGTCGTCTCCGCCGCCGTTCGTGTTTTTGTCATCCAGGGGCGACATCTTCCTTCCCGACCCGAACGTGCTGTTCTTCGAGAGCATCAAGAGCGATCGCTGTTTCAGCGACGACGGCGTCTGCGACGGCGCGAGTCTCCGCGCGCTGTTGCCGCTGTCCATCGTCGCGAGCGAGATCCCCTGCCTCGCCCCCCTGCTGCTCGCGGTTCTGTTCATCGCTCGCGTGGATGCGCCGGCGCGCGGCATCCCCGAAGACCGATTGTTCACGTCCAAGCCGCCGCCGCTGGATTGTTTTCGCATCGCGCCCATCGCCGTCGGGGATAAGTGATGCGACTCTCTCTCCTCCGCGAAGAGCCAGTGAAGGAAGCACCGCCATATGAAGTACGGCGTCGTCTCGTGCGATAACGCCGCGGTCATGACGCACACCTCTGGGGCACGGTCCGCGGGCAGTTTAAACGTCTCTCCCTCGTACGTTACCGTCAGAGCGAGTTGCTCCGCGAGGACGGACTTCCCGCACCCGCTGCCGCCTTGGAGCACCAACACGCTCGCGGCGACGGCCGCGTCCCCCTCTTCGATGAACGAATGCACCGCGTCGCGCAACGGCGCCTGCATC